CACAAAGCATACGCCAGATGTATGCTGCATATTTGTTGCGTTATATCCTGTCACTTCGGTAACATTGCGAGGTGTTGATTTTGCTTTGAATCTGGTTTCATTTCACATTTATGCAAGGGCATGGGTACAGGCGCGGAACTTCCTTTAGGACTGTTGCGTCCTTTGGACATGGACTTCCTTCCAGCATACAGCGATGATTCCCCCTTGTGCGTTTGCTTATTGGCTACACGGTTTGCACAGAGAGGCGTTTGAAGAGGCCGTTCTTTTTCATTTTCTTCCTCTCTACCCGGGTGGCGGGCACTCTTCACTGTCAGCTACTTCTGTCAGGTCGGGCACCATGAAGACCGAATTGGTTGACATGGTAGAGTTGTATCAGCTCGTACTCGCGACTTTGGAGGCTCTCCCTTCTTTCCAACAATTGGAGTGGTCACTAGACTGCATGCGACCTTCCACGACTCGGCCGGTTCGACAGATAGCGGCTGTCGATAATTTGATGTTACAATGATTTCACCTCTTTCCACATTTCTGGTCTTGCACATCCCCAATTTTCATCTACAAGCGCATTGCAAGGCTCGCAGCACACTAGGAGCTGGACCTTATTCTGTTATTACATTTATACCTGGATTGGGCAAGCATCTATCACTCAGAACTCGGTCTCTACCTTCACGTTGTAACGGCCTGTCATTACTTGGGCTGGTAATCTGCTTTACACCAACCATTTTGGGTTGCCACATGTGGTTGCATAGAGCGACATCCCCATATCACTACCTAATAAAAGTCATCGCGTCACGTAATTCGATCTTCTGTTTGAGGATGCGATCGACGTATTGCATGTGCGTAGTCCGTGGGGCGTAACGTTCTGCTGCTACAATTCAATGAAGCACCCTGGTCGTCTCTGCCAGTGGGGAACACTGCGAGATCGGCTGCGAGCGTCTCAGAATGCCAGCGTCCAGCGGCCATGTGGTATCTCAAAGGATCGCCCGCCCTTGCCTATGGTTGTACAGACTATCACGGATGCATGCATAGGTATCGAAAGACTGCCGGAGATGTGCGCCGATCTGTGCATTACTCTGCTCTTCTTGTGCGCATATCGAAATCAATCTCGACGTTCAGATCATGAACCAAAGGTCACGGAACTGCAAGTTATTGCTCCGACTCAGGTTGTCTGCGTAGCTACATTCCCAAAGGCCGAGTATCGACGAGTATCACGTGAGTATTGTCTTGGCGAGCACTAGCTCAAAAAGACAAACGTAACTTTTCTGCATTTGGAGGTCGGAGCTTCAAACCACGTCGCGAACCCACGCTCATTGCTCGCGCCTCTTTCCATTCTGTGAGCACGGATTGCATCGATGCGATAGCATCAGCACACGCTCAAAATGCCTCCTCGGATACGTTCCTCCAAATTCGCCTCCTTGCCCCGGCCTTCTCCCAGCCAACCCCAATGCGCACGACCTCAAACTATCACACACAACGTGCCATCATCGCGTCACTTTTCACAAACACCATGCCAGCAAGTTACATTACGGCGGCGGAAATTCTATGAGTGGCTCAATGGCCCGGGGAAGCAGCTGAAGGAGCCCCTTCCCGCGTCCACCAACTACCTTGGAGCGTATGACAAGTATGGCAATTTGGTTCGTGCGGGGCCTGGGTATCAGCGAGGAGCAGCAAAGCCCCAGGAGGCAGGCGAGACCAAATTGACGGAGACCACGAACGAAGCCGCGGCGTCAACTGAGGAGACAAAGACACCTGAGGGGCAAGAATCGCTCGAGGCATTAGAGGATGCAGCGCGACAAGAACAGGCCGAAAAGAAGGATGACGCACAGGACGACTCAGTGCTGCCACCAGAGACGCAAGAAGATCTCCGCCCATTTCCCCTGAACCAGTACTTCCGGAGTCAACCTGTCTTGAGCGAAGATTTACGAGAAGCCATCTTCCAGCGTGTAAAGCGCGATGGAGCAACAGTATCGCTTGCTAGTGTCGAGTTCGGTGTCAGCAACGAGCGTGTCGGCGCCGTCGTACGTCTCAAGCAGATGGAGAAGGAGTGGATTGCACAGGTATGTTTCTAAGTATCCTTACTTCCCCCCTCCCCCGACAACATGATGAGACATTATGAAATCGATTAGTCTTTAGGACAACTACATGGCTACACAATGTAAACAGAGGCCTCGCTTCTGCTGAACGTCGACAACTACTTCGCATTGAAGGACACAGTCACTTTATCGATCCTCGCTGACTGAATCCAAGGGCAAAACCTTGGCCATGCCCTACTCCAAGGCACTCCTTGAAATGCTGCCTACAACACCATACATCGACACTTCAGAACCCGCAAACAGGGGCAAGAGGCCTATCGTACACGAGCCCATCAACGACTTGATCGTGCACCCTGCGACCCGTCAGCAACTCTGGGTTCCCGTTGCCGAGTCGAGGCACTTCACCCGTGAAGACGCCGGTAAAGCTTTCGACAACAGCCTCCTTCCTGCCGACGAGCGCATCCCTCACCCCGAGCTGGTGAAGGCTGAACGTGAGCTCGCGTCCGGTTTGAGCTTTGAAGAGCGCCGCAAGCTTGCGGAAGAGCGTTTTGCCGTGGAGACAGCGCAGAAGAAGAGCGAGGAAGAGGCTAAGCAGGCCGAGATCCGAGCACAGAAGGTGGTCCCGCAAAGGAGATGGGACTTCGTGTTCAAGGACATCAGCGTCGAGAGCGCTGGCCGCAATGGAAGAGACGCGAGGGGTGTTGGTTGGAGATATGGTCTCCCCCACCAGGACCGCAAGAAGGGACAGGTCAAGATTCCCACAAAGGTCGAAGCCTAGAGCTTGTACGATATGTAACTTTATTGACTGTGTCTATATCACATGTAGCATATGGGTGCATCTGGAGCGCGGATTTGCAATGGCACAGATGCCTGCGTTTAGCATTTTGAGCAATATACCTAGATCTTGTGTTCACCCATCTGTCCTTCAAATGCTATTGCATGCTGGGTTCTTCGTTATGGGCTTCTCAAGTTGCAGCCATCTGCGCGTTCGTCCTCTGATGTGCGGTCTGCTGCCACTGCTCTGTCATGACAGATACCTCGTCGTGACCTATAGACAACTGCTCCCCCCAACGATGCTCAGCCTCTTTCGTCAAGCTCTCCTCCAACATCCATAGTCCAGCGAGTGAGTGCACCAACACCACTCAACTGCGCATGACCAGCAAGATCGCCGTGCTCTTCCCTCCTGCTCGGCCTCATCTATACGCAACCTTCTGGCCACCCCTCTTCTCCATCTTTGCCTGCCTCTTACTCTGCGCCGGGCCGGGTTGCGGCACACCAGCAGCATCCTGATATCCCGCGCCCTTGAACCCCCTGTACACGCGATACAGCGAATAGACACTATACACGGGCACGACCAGCATACCCCACCACATCCAGTCGCCAAGCAGTGCTGCCAATGCCACACAACCGTACGTCCAGTACGTCACATCCCACATGTACTCGGTCAGGCCGGGGGCATCGAGGTCTTCGCCGGCGCGCTTGATGGAGCCATCCGGGAGGAGCGTGGGGCGCGAGTGGCGCTCGAATTGCAGGTTGATGAGCAGCTGCGGAGCGGAGAGGAAGAGGTAGAGGAGGAGGGAGCGGCGTGTGAAGGATGAGCGGAAAAGCAAGGCGCGGAGGAGCCAGAAGAGGCCGTGGAAGGCTAGGGTGAGGTAGAGGGTGGTGTTTAGGCGGCGGGTGTTAGCGGCAGCGAGGGTTTTGGTCGCTTTCTACAGAGTATTAGGGCATCGCTGGGACGTGTGTGTACATGCTGCATGGGATGGCGCTGTCGTGTGCGAACAGAACAATGACCACCTGGCATGCGTGTAGTGGAGAAAGACATACTTGCGCCATGTTGGGCAGCTGCTGTTTTGATTGAAGATGTGTTTCAAACAAATTGCAGCCCGGTGCGTGGTCGGCCCACGGTCAATTGCAGGTGATGTGCTGTTGGTGCGGTGTACACATCGTCATGGCTGCAGAAGATGGCAGGCATGGATCCCGCCGCCTTCGCGCGCCTGCCCTGTGCGCCGACTCTCACCTTTCCAAACAACAAGCGGGAGCGCTGCATCGCTCACGTTCGCGCGCAGGACAACATCGCACACCCCTCCTGGCTCGCCTGCAGCAGTCGACAGTTGAAGCCCCCGCTGCTTCCTAGCATGTCACCGTAGGGGCACTCCTGCCTTCACCTCTGCTGCGCCCGCTGTGTTTGCCAATTCGCTTTGTCGAGCACGCCGAAAGCGTCACCTAGCAACATAACATCGCCTTCGCCGCGAAACACGCCTGCCACTACCCGCACCTGCCACGCCCCGTTAGACCCTGAGCCCCGCCGTCTTCATGCCTGCACTCTCGTGAACGTCGCCATATTCCTCAACTCGACCTTTCCCGGGCGCGAGCCACGACACCATCCATCCGCCTGCCATGTCGCCGCCGCCCTCAGCGGCCAACGCCCAGCTGCGACAGCTCATACATTATCACCTCGACAACGGCTTTGTCGAGAACGCGCTCTTCCTCGCCGGCCGTCTCCACGCCCTCGACACCCGCAACGCCGACGCCGCGCACCTGCTAGCCCTCTGCAACCTTCGCCTGGGCCGATACAAAGCTGCGTTCGAGCACTCCAAGACCAAGGCAGCGCAGGCGCAACATCTGGGCTGTGTCTACGTGTTTGCGCAAGCATGTCTGGGCTTGGAGCGCTTCGAGCTAGGCGCTACAGCGCTTGAGAAAGCCAGAGGACTGTGGCACGGGCGAAACCACTGGAGTAAGCGCGCTGGAAACGTGTGGGGCTGCATGTGGGAAGGCTAACTGTGAAATCAGACAAGCACTCGGATACCTCAAGACGGCACGTGCCTGACGCCGCAGCGTGCTTTTGCCTGCTTGGGAAGCTCTGGACAGCCCACGGCGACACCAAGAAGGCTATCGAGTACTACGTGGACTCGCTGAAGCTCAACTCGTTCATGTGGGACGCCTTCACTGGTCTATGCGACATCGGCGCCGTTGTTCGACCCCAGAACATCTTCAACACCACCCCGGCCATGCTCGAATCGATATCGCAGATTGCGCAGAACAGTCATGCAGCACAGATCTCATTACCGCAAGATCTCTCGGACTGCAACAACCCCTTTGTGTCGAAACCTGATGACGATCCATTCAACCCACCAACGCGCTCGCGCGGAGACGTAGCACTCAGCATGGGGGGCACAGATCTGCTTTCGAAACTGAACGGCAGGAACACAGTCCCGAACGGGCGAACTCACAACGTCGAAACCCCTGTGGCTAATGGCCAGGATCCTGACGACGATGATTTGATGATGGGTGAGGGCGGAGGCCCAGTTATGACAGAGCGTGGGCCAGCGGACATCCTGCATGCGCCAGGGCGGAAGATTAGGATGCAGCCGTTTGCCGCCGTGGAAGACCCGCCTAAGATGCGGCCCATAACCTCGAGAGCGCGAACGAAGACGAACCCTTCGGACGGCGAGCAGACAGACATACCACGACCAGTGAACCAGAACGGGCATAAGAGGACTGTTTCCGGCCACTCTACGCATACGCAACATACGCAAGCTTCACAACAACACGCGGTCGACCCTACAGCTGCCCCGCCGCGTAGAAGCGCCCGACTATTCAACTCGATTGCTTCGATAGGATCTACACGCACTACAAGCCGGCCACCAGCTGCTGCCCCGAGCAGGGATCTTGATACAAGAGAACGGCGAGAGTTGCGGAGGGTCAAGGCTACGGGAACAAAGGGAAGGACAGCAACCACCTCGACCGTGGGACGAGTTGTTAGCGGCAACCGAAAGCCTACTATCGATGCTACAGAGTCATCGGAGCCCAAGCCTAGGCCTCTGAGCGCAGCTGCGATAGCACCGCTGCCTCCGCTCAGGATGGCTCCTCCGACAGAGACTGGTCGGGAGGAAGAAGCATTGAGGTGGCTTTTGGACCTGTTGTACAAGATTGGGTCCGGCTACAGGTTCCTGAGTCGCTTCGAGTCTGTGCAAGCACTTCAAGCATTTGCATCGGTACCGATAGCGCAGCGCGAGACGCCGTGGGTGCTTGCCCACATTGGAAAAGCACACTATGAACGCGCACAGTACGCCGAGGCGGAGAAAGTTTTCAAGAAGATTCGTGAGAAGGCGCCTTCATGGCTTGACCATATGGAGGTGTACTCCAACACATTGTGGCAGCTGAAAGACGAGGTCGCTCTGGGCCACCTGGCGCATACACTGATCGATCAGGACCGCCTTTCACCGCAGGCGTGGTGTGCTCTCGGCAATGCGTCGTCTCTCGAGCGACAACATGACGATGCAGTCAAGTGTTTCCAGCGAGCAACGCAGCTGGATCCTAAGTTTGCTTACGCATTCACCCTGCAAGGTCACGAGCACGTAGCCAACGAAGAGTACGACAAGGCTATGACCGCATACCGGTACGCGATCGCTGCCGACAATAGGCACTACAACGGCTGGTATGGTCTCGGAAATGTTTACGAGCGAATGGGCAAGTTCGATGTTGCTGAGAAGCACTACAAGGCTGCGACTCAAATCAATCCTAGCAACGCTATGATCATTGTTAGGATTGGAATGGTAAGTGCATTCGAAAGGACAACATATACAACACTGACTATGATCAGGTTCTCGACAAGATGAAGAGGAGCGACGTCGCCCTGCTACACTTCCAAACCGCCGTCAACCTCGACCCACGATCCATCATGGCCCGCTTCCGCAAGGCGCAAACGTTACTCAAGCTGGGCCGCTCCAGGGAGTCTCTTGACGAGCTACTATGCCTCAAGGACCTCGCGCCTGACGACCCGAACATCCACTTCCTCCTCGGCCGCTGCTACAAGAAACAAAGAGATCGTGCGAACGCTATAAGACATCTGACAGTTGCGATGAACCTGGACCCGAAGTCCCATGGGGTTATCAAGGAGGTCATGGAATCCATCGACCAGGATGACGATGGTGGTTGGAGCAGTGACGAGGATAGGTGAGCACCAGCCTAGCCGTCGACTTTGAACCTCTTGGATTCTTGAATGGTTGGATGCCCCTGGGGTTACTCTTGGACCGCATCGCTACTTCGCCTCCACACCCTAACCTCATTCTCATCTTTACCTCCGCAAAAGTATACCAAACCGGCCTTTATACCCTTCGTATTGTACATTTGGCGTTTCATGTTTTGGTAGCAAAAGCTGGGTCAAACAGGCTAGCATTTGCATGGCATTGCGGAGTTTTTGAATGCTCCCGCTTGGGTTGCAACTGGACGAGGATATGACTTCTGGATGACGGACTGGATTGCATGGCTGGTGCCAACCTTTGCACAAAGTGTACAGTAGGTAGCTTAAATCGACATCTTACCACGACAGCAAACTAGACGGACTTACCTAGCGCTCAGACTTTCTCGCGGCCTCTACGTTGTGTCTCCTCGTACTCTCGCTCCAAGTCTTCCAGCTTCACCCTCCCTGCTTCCTTGGCCACTCGCTCCCGCTCCCGCTCCCCAACCGACCGGCTCTGCAGTTCTAGTAAGTCTTTCTTCCTTGCGCCCCTCGGTGCGCCGCGCTCGCGCATCCCCTGATTCAGCGCGCTCAGCTCAACTACATCGCGCAAATCGCCGCTCAGCACGATCTCAGACGGCGTCGGACTGTGCGGCTCCACACGCGCCCTGCGCACTTCCACAAAATCGTACATGTCCTGGCTCTCCACCACCTCGCCGGGGCGCGGGTTTTGCTGCCGTGCGTTCTGCGGCGAAGGGGTCTTGGAGTCGGGGAAGTCGACGTCGGCGTCGTGCACATCGAGGGTCGAGATGCGGTAATATTCGCTTGTTGCGATGTTTAGGGGCGCTGGGATGGGGAAGGAGGGTTTCGGGGCGTTGGTGCTGGGCGCGCGGGGGCGGGGCATGGTGCTGGGGGAATGTGGTCTGGGCTTGTGTATGAAATTGGTTTGAGCATGTGTTGGGGGAGCAAACGTAGATGTATATTGAATGTCCTGGGCGTGAACTGCGTCCGGACACGCAAATAAGAGACTCTTGAGTACGATCAAAGCCGCAAACCATTTCAGTTCCTCGCGTCGCGACGTGGAGGTCCTGCATTTGACATTTGACGGACCCGGCAAGCAGGCTTGAGGCTGCTCGTCGCATTGTCGAGTACTGCACGTTCCTGGGCTGTCCTGCGTTTGCAGAGCAGGTGCAGAACATCGAACCGTCCACTGTGGATGCTGTAATTGAGTGGTTTGCGGGGCGCAGAGTGGGTTTGCGGAACATGGAGGGTGTGAGTCGGATGCGGGTTAGGTGGATATGCATAAGCCCTCGAAGATGACGGCATGACACGCTGGGGGATTGTGGTAGTATTGCTGGTGAACTGTGTTGTGGAAGAGTAAGAGCAAAGGTAGATCGAGGAATGACGCAATATCGAGAGGTATAGACGAAATGTGGTTTCATGCCTCCTCGAGAAAGCAATGCAGTTGAAGACAGGCGGGTCCCCATGGCTATGCTAACACAAAGTCATCGGCTCGCTGTTCCCACAGTTTTTGGTGTGCATGTGGTTTGGGTGTTTGCTCGTGGTTCGCCAAGTCTCCAGCCTTTCAGATGACACTGAGAAATGACTCTGAACTCAGCGTGCTCATGGTCCACAACTCTGAGCATGCGTGGCGTCCTGGAGTCGTGCTGTATTGCTATGTTGTCGCCCACTCACAAATCTTTTGGAGGCATGCCGACCTGAAAATGCTTGGTAGTGAAAAGCTATCTGTGCTTAGCTTTGAGGATAAGGTTCCGAAAGCTTTCGTAGTCGCCGAAGAGCCTCTTTTCCGTGTCCCCGTCATGTTTGGGCGGGTTTTTGCGTAACGAAGCTCCCACATCGACTCGGCTGGGGCATTAAGATCAAGAAGGTTGCCGGTTTTCTTGCGAAGCAACTGTGTGTCGCCTAGAGCTCCATCTGCTAAAATTGTTCTCATGAGGTCTTGTTCGAGGCTTTGGATCTTTGCTTGTGAGTGGATACCGGATGGTGGGATTTTCGAAGGAGTTCCGGATCATTTCATCGATTTTACACTCAAACAGTAGGAACAGGTTCGGAGTCTGTTTACCCGACATCAATATTCCGGATGCCAGTGCAGGTCCCTCGTTTAATCTTGAGTTGCCGGAAACTTTGTCGACGATCTTCTTCTCACACATGATTCCTTCGGGTCAGGGTGCAGCTGTGAAGTGTGTGGCATATATTTTGAAGCGTGGAAATGTGTGTTTGCCGGAGCAGCAATCGGACGACCATCTAGAAACAGTAAGATACCCACGATGGACGCTCGACGTCTTTTCATATGTCTCTAAACAGAGCTGCGAAGATGTCAAGTAAAGCCGATGTATGAATGATAAGCTCAGCAGCATGGGTCCGGAATTCCTCCAACGTTGTTGTCGACGTCACGATGTTCAGGATCATCGCCGAGTCAGATCACAACTTGCCTAGCAGCCCTTTGAATTTGGCCCATCAGTTGTATCGGCTTGTGCTTCTCCCTACCGTCGTCTTGACTAATGTACAGCTGATCGACCCAAAGTCATCTGGATTGCGAAGATTGTCCCAGCCTGCGTAATGCCATCATGAGCTGGAGCGTTGCGAACATCGCTTCTTCAACACATTGTCCCCCATCACCATCCACAGTGGTACTCAGCGGCAGGTGATCTCCATCTTGCCCCGTGTATACGACAAAACCTCGACACGCTGCGGTCGGGCGACTTAACGAGTGTGCAATCGGCAGTTGAGAAAGTCGCTCCTGTTCCTCTCCAGCCTTTGTGGTAGAATTGCTCCAGGATTCTGATTCGTGCGAGTCGTTCAGACTGGTGTACTTATATGGCTGGAGATCTATTGGACTAATTACACGGGGTAATCTGAGAGGTCTAGTCTCAATGGACGGTGTTCCCTTTCCGTTGTAGAAACCGTAGCCACCTCGAAGCGGCCGCTGGGCCATAATGGATTCGCGTTCTGGAAGCATGTGCCTCCTTTGATTTTCATGATAAACTGAAGGTACTCTCTATGCATCAGATCGTGTGGGATCCATCTTTTTGATAGAGCCAACAGCTGATGAGTTTAAGCTGGCTGTCTTCATTGAGAAAGCGGCTCAGCGGCTCAATCGAAAGGCAGTATACTGCGCGATCTTGTAAATAACTCAGGCGAGTTCGACGACAAAGATCCTACATGCTGTATATATGACTGCTTCGCAATACCATCAGAAAGATAAGCTGGAGTTGTGAGGTTGTCCTCGATTGGTGTTTGAAGCGCGGAAGGAGCCCGCGCAGCTTGCATCCACAATTGCTGAGCAACCGGAGGCCATCATTCCGGTATCCGTCCCACAGCCTTGCCTTAAGTTGCAACCATCTCGTAAGCATTGCCAACCAACCTGCAACACCGGAGATGCTGAGTATTGTACGAGACACGAACTGGTTGAGGAGCTCTAGTCTCCGGTCATCCCTTGCGTTCGTATGAGGCTTCTTCGGTCTCGCTCTTAGCTTTGGAATATTGACAGTCCTACCACGTCATTCATGTCTGTTGCCGCACGATCGCTGCTAACAGGACTTGTTTTTGGCGTACTTCTTGCCCCTCCTGTTGCAGCAATTGACACCCCACATACAAGCGCCGATATAGAATTCACGTGGGACTCCGACTAGTACTAATTACACCGCTTCCAGACACGGACTCGATGGCGCAAGTGCTTCGAAATATTGCTAGGCAGATGGTGCGCGGGGCTGGTGGCAGTGGTGGATACAAAAGCACCCTCACTGCTTCTTCCTCTATTCTGCACTCTAAACCTACTTCTCTTGCTTCGTCAGGTTCTTCTTTGATACCCAGCAAATTTTTCTCCACCACATCTCCGACAATGGCTTCTTCTCAGCTCACAAAGTCGGTCATCGAGGCCATCAAGGACCGCCGCTCATACTATCAGCTCAACAAGGAGGCACCTATCTCGGACAAGAAGATCCAGGAGCTCGTTGAGCAGGCCATTCTCCACGTTCCCTCATCGTTCAACTCTCAGTCCACCCGCCTCGTTGTCCTCCTGAACAAGGACCACGAGCAGTTCTGGGACTACGTTATCGAGGTTCTCAAGCCCCTCACCCCTGAGGACAAGTTCGACGGCACCAAGCAGAAAATCAGCGGCTTCCGCGCTGCCTACGGCACTGTAAGTCAGAACCTTCCCCTACCCTGAGGCTCTTCAATTGCGACGGTGTGCGTCATCACGGTGCGGCGTGTTCACGGCGAAAGAGCTCGAGACTGCCCCACCTACAAGCATGACGCAAGCCCCACATCGATCGCTTCTTCCGCAGCCGTCGCCTTGAGCGCCATGAAATAGACTGTAGCAAACACGGGAGACTGATTATTTGCTAGGTACTCTTCTATGAAGCTCCCGAGCCAGTCGAGAAACTCCGCAAGTCTTTCCCTATGTACGCACACCACTTCGGCGATTGGTCCGAGCACACCAGCGCCATGCACCAGTTCGCGCTGTGGGTTGCGCTTGAGGCCGAGGGCTTCGGCGCCAACCTGCAGCACTACAACCCCATCATTGACCAGAAGGCTGCTGAGCACTGGAGCATCCCTCTCGAGTGGAAACTCAGGTCGCAGCTGGTCTTTGGTGGCCGCGCTGGCGAGCCTGGCGAGAAGAAATTCCAGAAGACTTTCGGTGAGAGGCTGTTCGTCCACGGCTCTAAGGAGTAGATCTTAGATGGTATTGCATTAGACAACGAATTGAGCATTAGAGCACTTCATTTAGACATTTCTTCTGATGCGCCAACACTTGGCTACTGTGTATGCACAGGCTCTTCAGGTATGACCGTCCGGCTACTCCATGTGCGCCCACATCTCTCCTCCCAATGTCCAACCTCGTTCAGTCTGTTCTTCGGCCTCTCAGAAGCAGAAAACCTGGTCCTCAAGCTTGCTGACAGGCCTGGCCTTCGTGAAGCCCAGACCCTCAGTCGCCTTCTTCATAGCAGCGACCATAGGTGGAGGACCACAGATCAAGATCTTGACATCGCTAGCGGGCGCAGGGAGCTTCTCCTTGATCATGTCGGCGGTGACAAAGCCAACACCTCCTTTCCAGCCCTGAGGTGGGTTGTTCAGAACGTAGTGTACGCGGAACTTAGGGTCCTTGGCTGCGAGCGCATCGAGGTCGTCCTTGAGCAGGATGTCTTCGGGGTTGACGTTCGCGAAGATAAGATCGACCTCGGTCTTGTCGCCGGCGGCGCGGCCGCGGTGGATGGCCTTGACAACCTGCAGCATGGGTGTGATACCGGTTCCGCCGGAAATCATACCAAAGTGCCTGACCATGTTGGGTGTGTAGACCATAGCGCCCTTGGGGCCCTTGACCTTCATCTTGTCGCCAATCTTGAGATTTGCGACATACTTCGAGATGTTACCGGTGGGATAGGACTTGATCAAAAGGTCAAAGAAGCCCTTATCGTTGTCGGATGAGGTCGGTGTGTACGAGCGGACGACCTCCTTGGGTTGGCCTTCGATGTTAGCGGCGAGAGAGATGTGCTGGCCGATGGGGAGACCAAGGATGTCGTTCTCCTTAGGAAGCTTGAAACGGTAACTATGCACGTAAGCTGCTGGGAAGCATTAAGGGACGTATTTGGGCGTACATGGCCGTGTTGTGAGAGAGGACAGTCTTCTCTCCAAGCTCGAACTCCTGGAAAGCATCAGGCTTCAGTACCTTCCGGCCACCGCCTGAGTTTGTCAGTTGCCGCGTACTCTTTCCGGAGCTCGCTATACGTACTTTGACTGCTGAAGATGACGGCTCCAGAAAGGATGGCTGTCAGAGCAAGAGCGTATGGAAGCCATTCACTTTTGAATGCAGCGGTTCCAATCAGCAAGACGGCCGAGGGCAGATAAATGCCAGTGACGTACTGCGTCGCAAAGGGTGAGGACATTGGGGAAGGGACGTATTGGGATGCGCGACCGTTGTCAAAAGTACAAACGATAAGTCACACGGTTAATTGAGCCCACAGCGTGTCCAAGTGAGAAGGTGGAGTGTGGAGTGGTAGTACTCTCGGTGAATGGTCAGTGCAAAAAGACCACCAAACATCCGAAGGAACCACTGCTTGGCGGTCAGGGTGGACCGCTGTTCCGGGAAAGCCGAAGGTTCCGAGTAGAAGTGAATTCCGCGAGGGCCGAACACGAACGTCGTAAATGCAGAGGATCAAGTCAAGAAGAGGGAACGCATTTGTCACGGTGTTCGAGCGTCTGACCTTCTTGTATCTAGCTATTTACTCGCAACGACTGTCGCTGGCATGGACTTCCTAAGCTGTTTGGGAAAGCGAATCCTGAACATGGCGGGACCTTTCCGTGAATAATATCGGACTGATCGAGCTCTGTACAACACCTCCACATCTGACAGCTTAGCAACCGATCTACATTCATTCAATATCGTGATGGATCGCAAAGACCTTGGGTCGTTCCTGCCTTACTGTGTGGTACGCAACGGAGTGCCGTGTCCACCGCTTGCTCGACATGCACCTGGCCGCCCAACATCCTTGGAATTACCTGTTCATCGAAAGTAATTTGCACGCTCCCAAAAAGCAGGGCCACCAGCGGAAGACGGCTCGCCCGAGTCCTAGATCTCGGTGCCTCCTCTAGCCTAGAGCGGGTCTGGACTAGACCCTGCAAAATCGATGATCACGTGTGGCGCGCAGCGTTACCTCGCATGAAGCTTTCTGCGGCATCAATGTCAGACTCAAGGATAGCGTTACACAGGTACTTCAACAAGAGATGACTTTGGCAAAAGAAAGGTGAGGAGGGACAGCTTCCTGAACTGTCTGCAAAATCTACCGGACATGGCACGGCCCACCGCATCTTCGCACGATGGACGAACATCCGCTTACTCTCCTGCTGGAATACCTGGACAATAGTCCACAACCGACACTCGTGTTGCGTCTCTCAGACACAGACGCTGAGTTCACATATGCCAACCCTGCACTGCAGCGCTTGGAAGATCTTCACATCGAGGTCCTGAGCCAGTTCCGGCGCATACCGAAGGAGCTGGGCCATAACACCAATGCGGGCGGCACATGCGAGAAAGGTTCAATCGCCTTGCAGATATCGTTCTGTGAACTCAACTGGGCCGTGAGAATTGTCGGAAAGCAATGGCTCATAGTCGAGTCGAAAAAGGAGTCTGATCGCGAGGGCGGAAACGAACCTGCAACGATCCGGCAGTCAACAAATGCCACTACCCTTGTCCAGAGACCATCACCAGACGAGGAAATTTCAGCTCTAGGCCAGTCTTTGGCGAAGAGATCCATTCGTCGGCCGCCCCTAGGAGCTGTAGGGCCTCATGGCCACCTGGGCGATTTGAGCTACCTTGAATGGATGCGTCAGTTCGATTGGGCATCTTCACCAATCGGTGCCATTGACGAATGGCCGGCGGAACTTCGACAAACATGTGAATGCATCCTAGCCAGTCCAGACCCAGTCAACGTACTATGGGGCGAGGATTGCATAATCCTGTACAACAAAGCATTCTCGGCCGTGGTAGGCGATCAGCATCCTTCCGCGCTGGGCCGACCGTTCAAAGAAAATTTCGCACAATGGACGGATTACTATAAACTCTTCGACCGTATGAGAGACACAGGAGAGTCAGTACAGCAAGAGAAGGTGCGACGTTTACTGGTACGTAATGGTCACAAAGAGGAGTGCTTCTTTAGGTTCCTCTTAACTCCCGTTCTGGCTGCAGATGGCTTCGTGGCCGGGATTTCGACACGCGTGCACGAAGTGACACGACAAGTTATATTCGAGCGGAGAATGCAGCTTCTGACCACGACAAACAAGGCGATCGCAACGACTTATAACCTTCATGACTTGTGCAGAGCTGCAGCTGGTGTGTTTGATACATACCAAAGTGACATCCACTTCGCAGCGATCTACAGTGCACACTTAAACGCACATACGCTCGATCTCAAACTGGAAGCTACCGCAGGTCTGAGCACTGAGCACGATAATATTTCAGCAACAAGCAAGCCTATTTCACCGCAGTTTGGCATACACAACACACTCCTGGAAGCCTGTAGGACCCGCCAATCGATGGTCCTTTCGACATCGAATGGTAGCTTGAATGATACCACGCTGGACCAACTGAAACACCACGGCGCTCTGCCGTGTCGAGAGATTGTTGTTCACCCTTTAAAGTGCTTTGTTGAGGACAATATCGCTGCTGTCATGATTGTTGGGACGAGCCCACTCAGAAAGTTCGACGACGACTATCGCTCCTTCCTACATCTGATGACGAGCCAGATAGAGAATGGTATCACCGTCGTGAGAGGCATCGAAAGGGAGAAAGAGCTGCATAGAGCCCAGTTAACATCTGAGCTAGAAAGAAGATTCTGGCGCTTTGCTGCCAAAGCCCCAATTGGAATATACATGTATAATTCTGACAATGTACTGACGTTCTGGAATGCTGCATTTGAAGACATTTGCGGCAGATCTGGACATGAGATGTCTCAGCCTATGGCCTGGATGGATACAGTTCATCCGGATGGGGTCGCAGACATAACGGCAGTGTGGGAAAGCTACAAAAATTCGGGGTGCGATGAAGCTGTTACCTTTGAAGTTCAGCTCAAAAAGCCTTGGACGCAGAAGCATGGCGATGGCGAAGTGTCACTTGATCGAACATATGCCTTAGGCATTCTTCAACCGGAATACTCCGAGGATGGCAAGCTTAAGGGGAATCTTGGCTGTATCACCGATATATCGCTCTCCAAATGGGCAGAAAAGACGCAGTCTGCACGACTGTCTGAGGCAATAGAACAAAAGCGACAGCAAGAAAACTTCCTGGATGTCACATCTCATGAGATGAGTGCGTCTCCCTAAAGCTGCCCATGAATTACACTGACATTATTACAGGGAACCCCCTCAATGCCATCTTTCAATGCGCCTACGAGCTAACGGAGAACATCAAAAGCATACTTGATAATGGCCAGGGTAATCAAGCTCAGCGACTCGAAACTCTGCATGAGAGCCTCGATCTTGCGACAACAATCACTTATTGCGCCAATCACCAAAAGCGTATCGTGGACGATATATTGACCTTGTCGAAGCTGGACGCGAGGCTTGTCCAGATTTATCCAGAGAGTATAAATCCGATCAAGCTCTACCGGGAGATTATTGGGCTGTTTGGTCCCGAGATACGTGCATCAGGCATGAACACGAACTTCATGATCGGTACAGGGTACAACGGATTAGAGCTCAAGCAGGTCATGATGGACCCTAGTCGAGTCACGCAAGTCGTCATCAACCTCCTCTCTAACGCCATCAAGTTCACAAAGAAAGGAAAACAAAGGAACCTTGAGATGACATTGGATGCGCATCTGGAAGAGCCTGCAAACAAACCAATGGATATCAGATACGTCCCCTCAGGCGTCCGACACAACAACCCTACGGATCAGCCTGAGTGGGGACAAGGTAAGGCTATCTATCTGTCGTTCTCTGTTAAGGACAGTGGAGTCGGTATGACGCCAGAAGAATCCGGCAAGCTATTCCAGAAGTTCTCGCAGGCCTCGCCACGCACGCATACCCAGTTCGGTGGATCTGGCCTAGGTCTATACATATCCCGTAACCTTGCCGAGCTACACGGTGGACGGATCGGCCTGAGTTCCCAAGCCGGATTCGGCAGCAAATTTGAGTTCTATATCAAAGTTCGTCAAACTGAGCCGACGAGCGTACCAGTCACCCCAGTCGACAGACCAGATTTCACTCTTGGAATGGAGCCTCTGACAACCATAATCTCACCAGCGATGCAGCAAAGTCAAACACCATCAAAGCTACCGAATACGTCAAAAACAAGCGTTCTCATCGTCGAAGATAATCTGATCAACCAGCGTCTCCTTCGGAAGCTCATCACAAAGCACGGATACGACACCCTCGTAGCAAACAACGGTGAAGAAGCTCTTACAATCATCGTAAGCTCGACTTGGAACCCAGCACACAATGAGAATAACAGCGATGTCGTCCCAACAATCGACATCGTTCTCTGCGACATTGAGATGCCAATCATGGACGGCAAAACGTGCGTCCGTCGCGTTCGTCGGCTCCAAGACGAGGGCTTACTGACCGACAACATTGCAATGATAGCAATAACGGGCAACGCGAGACTCGAGCAGGTCCAGGAGATGCGACAGTGCGGCTTTGATGATGTGGTGACTAAGCCGTACAAGATCGATCAATTGTTGACGGTTATAGAACAGTATGTTGGAACGTAAGACGAGACGGTGAATGCGGGAGGGCCCTGATAAAGTTGCACAAAAAGATGTGTACTTCACCGACGCACAAAACAGGGTCCTTGATGTAGCCCAAGTTTGCTTAAGAGTTAGAGGTGGCGCCGAACATATCCCACACGGTGCTCGATCCACACATCAGTCTGAAATCAGCTCAGCAACATTGGGAGCGCCCAGTCCCCATGCCCATCTAACAAGAACACAAGAAGGCGGGGAGGTGAAAGTGGAGGTCTAGGTTTGTGAATGAGATATATCAAGCACACAGGATGTGAAACCAACAGTACGATTATACTTTAATTCGAATAATGCCCTATCATTTACGCTATACACGATGATACGCCCGTATCTCTCTCTACCTATCCCCATCGGATCCTCGCGGCATCATTCCCCCGGTAAACTTGACTTCGCCTCCTAATCGACAGGCACGTCTTATTCCCCGCCACTTTATCTCGCTTCCGGCTTGCAACCGCCACCCGTTTTCACGCGGACACAGCTCCGCCGCCGCGCTCGCTACTGCAAACTTCCTCACATCACGCCGAGCGCTGTTCCTTCCGCAAACGGTGCCCGATGCACCTCTGCCTGCAACGCTGAGTGTCCATCGCTTATCATCTGCTTGCCCTGAGCCTTACGCATCTTTCCCAATGAGTTTGACAAGACTTATAATTATTCTCCGATATAGTGCTGTATTCGATGCTTCGGAGGAGACGTGCCGGAATAGGCAGTAAGAGTAGCCGTGATGGTGTTCTTTCGGTCTAGTGGGCGCTGCCAGGGGTGCTGGTACGCTTTGAGAAGGTTTGTGGAAGGCTGCTTGGGTGCTGCGTGGGTATGGGCGTAACCTGGAGCTACGGCGCATCGTGCACCACTGAAGTACAGTCCAGCTTCAGCTTCGTTTTATTCGTTCGTGAAGCATTACGTTTGCTGTGGGCTTGGTGTAAAGGCTGTATCGTGGATAGAGGCGTGCTTCATCCGACTGTTGGTTCCTCTGCTGGTTCCCAATCAAGCTCGGAGAGTTTGCTGGATCTTGTCCATTCCATGAGTGCTTCTTTCTCTGATGTGAATAATGTGTCCACGGATCGGTAATAGACCGGTTCTTCTTGTTGAGGATAATGGTGTTCTGGTCGGATGCGAATGATGACAAACAGAAGCGTCACCACTGCTACCACGGACCAAATGGGTGCGAAACGGCGGAAGCAGAACATGTCGGTGTAGGACCTGTAATGTGTGTGATCCTTAGCTATGCGGATTTCATTTGCAATATATACAAATTTACCGTCCACTTTTTCTACAGCACGAGTCAATCTTAGATACGAGGGAGCCACAGATTACTGAGCTAGGCTTTGTCATGCGCCACAAGCTGGTCCATACCTCGGTCTCTAAAATTAGACACCAGCTCGCACTTTCCGAGCTAACCGAGCACACTATCGATAGTAACCATCAGCAGCTTTCTCGACTCTTAGACTTCACGATCGTGGAAAATACTTGTTGTTGAACTGGTCAACGATCTGGCGTGCTGCGGTAACGATTTCGACAGCGTCCGGCGAGTCTGAGTGGCAGCAGAGCGACACTTGATGATCGTCGATCGGTAATTGCACCTCTTCTCCTGTAACGGCGGTCACGGTGCCAGTCTCAACTTGGCTCTTGATGTGTGCTTGAGCTTCCTCAGGTTTCCAGGGTCTGGAAATTGGTAAGTCAGGAGGACAGGTGTGTAGTAAGAAATGTAGACTCACTTCTTCTTCCTGTCGATAACCAGCCTTCCGTCTTTGCTATATTTGACATCGCCGTACAGCTCAGCAACGAAGGGTAGGCCGAGCTCGAAAGCGACTTCTTCATGAAAAGTACCAGCTAAGCCGAATACTGTTGTCCCTTTCGGCACACCTTCGTATACTGCCTTGCAGACTTCCTTGTCTCTATACGTCATACCGTAGAGAACACCATGTGGTTTAACATGGTGCAAAGGCATGCCTTCGGCATCCAGGAAAGCTTTGAGCGCACCCACCTGGTACCTGGTCATTGCTGTGAGCTCTTCAGGCGACATTTTGATCTCACGCCTGCCAAAGCCTTGGATGTCAGGCAGACCGGGATGCGCGCCTACGGCGATGTCGTGCCTTTTGCATTCACGGACAGTCTGTTGCATGATCAACGGGTCGCTGATACTGTCAGCCAAAAGGATACCCTTCCCTGTCGGGCGAGACTTACCCAGCATGGAAGCCGCAAGCCACATTGGCATGGTCGATCAATGGAATCAGTTCTTCATCTGGGCCGCACTTGAAGTTGCCATATCCTTCGCCCAGGTCAACGTTAATCTCCACATGATGTTTGCTAGCTGGTATCGTGAGGTTTGAGGAATCACTTTATCACCTGCCACGATGATCTCTGTGTAATGCCGTGCTACGACCGTAGCGTCTTGAGTCGAGCGTCTGTCTACGGTTATTATCAAAACCCCTCTTCTTGAACGAGCGTAAATGACTTCGATGCGTACACCCATCACCAACCGCAACACAGCATCGCATCAAGCTACCGTAGCGTCATAGATCCAGCGTCTTATCTTCAGTTGGGATCGAAACCCCTCTTTTTGAACGCGCTTGGATGACGTCGACGCGTACACCCGTCACCAACCGCAGCACAGCATCGCATCAAGCTACAGTGCCGTTGCCGGCATGGTAGAATCACGCGATAGAGACGAGGTGGAAGCGCGCGCGGGGTTGACGGATGTCAAATACGCGTATGAACGCATTTGCATCCATGCATACGAGCAGAATGGAGAAGCTGCATACTATTCTGATTGCTAATCGGGGGGAGATTGCTGTGCACATCTGCAGAACGGCAAAGAAGTTGGGTGTGAAGAGTATCGCGATTTACTCAGAGGCGGATGCAGCGAGCCAACACATTCGAGATGCCAGCGAGGCTGTGCTCCTGCCTGGCAGCAACGCGACTGCCTACACGGACGAAGAGGCAATCTTTAAAATCGCAAAGGAGAAAGGTGCGGATTCCATCGTTCCGGGCTATGGCTTCTTCTCAGAGAACGCACCTTTCGCTCGGCAAGTAAGCGAGGCAGACCTTGCTTGGGTTGGACCTTCCCCTGAAGCAATCGAAGCTTTGGGTGTCAAACATACAGCAAGAGACCTCGCCACCAAAGCTGATATCCCAATCATTCCCGGAACGAAAGGGCTCGTCAATAATGAGGATGATACTGTAACACAGGCAGAGCAGATATGCTTTCCGATCATGCTCAAGGCGACAGGTGGTGGTGGAGGTATGGGACTGATCGTTTGCGTCGATGTCAAAGAGGTGCGAGAGGGGTTCAAGATGGTGCAGCCGCGAGGACAGACACTGTTCAAGAACCCTGGTGTCTTCATTGAGCGTTACTTCCCGGCCAGCCATCACATCGAAGTACAGGTCTTCGGCAATGGCTTGGGCCAGGCCGTTCACTTTGGCGAGCGACGACATCAAAAGCTCATCGAAGAATGTCCAAGTCTTTTCGTTAAGAGACACCCCGAGCTACGACAAAAACTGGGCGATGCCGCTGTCCGACTATCAGAGTCCATCAAGTACGGATCAGCGGGGACGATTGAATACTTGGTGAACGACAAGACAGGTGACTTCTTCTTCTTGGAGATGAATACGCGTCTCCAGTTTGAACACGGAATCACTGAACTCTGTTACGATGCCGATCTTGTTGAGCTTATGCTGAGGCAAGCAGATGCCCAACTTGCCGGCAAGGGTGGTATAGAAGGGTCCATGTTGAAGCAAATGCAACCGTCGGAACCTTCTAGTGCAGCGACTGAAGCTCGTATCTATGCCGAAAACCCCTTGCAAGACTACGCTCCTTCACCAGGTCTGCTTCAGAAAGTAGCATGAAAGGACGTGCCTGGCAGCCATGGCGACACCTGGGTGTTCACGGGGTCACGTATCACACCGAACTATGGTACGTAAAGCCAAAGCCTGATCCTTGCTATAGCTGAACACGAATAGATCCCCTGATAGCGAAGGCGATGGCTCATTCCCAGGATCGCGGCGATACCATAGCCAAGATGAAAGAGCTCTTGACTGGCTCGCTGATTGCCGGGCCGCCCACCAACTTGGAGTTCCTGGTGCAGATACTGGAAGACTCGAGATTTGTATCTGGAGACACAATAACAAGTTTCCTACAGGATTTCAACTTTACACCGCACGCAATAGACGTAATCTCGGCTGGAGCCTACACCCTCATCCAAGACCTTCCCGGAAGACCAACGGTTGGCAAAGGTATTCCTCACTCCGGGCCTATGGACTCTATGGCCTTCCAGATTGCGAACATGCTTGTAGGCAATCCTCGTGAGACTGAGGAGCTCGAGATCACGCTCAGCGGGCCTGAACTTCGATTCATTGGATCTGCTATCGTCGCGCTTTGTGGCGCGCCAATGGAATTAACTCTGGATGATGAAGAGTTTTCGATGTGGACGAATGTCAAGATTGGGGCCGGGTAAAGACTGAAGATTGGCAAGACTACTGCTGGCGGCCGTCGTTCATCCCTTGCCATTCATGGTGGCTTGCCAGCTGTTGCAAACTATTTCGGTTCTAAATCGACCTCTCCTTTGGTAGCGATCGGTGGCTATCAGGGTCGACAGTTGGCTCCGGGAGATCTACTTCAGATCAAAGCGGACCTGCCAAAAGACATCGAGACTGTGATATTGCCAGAACGATTGCGTCTCAGTTACAGGACCGACTGGGAGATCTCAGCAATGGTGGGACCCCATGATGAAGGCTACTTTGCGCCTGAGGATATCAAGATGATCTACGACACGAAGTGGAAGGTCTCACACAACGCTTCTCGTAGCGGCATTCGACTTGTTGGCCTAGTGCCTAAGTGGGCACGAAAAGATGGTGGCGAAGGCGGTGCGCATCCCAGTAACTTGGTCGAACATGGCTACCCTCTGGGCACACTAAACTGGACGGGTGACGATCCTTGCATCTTCCCCGTAGACTGCCCCAACTTCGGTGGATTCACAAGCAGTACCACTGTTGTGAGAACTGACTGGTGGAAGCTAGGACAGCTCAAGGCTGGCAACACGCTGAAGTATGTCAAGATCGGCCTGGAGGATGCTCTCAGGAAGAGAAAACGAAACGACAAGTTCTTAGACTCCCTACAGCAAGCCATTCAGGGCGATGGTGGCCTTGACAAGATCGGTAGCCTCCAAGCTGGCCATGTCGACTACCACCAAGGCGAGATCGGCAAGGCAGTCATTTGGGAGAAAGCAGCGACTACCGATACTCCGCAGGTGCGATATCGCCAGGTGATTAAGTTACTCCAGACAAAATAGAGCAATTACTGACTGCAGTCAAGGGTGGAGATGACCATCTCCTTGTCGAGTACGGCAACGAATCCTTCGACCTCAATCATCGATGTCGCGTGACCGTGCTTGAGAATGCCCTGAACCCTTCCAATTCGCCTGGGACTATCAAGAATAGTCTCTACAACACAGTCGGTTGCTGTACAACGCTTCTCATCTACTACAACGGTGCCAAGCTACCTCGCAGCGAGCTTGTGACATACTTGCAGAACATCGAAGAATTTTTCGGGGACTTGCGATCGACCAAGGTACCTACGAGGATTTTCAGGCTTCCCATCAGCTTCGAATCAAAACTACAGGATGAAGCCACTCAGCGCTACATGAACATCCAACGCCCTCACGCTCCCTACCTTCCTGATGACCTGTCTTTCGTCGCAAAGAACAACAATTTCACACCTCAACAGCTCAAGGATATATACCTGAAGGGGCAGTTCATGGCGGTCGTTGTAGGCTTCTTCTGTGGTAATACTGTCTCTCTGCCAGTCGACCCTCGGCAACGCATGAATGCACCGAAGATGAACCCCTCGCGTGTGTTCACACCAGAAGGCACAGTTGGCTGGGCAGGAAGCTGTATGTCCATCTATCCCGCCGACTCCCCCGGAGGATACCAGATGATCGGCCGAACCGTGCCGTGCTTTGACTACTATGCGCAAAAGCCAAGCTTCAAGAACCCCTGGATCTTCCGAGACTTCGACATCCTCACGTACTATCAAGTCAGTGAGGAAAAGCTCGATGATCTTCTTGGCAAATTCAGAGCCGGCAAGTTCACATTCGACTACGAGGACATAGAGTTCGACATGGCCGAACACAACAAGATGCTACAGGATAGCGCTGAAGAGGTTCAGAAAATCCGTGCTAAGCAGGCCGAGGCCTAAGATGAGATGACAAAAGCCGAGAATGAGTCATTCGCGCGTTGGCAGAAAGAGAAGACCGAGTGCCAGGTTGATGAGTATACTGTTGAGAAACTGTTAGATGACCCCAACGTCACCTCTGTCGAGGCACCCGTTGATGCCAACGTGCGGAAAGTAGAAGCCGAGGAAGGTGACACAGTGAAGAGGGAGCTGTTTTAGGTTTTATGGAGAACATTTGAGGAACTCAGCTGACCATGCAGATTGTGATCCTCGAGGCCATGAAGCTAGAAATTGCGGTGAAGACGCCAGAAGCAGCTGTAGCAGCAAACGCCAACGTACACATCGAGAAGCTGATTGTCAAGCCGGGTGATACCGTGACAGCTGGTGGACATCTTGCACTCTTAAGGAAGGGATAAAGAGTATGTGTACGTATGAAACTTTGCAGGTCAGCTCGCTCCAGCACATATCACCAGTTGTAATCACGTGTCTTCATAAATGTGCTGTCAGCAATGTGATGCTAGTCAACAAACGCTGCCCGAGTCTTCTTAAGATGACTCGGTAACGTGAAAAGTTCTCATCAGTTTCTTGCATGACTTCAGTCAGACAAATTCGTCACACAGATCTGTCTCCAGAAAACGCAGTTAAAGAGGTGGAGGATCGATCAATCTCAACTACAGATCTAATGCCGTCGGTCATACCTATTGTAGCAATATGTGATATTGCTCAAAGGAGTGTGTGCAGCACGATAAAGCCTTCCATCAAGGCTTTTGTAAAGACTTCGAGGACCTTAAGGCTCGTCCCACACATGATGACAGGTCATACTTTCGCACGATGTACTTTCCCACCTGTGAATTCTTTCCTCGGTTTGTATGGCTTGAATAATTCCGCAGTCAAACAGTATTTCAACTAAATCCTGTCCACATCACATGACTCATGGATGGTGCGCATGAGGCATACATCGAATTCGACTATCACTGTGAGCTGCGACAATCGCTTGACTATCAGATCGAGATATTTTTCGCGAATAAACTTGCTGCTGATGGTATCAATAAGAGTATGTCGCTCAAATATCTGCTGTCTGGGAATTCGGCCAATCACTGGACTGGACCTCTCCTTGCTCGTGGTGTGAATCCTCCGACAGGCACACCAGTGGATCTTGACACGAACGTGGTACCAGCGATACTAGCTTTCTTGACTTAGATGAGTAAGAACAGTTCGACATATCACAGGAAGGAACGCCTGTCATGGGGGATGGGTTCGATCCATCAACCTAGCAGTAGCAAGGGCAGCGGTTTTTGTATGGCAGTGACAAAAGGCGTAGCTACTTGATTGGTAGAATGGCTTCAAGAACAGAGAAATTGCATCAGTCGTTAGAGGCTCTCCAACATGCGAAATGGGTTTCGGCACCTCCGGTCCGTGAAGCTCAGCAATATTGTTGATAGTAATTGTAGTTGAAATCCTATTCGCGTTGCAGAGGATTGAGGTCAAATAGATGTATTCTGGAGAGTTTGCATGGAAATTTGTTTAATGTGTCTGCAAGATAGATTATCCCTAAGATCCTGCACATCCTCACCATATCTCCCACACACCAGCTGGCAAGACCGACCTCATAATCTTCCAGTGACTCACAGCACCCTCCTCATGATACACTTCCAGCTCGCCGACATCAGCTCTGCCCATCACCGGCGCTCCCTTCTCGTACTCAAACTTGACTTCGTGGTCCTCCCTCGGCTGCAAGAAGTTCCTACGCGCAAGGCTGCCCAACCAGTCCTTGCTGGTTGCCTTGCGAAAACTGACAGCCTTCTTTCCCTTTCCATGGTCATTCTTAACGCAGAAGATGACCATGTTAATGAAGTCGCTCTTGCCCTCTTCGTGGTCTTCAGGTGTGGGAGTGTCACGGAAAAGCCGGCAAGCGGGGAAGACGGCGTGGATCGTGTTGAGCACGAGCTTGGTCGAGCCGAGGGCCAGGTCGCCCGCGTAGTTGATAGCTACGGCACCATCGTCTTTCAGAAGGTTGTACAAGCCTCGCATGAACTCGGTTGTGAAGAGGTAGACAGGCTCGGCGCCGCCGGTAAAGACATCGTGGATGATGTAGTCATAGGATTTGGGATTGGAGACTGAGGTATCTGCGACGTAGCGAACGGCATCTGAGATAATGGCTGTGTGATTGGGCGAGAGATTGAAGTATTCGGTTGCGTACTTGTGGACGACTGGGTCAAGCTCAACTATGGTTGTGTTGAGGCCGTGCGTAATGAGAGCGTTGGGTGCGGTTCCGATACCAAGGCCGATGACAAGAGCAGCCTTCTCGGAGTCTGGGAGGGGCTTGACATCCAACGCCCGTGGCACAGATTTGATGGGCGTGAAGTCTGGATCCTCAACTAAGCGGACGGCTTCGAGGAGAACGAAGACAGCGAAGATACTTTCCTTCTGGCGTTGACCCTTCTTGTATGACTCAGGTGTGACGAGCCACTCTCCGCCTAATAGGGAGTGATCACAGCGCATCAGACGAAAAGCATTGTCCGCATAGTTCTCCACTACAGAAACGTAACCAGTGAGCGACTCCTGGCGAGCGAGGATGGTATAGTTCTGCGTAGCGAAGAGCGTAGCGTTTGCCGACTGGAAGGCGTGATCCGCGGGGTTATGGGGATTGAGCCACAGCGTGTGCAGGATTGCTGGAAAGGCCAGAAACAAGAGTTTGGACGGCGTAATGAAGGCAGATGCTGATGCAAGTAGCATCTGGAAGCCAATGCGCGTCAAGTACACATGCTGTCCGACAAAAGCGGGAAGCAGCGCTCCGAAAAACCTCGATACAAACGATACGCCAACATACGAGGTCATTGGCAGAATGGCGTCGCCGAGCGCAGAAGGTAGGTCCCAGCGGGAGAAGTCGACTGTGTCCAGTAGATCGGAAACTGCATACATCGATAAGAACAAGAGCGGAAAGTACGTGAGCGACTCGACGATCAGAGGTCCGTAGTCGATGCCGAGCTGCGTGCTATGTGGAAACATGTAACACTGGATGAGCGGTGTCCAGTATGCGAGAACGGTGACCCATGCGGAGACATCAATGGACAGATAGCCTTTCAGTAACCGTCTAACACCAAGTCCTCCCAGGGCAGTCAGGGTCATTGCTTGCTGGTGGTGCAGTGATGCTGGAATCGAGCCAAAGACCGGTGACAGATTGAGCTGCGACACTGGAGAAGCCACTCCAGCGATGAAAACCAATGCCACTGCGCGAGCCACATTTTTCAGAAGGGCTGACGCAGGGACATACTGAGGGCCGTGTCCGGCATCTTTTGGTGATGTTGGTGTTTGTGGAGCCGCTGCCACCTTGGGCTTGCTCTGCCTCTTCTGTCTAGAAGACATGATATCGAAATGCCAATCAGTCAATCTTTCTAGATACCCTTACTAAGATTTCGAGGTCGAATGGTGTTCTGAAACAAAGTATGGACAAAGAACAGATTTAAGGTATTAGGCGAGTGACCAATTTCTTTGCGGACCGCACATCCGTATATTCGACCGGCGAAGTGATTGAGGCGCAATGTGCACAACGCGAAGGGGACAAGGCAGGAATGAAGAAAGATGGCGGTCTACAAAATGAAGGGAAAGGAAGGACACCTGGCTAGTGAGATGTTTCAGATGATTGATGCACGGATGAAACGACCTGGAGTGGTTCGGTGCCCGAGGCTCGTTTCGACGCTAGTCAGCCATGTGGCGTAGCGCGCGTCGCGTGGCGTCATTGCTGTTCCATCGATTAGCACTTTCTCGACAGACATAACTCCGCACACTACATGGGTGGGAACGATACGCAAAGCTTCGCCTAACTCAGGTTCTGTCATTGATAACGTACTCTCCAGTGATGGCTCCACTACCTCTGCGACCCGCGAACGCGCAGAGCTCCGCAGATACCAGTAAGATCCTACCTATGGACACAGAAGACTCCATGACTGTGGACGAGGTCTTCTCACGCAATCAGATGCGCCAACAGCAAGAAGAGAAGAGCCAAAGACTGGTCGCAAAGAATCGTCGAAAACGATATCTTGAGGTCCATCCCGAGTACTTCGACGATTCCTCCCTCGAACTCGCCGATCCGTTGTTGTACGATCGCCTTGTCCGCCGCTTCCAGACAGCTAAAGAACGTGAGGCAGAAGGGCAGCGCAAGGGCTTCTCGGGGCAGATGTCGACAGACTTGTGGCGTGCTGAAGCTAAGAAGGATGCGCTCAAGCACACCGACGCAAACTCGCTATTCACATATATTCGCGGACCACAAGGACAGATTCTGGAAGAGGATAAAGACGAGGTACCGATGACCAAAGAAGAGGGCAATGCTTGGTGGGTCGATGAGATGACACAGCGCTTCCTCAGTGGCGCGGACGACGACTTCAAGTATAAAACGGTGGACGAGAACGTCAAGTACGACGATGAGAAGGAGCGCGACATTCAAGATGCGTACTTCGACAGCATGGAGTCTGACTTCGATTCGGACGGCGAAGGGAAAGAGAAGGTCCTGACGGGCGAGACAGGCGTACAAGACTATTGAGCGAAGCCACCTTCTGGTAAACATCTCCATCTTCTGTCCCATTTACCGACAGAATGCGCTACAAGACATAATTGAAAGTCATAGAACGATCCCCAAGCTCGCCGAGCTCCTCCGGCGTATACCCATTGTGCGTGCCCTCTGCTAGCTGGCGCTCCCGCTTCTTGTTGATCCTCTTGTAGTTGAACACCAACACAAGGAGGCCGATAATACCTGCGCCAATGAATCCAAGCTCCAGAGTGTGCCCGAGGATATAACGAGGCGCATCTTCAGCGCGATAGAAGTTGGAAGCCATGGCACCTGCAAGGTTGCCCACAGCTATCTGGATGGCTTGGCCTGTGGCGCGCTTGGTCGAACCGGCCAAATCTGGATATCGTCAGCATCTCGGAGCGCAAGACATATGTGCCAGACCTACTGTTCGACAACCAGGTGATGTTTCCGGGGAAAGCTGGATACAAAGCGCATGCTGCGATGAACACACCGGCGTAAATGACACCTGGTGTTGCGCTTGAAACGCACATGATAAACCCGACGGCCATGATGCAGAGGCAGACCAGAATGAAGGGGTACCGTTTGCCGACACGATCACTCCACCACGCTACTGCGATCGCAAGTACGGATGCTGTGATGTAGATCGGCACAGTCAGGAGCTGGGCCGTGGATGAAGTGTATCCAAGACCGCGAATGATCGTGGGCAAGAAGAGCGAAATGCCGTACAAGGGACATACGATGCCTGATCCTGTTAGCTTCGATCAAGCAAGGGGCATCTGCCCACACACCCCAATAGACCCAGATGTTTGTCCAGATCTGCCAATCAAGGAACGCAGCCCTCACAAATTTCCACTGAAAGGTATCGTCCTGCGCTACACGCATACCATGGGTAGTCGTATTCGATGCCCCTTGGTACTTGAGGCGGTACACGACGAACGCTCGCTCTTCTTCGGTCAAGAAGCTCGCTGTTTCTGGGAAGTCGTACAGCGTGAAGTACGCCAGGATTGCAACGAAGACAGTCAAGATCCCTTCGAGAATGAAGATCCATCTAGGCGAAGTCAATTGTCGTTGTTCTGTCGATTAGATGCACTCACCTCCAACCCTCTAGATTGCCGACGCCATCCATGTGTGCGATACCAAATGCCATAAGACCGGAAAATGCGCCTGCGACGGAAGCTGCACTGAAAAATAGTGCTTGTCGAAATTGCGCCTCATGGCGACAGTACCACATCGTAATCTGAAGGGAAGTCAGTTGTCGTCCTTCCCTCGAACGGATGACCTCACATAATAAGCAACACCTGGAAACAACCCCGCCTCTGTTACCCCCAGGAAGATGCGCGCGATCAGGAGGCCGTGGTAGTCCTTCACGATGCCCATCAGTGTCATAACGATACCCCACGCTACCATGATCGTTGGCAGCCAAATGGACGGGCGCAGTCTCTTGAGCAGAAGATTAGACGGAACCTCGAATGCGGCGTATCTGCACGTCTGTCAGCACCCGACCCACAAGTTCCACACCATCACTGAACCTACGTGAAGAAAAAAGCAGTCAAACACCAATTGTACTGCGCGCCAGTCATGCCTAGGTTCTCCTGCAGTCCCTCGATTTTCGCATTGCCGATGTTTCCACGATCAAGGAAACTCAGCAAATAGAGAAGAGCAAGCATTGGGATAAGATGCCAGTCCATCTTGCGTAAGATTTTCTTCTCGTCCAGATGTGCGAAAGATTCAAGAGTTACGCCTGGAGCTGTTGCCAGTTTGTCGATGCGCTCTATTTCCTCTTCTTTGCTCCTGCCATGGCCACCGATGGAGCGCGATACAGATATTTTGCGTACAGGCGACTCTTCCAAGTCGCGCGAAACACGCTCGTGGGAGGGCTTCTCAGACATGGCTGCCGATGAAGAAGGATGATCAGAAGAAAGAGCGTCGGCTCGGTAGAAGAGAACGAGACAGGATAGAAATACAGCACTTTGCACACAATGACATCAAACTAAGGTCACATCGGTGTATAGCCGTTGACGATCTTTGTTGAACGCATTCACGCTTGCGGTCGTGTCGTTACCGAAGGTGCACCTGCAATGATCATTGTGGGAAGCCATGTGTTTTACACTTGCTGCATCCAGCCCCATCATTCCCTCGGCACACACACACAGCTTCCACCTCACCGTCAATATCCAAACTCATTGCATCTTCAGACTGCTGCGCTGTCGTCTCATTCTCTCGCTTACCCATACCTGTCACCCGTGCTCGAGCCACTTGAGCTGCCGTTGACGCACGCCCAGACAGCGCCATGGCCGCCTGCTGTACGCTGACCTCGGATTGCCGTGGACGAGAAGGCCTTGATTCGCGAGAAGCAAGCAAAGACAGGATGCTTAGCAAGCAAGTGGATATCGTGTGGGTCATGGATAGAGAACGTCTGGGGTGATGTCCGGGGCCCCGCGTCATGGAGTTGCAAAGCGGCACATATACTTGGTGCGAGGCTGCGGATGACAGCGATTTTCGGGTTGCTGTTTCTGGCAGGAGCGGTGGAGTAAGGCGGAACGGAATGGCACCGCGCTAGTGGGGCGCTCTTTCCTATGAACATGCACGTCGCTCTTCGCTAATTTTTACTCGGTTTAATCCGTGGAGCTTGAATGAGCTCTTCGATATGCGGTGAATGTGCGGTGAGGGCGACTTGACCAACAGGACGATGTACAGTGTGACCAGCACCGAGCAGGTCCTTCCTCCGCCCTCTAAGACTATGATGACTGCACGATCCGTTCCACGATGCACGCCACGATGGTACTGGGCCGAGACTCCTTCATAAAGAGAAGGCAAATGAGGCGCTCACCACGGATGACGATGGACATGGCCTTTCCTGGTTTGCAGTGCATCTCTCAGCCTGACGAGAGCCCTCTGCCCCGCCTTGTGAGGGTTATGGTGTTCTTGTGCAACCAAAAGTCGGGGACGTACGTAAGGGCGTCCGCACCACTTGAAAAGTATGGAGGCTGTGTGTCTGATACGGCAAGGAAACGCTTTTTCTATGGCTTTTCGCTCCAAAGTAGTCGCTTGAAGAGTGAGAAGATCAATACGTCCACATCCATTTTGACGTGCACCTTCAGGCGACTTCAGCAAAAACCCGGAACGAAATGTCGAACACTTGGCTCAATATCGTAGGCGTTCATACTGAATGCAGTAATGCCCCAAATGTTCACGGCCTTGCGAACCATGGTTCAGCTCCCGAGGCTGTGCTATCCAGAAGAAAAAAGTTATGAGGCTGGCGGTACGCCGTCGCGTGCCTTTCTCCGAGCACTCGCGGTAGGGCTGGCCTTCCGAGATCGGCCCTAATGATGTTTGCCTGCACTAAATTACCGTCACATGGCTTCAGATGTCAGCAATATACCCACAAATGGCGGAGACTCCGTGGATGAAGGAGTCCTCTTGCGGCTGGGGCGCGATGTCCACGCATCTTGAACTGGCAGTGAGGCAATCACTTACTCATGTCTGGTAGCGAAGTCGATAGGGCTGACAAAAAGATTTCAGTATGTGGCTCTTCGCCTGCGCTATCTCTGTCAGATGTCCATCCCTAGGAGTCAACGCGATACTCGCATGGCACGGTGACGCCGAGTAGAGCGGTGTTGTTGAGTGAACAGTGACACAGAACAGACTTGACCAGGGATTAGAGCGAACCGAATTTTGATAAACACTCACCGTCTCGTGAAGCTCAGGATACTTGCTAGGGTAGTTGAAGAGGACGTTCGGCGCCGAGAGGGAGTGTAGCAGTGCCCCGGCCTACGCGTATGAACACCAGAGTCAAAGAGCACGATGAAGCTGTGGTACACTTATGATGTCCCTCGAAAGCTTCATTCTCTCTTATCTTTAAAAAGAGACCTTCTGTCGCGTCTCATTAGTCTATCAGCAGCAGCATAACCAGTCCACTGGCAGCGAAAGTCTAAGAGTACATCTTCTCTTGTCAAATCTTCAAGCAGTCTTTCGCCCTCAAACTTCGCTCCGATCGCATTCGAAAATCTACTATTGCAACATCTTCTGGCGTCTGCGAAGTCGCATAACGGCACCACAATTTCTTCGCAGCCCAACCAAGTCAAACAGCCTTCTCTTGTAGGGCTTTAGCAATTCATCAATCAGCGACAACATACGAAACATCAGTCATGTGTCATCAGGAAGTCCGAACCCACACCACTCCCGGCTCGAGCCACAACTACGATGATATCTGGTACTGCAACGAGTGTGGTGGGTGCAACTTGGACCAGTACGATTTCTGTCCCATCTGTGGAGCAGAAAGACCAGCCGACAGCCAACGACCCTGCACGGCAAGCTACACTACATACTCTGGTGCTGGCGAGCCTGCACGCGGCACGTGGTACTGTCCCGAATGCAAAGCTGCGAATTCGAGCAACACGCCGGATTTCTGTCCTTTGTGTGACTGGAAAGCTTGAAGCACCGTTGTATATTGTTCATCGTCAGTCTTGTTTTCAGACAGTGTTGTCCTTCGATATCGGTGTGAGCGAGTGGGTGTATTACTATTGAATCATCTTTGGCACATCTGGCTTCCTTTGATCTCATTCCTTAGTTTGTTGCGTTCTGTTTATACTTCTGGGTTCTGGACTTCGGCGTTAGGGCGTTGGTGGATATGTGTTGAATCTCTTTTATAGAGTGTTAGCTCGATCTAATCACATGTTCATCGATACAATTCGAGCCTTCTGTTACCACTATGTTTCTAGCTATTCACCCTCAGTGTCTTGAGACTGTGCAGTCCATTTCTAGTAAGCATTCAATTGCACTCTGACTCCTGAGTGTTGTTTGCCAATATAGCAATCGCCAAAGATGGATCGCCCCCCGCACTTTGATGATACTGGTGGTTTATACGTCTCGAAGTTGACTAGCCCGTGGATATGTGGAGTGTACCATGGTGTTGTTGGGGGAAATCGGTGTCCGGATTCTCGTGCTGTTCTCTTTTTGATCAGCCTCTTCGAGTATATCACTCGAGACGAGAGGTCTATGACTCCAATGTGTAAGCACAAGGCGTCTAAAAGACACATTTGAACTCGTTACTCGGCTTTTCATTTGCTTGTACAAACACTCGGAGAGTCGAAAATAGGTCATTTGAGCATCTGTTCAACGGAAACTAGACGTGTGGCGTAAGACACATAGAGTGGGGTTGCAAGCGAAAATCCAGGAGAGGGGCATCGTTGACCCTAGTCAGACTAAAAGAGCAGAAAGCCAGGATGCAACATGGGAGTCAGTCACAAGATGTAGAGAAGATGCAGGTGATAATAAGGCATTCTCATTCGTAAAGCGTAGAATTCGTGGGGTATGAGTAGCGTATGTGCAAAGCCGGTCTATATACAAGACTCCCTCCGGCTACGAGGAGTCTATTGATCCAGATACAATCCTCCACGTTCGTTCCAGGTATCATTCTGTCCGACCACCAAACTCCTCAAATATCAAATTCTGTAGGTAGGCATTTATGCCTTGTGCTCGAAGCGACCAGCCTCAACATCCTTGGTGGCGACGATGGAGTCGAAGTCGACGGTGCCCTCGGCAGATGTACCGACCTCGGACTCGGTGTAAGCATCGAGCTCGTGGCGCTTGAAGACGTTGAGGTAGATAGGGTAGGCCCAGGCGATGAGGAAGAAGGCGAGGGGAACGACCATGGCGCGCTGGGTGCCGATGCGGTCGGCAACGTTGCCAAGGATGACGGGCACGACTGCACCACCGGAGACGGAGGCAACGAGGAAGGAAGCACCACGCTTGGTGTGGCGACCGAGACCACGTAGGGTAAGAGCGAAGATGATGGGGAAGATGCAGGACTCGAAGAAGAGTACAACCATGAGAAGAGCAAGACCGCCCCAGTTGGGAGCAGTAGCGCTACCAGTATCAACACCGATGGCGGCAGCGAGGAAGATCATGATGGCAGACTGGAAGATAAGCAAGACGATGCGGGGCTTGACACCAAAGTACATGAATCCAGCAGCGCTGAAACGACCGACAGCGAAGAGAGCCTGGGCAATGGCGTAGTAGTTGGCACCCTGGTGGTGAGCATCGGTGACGCTGAGGTTGGGGTGGGCCTGAGTGAAGAAGTTGATGAAGAAGGAGGCGATACCAACTTGGGCACCAACGTAGCAGAACTGAGCGGCGACACCGAAGAAGAGAGTGTACTGCTTACGGAGGGGCTTGTCGACGTATCCAGTGGCGGAGGTCATCATCTCAGCCTGGTCGGCCATATCGGAGTCGGTGATCTCAGGGATGGGAGCGAAGTAGAAGACGACAGCGAGGATACCGACGAAGATGGCGATACCAAGGTAGACCCACTGGACGGAGGAGAGAGACTTGCCATCCTCGCCAACATTCTTGAAGATGACGAAGGATGCTAGGACGGGAGCGACAACAGAGCCAACAGCCTGGAATGACTGAGAAAGCTCAAGACGGAACTCAGCCCACTTGGGAGGACCGCAGACAGCAATGTAGGGATTGGCAGAGGTCTCGAGAGTAGACAGACCGGAGCCGACAATGAACATGGAGCCGCAGAAACCACCGAAGCTTCGCTTGACAGCAGAAGGCCAGAACATGAGGGCACCGACGCAGTAGATGCTGAGTCCGAGCATGAACGTGTAGCGATAGCCAAACTTGCGGAGGAACCAACCAGAGTAGGTGAGAGGGCCAATGAAGTAGGCGCCGAAGTAGGCAGCCTGCAGACCGGAAGACTCTCCCTGAGAGATGTTCAGAGCAACCTGGAAACGGGAGTTGAGGACGTCAAGAAGACCGTAGGCGAACCCCCAGAGGAAGAAGAGGAGGGTGACCAAGGCGACGGGAACGATAGATTGACGAGTGGTCAATTGGGAAGCACCAGTGACGACACGGTTGTCAACGCTCTTGCGGCGGACATCCTCGTTGACGACCTCAACGGTGGAGGGACGACGAGCCTGTTGCTCGTGGACCTGCTCCATAGTAGGTTCCTGGGAGCCACCGAGTCCAAAAACCATGATGGAGGTGGTAGGACGAAAAGATGGGAAGAAGGTTGAGGGTCGAAAAGTCCTAATGAGGCAGATGCTCAGGTGGTGATGGGGCTGGAGAACCGTGGAGCTGATGATTCTACAACGAGGGCATGCTCGACACAATATATCCTTCCCCAGCTTGCACGCGATAGACATCGCGACATGGCTGGTGCCATCCAGACCCGAACTCGACGAGCCGACGAACCTGGACTAGCGCTGGTTGAACGCCACGATGCAGGTCTGGAGGCTGCTAGAGCCTGACGCTACTGCGTCGAACCGCACACCACACCCTGGTATCCGCAAATTTTCTTGGAGGCGTCTTAATGATTGGACGAGACTCGCAGTAGCTCCCCTTAGCACCCAGCTTCACCTCCGAAAGTGCAGCCGACTTCGCGGCTGAGGAGTAATCTCAACCAATCAAGTACTAGGAATATCGAGCTAAGACCATGCTTGCAGCGGTCCCCAGGTCGCCCCACTCCAGTTGTTGAGCCTCAAGATGAACGAGACCAGTGGGACATGGGGCTCCACAACAATCTCCACGACGTTACCCCATAGAGCTGGCTAACAGAGTGGACCCAGAAGATGGAGCAGGTTTTGCGTGGAGCGCGGGGACTCCGTGTTTCGTGGGCAGATCGTGATCAAAACTCTATCGTGTATCTACCCCTCTTGCCGAGATCTGCATGATCTGAGTATACACATGCATACGGATCTGATGTCCAGGGTGGCAAACCCCCAAGACGTACACAAGCAACCCAAGGCGAGGCTTGGCGAAGGGTATTGGTCGGCAAGCGAATGTTCACTGCCCCAGAGAGTCTAGGGGGTTCTTGTATGCGCTAATTCTCCGCCCGGTTGTCAGGTCTAGCGTAGGATGTTCGCAGTTGTGGCTTGCGACCAGTAATGCGGATGCGGCGCTTTGGTCATGCGACGATATGGGTCGTGGAGACCTGCAGTCAATGATGGGCAATATTCGCCGCCTCCAGCGTGAGTCTGATTCGATAGCAAATTCGAGCCGGCTGGCGTGACTTGAGCGATTAACCCCAGTTGCACTTGTGGCTTCCCCAACCATAACGAGTTGAGACCTGACAGCAGGAACGTGGCTCAAGGAATTCGGCAGTGGTGCATGTTTACTGCCGTGAGATGGCATACAGGTGCGTGCATGCGCAATCCACGTCTTCTCAACTCTCCATTGGAACGACATGCTTTGCCACATTTGTAGGGGTCGCTTCCCGAGCGCGTCAACCCCATAGCCTTAACTACCCCTCCGCGGGGTCTCTTAGAGGATGCACTACATGAGAAACCTCAACGAAAGCTTCTAGCGAGCTTCTAGCGGAGGTCCTCGCGTGAGACTCGCGTTGCTCATGACGTGTCGGTGCGACCCCGTATCTGTTGCGCTGCCTTCATTGGTGTGGTGGGGGCAGCCGATGAGGCCACCGGAGAGTTTGTCGGCGCGCTAGAAGCTGGCCATGTATGCACGCAAGCGTTGACTTGGCAAGCGCAATAGCCTATGTATTAAGGTGTCTAGGACGGGATCTAGAGCCTCTGCAAGGTTTACCGCGCAGCTGGTCGATGCTGACGATGGTGGGTCATTGAGCGCAAAGGGATTGATGATGAGAATTCGACAGTCTTGGCCTCCTCAACACGAACGTATCGTACACATTCGATACTGTCCGCCTGAAAAGGCGCTTCAGCTTCGTCTCCACAATCCTATTGATTCTTTCACCCTTACACAAATTGCACTTTTGTGCTCTCACCAAGACCGTCCAGATGTTTCACAGGCTGCTCAACAAAATCACCACTCCTGAACTCCGTGGTGGATGAACAAGATCAACAGTAATCACCGGCAGTTAGGTACCTAGGTACATCAATGGCACACATTTACTTCATCCGAGTCTCACATCGATCGAAAGTCATCACATCGACGAACGGTCCTGGTAACAGGAGAGTCTCAGGATTCTTACCGATTACGCAGCGGCGCCCATCATCGATCTGAAACCGTCTGGTCAGGACAATGATGCTCGACTGGCATGTATTGCTCGATACAGCTCGACGTGAGCGGCAGGCCACTATCTCCACAATCTGGTGATTCTCGAGTGACAAGTTACGGTCCCGCATGTGTGCCCTCGCTTCAAACACGCAGTGCTGCTGTGGCAGCGGTGATAGGTGATGGGTTTAAGAGAAGGCAATCGGTCTTCGTTCGTTTCGGTCGAAGACTGTGATCAACGAGTGTATTGCTATCTGTTGTCGTGTTGTGTGATGTTGTATTGTTCAAGCTCCCAGCTCTCAGGTAAGTGCACTTGCCTACCGGGCAGTGCCTGCTACAATAGGATATCATGTGATCTGAGCCACGTGGTTACAAAGACGCATTGGCGCTCATCCTCTGATGCACGGCGTTCGTTATCTGAATTGATGTATGCTGGCGCCTCTTGAAAGCAATATGTTCAGATTTGTCTAATGTACCTGGACTTTGAGTTGCGCAAATATCGACTCAGAGTCGCGCAGCGATACCCCCTGGGTGTTGTGGCAACCCCGTTGCCAGATGCACCAAGAATACCGAACTGAGAGGAGCCTACAATCACATGACTATCACAATCGCATTGTCCTTCATGTCCCGCTTCCAGATCGTCAGGGTGATCTGCTCGTTTTGAAAGAAGACTCGCACGGTCTCCAAATCCGTGATGACTCATAACACACGACACGGCTTAAACCTCGAACCAAGAATCCAAGATCTGCCACTTCAGAGTATCCACGCACCTGATCTCTCTCACTGTCTTCGTGTAGCATGAGTGGAGGGCTCACTCCCGCGTCAGCCGCTCTCTACAGAAGATTCCACAGTCGAGGCGCATACCGAGGTTCTTTTATTTATGTGCCGGACAAATGAACGACTGGGGAGCAATATGGATGACGGGAGAGGTGTAGCGCTAATTACTGATGTACCCCAGACTGGGGAAACAGCCTAAGCGAGAGTCATCTGTGGCTGTGGGCAAGCGTCGTGGCGGTTTGATGGGCAGTGCATCTAGGTCAGCTTCGCCTAACAGCTCCAGATCACATGCATGCCAATCCTTGGGTGCGTCTGGAGTGACAGATCTCTTACCATAACCATGTAGATCTCTGAGGCGCGAACATGACAACGATGTGCACGCTGAGATACTGCTGCAGGGTCATGAGTTGATCTTTGCAGAGTCCCTCTGTGGGTACCGTTGCTTTTGATCCTGCTCTTGCCACCCCAGGGCTGTCCCTTCCTCAAATTCTTGCACCCTCACCTCCCACCTTCCACATTAACATCAGTCATAATATTCTTGAAACTAGAAAACCCATGTGAACTTCATTAACAAGCCTCCGTCCGAAGGGACGGCCATTCACACGGCTCAAAAGAGGAAGAAAACACTGGCTGTACTGGCCAGCGACCACATGCAACCGCCCATGGAACCATCGCAATAGATTAACTAGGTCTGAAACTACGCCATCGCTTCTGTGCACACGGACGTGAGCATAGACAAGAGAAGAATTGATCTTTATCGCCGCTGTTGCCCGCTACTCCTCTTTAGACATTACCTCACGCAATTCTCACTCACCCGGGCAGTGTCAATGACGATGGTAAGCAATACCACAACCTCGGTGTAGATAGCCTCTCCGCCGAGACTTCGGTGTGATCTACATTAGCGTATAGATCACTACATGTTCGCATGGTGCAACTCACTGGTCAGCAGCCATTATGTCTCGTCTTTACTTGACTTAAAAACCGTCGGAAGAATACGTAAGTTGACGTAGCTTAGCTGAGGAAAGTCATGGGCAATACTTGAAAAGGAGTAACTGCTGTTCAGGGACCATCGACAACAGCGACGTCGGCTGTGAGGAAACTCCTTTGTCAACATGTAGTTCTCGAAGTCTCGCCTTTGACGTTGTTTGCTGAACTGAAATACATGGTCTAATTGAACCACAAAGCCCGGAAGGAAGATCAGCCTTTCGACTTCGTTCTGCAGGATGCTGTTAACGATATTATCGAAGAAGAGGACGAAAGGATCGCGGATGCAAGGGCGACGTAGGAGGATCTCGACATTGATGAGGATGCTCCAGCCGTCTCTGCAAAACCCAAGTCAAGAGGTCGTAAGTAACGTGAGCTTTAACCTCCATCCATCAACTTCGAGACGCTGATTAGTATCAGGCACATCGTCACGTTCGAAAACTCGCAGCACTCCTACCGCTAGGAGCCTGCAGAAAGTTCAGAAATCCAGCGCAGCTTCGGTTGAGACTGCGACGACCAGTGAGTCATTGTTCAAAAGGTACATGCACATATGCTGACATCTCCTGCAGAGTCTCAAAAGCAGGCTATAGCCTTGCCATTGCCCTCGCCGCTTTCAAAGACGGGACCGCCTACATCCCCTGCCCGTGCTGCGAAGCCCAAGGCCACCGAACTGCCTAAGCGACCCGCATGGAAGAACTAGGCATTGTTACAGAGTGACTTTCTTTTTTGTGCCCAGGGCTTGCTCTTTGACATTTTAGTTATACTGGTCTGTCTTTGGCGCAAGCTGATCCCGGTTTCAGATGTTCTCGTCTGCATTGTTGCCCCAGGTAGCATGCGGCGGTTTTGGTTCCAAATGTATAACTATCTTATAGATCTCTATGACCCATCAGAATGACCGTGACCTTCTTCTTCGTGCCCATGAGTTGCTCCTTGATTTTGTAGCCATATTGGTCTGTCTCAGGTGCGAGCTGATCGCAGACCTTGATGTTCTTATCCGCATCGTTCCCCCTTGTGGCGTACAATGACTTTGGCTCTGAGTAGATGACCACACTGATCACTATTTCGGGAAACGGCTTTGGTGCAGGCTGCAGACATGGATAGAAAGGAAAAAGAAAGAGGTTGTAACCTCATTGTGGAGCTGCAACATTCGTAATACCTGTCTGATAGAGCTAGCTGTCGACTTCGGGCTTAGAGCTGGAGGTGTGGAGATGGAGCTCATTGCCCGAAAACAAGGAGCGGGGTAGGCCTTAAGAATGTCACTCGACTCTGAGTTCCATCGACAGCTCGGTCTACCTTGTCAGATAGCAAAACCTCGTTGACAGAAAGGCCAATGACGCTACACCAGGGCCTGTTTATCTGCGACGCAGACACGTAGCCGCAGGGATCAAACGCCGATCGCAGCAAAGACTGAAGTCTGCTTTGAGAGCTTGGCTGCGATCAAGCTCTGCTGTGACAGGTGATAGAAGTCTGTTTGGCGGAGCAGGTGCCAGTCGATGTGTGCAAGGCAAGACCGTGCACTTCAGGGTCCTGTGCCTGCCTCCAATGGCGGGGCGATGCATGAGCGTAAAGCTGTTCAAAGCCGTCCAAAGCTGTTCAATGCTGTTCAAAACTGTTCAAAGCTGACAGCAGTGACCGAAAGCAGAAAGTGCACAGCCGGACAACGCGGTGCAAGCAGACCAAGAGGCTGATGAGATGTTATGTCACGTCAGCATAGTCATTTGCGCAGGCCGCTGAGTGTGCAGGTTCGTGATTTGGTGTTCGAGGCAACGCGGCAGGGCTGCTAGCTACGGCGCTGCTTGGCAATTTCCAGGGCTTTGGTCTTCGAACTGCTCATCATCGACACCCACGCCGACGCGCATAGACCGCACGCTCCTTCTGCGCACCCGTAGAGCGTCACCAACACAGTCCTGTGACGCAACCGCCTCCGCACCCTCGACCGCTGCCCACCTGCCCGCGCTACGGACGCCCAAGAACCTCGCTTGGACGCCCGAAACCACGCACAGGCAGCACGCGCCCATTGTTTACGGCCGAGACACCTCAGGCAGGCACACCTCAGCAGTCGCATCGAAAAGCGCTGGCCGCATTGCCCCACCTATACGCTGCTGGGAGACGTGGGTCTGCTGGATCGCCAGACGCAGCGCGCTCAGCCCAGCGGCCCCGGCCATGCTGCATCTGCACATGCAACACTCTCCTGCAGCCTCGTGAATGACGACACCGACCCGGTTCCCTCCACAGCGCGCCTCCGCGGGCCCCTCGGCGAGCACGAGCAGCCATGTCGTACTATCAGGGCAACGGCCAGAACTACTACAACCCCAGCATACCGCACTCGCAGGGCGCACAGCAGCCCTATCAGGACCCCTATGAGCGCGACAACGACGAGCAGGCGAACGGCGGCGCTGGAGGCTATGGGTATGCCAATCCCGTGCGGCGCAACAGCTTTGCGAACCGCAACGACGAGCTGTTCATTGGCAGCAGCGCAGCGTCCCCTGCCGTGAGCCAAGGACCGACATCTCCTACCGTTGGCAGCTACGGGAGCAGCTACGGATATCAGTCGCCGCCGCAGCAGTACAACCCTCAGAACTACAATGCCCCTGCTGTTGCGCTGCCGAACCCACAACACTACGGCGGCGTCAACAGGACATTCGCAGCACCAGCCTCATCACATCAGCCCTACGTCCCCGCGGCCTATGCTGATAGCGGGCTGGCCAGGAACAGCACAGTCAGCCACCCATATGGCTTCTCTCCTACCTCTCCCACCGCCACATACCCGTCGCCCACTGCTTACCAGAATACTTCGCAGTTCGGCCGAACGGCCTCTCTCCAGGGCCGGTCGGCTTACTCGCCTCCAGCCCCGCCGCCGCTACCCGTGCCCCCGGGCAGCGCGACATCAGCCTCAGAAGACTGGGGCAGCTATCCGACACGAACGGCATCGAATGCGCACTCGCAATCGCACTACCACTCTTCTCATGCGCCCCTGCCATCGCCCCCGTCCCACGATACCGGGTACAGCGCGCAAGACCGAGTCGGTAGATACAACTCGACCTCGAGCCTTCACTCAAACCCTCTGCCTCCGACGCCAGAGGTGCCTCCCCATGCATCACCACAGCGAACGAACACGGTCTCATCGCGCCCCCTCCCCGACCCTCCTACCGAGTCCGACAGCGATGAATACTTCTCACCACACAACGGTCCCTCGTACAACCAGGACCAGTTATTTGACGACGTCATGAACATGACCTCCGGCAACAGCCCGAGGATTCAGGTGCAGCAACCGAACGGCAGCGAGTATTACGACGAGACGGGCAGACGGGCCTCCGGGAGAAACGGCGAGCGTACGAATGGGGATCGTCTTGCGCCCTATCCGGTCCGCGATGTGTACATGAGTGACGATAGCGATGTTGAAGCTGCTGCTGGCTTAGCTGCGCTCAGATTAGCAGAAGAGCAGGAGGAAGCTGATGAGGCGCGCCGGCGCAGTGGAGGAGCAGGACTGTTCAGCAGCTACGCGACGATGCCCTCTCCACCTCTTCCCCAGGAGCCGAATCGGCACGCCGAACGAAGTGCCAGCGATAGCGACTATGCGCCAGTTGACCTGGGTCTATATGGTGGAAATTTCGCACCTTCATTTGCATATGGAGGAGATCCGAGACAATTAGCGACCGGAAGCAGCCATCCAGTCTCGTCGTCTGGCTCACAACGAAGATCTGAGCCTGCTAGCGACGACTATGATCCCATTCATCCTTTCCCATCATTCTCGAGCAACGCGCGTGTTGATACTTTTGGTACAGGTGGATTAGAAGAGCCTAGCGCACGTCGGCGGAGCTATGATGAGGGGGATGAGGTCACACTGATGGACTCTGCATCTGGCATGTCTGGCGCGACGTTGCTGCCCTCCTCTGCGATGCCTGGTGAGCCTCCTGATATGTTCTACCACCCCGGCATAACCAACAGGCCTCTGCCACCTCCACCAACGAGCTCGGATAGCGCCCGTCAACGGATGAATCACGCGAGCACCAGCTCGCAAGGATCGTCTGGAACATACGAGTACTGGCGTAACTTGCCAGCCTCTCACAACTCGTACCCCGTCGATCCTAGTGCGAGGCCCATGATCTCGCCGACAGGTACACAAGTTCCCCGGTCCACGTCTCTACTCCAACATAGCAACCCACCTCGCGAGATACCACTTCCACGGTCGAAGACAGATGCCGAACAACACAGGTTACGGCAATCCAACCGCAACACCTTCTATGGTGGAGCTGCGGACAGCGATGGCAACACCTTAACTCCTGCTAGCGCTGATGCGGTCGCAATCGACCTACCTACCCTGCCAACAGGGAGGCGCTTCAATCCGGCCAAGCTGTCTACCAACGACTTCAAGAAGTGCATCGAGCCCTGGGCTCTCAGTTCAATTATCTCATGGCTGAAATTCATGACTGAAGGGGAGAACGACCTTAAAGAGGGTCCAATTCAGGAGGGACTTGTGGCTCTCTTCACCCACAAAGTGCCTACAATGAACATAGCTGATGCAGAGACGCTTAGTAGTCGGGTCGTGCAAGATATGTACAAGGCAGGAACTCTGATGCATGACGAAGAATGGCTCAAATTTTCTTCGATCAGCATGACTGGCGTCATTTTCCAACTCACGGGAGCTGGTTGCTATGCGCCAATGCTGCATACACAGGCGAGCCCAGGGCGATGCTACTCACACCATTGCCAGAGGACGCTGAAGAAAATTGACCTGCATTCGCCTGCCGCTGCTGCCCGTAAGGAGGACTGGGCAACCTTCCATAAGCTGAAGAAGGAGGACGTTGTGGGAGCGGACAAGAAGGAAGTCGAACGCCAGAACAACCTGCACGAGATTGTGCAAGGAGAGGATCAGTATATGGATCGACTGGACGTCTTGCGCCGACTTTACCGAGACAGACTTGTGTCTGCACAACCTCCCGTCGTTCCACCCAAGAAGCTGAACAGATTTATCAACGATGTGTTCAGCAAAGCAGACGCAGTGAAGAAGGCGAACGAGGACCATTTGCTCCCCCAAATCAAGTACAGACAACAAGAGCAGGGTCCTTGGATTGTTGGCTTTAGTGACATCTTCCGAGAATGGATTAGGAAGGCCAAGCAGGCGTACATTGAATACGCTGCCGCTTTCCCATACGCCAGCTTCTTGGTGCGCCAAGAGGCCGACAGAAACATGCTGTTCCGTGCTTTCTTGGACGAGACCCAGGCGCATCGACTGTCTGAGAGGTTACCGTGGCAAAATTTCCTCAAGGCCCCTATCGACAGACTGCAGCGCTATGGTCTTCTCATTGACACGGTAATTAAGAATTCAATCGTGGACAACGATGAGAAGCGCAACCTCATCATCGCCAAGGAAGAGATCAAAGCCGTCACGCTGGAGTGCGATGCTCGGGTGGCTGAGATGGAACGCAAGGTCAGTCTGACGGATCTGCAATCGAAGCTCATCTTGCGACCTGGAATGCAACGTGTCGAGCTCAACTTGGACCACCTGGGACGAGAGCTCATCTACCGAGGAGATCTGCAAAGGATGGGAGGCAGTCGATTCAACTGGCTTGAAACACATGCTCTGCTTTTTGACCATTACCTTGTATTGGCAAAGACAGTCGCATACCGTGAACAAGATGGTGTGACGAAATCTGAGAAGTACGATGTCTCCAGGCTTCCCATCCCCATGGATCTGCTTGTTCTAGAAAGCGAAGACGACGACCCTGTGGTACGCTCCAACTTGAAGGGCATTGCTCCTGTTAATAGGATGGCACCCGGTGCCGGGCGGACAGCTGGCAGTCCAGGTCCCGGTTCGTTGGCCCACACGGCAACCTCGACTTCGATGGGCTCAACAAGTACCGGCACGTCGGGAAAGACAATGGTCAATAATACGAACTTGGAGGGCGCAAGGGATGAGAAAATTCTGTACCCATTCAAGGTCAAGCATCTTGGAAAGGAGACGTACACTCTATACGCTTCGTCCGCGCAGAACAGGGCCGACTGGTGCGACAAACTCATCATTGCGAAGACACGTCATGCAGCTGCGTTGTTCGCTCAAAACGCGGAGCCTTTCCGTCTGCGCGTAATGGCTGACTCGGCGTTCGCATATGACAGCGTCATGCCTACGACGAAGGGTATCACCATCAAGGGAACCCCACTCGACCGCTCCATCGACGTGGTGGAGAAACTCTTCGCCAACTCAGGTCGGCCAGTGCCAATCTGCAGAGCTCGTGTCAACTGTGCCACAGCCTTCAACCAACCTTATGGCAAGCACGTCATTGCTGTCGGTACTGATATCGGCGTGTATATTTCCGACTATGACAACCCAAGAGGTTGGACAAAGGTGCGTTCATCACTTACCTATCGCAGACATCTACTAATCAAGACAGGCGATTCAAATCCCACGAGTTACACAGATTGCTGTCCTTGAGCAATTCAGCTTGATGCTACTCATCTCCGACAAATCGCTCATCGCATACCACCTCGATGCCGTTTGCCCCGTCAGTGGCGTGCCTCCTTCTAATGACTCGACTCGTCGGGCGCCGCAGAAACTGTCGGGCGCTCGTGACATCGGGTTCTTCGCTACAGGCACCATGAAGGACCGCACACTCGTCTTCTACAAGAAGCGTGAAGGCCTCTCCTCGACGTTCAAAGTTCTCGAACCGGTATACCAAAAGTCCACAGAAAAGAAATCTCGCATCTGGAAGTCCGGCCGCACCGAGTTCTTCCGCGAATACGACGAATTCTACATCCCTGCCGACTGCTATACAATCAACCTCTTCCACAGCTCCCTCGCCATCTCAACAGCCAAGGGCTTCGAAGTCATGACCCTTGATAAGAAGCAGCCCTGGAGTGTGCCAGACCTCAAACAGCAACACGTCGCCACCATCGCCTCGCGGCTCACCAACCAAGACCCGCTTGGCATGTTCCGCCTCTCGGATCAAGAGTTCCTGCTCTGCTACGAAGAGTGCGCGGTCTACATCAATAAAAATGGCGACATTAGTCGCTCCGTCATCATGGAGTTTGTCGGCAAGGCCAAGAGCGCGGCCATGTACGGGCCGTATGTCTTGCTCTTTGATCCTGACTTCGTCGAGATAAGAAATGCACAGAACGGTAGACTTAGACAGGTCATTGCCGGCAGAGATGTCAAGTGTCTAGACGATGGGCTGTCAGGCACGAGTGGGCACAATCGCACGATCAAGATGAGCTTGCAGCATCCGCAGGTCGAGAGATGTCAGGTTGTGGTTGAGTTGGTGCTTAACGAGGGGCAGAAAGAGTAGAGTCGTCATTGAAGGGCACATGAGGATGACGCTGGGCGGGGGTTTGCATGTTTGTTTTGTTTCGCTGGATACCTTGTGATTTACCGCCATCTCACATTTATTGCTTGTGTCAGTTACAGTTAGCGATAGGGCGATCTGGCCGTGCAGTGCTGGCGAGCAGGGACGGACGTCCTTGTTCAGGGCTTATTGTCATCGTGACGCTACATAGGCAATGATAATGTACATGCATCTAGCTCCGATTTTGTACGGTTGGTATGCTTGAGAGCTGTGTGAGCGCACTCGAGGGATCTGGGTGCGGTCGCGGAAAGCAAGAGTCGCCCCGGGGCGCGTGCGATTGGAAGGGGTGGGGGGCGTTCCAGTGGTACGAATCTCATGCAAAAATGTCGGATACTGTTTCTGTACATTGCTCTCTGATTCCGACTCATGTGTTGGGCTCGCTTGGTCGTCCAGAAAGTGCAGAGTCGCGTGGCTGCGAATAGGAAAAGCAAGGATCAGGGAGCGCTCTGGGGGAAGCAGGCGCGAGGCAGAGCGAAACTTTTGTCACACTGTTCTGAACTGGCTACTCTTCCCTCTTTGATCCCGCTCCGAAGTTTCCAAACAGACGCCGCCACAAATCATCATTCTTCACCGCCTCGCCTTCACCCCCTTCCCTCTTTACTAAGCAGCTGTTTCAGTGGCGCAGCATCCATCTCTTTCGAAATCGCCTTTTCCAGACCTCTCTGTGCAGCTCTTCTTTCAGTCTGAGCATAAGAGTAATTGATGGTACTTCCCCTGCAGCCCGAATGTTGAAAGGCATAATTTTGAATAGTCCCGGACCATGCGGTCACTGGTCAGTCAGAGGTCGTGCGTTGCGGGTTCCTGGTGTCTTTCGAGAGGTCAGCCACTGTTCGAAAATGTTTGCTGTAGTTGCGCTGTCGCATATTGGATTTCTAAAGGACAAGATGCTTCAGTTGTGCAAACAACATGGGTCCCTGTATCTCACCCTGTATCTCAGACTTAAGGACGGTGTAGGCCATGAGTTTGTCTCAGTATCGAACTGCGAGGCGATCCATACCTAGTAGCTCAAGCTCTTTGTGCCACGACTGGTACCCCATCTACCATTAAGACCTGAACACACTTTCACCATGCTCGACCATACACCTACCTCCTGTCATATCACTTACAAAGCCGCGGGAAATACCAATGCTTTTGATCCATATGCTTTTGCCAGCCGCAGCTCACAGGTCAGTGTCACACCGAATGAAGCCGGCGCATCAGATGAAACCGAGGTCGAGCCAGCTGAGCTATTTGCGTCTACGTCAAATTCAGGAGCGACTGGCACGGATCTCCATGACGAACATATGGGCGAGGAACAGGTTAATGGTGAGTGTAAATGGACCTGTATATAAGAATTCTGCGTTGACCACACGTAGTACTTGTCATTATCTTTCTGGCCGTCGTCCTTGCTGTCGTGGCCATGATGATACCTCTATGATGATGGATGGAGGAGAATGTTCCCGGGCTACTTAGTGAGTTCCCAGAGAGTGCAATCAGTCGATGGTTGCCCTCGCTGGTCGAGGTCCTTCGTAGGTATATGTACTTAAAGGCCTGAACTATCATCTCTTTCCATATTCGGAGAGGTCACTTGACCCTATCGGAGTTGTGATGCCACTTCAAGACAACGCGAAGCCCGGCCGGCCTAGGGGCCACCTCGATCCATGCAGCCTCGCACACCTGCAGCTGGAGGACAAAGGCATAACAGGCCAGAACCTGGGCGACCGCGCATGATCTCCTAAGTAGGGCCATGATCCTGCCAGGCCTTTTCGCAATTGCCGTCTCCGCCAGCCGAGCAGATAACCGCGAAGACAACCATTCGTGAAGTAAAATACACGGCTAGCCTCCTTCTGATGCTGGCGCCAGAGACGCCACCACTCGGGCGGAGGCAGTTGGTGACCGTTCCTCATGCAGAAGCCTTCGATAGTCGTTCCGTAATTGTTCTGCCAGCTAGGCCCACTCAGGCAGAATGTAAGAAAGTCAAGAAGCGCTGCTGTGATGCCAACCTCACTGCCTCGAATGGAGAACAGTAAATAACGCATTGGCATTTTCGTATGCACCAACTCTGCCTTCCAGATTCGAGATGTCATTTCAGCACGTACCGACGGAACCCCGTCTCGGGGCCCTTCCGACGCTGATATATCTGTGGAAACGCTGGGGAACGGAGCACGCGACGCTACCATGCACTCGGATGAGAAACGTTATTGCTGTCGTGAGCGTGGCAACAGTTGAAATGTCATGATTCGGTACAGGAGAGGCTTTAGCCAAGTGCAGGAAAGAGCGTGCGATGGCACCTGCCAGCTCGCGGTCAGAGCACGCTAGGATCAAGCAACCCTTGGAAGCGGGGAAGCACCGCGGTCGATTTCTCGTCGTACACGCTGCGCGCACTTTGCATTGGGTGCAAATCAGCCTGCAGCTCAAGTCGCATCAAGCACAGCCCAGCCTGAAAAATTGGCATGCCTGAGGCACGCTTGGAAGTGTGAAAACCGCCGCAGGAACTGGATTTGACTCTGTTATCAGCCGCGCGGCGTCTAACATTCGCATGATTCGCTTTTCATCGGTCTCCACAAGCGTCGAACAAGGCCTTATCACACCGAACGGTAGAATGAGGTAAGTAACGTTTCTTGGCTTTCACTCCGCCATGGCTTGCCAAGCGGGCTTAGACAAGGGCGTGCACATGACTTTGTCCACATTAGGTAGGTGATATGGTGCTCCACGATGGCGGGAGCACACTCGGAGGATCAGTGAACGTCTGACCTGGCGATTGGCGCTATACATAAGAGCTCTAGAACATCAGTGCGTCTACTGTGTGGTAAATTGTGAATCGGCTCCGCACACCAACCTTTACTGAAGAGACTTCTTCTTGGCTGTCTTGGGTTACCTCTACAGCTTAGTGGCGCGCACCATAAGCCTTCCTGATCGCTTGTGCTATCAGCAAGTTCGTGGGACAACCTTGTGCCCGCTCATTTCAGCCTCGCCTGTATAAGTACCGGTCAATCGCGCCACCACTGGCTTGCAAGGCTTTCTCGCTGCCTCGCCTGCCTGCATACATACAAGGACTACTTCAGCTGAAGTCCCTTTGCCTGCGTGTTGCGCCTTCCTCCCCGCACCCGCAAACGGCCTTCCACCCCACTACTAAAGGTCACCTTCAACAAACCCCAAGGACCTCACTTCAACGATAATGGCGATCTTCAACAGGAGCTCCAGCTCCTCAAATGAGAGCCCTCACCAGAAGGACCCCGAAATGTACGGAAAGTCTGAGTACACCACTAACGCCACCGCTGCGCATGTGGTCGATGAGAATGGTGTCACAATCCACCAGGACAACAACCATCTCCACCGTGGTCTCAAGTCTCGTCACATCACTATGATTGCCATCGGTGGTGCTATCGGAACTGGTCTTATCATTGGTACTGGAAAGGCGCTGGCTCAATCTGGGTAAGTAACTTATGGAGAAAAGGCGCGCAACACACGCTGACGTGCGCAGACCTGGCTCGATCCTTATCGCCTACACATCCGTTGGTTTCCTCGTTTACATCGTCATGACCGCTCTTGGAGAAATGGCCGCCTGGATCCCTCACAGTTCTGGTTTTGCTGGTTACGCAACCCGCTTCGTTGACCCTGCTCTCGGTTTCGCTCTCGGATGGACATATTGGTGCAAGTACATCATCACGACGCCAAACCAATTGACTGCCTCCGCCTTGATCATCCAAGAATGGGTACCTGACACTCGAGTCAACCCCGGAATCTGGATTTTGATCTTCCTTGTGGTGATTTGCACCGTCAATTACTTTGGTATCAAATTTTTCGGTGAACTCGAATTCTGGCTCAGTTCGATCAAAGTTATCGTTATTGTTGGTGTCATTATCCTTTCATTCCTCTTAGCAGTCGGTGCAGGACCAGGCCCTGCGACTGGTTTCAAATACTACAAGAACCCAGGTGCCTTTAAGCCATACATCGGCACAGGCGCAGCGGGTAAATTCTACGGTTTCTGGTCCTCCTTGGTCAACGCTGTCTTCGCGTACCTTGGTACTGAGCTCATTGGCGTCACCGTTGGTGAGGCACAGAATCCCCGCAAGACAGTAAGTCAAAGCCTAGTTTGAATCACAATGCACGTTCGCGAGACTAATCATGTTAACAGATTCCTCGCGCCATCAAGCTGACCTTCTACCGAATCCTGTTCTTCTACTGCTTGTCCGTGTTCTTTCTGGGAATGATCGTACCATACAATTCCGATGATCTCAAGTTCGCAAACACCCAAAAATCCAAGGCTTCGGCTTCGCCTTTCGTTGTCGCTATCAAACTTGCCGGCATTAAGGCTTTGCCCGACATCCTCAACGCCTGCATTTTGCTCTTCACTTTCAGTGCCTCGAACTCGGATCTGTACATCGCTTCGCGTACCATGTACGGTCTGGCCGAGGAGGGTCACGCCCCCAGGATCTTCAAGTGGACCGACAAGCGCGGTGTTCCTGTTCCCGCCCTGGCCATCTCAGCGCTCTTCTGCTGCACTGCCTTCATGAATGCCGCCTCTTCGTCGACGGTCGTTTTCGGCTACTTCGTCAATCTCACTACCATCTTCGGTCTACTGTCCTGGATCTCGCTGCTCGTTTCGCACATTTGGTTCGTCCGCGCACGCCGTGCTCAGGGTATTACCGACAACCAACTGGCCTACGTTGCCCCCTTTGGTCTCTGGGGATCTATCATTGCACTCTTCTTCTGCTGCCTCATCGCTCTGACCAAGAACTTCAATGTTTTCACGCGGAGTCCCAAGACATACGGTGACTTTGATTACAAGAACTTCATCACCGGCTACCTCGTAAGTCTTTAATCTGTGCAATGTATAGGCAAGCTGCTAATACGTTTCGCAGGGTATTCCCATCTACCTCATCTGCATCTTCGGTTACAAATTCTTCATGAAATCCAAGGGTGTTAAGCCTCACGAAGCCGACTTCTACTCTGGCAAGGATGAGATCGATCGTGAAGAAGAGGCCTTCTTGGCCGCACAGGCTGAAAAGGAACTTGCCAATGAAGGCAAGAAGGGCGGCAGCTGGTTCTACAGGACCTTCATTGCATGGCTCATCTAGGTTCTTGGATACCATCCTTTGGACAAGCTATCTCGACGACATTCTATAGTTCCGCTACGACATGGTACAACTAGAGACTGCACGTTGAGTGCACAGTTTAATGCAACGGATCAATGATAATGCACATGGTCCTTATCGCAATATCCTTCCCTCATAGTCACAAAGTGACTTTATTTGAACATTCACGTCAGCCTCGATACTTTCCAACCCATTATTTGGCGTGATCACAACCCCATGGGGAGCCTTTAATCAATTACCTAACAAGCGCAACCTCTCCGCAACGACCCGAATCGTCTGTGCGCGCGACACGCCCTGCGATGCCGTAACAATTTCGTATCCCCACGGGGTAAGACCGTGACCATGGCATTGTGTCTCGGCGGTGGAGAGCTAGGGCTTGGAATTACGTGATAGCTGGCGGGCTTTAAGCCGCGTCATTAGATGGGGTGCAAACGCACGAAATTCTTAAAAAGTAAGAATTTGCGGCGAACGCAACAGATTCTAAAGACAAGTTAGACCAGATGCCTGCGAAACGATGGCGGCATGCGCCAAGCGTCACGATTCGGCCCGTTGTGGTGTCAGCGAGCGCCAGACCATCACCGACACCACGAACTCCATCTCAGCAGTCTTAGCATGAGGTCTCGATAACCTTCGAATTAAGCTCAGGGCCCTCAAGACTCAGGACCTCTTGGAGTAGAGCCTAATCATCAAGCAAAAGCAAAGGCTTGGGATGCGTGCGCTGCTGCTTGGGCGAGTGCCGTGATTGCCGGTCAGGAGCCAGGAACGTGTAGATCCTCGAAATCAACGTGACGGTGAGTTGACACCCTAGAAACTCATGGCTGGATGCAGTGCAGAGATTACCTATGCTGGCGATAAGAGATGCAGACTGACGCCGGAGCCGCTGAAGGCTTCCTTGGCCTTGTTTCGTCAGGCTGTATCATCTGCGTGAACACTGGCCCTGTCCACGGCCGTCAAAGGAAAGGATATGCGTACGCCGGCTTGTCTAATGAGATCCTCCTCCAAGCTAGCGCCTCGATGGCCATTCAGCACTGCGCCAAGCATATCAGTATCACAGTCCTTCTTTGGCCCATCGTTAGACCAGAGCATGCGCTATGATTCTACCAACAAACTTCGCTGGCCAGACCATCATACCTAGAGTCAGCACTGGCTTGCCATCCACCGCTTCCACACCCGGCGAGAAACTGAAGTTTGCCGCCCGACGATCCAGGTGGTTATCGGACGTCCATCGCGCAGCCTTTCTGTTGCGGTGCAATTCGGTCCTATAGACCTTGGTCGTCACCTCTGTTGACTACCTTGGACTAGCACGTCCCAGGACATGTATATATGGTCGCCTCCTAGCTAGCAAGTAACTCAGCGCAGTTTCCATTGACTATACAGCGGCTACGTCTGCCGCGACACTTTCCCACGATATCAGGACTGTCTCCAGACTCGCCATTTAGTGCTCTTTGGTAGTCATGAGCTACACGGTCATCTAGGAACAGATGTGCCTGTTGATCGCCCCTGGGAGCCAAAGTGTAGGTCCCTCCCACCAAGAATCTCTGATCGTACATCCCGCCGATTTGGCACCATGTAATTCGGCGTCGAAGATGGGGTTTCAGAACAAAGTCGATCGAGCGCTATGCAATGTGTCACCGGTACCGTGCATGAACTCGTCATTCTCTAGGGATCCGGTCCCATTGTCAGCTTCATTGATGACGATGGTCTTGATGGCGTCAAGCTTTGTCGGGGTCAAGATCTCGAGGAACTTTAGAAGCCGTTCGCCAGAAGGGCTGATCGGAAAGAAAGTCTCTGGGCCAAGCTCTTGAACAAAGTGGAAGATGTTGTTGCGGCAGACGTAGCCGCTGTATAGTCAATGGAAACTGCGCTGAGTTGCTTGCTAGCTAGGACGCGACCATATATACATGTCCTGAGACGTGCTAGTCCAAGGTAGTCAACAGAGGTGACGATCAAGGCCTATAGGACTGAATTACACCGCGACAGATGTTGAATCTACGGTTTCAACCCAGTATGTATGCTGGAGTCATACCCAATTCGTCGATGCGAACTTGTAGACTCAAGCGTGCACCTCCACCGGGAAGCGAGAGCAGATGAAGCTGTCCAAGCATGGTGGCTGAGATGAACTGCAATAGGGAAAAGTTGGAGCCGCACGGAAGTGTCCCATATACAGTAGTCGTGACCTGTTAGATAGTTGGTATCCTGGTAGCTTAGATATTAGGAAGCACGACATGAACCCTACTTGAAATCTGTATTTTGGAAAGTGCGATCTGAGCCAACATCATCCTGTTCCTCATGTCTTTGTTACTTCATGCAGCGGGCGTCACTCGTAGACAAAGCCACGTCAAAGTCCCAATTGACAATACTTGCTGAACAAGTCCACGAGCTTCCCACTCATGGATGATATGCCCAGACAGGAACAATACGACCCCCATAAGCGCGTGAACGCGCTAATCCGAGCCCTATTCAGACCACGTCAGGTCTTAAGTCTAAGTCGCGAACAGATTGTGTGCGTCTTGGTCGCAACTTCCGACCGATGGGTTCATCTGGAGCTAAAGGGTCGCCAGCTTGTCTCGGGTACTGGCCAGGGCGGTATTGATAGAGACAAGGATCAGACCCAGGCCATGGTGGGATCTTTTTCATTTACCTACTGGGTAACAAGGTCTGTGTGAGAGCATGCTGTGTCAAGTGTTTGCAGGCAAGACTGTGCGCTTTCTTTCCGCTCTGGTAGTTAATTCACGAGACACTGTAGCGACGCATTTGTACATATCGTCGAAAAATGCATGAGTGATGAAGCAGTAAATGCAAATAGGCCATCGTATGGATTGACAGAAGTGGACAGGTAGACGTGCGCATTCACTAGATTGTGAACCTTTTGCACTCGACAAGGCGAGCAATACCCTTGGCTTCGCACATTGAACATTTGACAATGCTGAATTGATAGACAAGCATTCCAGCACTGTCTCCAGACCTTCCGTCTCTTTTAGCTCGCTGAAACCTCAATGCCCTGTTCTCCGTTCAACAAGAACAAATGATGAGTACGTAGGTCCAAGTATGTGTTCATCTACGGAGGCCCAACGACTACCTCGCTATACCCACGCAATGGGACGTTTTTCACTTCTTTTGCGGTGACACTAGATGAGTTCAGCCAATCCTGCTTCAGAAGACCTCTGCCTTGCTCAATCATCTGCAAGTGTGGGATATCTTTCCGCAACGCAGAATAGCCTCCTTTCACACTACTCGCAGCTATGCCTCGTGCACGTAACACGCTCGTGGCTACTCTAGCAGTGTCGCCGCTGTAGCACATGACGTAGACGTCCTTACCAACGAGGTCGTGGGCATTGATACGATCGGACGTGAATGTCGCTTCAAGTTCCTTCCATTGACTTTCCAACACTGAGGCTTCTGAGAACGGACTGGGCGTTGAAGCACCAGAACTGCGTAATGGAAGATTATAAGCCCCAGGGACGTGACTGGTGGCGAAGTCGTCTGGCTTTCGCAGGTCCAGCAGAGCCGCACCGGTTCCGTTCAGGCTGTCGGCAAATTGCGAGAGAGCCCGTGTAGGCTCCAGCTCCCATGCTTCATCATATCGATAGAGATCAACTGCTGCCAAGTTCTATCCACGAGTCAGATTGGACTAAGTCAATAGCCCTTCTACGTACCTGGTCGTGTATTGGGTGAAACGAGGCGTCACCGAGCTTGTCGAAATACTCGTCCACATACTGATATGGCAAGTCGCAGCAGATGAAGGCGCAATTGATCAAGCCGTACGGGCCAGCGATGCCCTTCAAGGTACCTGCAGCCTTGCGTTTACCCAAGTAATTGAAAAGACCTGAGTATGTCAGCTACGTCACCACTGAGCCATCGGTAGTAGTACCTTGCAAGTTGAAACCTGATGACGGGCCGCAAATCAAGCCTTCTCGACACAGCTGTAGTGACAAGCCAAATGCATCTTTGGACCCCACCTCCTCGATAGCATCGACTGAATCGCGCCAGGGGAACTCCACAGGGCTGAGCAACGCGTAGGATCTTGGGCCTGGCACTCGATCGCCAGCCGCGGTACAAACACTAAGTTCGGCCATCAGTGTGGGTCATAGGGAGGATGTGAAGTCGCTCACCCGAGCCGTATTACAGAAGGCTTAGCATGCTTGAAGTACTGCCCGAGACCGGTACTCGTACCTGATGTGCCCATACCAGCACAGATAAGGTTGATGTGGGGGAGCTGTTCGTGGATTTGTGGGCCTGTCCACCTCACGTGGGATTGCCAGTTCTATGTATACTGCGTTAGGGAGTGCCATCTCGAGATCGTTGTAGCCCAAGACTTACAGCATCATTCTCGTACTGATTTGCGTTCAGCACTGATGGGTCTTCTTGGGCTTGAAGCTGTGCTCGACGAATGCCCCCACGTTCGTCGAGCGGCTCAGGTTGCGAAGGCCCACCAAACAGTGTTCTAATACAGATATCAGTTAAGTTAATCAGATATGAAACTTCTGATCGTACACATCGAGGCCAAAGAACTGCATCAGCCGGAGCTTTGCCGGTGAGGTCTTGTTGCTCAGGAAAGCTCGCACATCATTTATGCCGTGATTTATACGAGAGGCAAGCGCCAAAGAAATGACGGTGGAACCGGAGCTGTACTCGATGACAGTCTTCGACTTCATGGGGTCGACCTCTTGTGCTAGCATATTCAGTGCTGGATTGCTGGTCAGTATGAGAGTGTTGCACATGTAATCCAACAAATATGTATACCTGGCATAATCTTGACGTTGTTTGCAGGATGCATCGACATCATTTTCGCGTGTATCCTGACACCATCATCGTAGAATGGGTTGAGAGACTGCGGAATTTCAACGAGCGGGAGCATCGGTTGGCAGTCCGGGTCAAAGTAGTCTCGGAGAGAATTTGGGCCCGAGTAGGCGTTCAAGTGATTGCGCTCGGCCATGGACTTTGAAGTGACCACTGGGTGCAGTTTGTTGGTAGAGAATTCTGCCTCGAGCAGTCGAGACATTTTCACACTTTATTGATCTTCTCCCAGCTCGGCAATATTCCTCGGCCTTGTCCGAGCTCTTACTTTCACCGGATCTAAGTTGTCGAAACACGACATGGCCTTTAATGCTGTCGAGGCATGAATCTTGATTGGGTAGGCAGTGACAATTACAAGCTGGTCATATCCTTGATTGCCTACCAAAGTTCACATTGTACGCAACACCAAGCCCGAAGATCTGCACCCGAGACCAGAAATGTCTGATTGACGAGCAGCGGCCGATGCATGAAGGTGCTCACCGTATGTCACTTCGTGCATGCTTTCGCGTGCACAGCCTGATTGTCGGAGGACGATCGCCCGTTTGAGAAGGTTGGGTTTGACATAAAGATCTTCATTGTATGGGACGTATCGTCGTGCATATGTCCGTGATGCAGTTATTGGAGGAGAGATGTTGCGTGCGATAGTTGCGAAGGAATGAGCACATTGATGGTGGACGCGACTGGACGGAGCGAGATGATCACTGCCCCTTCTGGTCAACACTAGCGCCTTCCCTGGACCCTTGCAAAACAAGCTCACGACTTCCTGGTTCTGTATCCTCACTTCCGTACAATGTTTAGGCACCTCTGTAATCAACGGCACTGCGGCAAGCTGCATGTATCTCGGTGCAATGTTCGAAGCTGGCGTGTCTGGTCAACCGTGCTTCGTAGCGCCGTCGGCGCTCATCATCACGGCAATTTTGGCGTTTGGATCAATCGCACACTGTCCATCCTCTTGGCCTCGAGCTTGGCTTTCAGCCATAGCTACTGTCATCATGAGCGTCTTTAGATGACAGGACACCTTGTTGTCTTCAGCATGCACAACGACCCTGGGCAGCTCGCTGTAATGACGGCATGCCAAACTCGTGGCAAGTTTCTTCTGTACTCTAGGCCGTTCAAACGAACTAGTCTGCAGTGCATGGGTCAATGTTACGCGTACCTAATATTTCGCCTTCGACCCAAGTGACCGGCGGTAGCGTGCATCCCGCGCCTCAGCTGCACTATAGAGCACGTGACCAGGGACTGCCAGATTGACAGGGAATGTCTCTGGCCTTCGCTCGATCGTCACACCGCTTTACGTTTAGGTATTCCACCGTCATTGAGCCGAAACTTATCCGCCTCAGTCTGTCACCATCATGTTGTTTTCATTTCGTTGTCTCTTCCTTTACACTTCGCATTATCCCTCTTCGCCCAAGGCTACACCAGCTTGTCACGGTCGCTACAATGAAAGTTGAGCAGCCAGACGAAGCCAATGGAATTGCGATTGAACGACCCCAACCTGTCAATGATGAGTTGCGGAATTCACCACCAGCCTTCAATGAGCAGACCAACTACGTGCCAGTCAAGACAATCATCACAGTAAGCCATCAGTCTGCGATAACAATACCAGCTGATTCCCGACCGCAGATATTCTTAGCATGCGCAAGTGTCGACCTGCTCGCTCTAATGGACCAAACGACCCTCGCAGCTAGCTTGACAATCATCACCAAAGACCTTGGAGCAAGCTCAGAGAGTGCATGGATAGCTGGCGCATACTTCCTCACCTCAACTTCGTTCCAGCTACTCTACGGGCGACTCTCAGATATCTGGTCGCGCAAAGTGTTGCTTGTAATTGGCATCTGGATCTTCTTCTTCGGATCGCTCGCAGCTTCCTTGGCGCAGACGAGCCTTCAGCTTATTGTCTTTCGTGCGTTCATGGGTGTGGGCGGTGGTGGATTGATGACGGTGGCGCAGCTGATCGTCAGTGATATTGTGCCGTTGAGGGAGAGGGGGAAGTATCAAGGCATATTGGTAAGGCTGAACCATTGCCCTTTCTGAAGGGTCATGCTTACACTCCAGGGCTCTGTCGTTGCTTTGGCCAACGGTATTGGGCCAGTCGTAGGCGGCGCACTTGCGTCTCAAAGTCACGACTCTTGGTAAATCAGCTCACAGCACGGTCTGGCCCAGGGTAGTCACTGACGATGTCATAGGAGGTGGATCTTTCGTCTGAATTTGTTCCTGAGCGTTCTCACCACCGCTTGCGTGTTCTTCTTCATGCCACTGAAGAAAGTGTACGGCAATTGGAGGCAGTCAGTACATTGCACTTCGGAGTGACACCGGCTAACATCGATAGAAAACTAGCGGCAATCGACTTTTTTGGTGTCGTCCTAGCTCTCGCTGGATCTGCAATGTTGGTGGTAAGGTGAATTCTTCTTGCGAAGTACTCTCTTGCTGATTGGAATAGCTGGCCCTTACGTGGGCGGGCGGCGAGTACGCATGGGACTCTTCCCATGTCATAGCAACTCTCGTAGTTGGCATCATCACTATGGCTGGCTTCGTGCTATGGCAATGGAAGGGCACGAAAGTACCGTTGGTCACATGTGAGTCTAAACTGGTAGTCCTCGAATGTGATGGCTGATCAATTGTAGTGAACATCTTCACCTCAAAGCTTGTGAATGGAGCAGTTCTGACCATGTTTGTCAACGGTTACAACTTCCTCGTTCAGATCTACTATATCCCCTCGTTCTACCAACTGGTCTACGGCTACTCGGCCGTCAAATCTGGCGCTCTATTACTGCCAATCACGCTCACACAAAGTATGTATCCCCCATAAGCCGTCTCCACGATCTTCCACTGACCATAAATTAGCCCTGTTCAGTACCCTCTCCGGCCTCGTCGTTCACAAAACGGGGCGCTACAGAGAATGTCTACTCATCGGCTGGGCCGTATGGGCGATCGGCCTAGGTCTGATATCGACACTCTCATCGCCATCTCTAGGGCAACAAATTGGCTACGGTCTCCTCGCCGGCTTCGGGCTGGGAAATACACTACAGCCTTCGTTGATCGCCGTGCAAGCGGGTGTCGAGCGCAAACACATGGCGGTCGTCACGTCGTTCCGGAACTTCGTCCGCAACTTGGGCGGCACGCTGGGATTGGCGATCAGTGGCACCATCATCAACAACGCAGTGAGGAATTCGCTGACGCCGTATGGATTGTCGAGGGGCCAGATCCGATTGCTGCTTGACTCGCCCGAGAGGTTCAAGGAAGCAAATACCAACCAGGAGATGGATGTGCTCCGGCTGGCACTGTCAGCGGCGTATCAAAAGGGCTTCAGGATTGTGTTCATCGTGGGCGCGGTACTGAACGCTCTTGCGTTCGTGGCGGCGTGGTTCTTGATGCCGCAGGTTGAACTGGCGAGGCCTGATGACAAGAAGCTGAAGGAGGAGGGGAGGCGGTGGTGTGAGGCGAACGAGAAAGGGCAGAAGGAGAAGATTCGGGAGGATGCTTGATCGGCCACGTTGCGGTCGATTCATTGCATGATGAGGAGAGGCCCATCGGCGTATGCGCTGCAGAGAAGCACTTAAAGATTCATACGGATAATAAGTAGGGCTCACACTGAGATAGCCACGGCCAACAGTCCATCAAGGATGTTAGTCATAAAGCACGTATTTGCATGGAAGAAGTGATCGAATAGCAGACATCGCGTCTAGCCCATTCATGACTGCACTCGACTGACAATAAGGTATCTATACAGTGGTGCGATCCCAAACCTCGCTGCTCAACCTTCCCTTCTTCCCCCTGGCGGCACACAAAACCCCGCCTCCTCATCTCCGTAGCAGACCGCTCCTACTCAGCCTTGCTCGCGGCCAGCTTGAGCACCTCCTCAACGCCCAACCGCGCATTCTTCGTGTCCTTGTTAACACCCTGCCAAATCTCGCCATGCTTCGGTTCCGCCAGCGCAGCCTTACTCAGAACCTCCAGCTTCTTCTCCTCGGTACCATGCTGCTCGAGGAACTTATAATACCACACCCAGCCATCGCCGTAATCCGGATCCAAGACGACAGCCTTGGTGAACCACGTAGCCGCCTTGTCGAGCCGGCGCTCAGACCAGAAGATGCGGGCGACCACGACGAAGAGTTGCGGGTCCTTTTCGACTTTCTTGATGGCTTCCAGCGCTCGTGGCTTTCGCTGCGTGCGCGGCTCGAGATGCATGATCTTCTCTGCCCAGAGCAGGCCTGACGTTGGACACTCTTGCAGCGCAATGGCCATGACTTTCTGCGCGGCGGGGATGTCGCCTCTTCTGCGCTCGAGGCGGACTGCTTCACATAAGATCTCGGGGGTTTTTGGGTTCTGTTGGCGACCGCGGTCCAGAGTTGAGCGGGCTTTGACGACGGCGCCAGTTCTTTCTTGGATGCGAGCGAGCAGGATGTACAGCATGGGCGCCTTGGGGGCGGCGCGTGTGCCGATGCTGAGGGCTTCTTGGGCTTCTTTGAGCTTGGACAGTTGCTCGTAAATTTGACCCTTGATGGCGTGGAGTTTCCAGCTGCCGGGCCAGTTTTGCAGGCCCTGGTTGCAGATGTCGATTGCGGTCTCGAAGTCTCCGAGCTGACGCTCGAGAACTGCGGATTTCATGAAGATGCGGTCCGTGGCGGCTGAGTCTCGCGCGACCTTGAGGAAACTGCGCGCTTGCTCGTAGTTGCCAGCGTCCGCTTCAAAGTCAACAGCTCGTGTGTAGAGGTTCTCATTACCAGGCAGTTGCTCAAACGAGCGACCCAGGACTTGACGAGCACCCTCGATGTCTCCAGCCTGCCACCTTTCTCGTGCATACAACAGCCACAGCGATTCCGAGTTGGGACAGGCGTTGACGGCACGCTCGAGAACGCTGAGTAGAGACTCGCTAGTTCCATGGTGCTTCTCGAGGTCGGCAGATGCGTGCCAGACAGTCGTCGAGTACGGAAACACAGACACACAGTGGCCGAGGATCGCTCGTGCGGTCTCATAGCGGCCTCTGTTAGAGATGCTCTTCGCGTCTTCAAGCCAAATGTCGCGTCGCTCATCGTCCTCATCAAGGCTCCAGCCAATGGTCGCCTTCACGATCGAAGCTGCTGTGACCTTGTCACCCTCCTCTTCACAGATTTCAGCCTGTGTCAGCCACTCCTCGCGCTTGATCATAGCATTCTCCTTGACCAAAGCCTTGACAGCACGCTCCATGATCCTGTCGCAGATATCGACCTTCCCGAGTTCTTCTTGCAATCGGCAAGCCTGCACCCAGATGGCCCAGCTGGTAGGAATGGCCTTACGCGCTTTGTTCAGGACTTGTTGGGCTGCATCTGCGTCGCTCACACGTGCGTAGGATATCCAAAGCTCTTCTGACAGTGGCACTGTTTCTGTAGCTTTCGCAAATAACAGCTTCACGTTCTCGATGTCCTCTGTGTCGTTGATCAACGTCTTCCACAGCTCTACAGACTGAGGGTTGTGATCCAGCGCTTGTCGAGTTACCTTCTTCCTAGCAGCTGGCGTCTGCTCAAGATCGATTGCTGCCTTCCATAGAACAATAGCCTTGGGATTGAGCTTGATGCCGTTCGCCGCAATGATTTTCGCGTTGTGAAGCTGCTCGCGGTTCAATCTGATGGCCTCCTCCCATACGACTATTGATTTTGGACACATCTCGCAACCCTTCTGGATGACCTTCTTTGCAGTGTGAATCTTGCCCGCGACTTCTTCCAAACGAGCTAGCGCAACATAACCAGGGCCATTGGTGACGTTTGTCTTGACCGCAGATTCCAGCAGCACTCGCGCTCGATTGATGTCTTCCACGGGTACCTCGCCGCCCTGCATCTCCTTCTTATCCAACGCCGTGAGATAGCCTTTTGGATCGACGGTCGCGGTGCCCGATGTTGCTGTTGTCTGTGTGCCAGAGCCGCTGGATGCTGCTGCCGAATCGAGTCGGACTTGCAATGCAGACTGCTGTGCAGCACCAATGGATGCAAAGTTAGTCATTGTCCCAGAACTGGCGTCCTCTGTGGAGATTGACGTCTCGAGCTCCCCGGACCTGGAGGCCGCCGACAGAACGCTGTCAGGCACCGCATATGATCGCGCATTCGCCATGCGGGCCTCTCTTGCGCGCTTCGCTCTTCCTGTCATGTCTCCCACCTCGGGCAGCGCTGCCCATTCTTCCTCGGAGACGCCGCTCAGCGCGCGCTTGAGGTCGGCGAATTGTAATTGGATCTTGGGGTTGTTCTTCTCGTAATCGTCTCGTTCTTGTTGCTCGCGAGCTTCCCTAGGTCGGACATCGGTATCTGTCCGTGGCAAAAAACACGATGAATACTTCGAAACAAAAGATTGAAGGGCAAAGGGGATAGAAAACGAGGGTACTAACCTTCTGGCTCGCCGCCGCTTGTCCATCTTCTCGTCTACTTCCTGATAGATCCTGTCTGCCTCGTCGTCGTCCTTGTCGTAGTTCATGCCGCTTGAGAACAGGCCGACCTCGTTGTCGGGGTCCTGGAATCTATCTGCCTCGTCGTCTTCCTCCTCTTTCTTCTCTGTCACGCCGTATGCAGAGGGCGCAGCTTGACCGAGGGACGCAGCGCGCTTTGCTAGCATCTCCTTCATCTGCTCCTCAGAAGGACCTTCACGCGCCGGACCCAGATCACTTCGAGTTGTGAATCCAGTGGCACCTCGCCCGAGACCAGCTACATAGTTCTCGGGCGCGGGCATGGACAAGAAGTCTCGTCTACTCATTTTGGCGGTATCCACGGTTCCTCAAGGTGTCGTTGGTGTTCGTCGCGTGGGCTTTGGGATCGCCCAGCAGCTTTTGTTCGGGGTTCAGGCTTCGGCAGTGGACGGTAGCAGTACGGCTTGAATATTTGGCGCTTACAGAGTCTTGAGCCTCCCAAAACTCCGAGACGGGCGTGGAAGATATGAATTCCGTGTGGTGTTGGGAGAAGACTTAATCGCTATGCCTGAGTCGCGATCTGAAAGTTAGGCTATCGCGAAAGTCACGTGCAACTGATTCATTGGCCGCTAACCAAAAAGGTGACTTTGCGACAGAGCCAACATTCGATGAGGAGATACACAGATACACAAGGAGATACTGAGATATTACCATAGGAATCTCGTTGTAGACGTTAGCTTGTCTGAAGACGAGTCGTTGCATTGGGAAGCCTTCTTCGAGCATAGCTAGGTACTCTGCACTGTTCCTCGCTCGATCCAGTGCCAACGACGTATCTATAGACCAGGTTTCGGCACCGGTGTATCATGAGTTTCCTTCTTGACGAACTCATCGAACCAAAACACCGCCTGCAAAAACGCCTGTTCCTTCGCAAACCTACCCCTCTGATTTGCCAAATCGCCCTTGACACCAAAGCCGTGTTCGACATCAGAGTATAGATTCATTTGGTATGGCACACTCATATCCTTGAGAATATCCTCTGTCTGGCGTCGCTTTTCAGCGGGGAAGATGTGATCCGTTTCTACCTTTTGTTAGCGCTCTGACGTGGAGCCGATGTTTACGAAAGGGGAAACGAACCAGCAGCAGCAATACTCAACGGGCCCTGGATGCCCTTCAACTCCTCCACTTCGACGAAACTCGGGTGCGCGGTGAATGCTGCGTCCAAGCCGCCCGGCTTGAGCCACCTGCAGACGTACTTGCCCCCGAAACAGTAGCCCACGCCGCCGAGCCTCTTTACACCCAGCTCGCCACGCAGATACTTGATGATGGAGGCATAGATAGGGTCGACGTCGCCCTCGCGTGGCATTTTGTTCGCTCTCCAGGAAGGGAAGTCAAAGTCCTCTGGCATGGGGAAGGGGATCTCGTTGCCGCGGAAGACGTCGGGGATAATAGTGTAGTAGCCGTTTGCTGCGAATTGGTCGGCGATGCTGGGATTGTTAACACGAGAGAAGATGCGGCTGGATGTGTACGGACAGTTGTACGTTCGTGAACCCGAAGCCGAGCACATCGGTCATGATCAGGACGGCATTTTGGGTGCTGCGATCTTCAGGATAGATCTCGTATGCGCGGACTGAATCAACGAATCAGTATTGATTGGGAAGAACGCTGCATGGGACTGTTTACTGTCGCCAAAGGTCTTGATTTCTCCCTTAGGTGTGCCCTCGTGCTTTACGCCAATTGCACAGCACTTCTGTGCTGGATAGGAAGCCATGTTGGAGTATCAAATTCTGTATCGCGTGGCGAGTAGTGAGAATGGAACAGAACGACTTGTGTGAGGTACTGGATAATACAGTAAGAGTGTGAGCACTGACTAAATACTCACTATGGGAGAGCTTGACGTGGCTTGCGCAGCTCGGGCTGCTGCCCCACCGTGGGGCCGCTGCATGTAAGCAGCCGAAGATATGACGCTGGAGCTGCGTAGTTTCGCGCTAGTGGATAGTTTCACATCTGTCAGATAACGGAGAATTGCATGGCGTTACAGATACAAGAGACAAAGGGGAATATTGAAGTGGAGCAGCTGGATTGGGTACCATGCTCATGAATCCGGCCTTGATACATACGGAAAGATGCCAAAGGCCTACACGTTGCTCACAATTCATCTTTTACGCTGATCTTCGTCCCGCCGTGTCCGGTTGCTAGGACTGCGGCTTCTGTGATGTCGCGATGAAGAATGTCGACTGCGATGGTCTCTACGGTCTCGACCTCGATCTCGATCTCGACTCCGACTGCGTGACCTGTCTTTGCGCGGCGGGTGCTTGTGTAGGCGCTCTCGATCGGGGGTTTGACTTCGACTACGACTGCGGCGGCGACTGCTCTTGTGGTGCTTGCTCCTCCTTTCTTCCCTCTCCTGGGCATCCTTCAGGCCCTGCAGCTCGCGCTTGCGCTCGTGGGTCCATTTCTTCCTGTCCTCCTTTGACTTCTTCAGCTGGGTCTGGGCTTTCTGCATAAAGGCGAATGGATCGTTCGAGGAGATTCGCGCTTGCTCCCTTTCTTTGCGCCGCGGGTCTTCGTTGCCCCACACGTTCTTGTTCTCGAGACCCGGATACACCAGTGCACTGTCTTCTTCTGCAGTACGGGCCGTCTTCTGTTGTGCTGTGTACCAGGGCTGGTCCAGTCCGTTCCTGCCTGCTGCATTTGAGAAGCGCATGGTGTACTGGTCCTCGAAGGCCTGCTCCTTCTTGCGCTTCTCCCTCTCGGCCTCCGCATTCTTCTCGCGCTTAATGGCCTCCGTGACATCCACAGGAAAGAGGTCGATGTGGCCGGCGTGATCAGTCAACGGCGCATTACTCGCAGGCTTGCGCAGCTTCAAGACCTTTGCGTCGTCTTCATTGCCGTCCTGAGGCCGTGTCATGGATGCAGCCAGCCGTATGTCCATATCGGTGTCATCCTCGCCCCTCAGCTTCCGCCTCTTCTTGTCGTGTCCATGCCTGTCTCTCCTTCGTCTGCTGTCATCGACAGCGTCTTCTTCAGGCAGCGGTGGCGGCGTCCGACCTCGAAGTATGGCAGCGCGGCGTTCGGCGTCGAGCTCTTGCATGCGCTGATCAGCGGCATGTTCGCGGGCAGCAGCAGCGTCCTCGTCTGCCTTTACGCGGGCGATGTTGGCGGGGTTGTAGACGTTCCATGACTGTCCAAGGTCAGCACACGGGCGCTCGTGTGGGATGGATGCATCGTCGCGGCTACCTTCTTGCCTAGGAGATGGCTGCAGTCTGTCAGTCCGGCGATGTCCAGTCTAGGGTAGATAGACGCACAGCGGCATGTTCGTTGTCTGCCCGCAGCGGCAGCTGTTGTGTGAGTTGTTACGTGATCATGGTGCAGGAGCAGCAAGCTGCAGTGATCGCTGCATGGGTTGGTCGACGCGGGACAACGGTGCGCGCCAGGGATGATCCACTATATATCTGATCCATCTTTTCAACAACGGTCGTCATACATAGCTCACGCACCCCCGCATTGCTCCCCGGCCAACAGTTCCGTCAGCGCCCACTTGTCTGCACCTTCTGCGACGTTGTCTTGGACATGCGCCCACTGCACTGTCATTGCTGACTGTCCATCACCAGTCGCCCATGAATACGAGACAGCCTGGGCCTCCACCGTGCCGCCGTGCGCCTAGTCTTTGAACCTCATTTCGATCATGTGCGACCCGAAAGCTGAGGATTGGCAAAAAAGCAATTCATTTCTATAGACAAACGACGACAACATTCCGTTGTGCCCGCAGATCCCCTCCGGCTCCGCTCGCTACTCCCCCCACAGGTTCGTGCGTCGCAACACGCAAACGACCCCACGCGCCTGGACAATGCCCACTTGGCTAGTGCACGGTTTTCGCTGGCCACGCGCTCAGGTGCGCATCCACACCATTCTCCAGAACCTCGACGATGTAGCTCCCGAATGGGTCATGGCCCCCGCGACCCAGGCCTGCCTGCACAAGAACTTCCAAGATCAATGGCCTGAGACTATCGCGCGATTGCCAGGTCTGCAGTTCATCGAGCAATACGATCCAGAAGACCTCACAGTGAAGGACCAGCCCTACGCATATGTGTGCGATCAGGTCTACGATATCAAGCTAGAGGTAGATATCGATGAGGTACGAGGACGCGGCGTGCCAGACGAGCAGTGGGCAGCGATAGCAGAACTGAGGGACAAGGTCACTCCAGACGCGAAGCTGGGTTGGTTCGTAGTGGTCAACGGCGATGTGGAGCGCTGGGCGCCGCCTCTGGAAGCCGAAGACGAACTGCAAGGCTATGACGATGAGGAAGAAGCCGAAACAAAGACTCTGAGCCCACCGGCAAGAAGTCCAAGGGGTAGCATATGGACAGGCAGCAATAGTGACACGGCGAACGGGCAGGAATCTGCAAGACCCTCGACAAGTCGAAGCATGAAGAATTGGATAGGCGGGATAATACGCAAAACACGAAGGTACCGCCGTCCGGGTCATTCTTACGTTGAGATACTGACCCCTCCAGTTCCAAGAGTCTTAGGAGTGAAGCACGAGCAAAGACTCCGCCTCCAGTCCCACCGTTACCACCCATGTCGCCCAAGCAAGCTTTGCAGTCACCACCCAGGACGGCCAACGGCAAAGCACCGATGGCACTTCGCCCAGCACGATAGAAAAGAAGACAGGGATGTTCAAGAAGGGATAATGAATACACACGAATACGTGACTACACGACACATGTTAGAACATGTAGATGACGATACTCAGCGAATGGAACCCGCAATACCAGTTCCACATCACGAGAAGGCTTGAGCACTCTTGATATACACGTCCCTATGCATTGCCCATGTCCCTTGAAAGGCTCGTGTCAGTCTTATTACGCCTATATAAATGCGACTGAGCAATTCCCAGTACTCGTAACTCTCGTCCCAGCCTCAGCTCAGTATTTCGGCTTAAAGGGCAGCGTCTGCACCTGCTTAACCACATCTGCCTCAACCCCAAACAACTTATACAGCCATGTTATGATAATGAAGAAGCTCACCGGCTCACCCATATGCTTGATCCCCGTTACGAATCTTGCCTCCTTCGGCGCACCGTGTTGGAGTGCCAGGTAGTAATCATCAATAGGGAAGATCTCGTCCTCCGTCCCGTTGACCAGCAGCAACCTCGCGCACTCGGGCATATCCAGTGTACCGTCTTCCAGCAGCGAGAACTTTCTCTTGGCCTCCTTCTTGAACGTCTCCACATCGCTCCCGTACCCCCACTTGTACGCCAATGTGTTGGCCAGGTCGAAGGGGTACTCGAGATGATTCACGTTATCCAGCCACTCCTGCTCAAACATATGATGACACCCGCCGCCCAGCGCAACCACGCCCGCAAGGCGATCTGCATGCGTGTGCGCGACCCGGATAGCGTAGAAGCCACCAGTGCTGAATGCCCAAATCGCAGTCTTCTTACTATCCAGGCGCGGCTGCACATCGATCCAGTCAAAGAGGCTGCTGTACAGTCTATCCGGGCTCTTGGGGTCCGACGCGGCGGCTGGACAGTCGCCTGTGCCGGGGATCTCTAGCACAATGGTCGCCACGCCCACGCGCCGCCAGCCCTCCATCCAGACGGCCAACTCGGTGCGGTACCCGTCCAGGCCGGTGAATATGACGACGGTCGGCACGGGGTTCTCGGGCGTCGCGCAGTCCGGGACGAGGTGGTACACGGGAATTTTGTCGCCTTCGTTGGACAGGCCATATTTGTGCGGTATCCCGACTTCATGGACGGGGTGCTCGCGCATACCCAGCCCTTTGATGCAAACTTCCTTTCCCCGCTTCCAGGCCTCACGCTGGACATCGCTTCGCGGCGCGGGGAATCGGGAAATGCGATACACAGCGCTCGCGCGGAGGTAATACTCGCTCGCCTTCTCCATCTCGCCGTTCTGCTCGGCCTCTTTTGCAATGCTCGTCAGGTGCTCGGCCTGCGGGAAGTGGACGTTGGCGTACTCGTCCCAGTTGTATGGCTCTTTGAAGCCGCGGGCTGTGAGTTGTTCGACGATAGGCTTGAAGTCTGCGGCGGTGCTGAACATGAACGGGTACACGCCCATTTCGGCGGGCTTCTTCCATTTTGTCTCCCACAGCTGGGCGTAGGATTCGTGATGTGCGGCGGGTTTGGAGAGGTTGTCTTGGATGAAGAAATTGCCGCCTGGTGCTGCCATGGTTCCTTTCTCTTTCTTGGGTGGTGTGTGGAGGATGCTGGTGGCTTTCAAGTTTCAGGTGTCTGGATACAGGGTACAGGAGTGCAGGGCGAAGCGTCTTCAGGGAAGATTGACCCATACTGTCGTCGACAGGCCATTCTATATAGCATCCCGCCCTAAATTATGGTTATGCAGGTGGCCGGCCAATGAACGAAGTACCGGTGCGGTAAACGCAGGCGGCCCGCTACCGGTATGATGGCGTCCGGCGTGGGGAGCCGAACGTCACGACTGCACCGCATGATGCGTTTCAGGACTATTTTCGGGAATGTGTCAAGTCAGTATGTTTCAAACTCGAATCCGAGGTCATTGGCAAAAGTCACAAGCAGAGACGATCAAATGTGAGTAGAGTTCATAAATTGCTCGATAGAGCGTCGGCTGCGTTGATCAACTCGCGGTAGACGCTGTGATGATGATATTTCAACCAGTCATGCTATAAAGACGTATGTTAAGCACTTTTGAGGCCTTTCCTGGCCATGATGCAATGCATGCCGTTTGTGTAGCCATGGATATCGATCCTAAAGCCGTAATTGTCTCCGTCATAATGCTATGCTGTATTCCCTCTCATATCGCAAGGTTCAGCGCGGGTGATTTACCTGTAGCTGCCACTGGTGCTGGAGATGTCCTCCGCCTTGCCGAAGACAGGGTCATTGTCCAGCGAGCCGAAGCCTTCTGGACCGTCGGCGTATACCATGTCAGCGCCGACCAAGCAGAGCGGCGTAGAGCCGAGGCTGCTATGGTGGTCCTTGTGGTAGTTGAAGAAGACCTTGGGCGGAACGTCAAGGCAAATACTCAGGGATTTTTGGAGGATCTTGTTGGTAGCGAGTGCGCAAGTGAGAGTGTAGAAGGTGTCACGCGTAAGATGCGTGGGCTCGGTGTCTGGATGTTCGAAAGTCAGGGAACGGAGCTTGTGGAGGCAGTCAAGAATCTTTTCCCAGTCACTACCAGGCTCAGAGTTACCGATGTCGCTCTCAATAGTGTTGCCGAACTCGATGGGGTGGAAGGGCGCGACAATGGCCAAGTGCTCGCAGTACATTCCGATGTTCTCGAGGACCTTTACGAAAAGACCCACGCGCACTTCATTGGTCTTGCTGTTGAAGAGCAGCCTCTTGAAGCGGCAGGTGTGGGCCAGCGGCTTCGATCCGTTCATGTACTGGTTCAGGAGATGCACTGTATTTTCGTTGATGGGAAGGAAGTCTTCATTCTTGAACTGGATTGTGAAGACCTTAAGCAGGGTGTCCAACTCCGGCTTGTCTGCGAGTGTGGAACGCCTGGACACAGGGAGACGGGGAGGCATACCGCTGGCGAGAAAAGAGCGCCTTGGAGGCTGGCCTCTGCAGAAGTCCTTGAAGACGCTGTCCTTGGTAGGGCTAGCCATGGAAGGCTTGTGGCCTTCAAGATCGTCGATGTCGGTTGCTGAGGTCTTGTTAGGAGCGTCTGAAATTGGTCAGTAATTTGAGGGCATGCAAAAGTTCGTCCAGATGTACATACCATCGACTCCAAGACTCAGCCACGCAGATATAGGTGCGTCTGGCAGAAGGCGGTCATGAGTACCGCGAGCTGACAGAGGCCTCACGCCTTCAGCGTCCACGCTACTGAGAGTGTCACGCTGCTGCTTGAGTGCCATGCCAATACCTGAGATAGTCGATCGACGCTCCATACTAGCGGTGTAGAGGATATCCGCGGTGTGCGTAGCGGCAATATCAACATCGATGAAAGTTGTGAGCACATATGTGACGTTGTGCTTGGCGCTAGGCAATAACAAACGCAGTGAAGACGACTCCACACCGTGCATCGTGAACTCTTGGCAGATGTCGTGACCGTATGGTGGAGTGATTGGTCAGCCCCGCGTTTGCTTTCATCTTGCCCGCCAGCAGGGTGTCTAACAGGCTGCGCTGCCTTGAAGGCTGTACCGACCCATAGCTCTTGAAGGTGTTCTTCCTGCGCAGGCATGTACCGGGTCCTTAGATCTGACAGCACTGACAGCACTGGGGCGAGATTTAATCTTGAGTATCATGCAACCTACGGCAAAGGCTGGAGATAGTGCTTTGAGATATGACTCCAGCGTGTAGGACCATCATTGCGGCAGCTTTACACGACACGTCCGTTGGGCAGACGTCTGTGATGATATAACTTATTTGGTATCTTTGAGCGCTTCAGAGACGATGGGCAACGTCTTAGATCGCGGAAAGTAGACACCTCCGGTATTGCAGCGAGTGTCGGTTATCTCATGCTGTGGGTGGAGAAGTGAAAGTCAATAAACACGGACGCGTTTGTTTGAAGGAGCGGTTACGCATCAGCCGGAGCCCAGCCGTCCGGAACAACGCGCGATGACGCTGTGTTGGTTGGCGACGTGCGGCTAGCGGCGTGAGACCCCAAGGGCGGGGCTGAACTCCAACAATTTGCGCCGCCTCTCCTCGACATTCCTCCTCAATTGAATTGACACCACATTTCTAGGGCCATTAGAAACTGTCAACCCGTACTTTGTTCATTCAGTGCCCCCATATTGTCCAGCGAATCAGCAATTTCCGTGGTAAAATAGCATTACTAGATCGCATCTGTAAGCCACCCCTCACTTCCTAAAAGTAACACCAAGCTCCCACAGTAGTGGGGTCTCAAGCTGCTTAGCTGGGCCAGCTGCCACGCATGGCCTTCACACTTTTCGTGCCCCCAGTCAATACGTTTTCTACGCTCGTCATACTTCTGCATCGGTACTGACCGCACGTCAGACTGTAGGCTTATACCTTATCTGTGCCGAAGCCTCCAGATAGCGACTCACAACAGCTTCGAAGCGCCCTCGGACCACCCACCCATACACTACGTACAGCAACCGTCACAATGGTTACTGGAGCAAGGAGGCCACCTTCTCGAAAGGGTACGCATATACCTTCTTACCACTCCGAGCTTTGCGCAATGCAACGAGCAAGCTGGGAACATGACGCGTAGAGTTAACAAGAGACAAGGCTCGATGGCGGATATGCCCCGGGATCTCAAGGAGCAGATTGAGAAACTCGAAGAACTCTTTGTTGTTCCCACTAAGAAGCTGAAGGAGATCACCGATCACTTCGTCAAGGAGCTCGAGAAGGGCCTAACGAAGGAGGGAGGCTCAATTGTAGGTGATAGCGGCTTTCAACGGTCGACAAATGGCTGACAATAGACAGCCTATGAACCCGACATGGTGTATGGCATTCCCCAACGGCCACGAGACCGGCCGATACCTCGCTCTCGACATGGGAGGCACGAACTTGCGTGTATGCGAGGTCACATTGACCGAGGAGAAGGGCGAGTTCGAGATCATCCAGTCCAAGTACCGTATGCCTGAGGAACTCAAGACTGGAACCGCAGATGAGCTCTGGGGATACGTTGCCGACTGTCTGCAGCAGTTCGTCGAGTATCACCACGAGGACGAGGAGCTTGAGGACTTGCCTCTGGGTTTCACCTTCTCCTACCCCGCGACACAGGAGTACATCGATCACGGTGTTCTCCAGAGGTGGACAAAGGGCTTCGACATCGACGGCGTTGAGGGTCACGACGTCGTTCCGCCTTTCAACAAGGCTTTGGCCGAGCGTGGCGTACCTATCAAGCTGGCAGCTTTGGTCAACGACACCACTGGTACTATGATCGCCTCCGCATATACTGATACCGATATCAAGATTGGATGTATCTTCGGAACAGGCTGCAATGCTGCATACATGGAGGAGTGCGGCGCCATCCCCAAGATTGCAGACATGGGTCTCGACCCCAAGCTACCTATGGCTATCAACTGCGAATGGGGCGCGTTCGACAACGAGCACCAGGTGCTCCCCCGTACACAATACGATGTCATCATCGACAAAGAGTCACCTCGTCCTGGTCAGCAGTCTTTCGAGAAGATGGTCGCTGGTCTATACTTGGGTGAGATCTTCCGCCTGGTCCTCTTGGATCTCCACAAGGGCCACGAGTGCACCATGTTCGAGGGTCAAGATGTCAGCAAGCTCGAGAGGCCGTACTCTCTGGATGCAGGCTTTCTCTCCGCTATCGAGGAGGACCCATTCGAGAACTTGCTTGAGACAGGCGATCTCTTCCAGAACAAGCTCAGCATCACATGCACAAAGCCTGAGCTCGAACTTATTCGCCGTCTCGCTGAGCTGATTGGCACCCGTGCTGCTCGTCTGACAGCCTGCGGTGTTGCAGCCATCTGCAAGCACAAGAACTGGGACCGTACTCACGTCGGTGCTGATGGCTCTGTTTTCACCAAGTACCCTCACTTCAAGATCCGCAACGCACAAGCGCTCAAGGAGATCATGGACTGGCCAGCCAAGTACGGCAAGGGCAAGAACGACCCCATCGAGATCCTCCCTGCCGAAGACGGTTCCGGTGTTGGTGCAGCTCTGATCGCTGCGCTTACCATCAAGCGCGTGAAGGAGGGCCAGCTTGCGGGTATCCAGGACCGCGACGCTATGTTGAAGATCGCTGGCGCGAAGGCAAGAGCTACATAAGCCACGCAGCGTTTGAACTGTCCCATATCGAAAACCTAGAAGCGAATATATCCACTGTGCCGAATGGGTTCTTACGATGCTGTGAAGAGAGGCGGAAGCTACCTACGTGATGTTTCCAGAGCTAACGAAGCTTAGACCGCAGATTGACCAAACCAGGCTTCAAACAGTGCCAGCCCTGAGCCTCAAAAGCGATCGATGCCACTGTATGAGATCTGTCAATGTTCGCCACCATGGCGCTCGAGCAGCATCACTGGCATTTTCGCGGTAACAGTAGGTGAGGCTTTAACACTTAACGCCTCAAAAGGCCACGACAGCCGTTGTGCGTTGCCCGGACGATGCGACGACAACAGTCTACGGCGTGTAGAGAGGACTCGAGCTCTCGGTAACCGGTACAGATCGGGTCTATAATTCTGTTGCCAGCCACTTTACGCGTCTGCGCGTGTCTTTCGCGTCTACCAAGAGGGTTTCAGTACGCGAGGTAACCACGAAGTGCGCGCGCGAAAACTTTGAGCACCTGCCGCGGACTTGTCAAAGCTGCCATGCCCACTTAGCACATGCGTACCTCGTCCTGGGTACCCTGAGTATGCTGAACAGGACAAGGCTATATCGACGATCAAGTACAACACATCGCCGTGGGGGTGTCAGGGTGCTCTTGCTGGCTGGCTCTCAGGCAGCGTGTCAAGTGCGGTCAATGTGGTCGTCGGGAGGATACGTGGACCCCTTGTCGGCATCTCTGTGATCGCAACAATGCTCAAATGACGAGTAGAAGGGTCCGAAAGGGTCTTGGAGGTGTGGGAAGATGCTTGTCTGCTATATATGAATTGCCACAGCATAAGGGTCTACGACCCTGATTTTCCTGCCCTCATGACGACGTGGTCGTCACTTGCTGCACATCACAATCTTGGAGCCTCACAGTCCTGCCACGAACGAGTGGAGGACCATGCCCTCCTTGTCGGACCCCTTGACCGGCCAGGTGGTCGGCTACACGTGTACGGTGGATCTGCTCGAAGCAGGACAGGGAGCCTTGTCTTGAACCGGGCTCCGCCGAACGCTCACACTAGGATACCGCCCTTTAAGGAGATCATACACCGCTGCTTATAGCTCTCGTTGTCTGGGGAACTCACAGACCGTGGATTGAGCGCGCATGTTCTTCCCTTCTGAAGCCGAATTTGGGGTTTCAGGAGGTTGGGAGGGTGTTGCTGGCTTGACCGACTTCTGGGCGAGGAGAGCGGTGGTGGCCGAACAGAAGACCGCACGACTCGGCAAAGCAAGCTCACATGCAGCTCTGCCGATCTCAGTTCGTGCCTGACCCACGCCCATTGCGCCCTGGGCTAATGCATTGATTGTGGCAGCTGTCAGATGCACTGAGTTCTGCTACTCCATATCGAACGTCGTGCATGACGATCCTAACCGACGCGACACACAGCGGCTAAGGCTGAGTTTTGCAAGCTGCATGACATCTGTCCGCTTGGACCCCGAAACGAACTGAACGTCGAGAGTCCGAGTCGGGCTGCGGGCGCGGGCATGCGCAGCGGCTGGTAGTGCAGCAGTGATGTCAGCTTGTGCCTCTGTTGATGTCAATGTTGATGTTCATGTTGACAATCACAAACAACGCGTCACACAAAAGCGATTTCGGACTTGACGACAGTGGCTGCATCGCTCGTGACTGGAGGTTTGGCGTTTTACAGCCGAGAAAGGATAATAGTGTGCCTCGAGACAAGCGCCATCGACATCGTGAGGATCATCGAGGACCGCGTGGTGGTGATGAGGTCAAATACCAAGCCGACAACAATACACCAGCAATCATTGGTAGCAAGATACAGCTAGGCATTTTTTCGAATCAACATCACAGCGCGTGAGGTATCGATGACGGTGCATTTTCGGATCGGAATGCCGGTTGAGCAGCGCCGCAGATTGTGGTATACAGATTGCTTCATCTTGTTCAAAACGCAGGAATGGAGCATAGACACAGCCGCTCAGCTCGGAAAGCATTGCAGACGGCGAGTCGCCCTGCCGGGGCAGCCGAACACGGCATGAATATGAACACAACATTGTTAATTTGTTGTCTTGACGGCGGCTGTGGAGGTGTTGAGGTCGCACGAAGTCACCATCGGTCCCTCCAGGTCTGTGATGATGAACGTGGCTCTCGAAGCCACGGCGCCCAAGACAAACGACTAACAGGCACAGTCGCCTGTAGCTTCGCGGTGAACCCACAGAATCGATAGGAGAGGCCACCGAAAGGCCCGACAGGTGCTGCATCGATAATCATAGTGTGGAGAACTAAGGCTGTCGTCCTGTCGGCCCTCTGCCTGTTCGTTGTCCTCGGCGGGCCGCTGCCGCATTGCCCCTTTCCACGCATGAATGAACACGAAATTGCTTCATTTGGACCTCGCGTGGGCTGCAAATGGGGCCTGCGGTGGTAAAGGGGGCATCCCGGCGATGCTAATGCTAGCACGGCAGCGATGCGTGGTGTGGGTGGGTGGGTGGTTCGAGCGTTGTGCCATGCTGATCCGCGATGTAAACACGGTGTGGCGGGTGTAAACAACAACAGAATAGTGGAAAGAAGTACCCCAGGCCACCCAGCGAACACCCGGCGAACGTAAAAGTCTGCAAGTGAACACAGAACGCAGTTCCTGCATGCTACGCGCAATTCAAAGCGGCCGCCTCTCCGCTATTCTGGCGGATTGCTTCATCTTCTGTGTGTGCCTCTGAGATCGATTGGCTCGCGACTTCCCAAAACAAGCGCAACGTTTGCAGGGGTAAAAGGCAGCCGCGCACGGACTTCCAGAACCAGCCACCGCTTCGCAGTCTCCTACGCGTGCGCGCCAGCTCTTTCCCATATACCCTCCCGTCCGTCGATTCCGATTGCAGAGCGCTGTAAGGGTCATCGCCATCGTTCACGCCTCGACGCAATTGTTGCGCCTTCCGTCATCGACATCGACACTTAGTCGCGCTCGCATCCGCTTGAGTCGCGCCTGCTTGTCGCAAACCCGAAACAACAACATCAACAGCGCATTCGGCTCCGCGTCACCGCATCGAATTGGACACGGCCACACGCCTTCACCTCTGCTAGTATCGCGCAACCCCTCTCGTCCTCTAGCACTACCGGCAGGCCTTGTATGGAGTGCGAGCATCTGCACTCGGTCGTTGTTCGCTGAGGAGGAACTCCTGGTTGCGACGTGTAGATCGAACGACACGTGCGCTGCCGTCGCGCGCATTCCTCGACTGCATTCTTCAAACAACGCTGCGCCCCGCGCCACCCTCCAAACAGCTATCGTTATCGATTGAGCGCTGGCATCGTTTGCGCTGCCACGCTGTACGCTGACCCCAGCGCGTCTGTCAACACCACGCAAGGACCAGCCACCCCGCTCGCCCACCACGGCGTCTCCACCCTCGACACCGCCAGCCACTCCTTCATCCTCACCTCTCACCTCCAGGATTCCGCCACCAGTTTCAGCGCCCGACTCTGCCATGGCCTTCGCCTCCTACTCCCCGCACCGCGAGGGCGGTACAATGCACTTGGACCTACCTTCACCTACCTACCGCCTGGACGGCACCCACTTTGCGCACCTCCAGCAGCTGCGCCGTTCTCTGTCGCGCTCACCTTCGAAACCCTCGCGTTTCCAATTGCACAAATCGGACTCACCGCGCTCCCCCATCTCACCACTAGCACTCGCGCGCGCTTTCAGCCCTAAGGCGCACAAGCCAGCAAGTCCTACCAAGACATATCCTGAGTCACCCCTGGGACAGTCCGTGCCTCCCAAGAAGAAGTTCACTCTGCGACGATCGACAGCAAATTTCAAGGCCTCCCCGCGGACGCGACAGAACTCGAAAAGTCCGCGTCGCAACGTTCTCGGCGACTCACCCACAGGAGGAAACACAGCAACACCCTTCTACACGCGCATCGCCTATGGTCAAGAGAACGACACACCCGCGCGCCCCTCCAGCTCAGAATCCCTTGAGAGCATGGACACTGACTGCAGGAAATTTGGCTTGAACGATAAGCCGATCAAGTTTGAGTTTGCGCAGCGTCGCCCAGATCTCTCGCCTGGCGCCCCCGTCAAGTCGAGTCCCCTTAAGCGCAACGATGGGGTCATGAACTTAAGCGGGACCCCGACTGGCTTCAGCCCGGTCGCGAAAAGGCGGAGTCTGCACAGTGTCGCTAATCTCAGCAACGACTTCGAGAGCATTTTTGGCGACGCGCGCAATAATGCAGTCCAGTCGCCAATGGAGAACGAGGAGACCAGAGACGAATTCGACTTCTCCACACCTTTGACATTGCAATCGCCTATGCGTAGGGCGACATCACTACGGAAATCGACGGTGATGCAGCGGAATGCGAACTCGCCAAAGCCAAAACCAGCTTACGACGGCGAGTTCGCGATGCCTGGCCTCGCAGCTTCCAAGTCAAGGAATCGGATGTCGCTTGACGGCGCCATCGGGCAAAGTACGACCCCTACGCAGACCCCTTTCCGTAAATCTACTTTCGATGCGGGGCGCATGGGTTTGCCTACACCTTTCGCTCGCAGCACTGCCGGCGCATCGCAAACACCCCACCCACTATCGCATACGCAGACCGCGCACACTCCAGCTTCAACTATGTCAAGCGTCGGCGGATTTACTCCCATGGCACCACCACGGGCACCTCACTTCGCCGCCCCACCTAGTCGGCAAAACCAGAGTCATCAATTTTCACGGTCTCTGCCAATCGGCGTACCGCGTCCACACGCACCGGAAGGGGAGCACGACTCGTTTGACACACCATTCAAGCCTGTGCAGCAAGCTCCAGGGCCATTCTCCACTGGTCTCATTTCGAAGAAGAATCGAAATGCGGACGAGGGCGCTGCCAACGTGTATGTTATGCCTGACACACCGTCCAAGAGGCAGTCGTACCCTCCAGCACAGGCAGACAAGACCGACGTTATTGACACTCCTCTTGTCAAGCGAGGTGGAAGCCTATTCGGTGACTGGAACAGGCCACAGCCTCAGTTCGGCACCACAAGCACACCCTTCAGCGCACATGTTTCCAAATTCTCTACCGAGTCCTTCGGCAAGGGCACCAGCGTCTTTGGCAATATGGCCGGGTCTCTTGGACGTCGCGGCAGCATCATCAGCGTAGATGGTGACGATGACCTTCCTGATAGCCAGTCACCGACTGCCAACCGTACTATGGTTGATAGCATGGCCGACAACGATACAAGCATAGACGACATGCCACCAACCCCTACGAAGGGACATGGTGCATCGAGTCGCCGTTCTAAGGAGAGCAGCCTGAGGCGCAAGACTTTCCGTTCGCGACCTTCTATTGGCAACGACACCTTCGCGGCACCAGAGACCTTTAACGAGTTCAATTGTAAGTCTAAGCCCAAGTTCAGCACAACTACAGCAGCTTCGCACGAGAAGAGTACATCACTACCTTGTGAATGTCTCGATCTGGCGGATCGCGACACTCCTGTACAAGCTTCTCTTGCTCGAACTAGGTATTTGCGGCGCACCAAGTCACTTGGCCGCCCATCTCCGCTTTCGCAACAGATACTTCGTACTTCCACTCCTCTTCCTAATACTGCGACAAGTTCTAAACAACCTGCAGCATCCATAATCTCGTTCGGTTCTTCATCGCCAGGGTCTCCGGACCTAGATTCGTCCTACCAGCCAAATGAGCATAATCGGCTGTCCATCGGAGGTAACAGGCGCGGCTCGATGAACTTCAACAGCAGCGTCAGCACCTTTCCGCCAGCCACACCGACCACACCACGCGACCACTCTGTCTTCTTCGCTGAGAACAAGGGTGCCATTCCTATTGGCCTCACCAAGAACGATGTCGACGAGGCAATCGGCTCGCGCTTCCACGAAGTCAAGGAACTTGATGGAGGCGAGGGTGAATTCTCCAAGGTCTACCGCGTCAGCCAGCCTGTGCAGGGCTCAGCAACACACTCTCCAGCTGGGAGCCAGGTATGGGTCGTCAAGAAGTCAAAGAAGCAATACACAGGCAAGGGCGACCGCGACCGCAAGATGCGTGAAGTTGAAATCCTTTATGCACTTCGCGGCAACGATCATGTCTTGAACGTGAGCGACCATTGGGAGGCGAATGCACATTTATACATCCAGACCGAGTACTGCGAAGGTGGCAACCTACGCCGCTTCCTCGACACTGTTGGATACAGCAGCCGTCTCGATGATTTCCGCATCTGGAAGATTCTGCTGGAATTGTCACAGGTAAGCTTCCCACAACCGTTTTTCAGAATCTACTCTAACTTTCTCGCAGGGCCTCACCTTCATTCACAACTCTGGATACATCCACCTCGATCTGAAGCCCGCTAATATTCTCATCGATTTTGGAGGTTCGCTCAAGATTGCCGACTTCGGTCTCGCCAGCTCTTGGCCTGCACCAAAGGGCATCGATGGTGAGGGCGATCGCCACTACCTTGCACCAGAGGCTCTATCCGGTCGCTTTGACAAGCCCGCCGATGTCTTCGCACTCGGCATGATGTTAACCGAGATTGCTGGCAACTGTGTCATTCCAGAGAACGGCACCTACTGGACAAAGCTGCGATCTGGCGAGTTCGAGCACGTACTGCCGAGCTTGACTTGGAGCGCCGACAGCAGCACATTGAGCCGTGATGGTAATGGCGACCCCATTCCCGAGAACTCGATCGACGGCTTCCTCATGTCGGATGAGCCTCAGATGGTCCAAGTACGATCAGCCTCAAGTCCAGAGGAGGAACTCGCTCGTGCCCCGAAGTTCATGGTCGACTATACCGACACCAACACCATGGACCAGGTCGTCAAGGCCATGCTTCACCCCGACCCAGACGCGCGACCGACAGCTGAGCAGGTCCTGCAATGCTTTGGTTGCCAGTGGGTCGACCAGAGAAGGCGAGCAGGAGCCACCGTATACGAGGGAAACTTCGGGCCCGGCCTGGATGTGCTGGCCACATACGCGCTCGACGATGCCGATGCCGACATGATGGACATGAGCTGAGTGCTTTATGGGCCTTCTCTTGACTGCCATCTCGCGCCCGTCTTGATATTTTGTGCTTTACCACATGTAGCGCTTTTTGGTTACGTTGATCTGCAACAGCCTGCCGGCATCTGGCCGCACAGTACACCTCGACCAGTACTATGCCGCCTGCATTTCTTTTGTTTCTTCTTTACTGGCATTCAGTCCTAATGGGCAAAAGCATCATCATCTTGTTGCTTCGATGACGATATCATTATCGTCCTGTTTACGATGTTCACGGCCAGACTCCTTCGGGGCTGGGATGTCTTTCTTGATCTGGGTTTCAGGAGTTTCGCGTTGCATACAGCATCCCCCAAGGATACCTTCGCAGCTGGAAATGCGCGAACTGGGGATGGGCGTTATACCTTTGCTTTCTCTGAACGTTGCAACGATTATGGCAACGGTCTTACTTCCTCCTGTACGAATGGCCGGTGGCTGAAGCCTTGTGCTCTGTATACGATTGGTGTCGAGGTATGGTCTGGTGTGGTTATGGTGGATCTCGAGTTAATGTTGGAGAAACAATATCACGATATCATGACCCATTTGAGCAGGCTTCGTGCGGTGAACAAGTGTGATGTGCAAGATGTCTGACTTATTACGTCGTCTGGGTCGCTAATGGTAGGTGCAGGTCATATCAATAGCGTCGACTCGACAACCGATTTGACACGTGATCCGGACGTGATAGCCTGCCTGTACCTGCTTGTAAGTATGTCAGGATTTGCTGTCGTTCTGAATGACACTGACTTTCCTGCTTCTGAAACGCCAGTGGGTTGTGCGTATTCTGCTCGGCCGAAACGACAAGCGACCGCTTGAGTCATGAGTGTTGCCTTCTTCCAAAAAGACAAATAAGAACACTGATGTGAAGGTGCACTTCTGTCGGAAATACCACGTCAACAATTTCCGCTGAGCAGAGCTGACTGGGGTTTATCGACAGTCTTTGCTCGAGTCCTCAGCTCTTCTCCCATCATTTGCTGTCTCTCCTGAGCCAAACCCAATTCATAGGTGATCCATGTCTCGACAAACCACTCTCATACATGACGGTCACCATATTCGCAACTCCTTTTTGCTACGCTTGTGCAGTTTGTGACTTTGGAGATTCAGCTTAACGAAAATGTTAATGGGCGCTCTTAACATTCTGTTGTCCGACCCTTGTTTTTATTCATGGTTTCTATCAGGAGGTTCTTTGCCCAAGCTGTTGTTCATATCTTCGTTTATGCTGAGGTTTTTCAAGACATGCGGGCAAACCAAGTCATGAAAGACGTCTACAGACTGTACCATGCCTGTGGAGGGCTGCAAGCTCGCAGTAGGTCGAGGTCATCTGTCTCTTCTCTATTCTATACTCCAGCTTCAGCGAACATTGGCAGCCCCATATCCATGTAAGCTTGTGAAGAGGGCTGGGCCCAGGGATTTGGAATCCGTGACATGTATGCGCATATGTTTCTGTGATATGTCTCAGTCATCTGCTCTTCTTTGTCTAGCTGCCGAGGTTATGCGTGCCCTTCAATTCTGTTGTGTAGCAGAGGAGTCGACTGAGCTGCGGTTCTTTTACCTCGGAACCTAGGAAACGCCTAGCATGCGTCATCGAGGCTTCCGAGAACCGTCAAGATGTCTATTGACCACAGCATACTTGGCCGAATTGTTGTTCATCTCGAGATATGCTTTCACACAGCAGACTCCGGATGTAAGCCAGTACCCCACGAACCAGCAGAGGCTTTCAAAGCCAGCATTTGGGGCCTTTTCCGTATACAAGATTCTGTAACTGCGACTGGCTCTCCTTGCTACAGGAGCATTCTACAGGGCATCTCAACCCGATCTCTTATCTTCGGACAGCGACTCAATTTACGCTGTGTGATGTAAAAAGCTGTGATAATGGCGTCATTGTTCCTTGCGATAGCTGTGGAGCTGACGACTCCGGCATACAATATTTAGGCGAAGTGGAGGCGGAAGTTTCAGCCGCCCCACTCAAGCCCACACAACCATTGCCGCGCATTCCAGCCCTGCAAAATCAGACACATTGAGGGCCACTGCATTCATGAACGCTGGAAACAGCTCCGTGAGCCTCACTGTTTTCTAAAAGAATTATAATATAAATATTATTCCTCAATTGCCACCCATGAAAGTCGTGGCGCAACCACCAGCAAAAGCTGATCCTCCGTGGCGCAATTGGCTAGCGCGTCTGACTGTTATCCGCATCTCGCTTGATTGCACATCAGGAGGTTGAAAGTTCGAGCCTTTCCGGGGGAGATAACAAACGCTTCTTTTTTAGTCTTTGTGGTGTCCCTGACAGGCGGTAATACTCTCTTTTTACTCGCTGTCAGATGATAGGGAAACTCTCACGTCTCTTCCAGCCATGGGCAGGCGAGTAGAGCAGCTAGCGTGCCTTCTGTTTTGCATGTCGTCGTGGTTGTGGACTTGTAGCGTGCGACACGCTGAGGTTTGTTTGTTCGGAGGGGTGCTGTGATGCTAGCAGAATGTCAAATCTCTAAGCACTTTTCGAGACCACACCACACTTCTCATGCTCATCTGCTCCTGACAGCCCATCAGGTACTTGGTACTTGTGTGGATATCTCTTTGTACGAAACACCATCTCTGGAGACTTCTACAATCTCTGCTTACAGCCAGCGTTTCCTGGGACCCATGTGTACACGCACCAGATTGGAACACGGGGAGAGGATGTAAATCTCGGGGCGTGCTAATGATGGCTGTGAATCATGTTGACCAGAAATTGAAATGTCTCCAAGCTGCACATGGACAATAGCACGATTAAAGAGCAGGTCATGTCATTATTGGCTGTCATGAACTGAGACAACACCTAGTCTGAGGTCAAAGGTATGTAATATCTAAAAAGGCCAGACCCAGTCATCAATTTCCTTGGGATCCAGTCCCTCGTGGTAAGAGTAGTTCTTCGCCTTAATCTGCTCGTTGAGCATCGCCTCGCGAGCTGCCGCGCCCTTGTTACCCAGTCCAGCGATGCGGTCGATGGCATTGATGGCCAAACTGTAGCGGTCGGTACCGTTACGGATGGCCAACTCGAGCGGTGTGTCAATGTTGCCCTTCTCTCTATACCCGCAAACAAGTAGGTTCTGCTGACCCTTGCGGCCATATGTAAGGCGGTGGATGAGCCAAGGGTATGAGTGAAAGTTGAACACACAAGGCACGTTGTCAGTGAAGATAGCCTTCCACTCATGTGCTTGCAGACCGTGAGGGTGCTCGCTTGCATCGATCAACTTGAAAAGGTCAACGACGTTGACAAAGCGAATCTTCAGCTGTGGTAGGTGAGTGCGCAAGAGAGCAGTGGCTGCAAGCGCTTCATGAGTTGAGACATCACCGCAAGATGCCATGACGATATCGGGCTCCTCGCCCTTGTCGTTAGAAGCAAAATCCCAGATACCAACGCCCTTGGAGCAGTGCTCAATAGCCTGATCCATGGTGAGGAACTGTAAGTGCTCCTGCTTGTCGGCGACGATTACGTTGACGTAGTTCTCGCTGCGAAGGCAATGGTCCATGGTTGAGAGGAGGCAGTTGGCGTCAGGAGGCAAGTAGATACGCACAACATCAGGGCTCTTGTTTGCGACGACGTCAAGGAAACCAGGGTCCTGGTGCGTAAAGCCGTTGTGGTCCTGTCGCCAGACGGTGGCTGTGAGAAGAATGTTGAGCGACGCAACCTTCTTCCTCCACTCAACCTCGAGACACTTTTCAATCCACTTGCAGTGCTGGTTCACCATGCTGTCAATGATGTGGATGAAAGGTTCGTAACTGTTGAGGAGACCATGTCGTCCGGACAGGATGTAGCCCTCAAGCCAACCCTACAATTGTCAGTAACCAACATTTGGTGAACATGTACCTGTACGTACCTCGACTGTGTGCTCTGAGAGCATCTCCATGACACGTCCATCATAGGCAAGGTTACCACCATCCTCGTCTTCCTCGAAGTAGTCAGCTAACCAAACCTTCTTGCCAGCCTCGTAGATCTTGTCCAACTTGTTCGATTGAGTCTCATCGGGGCCGAAAACCCGGAAGTCTTTCATATTCTGAGCGACGACATCGCGGAGGAAGGCAGCGAAGTTCGCCATGCTACCCATCTTCGAAACACCACCCTTCTTGACCTCAACGCTGTAGTTGCGGAAGTCCGGAACGTGCAGTTTTTTCTTCAGCAGTCCACCATTTGCGATTGGGTTGGCACTCATACGCCTGTTGCCTGTGGGTGCCAGATCCCTCAGCTCAGGAATGAGTTTGCCATCCTTGTCAAACTTCTTCTCGGGCCCGTAGCTGCGCATCCATTCCTCAAGCTTCTTCAGACTCTCGTTGTTGGTAAGAACGTCGGTGATGGGAACTTGGTGAGCGCGCCAAAAACCTTCAGAGTAGTGGTCGCCGATTTTGCGGGGGCCAGTCCAGCCCTTAGGTGTGCGAAGAACGATCATAGGCCAACGGGGCCTGAAGGCCTTACCAGAGTCGCGGGCTTCTTTTTGGTATTCCCTGATCTTTGTGACACAGCGCTCCAGTGTAGCAGCCATAGCTTGGTGCATCGACGGCAGATCGCTTCCCTCCACGAAGTATGGTGTCCATCCGTATCCAACGAAAAGGGCCTCTAGCTCCTTGTGGCTGATACGAGAGAGAATCGTAGGGTTGTTGATCTGTGAAGTCAGCAATTTGAAGGTCTGACATGTGGGTTGGGTCTTACCTTATAGCCGTTCAGGTGGAGGACGGGCAAGACAGCTCCATCAGTGATGGGGTTGAGGAACTTGGTTGAGTGCCAGCTCGTAGCCAACGGACCAGTCTCAGACTCGCCGTCACCGACCATCGTGAGCGCAATCAGGTCTGGGTGGTCAAAGACTGCACCGAAAGCGTGAGAGATCGAATACCCAAGCTCTCCACCCTCGTGCAGACTACCTGGGGTCTCGGGAGTGGCATGCGAGCCGATACCGCCAGGGAATGAGAAGTATTTGAAGAATCTCCTCAAGCCCTCCTCATCCTCCTTCTTATCGGGGTAAACCTCAGAGTACACACCCTCGAGGTAGGAGTTGGAAAGAACGGCAGGCGCACCGTGGCCAGGACCAGAAACAAAGAGAGCGTCCAAATCGTACTTCTTGATCAGACGGTTCATATGGATGTATGTGAACGACTGGCCGGCGTCGGATCCCCAGTGACCCAAGAGGCGGCGCTTCAAGTGCTCGACCGTCAACGGATCGCGTAAGAGAGGATTCCTTCGAAGGTAAATCATGCCTAGGCACATGTACATCGAAGCGTGGAAGTAATCGGTCATCAGGCGCACTTCATCGTCGGTAAGTGGTGTCTCGTTGACTGAAGACCTGGCGATGCCAAATGGTGACAAGCTAAGGTTCTCAACATCCTCGGTGAGCTTCTCGGGCTCAGAAGCCGCGACGGTTATCATTGCGTCCATATTTGCTGTTGCTTCTGAGGACACGAATAGGCAAACGCGTGCCTTTGACTTCTATGTGAAGACGCGCCTGCAATGATGTAGTAGGCGGATGCGGGCGGAAGTTCAGTTCGTTGAGAACCTTCAGAAAGGATTTGGAGCTTCGAAGTAGCCTACGCCGCCGATTGAGAGCTCAGCGCAAAGTGTAGAGAAAAGGCTACGCAATGGGCTGCCAGCTGTATTTGAACGCCGTAGCTACCGGTTCTGGGCGTTGGAAGCTGTCAGGGAAAGCTCTCCTGATCCATTGTTCTTGCTGTGCCATTGGCCACTGAGGGTCTAGCACCGGTCCTGCAAAAACATTTCATCATAAAGTGAGCTGTTCATCGAATTAGAGCTGTTCGTGTTTGCGTGCCTTGCTGCGTCATGATAGCACGATGACCTGATGCATCAAAAAGCCCCACTTTGACTGCGCTAAGCTCTTATCTGGGTCTAGCCTGAACTGCCGCCGTTGCTTTTGAGCCGGACAATGTCAGAGCTCTAATATTTTGCCTTTCCAAATATCTGACCATGGCCTCATCGTGACCGCGGCGACCCCAAGCTTATCTGCCCGAGCAATCACGATCAGGAGATAGGATGATGGCAGCCGTACTTCTCGAGATTAGAACAGCTCAAACTTTGCCATTGAAACAAGCACGCCTAGTGTCTTAAGTGCCAGTGACGTTGGCGCATCCAGCTGCCCCGCACGTCTCGATTGGAGACACCGAGAACCGAGCTGATTCTCCAAGCGATCGAGATGTTTAAGTTGGCTGGGGCCCTCAAATTTCAAGCTTTAGGCAGGGCAACGTAGGAGCCTCGAGCGGAGTGGCTTCGACGGATCTTTATGCCGCATCGCAATCACCAACGAGATGTCTGCGCACCGTCCATAGGCCAGTACGAAATACATGAATAGCTCTGCTGGGTACCGAGCTTTGAAGCCCAGCTAGCATTGTAAGGCCTTGACACAGCATAGTGCAGGAATCGCAGGCATTATTAGAGAGAAGTTGAAGCGCAAAATGGTGTGGCTTGCCTTGGCGGACGCAAGCTGCATTTCAGCTAGCGAGGCAATGATTGCATATATTGGTGGCGATATTAATAATTCGTGTTTAATTTTCTATCACATACGACCATAGGACGTTGAGAACAAGGCTTCCCGTTCGCTCAGCCCTATTTAAGCAACGTACCGGCGGATTAGTAGTTAGGTGGGTGACCACTAGCGAATACCCGCTGTTGTATGTCTTTCTTTTTTCGTTGTTGCTGCTACAGGACAGCAATCCTGTATAACGCTTGCAGGTGGAGGTGCCAGCCACCTTGTCAAACGTAAGTGTCCGTACAGTTTGTGATGCACTCAGCGCCAAAGTTAGGATCGTGTCATGCCAAACAGCGATATGGCTAGCACTATTATTGTCTATAAATATTATACTACGCAACGAATACTTGCTTAAGTATTCTTGTGCTTACCTTTTGGTATAGGCAGAGTGTAACAGAGTAGGCGCCCTGCCCTCGAAATCAATACTACGTGACTTCTCTGCTTCTACCAAAAGGTAAGCACAAGAATACTTAAGCAAGTATTCGTTGCGTAGTATAATATATATAGACAATAATAGTGCTAGCCAGCTAGCTTTGCCTCTAGCTGCTATAAGCGCTATGCCACGTGTCGTGTTCGTGCATAGTTGTTACACAAAGTACAGCCTATACTTTAAGCTTTTGCACAACAAGATAGCTGAGTATAACACCCAGCCTAAGAACATATACAATATAGATGAGAAGGGCTTTATAATTGGGGTTAGTGGCAGGAGTAAGAGAGTGTTTAAAAAGCTGTTGTTTGGCCGCAGGCAGTATAATCAGTCACTCCACAATGGCAATCGTAAGTAGGTGACATTGCTGGCTGCAATATGTGCTGATGGATCTCACCTTCCCCTGGGCATCATCTTCTCAGCTGCTGGCTGTGACGTACAGGCAAGCTAGGTACATGAGATTAACCCAGAGGAGCACTCTATCCACTTCACCACATCACCTAGTGGATAGACGGACAACAATTTAGGGTTAACGTGGCTATTAAGAAGTTATTCTTAGGTAAAGTCTTAGAAAAAAGGCAGATTTTGCGGGTAAATAGCGGGCGTTGGTTGACTCCGGGCGTTGGTTGACCTAACACGGTAAAACACGTTAACTCTGAAAGAATTGTAAGATAAACAGATCTCTGATGTGTTTGCCTTCTCTTGGCTTTCTCGTAGAAATGAAATATATGTCCCACTCGCGCCTACCCCCTTACTCACAGTCGTTTAATCCTTGCCAATTAGTCTTCGCTGCCCTGCCTTAACGACGGCTTCAGTCTATTAAGTATCTCCCGACTGCCACACGGCATAGTATACCAATCGCTAATAGATTGGTTGGTTGGTATTCATTTTACGTCTAGATAATAGGGATTAAGTCCACTATCTCGCCTCCCGAAGGGCATATACGACGTGCTGAGCTATGGGATTACAGTGCTAGCACACTACCTTAGAAAGCATTTCTTGCCTACGCGGGTATTACTACCGTTTTAAGCTACAGCTCCCCCGCCAGTTGGGGAGACTAAGCAGTGTAGATACATTAGGGTGAATCCCTTTTGTGTGTTCAAAGGCAGTGGAATGCCGTGCAATCGCTAATAGAGGTACGCCCGACGCCCGATTTCAACGAAGCATCTACAAGACGGGAAGTTTGGGGTTTGTAAGATTGCTCCCGAACATTTGTTTTCGACACCTCAATCATGGCACCAGATCGTTTTCTCAGATTGTTGTTACTCCTCTGGGATATTGGTCCCGGGATTCAGAAAGGATGATTCATGTTTCAGGCCGAGCGGGCTTACAAGTGTAATACAAACGGCATCAAATTGCAGGTTGCTTCTTGACCCTTGCTCATCACCCTACGAAATTGCGTTCTATGTGTCAGTTCAATCATACACTTTTGCATGAGCACCTTACATTGACCACTAGGAACGCATGGTAGAAATAGATTACACTCCTGGAAGCATGTTCTCACACGAGCTTTGTAACCCAGTACAGAGAAATGCTACTTGTACACTAATTGTGTATAAGGTAAAGGAGCATACATCGGCAGAATTGTGCTATGTATTGGCAACATTTGCAAAGTAGGCACACTGCCCGTGCTCGACCGCCTCGATCACCACACTGCATGTTTCAACAGTAAGACTGCCCAGACACCACCGGCTTGATAACGCCCTGATTGATCAAATCAACATAGCTCCAGTACTTCCTTTGGGTTCCCTGGCCCGCGACTGGGGTTGTGCTGTATGAGACAGCTGTCCAGAAGGCGCTGCCACTATTGTACTCGTTGAATGCATATCTCTCGGCATTGAAGACACTTTCGCGTCCAGCGAAGGTGTTATTAAACTCAGTTTGCAGCGACCACTCGCCGATATAGTTTGGGAACTTCGTCTGCTGCGCAATGGCCTGAGCCTGACCGCAAACTGCGGGATTGATGAAGTTTGCATACGTTTGCTCACCGGAGGCAAAGTAGTACACGTGTGAGTCGATGACAATGTTCTCAGTCTCGTTATAGAAGGAGGCCCAAAACTCAGCGCCTTTGAAGTTGTCCTGGAGCATCATAGGAATGCGCGGATCGACTTGCTTGATGCCGTCCAGCACACCGTTCAAGTACTGTTCGAGGCTGCCGCCCTCTGATTGGCCAGCTAGTTAGTTCCCGCTCCCACACACACATGTAGATAAGCGCTCTTCCATAGTAACAAAATACACAAGATCGCCCACCACGTTCATCAAGTACCTGTTGACCCAGGCAGCCCCTTTGTCAGTCAAGCCGGCGGGCGAGCCAAAGCTGACGAGATTAGTGTCGGAGGCCTCGTTGGGAGGAGAGATGGTGAATTTGTCAAGACCAAGGGGCGAATACTTGACGTACATGAGCATTTAGTCAATGGCTCGAAAAGAATAGTCAAGATTGGTTTCGTTGAAGAACCAGGCATCGTGACCAAATGCTTCACCAATGTCAAGCGAGTTGACACCGCCAGGGAGGCTATGGAGACCAAGAATGATGTGCATGTTGTAGCGCTGCACAGCGTAGGTGACAATGCGGTCCAGGAACTGGACCTGGTAGCCCGAGTAAAACTGGGAACCGGGGACCTTGATCCAAGCGGCGTATGTCGTAGGAATTCGTAGCGTATTGACGCCAACGCTAGCGAGGACATCGATGGTGGTAAAGTTCAGAAAGCTGCCATAACGACTGTTCAAGACAGGCCCACACCAGCGGCCTAGAGTTTCGCACAGGGTCTTTGATCTTTTAGCATGCTAATTTCGCGCGCGAATGTTCGAATACTTGCCCACTCGTCTAAGGCGTTTGCCTCTCCTACCTCAACCCACCAGATAGGGTCGTGAGTACGCTCCTTTGCGAGCCAAGCACCAAGATTTACACCGTTAGCGTTGTATATCGTCTAGTTGATGAACTTGCCATCGAGATTAGGAGGGTTAGGAGGGTAGTATAGGGGATCCGACGGGGACACGAATGGGTAGTATTGGGGAACACCAGCAGCAAAGCCGACCACAATTGCAGCTGCAAATAGGCTGCAGATCACAATGAGTAAATCCAAGAGCAAATGGAGTGAAAGGGCAAGAGTTTCAGAGCGAACTTTAAAAAGATAGCGAGTCAATACTTATGGGCCATGGCTGCATCACGATTATCACTTGATAGAACCAGAAGATCTATGATTTGACACTGTATCGCTCGGAATGTGATTAAAAGGGAATGACGTATTCAGTCATTACCCTTATTGAATCCTGAAGAGTTTAGGGTCGACGGAATGCTGAATGACCTCAGGCCTAATCCTGGTGGTACTGCAGAGGCAGACATTTCCAAATGGATGAGAGGCAGCAGTTACCCGAATTGCAAAGCACCTCAAGTTTATCGGCATTGAAAATCCTCCTAACAACTGGGATTGAGCCTGTACGTCGTCGTTCCCGTCTTGGTCTTTTCCAGAGGCTCGTGTGCTTTGGCGAGAGGCTGACGAACAACAATGTACATGATGGCATGCAGTCGTTAAAAACGCCAAATAAGCGGTTTGTCGTACCAAAAACCCTACATATGAAGATTGAATAGTAGTGGTGACACTTCCCTTAGTGCTCTGTAACTACGGCTCGTTTTATGGCGCCGTCACATGTATCCCAACGCAATACGATCCTTTCTATGAGACAATAGCCCTTGAAAGGAATTGAAACAATGAGAATCTATTCGATCGTTGTGACACATGTCGACCCCTTGACGACTGTATTTCAGTTTGGCTATATTCAAGACGGCATTTTCGTTTTCTCGAGCTCGTTCAAGTGTTCAACGTTGAAATTCTCTTGTCGTACCGCTCTTCCTGCAATATCTCCTCACTTATGGCAACCATATCCCCAAGAGATGATTTGTAAACGAATGATTGCTATCACAGCACAAATAAAATGGTACCATCTGATATCTGTCCTTCGTATGATCTGAAATGAAACCTCTCACGCCTATTTCACGCGTGTCCATTGAATATGCTGATACCGTTACCTAGTTTCAGGGGAACCCCAAGCGCCACCACCAGGGGACTGAATGATTACCCTGTCACCCGAAACCAGTCTCGTTGTGGCTTTAGCGCCCAGATTAACGACGCTCTCTCTGCCCTTGTCATCCCTCCGCACAATCAGATTGATACCACTAGATCCGTCCCCGCCGCCCTCCATTCCATATGGCTGCCTGGATCGCCGCTCACTGAGGATAGAGCACTGCACGGGGACCCTGAACTCGATGTCGCGCACTGTGCCGTCACCGCCATTGTGGCGGCCTTTACCTCCAGAAGCTTCCCTCAGAGTGAACGCGCGCAGAATGCACGGGTAACGCTTCTCGAAAACCTCTGGATCTGTGATACGTGTGTTTGTCATGTGGACGTGCACACCACTTGTACCCTCCCAGGTAGGTCCTGCACCTGCACCACCGGCGATAGTCTCATAATAGCCGAAACCATCCTCGTGCTCACCGGTTATAGAATCTTTCCCACCTGTACCGAACGTGAGATTGTTGCAGCAGCCCTGGCTGGCGGCACATGCACGGAATGCTCGAAGTACAACGTCGGTAATCCGTTGCGAGGTCAGGACGTTACCACCGACCACAGCAAGACCCTTGGCTGGGCTGAGGATACTGGCTTCGGGGACACGGATGCTGATAGGGTTCAAGCAGCCTTGGTTAAGCGGAATGTCTGTGGCGACGAGAGCCCGCAGGCAATATATGATGGCGCTGTGTGTAATAGCAATCGGGGCGTTGGTGTTGCCTAGAACCTGCGGGCCCGTACCCGTGAAGTCGAATTCAGCGGAGCCATCGTCCGCAATGGTGATTTTGAGCTTGATCGGCGTACCATCATCCATGTAGTCGACTGCCTCAAGGGGCGCGGAGCCAAGCTTGACCACCGTAGCCTTTAAGAGGTCGCGCACGGCGAGCTCAGCAGTATGCTGAATGGCATACATGTACCGGTGCACAGTGGCCAAGCCAAACTCGATGATGAGGTCCTTGATGAGGGAAATGCCTTTGACATTGGCAGCAATCTGAGCTTTCAAGTCAGACATGTTGTCCGCTAACTTTCTGGAGCCTGAGCAGCCATCATATTGAGCGGGCTCCACGAGCAGAAGCCGCTTAACTTCGTCCTCATCGAACTTTCCTGCGCTCACGAGCTTGGTGCTCTCAATAGCAGCACCCTCTTGCCATAATGCGCTGCTGGTAGGTGGCATCGAGCCAGGCAGTAACCCGCCAATATCCGCATGGTGACCACGGCTGGCAACGTAGAATGCGATAACATCATTGTCGAACACAGGAGTGATAACGGTGATGTCAGGAAGATGGGTACCGCCACAGCTCGGATGGTTAGACACGAGCACATCCCCGTCCTTTAAGTTACCCTCCCACAGTTTATGCTGGTATTGAACAGCGAACTGCATAGATCCGAGGTGGACAGGCACGTGCGGTGCATTTGCAACCAATCCGCCGTCAGGTGAAAAGATTGCGCAAGAGAAGTCTAGACGCTCCTTGATATTGGTTGAAACTGCAGTCTTCTGTAGCGTTCGACCCATCTGTTCGGCAATTGACATGAAGCGGTGGCCAAAGATTGACAGCTGAATAGGGCTGAATTCAGTCTGTTGCTGAACCTTGGAAGAGACATCAGATGGGAGGTCAATGACAACATAGTTGTCAAGGACGGTAGCGATAGCATGGGGAGTGACAAGAATGGTCTGCGTCTTGTCGATGACCAAAGCTGGTCCGGTCAGACGCGCTCCGTTGAGTAGATGCTGGAGTTCGTAGACAGGAGTCTCAGCCCAGCCACTTTGAGCGAAAAAGACACGGCTGGTGCTGATCTGGGCCGGCAATTCAACTTCAGCCTTCTGAACAAGCTTCATCTGAGCATAAGGGCTCTTCTCAAGGCGGGATTGAGAGGCACCGATGGCTCGGACACGGATATCATCGACCAAGATGGGCTTGTTGCTAAAGTTAAATCCGAATTCGCGCTTATGAGCCGCCTCAAAGCCTTGCTTGAAATCCCAGTCGTCGCCTTTAAGAATCATCAGTGAATTGCTGGAACCTGCATATCTCAGGTTGAGATAGCTGTTGTAGGATATCTGCTCAAGCGAGAAGCCTTGTCCGGAGAGCGTGCGCTGCGCTTGAGACTCGAGATCGTGAAGCTGGGATTGGATTTCGGGTTCCGTTTCAGCAGAGTAGGTCAAGGCAGCAGGGCGCTGTACCTCGTGGACAACGTCGGCCAGAGACATACCGTATGCAGAAAGAATAGATGAGTATTTGTGTATGATGACCCTGGAGATGCTCAGGACGTCGGCAACGGAGCAGGCATGCTGGCCACCGGCACCACCAAAGCAAGCGAGGTGATGGCTTGAGGTCTCAAAGCCCCTGGCCTCGGTGAGAGCGCGGATAGGCCGAGCCATGCCTTCATTAGCGACTTCCAGAAACCCCATCGCGACATCTTCAGCGGAGAAAGGAGCTTGGCCATTCTTGCAACGATCCTTGTTGATTTCCTCTGTAAGAGCTTGGAACTTTTGAGCTGTGACTTCTCTGTTCAGAGGCTCGTCCTCGTTAGGCCCAAAGACTTTCGGGAAGTATTGCGGCAGAAGCCGGCCAACAAAGAGGTTGGCGTCAGTGACAGTTAGAGGGCCACCTTTCCTATAGCAAGCGGGCCCGGGATGTGCAGAGGCTGACTCAGGGCCGACATTGAAAAGGCCGTTTCTCCAGGCTAAGATAGAACCACCACCGGCAGCGACAGTGTGGATATCAAGCTGCGGGGACTGGATCGAAATGCCAGCAGTGGTGGTCTCGAAGACGTGGTCGTACACGCCGGCATATCTCGATACATCAGTAGAGGTACCGCCCATGTCGAACCCAAGGATGGGACACTTCTCCTCGGTATCCCATGATGTCTGGGCATAGCCGACAACACCGCCAGCTGGGCCTGAGAGGATAGCTTTGAGACCGCTGAAATTTCGAAAATCCACAAGGCCACCATCGGACTGCATGAACTCGATGCGGGTATTGTGAGATTCAAATCCACCCTCGAAGTTGGCTGAGATGGAGTCAATGTAAAGTTTTATGACCGGAGTAAGATAAGCATCAGCCATGGCAGACATGCCTCTAGGCACCACATTTATCATGGGCTGCACGGAGGAGGACAGGGTGATGGAGAAGCCCATTTCTACTGCGAGCTTTCCTATCAATAGCTCGTGTTCGGGATAGGCGTATGAGTGAACAAATACCACGGCAAGCGACCGGAAGCCCGAGTCCCATAGAGTTTGGAGTTGCAACTTGACAGCTTCAGCGTCAGGCTTCTTCATGATGCGAATAGTCTCTCCAGTAATGCCAGTAACAAGTTCCGGCATCGCGGCACTTGGCAGAGTCTTTGCAGACTCGGGATCCTCGGTGTAGTCCTCCATGGTGATGCGCTCGTCAACCTCGACGACCTGCTCATATAGCACTTCAGGGCGTGCCACAGAAAGATCAAAGATCTTGGGTCGTGATTGGTTGCCAATAAGTAGTAGATCCTTGAAGCCTTTAGTTATGAGTAGCGCCGATCGGGCACCCTTTCTCTCAAGAAGTGCGTTGGTCGCGACGGTAGTGCCCATGCGGATAGAGTCAATGTGGAAAAGATTTAGGAGTTGACCCCGAGGGTGCGGCTTGCCGGTTGCCAGCTCTAGTATTCTTCGAATACCTTCTGTTGGTGCATCTTTGTAGTTGGCAGGGTCAACTGAGAGCAGCTTGAGGATTGTGTCTTGTCGACCGGGTATTGAAGCGTGCACATCAGTGAAGGTGCCACCCCGATCGATGGAGATACGAATGTTGAGCGACTCATCGGCAGCCATTTGATGGTACTAGTAGAAGGTCAATGTGAAAGAGAAAAACGAAGAGTGGCAAGATGCGCGAAAGGACGAAGCGGCTGGAGAGTATGAATGATCGAGTAGGTGAGGTGGGCCGCCTCGACATCTTATGAATTAGTCCCTACCATTGCGTCGGTAGTGCAGCGCAGCCATTCGCGAAGAGTAGGATGCCAAGAGACGTTTGAGCTGATCCGAGTCGGAGTGGGTCCCAGACGCTAGAGCTGCCGGCAGGTGACGTTGGAAGCGCTAGTGTCTGCTGCTCTCTCAGCGGCCCAGCCCCCAGATACCACCGCGGAAAAGTGTCGCAATATGATGCCCTTAAGCAATCTGATATTACAGACTACAGCAAATAGAAGCAGAGCAAAAAGTGCTAGTCTGAAGATAAGCTCAGGTGCTAGTGTATGTAGTCGAACTTCCTTCAATGATCGGGTACGCGGTCACACCCGGTTTTGGTAAGGAAGGAAACGTGCTTGTACAACATGTCAAAATTCTTAAAAATGAGATTACAGCTACAACGGCGAGCATATGTGGAAGCCTCCTAATCGTTGTTATTCCAGACAATTCAGGCGACCCTCAAATCACGAGTTGCCCCCATCTACGGCCATTTGTGTTGCCTGCGTCCACTGGGTCAAATCATAGCCTGCTGGATCTGCAAAACCTTCCTCCCACAACATCGAATCGTCATCTCCACCAAGAACACTTCCAAAGTTAGCGTCCACGTCGTAGAAAACGTCTTCGAATGTGTGGTTGGCCATGATTCCGGCGCCAGGGGAGAAGCCAGACGTGCTGCCAAAGTCCGAGTCGGCACCACCAACGTTGGGTACATGACCGATCATCATCACGCCCTGGTTTTCAACGGCTCTGTTTATCGTTTGGTCTGTCGTCTGAGCTTCGCCCTCACTGCACGTCGACACACCAAAGATAGGGGCCACAGCTGGTTTTGTTGGTAGAAATGACACCGCTGTGCCCACAGCACCAGGCATGAGGATCGACTTCAAATGCGCAAGCAGCTCATACCTGGCACCCATGTGACTATTTCCCCTTTGCGACATACCCCGCAGCAGATCGAGTCCAGCGTTCATAGCTTTCATGGCTCCGGGGTCGGTCGGAAAGGCGCCACAGACCACAACTAGGACGATGGTGGCGCTGAATGCGTGCTCACTATCCATGTAGCCGTAGGTAGCTACGAGATCGAGCTGTGCCGCTATTACCATCATGCTGATTGTTTCTTGCGCAGCCGAGATGCACATTTCGATGACGCGGATTGTGGTGTGCGAGAGTCCGACTTTCCAGTCTTGTTCCTTTGCCGCGCCGCCGTAGTTGTTTTTCAGCCGCCGATGCACGACATGGAACAATAGAGGGCGGGCAGTCATGTTGATACACTGGTAGTAATGTAAGAAGGTCGACACGGACTCGCGTGAGATGCTCAGCTTGGCCGGATCGAAACGCAGGCCGTCCGGCAGTTCGCGATGCCACTTGTTGAGTGACATCATTATGTTTCTCACCGAAGCCATTAGGCGACTACCTGACTTTGGCGTTTTACGGTAGATGCGGCTAAGAATCTCGCCAAGAATACGCGACAATTCCGTGTAGTGACGGAGTACAACTGCTGGGCAGTACTCGGGCTCACTAGGAAGCTTGGACGGCATCGAGATACCGATATCTTCGTCCTGAATAGTAAGTGGATTCCCCGACTTGACAGACACAATGCGATCCAGACTGTAAATGCTCCACCATACGCGCCGCCGGTGTTCCAGAGTAGTCTCATCCAGGCCAGTGCCAGCGGCTTCTTGATGGAGACCGAGTGAGATGGCCATTCGCAGTGCCATACCAATGTAGAGGAAAGCGGCATCGCGACGGTTCATGTTCTGCATAAAGTAGCCGACATAGGCCAATGCCTCAACACGCAGTATCGATCCTTCTTCGTGTATTTCGGGCAGAAGTTCCAGAGCTGCTGTGAAATAATCAAATCCAGGAGGCCCCTTGAAGTCGATCCACTGGTTGATCGAGTACAGCTGACCAAAGGCCAAGATCATCAGTACTTTAGCATACGCAAGGCGACCCTCCTTATCAGAACCTTGGGGCGGACCCTGATAAGCTTCAAGAAGTGATCGTTCAAAGGCCTCCGGATCAGTAAAACAGAATATGGTGCCGATATATGTGTACTGTATAGCGAACAAACGTCGAGCAATGTCCCAAGGGGGTAATCTGGCCTTGTTTCGTGGGAACATGGGACGTGATCGCAGAGCATCTGGATTGTAGAAGTCTGTGTTAGTATCGAGACCGCCATCATCATAATATAGACCCGATAGGTTGCGCAAGCCGCGGAGAAAGTTGTCAGATGACCCTGGACCTTTGAAACCTTTGCCGAAGTCAACAATGATCTAAAACTGGGGGATAAGAATCATGTGCGGCACATACTGACTGATGGTCTTCCGGGCAAGCTCACACCGAGGTGCGTGAATGGCTCGAGAAGTTGGAGTTCGTCCTCGATTTCCTCGCCTTCATCCCCTATAGTTGGCCGCACCCTTGTTGGGACAGTCATGGGTGACGCTTGACCGTGATCTTTCAAAGCTGCTCGAACTTAGTTTCGCCCTCGTATTGCTGTGAAGCGAAGCTACCACGGAAGGCTGCCTACCCTCATACTCCTTGACCTTTGCCTCCAAATCTCTCAAATAGCTGTAAATACTGTCAGATGGATGCCCTCGTCATTTTGACAGGTTCAAGGGCCGATGCATACTTTTCGGTGATGGTTATCTTTCTTGCTTCTTCGTAGATGCAGTCGAGTCCGCTGTCTCGACATCTTGAACACTGAGGGCGCTCTTTGGAGCAACCAGAACGGCGCTGCCTGCATCGTGAGCATCTACGCAATATCTGTCAACGAAATTGCTCTGGTGTGCGGATAAGAGGAATGACAACACTTACGCAACAGGCCGGCCAGATCCCGCATCGCAAATGCTCGTGGTTGGCGAACCTAAACTCATAGCTGAATCGAGTAAGAAAGAGTGGATCGTACATCAACTAGACAGGTGTCGCAATGAGGAGAAGAGACATTCGACTCCATCGGTCGGCGAAAGACAACTTCAAGCGAGAACAGCTTCCAGAATGACTTCGGTGACGGCGTGGCTGACTACTCCTAATTTTGAGATTCGTGATCATAATAAGAGTCTCTTGGGTCTCTTCATTTCTGGGACTCAGAAGGTTTGTCTTAGTGACCAGGTGTTATTCGACAGTTGGCGATTAGGTCCAGGATCTTTGCTGTAAATTAGATGGAAGGAATTCAATGTTAATAATAACTACGCTCTTGCCTCCCCTAAGTTGCCTACCTAAAGTGGCAGTCTACCTAATATTAACGCACAGGTAGCCCATCCGAGATAAGGGAGCTTTGGGTCGATGCGTAAATGTCAGCGGCTTGATAGTCGAGGATGGGAGGCGGGGTGCTCCGTCGCTGTACTTCTCCGTCGAATTTGCCGATCTTTGGTCTAGTCTAAACTTAATCCAGGTAGCTTGACCATCAGGCTGTCAGCTGTGATATCCCCTGTGTATGTACTAGTAGATGATTAACTGTAGTTCTTGCTGCGTGTCCTCTTTCCATCTGTTTTGTTTTGCACACAGATATCAAGATGCCGATTAAGGCGAATTTCGAAAAGTGCAGATTGCACTTGTTCAAGAAAGCGAAAGGCATCAGAGCCAATCAGAGGCCGTTGCTTGTCAGACGGATGATCTGTGCATGCTCAGATCATCAATAATCAGACCAATGCCTGCATACGTGCATCACGAGATTTACTTATCCGGCTTCCCTACAGCATTCCCGGAAAGTGGCGTGACACTCAGCTCACACAAGCGTTGTATACCACAAATCCCGATCTAACCTATCTTCTCGATATAAAATCTGCGGTTCCTCTCACACGCTCGAATTCTCTCTCCTTATCAGATGGCGCTCCCTAGTCATCATGGTACTCGCATGTGCAACCATATAACATCGACGAAATCTAATCATCACTTCAGCGTCTCATCTTTCTTTGAAATTTTTTATTCATTGTGTGTATGTTTGAAACAGCTCCGACTCGTCCGTCACTTCGTTCGAGCCGGTAACGAACTCACAACGCCAAACCTGTTCGGACAAAGCTTAGAAGCGAAAGGCGTGATGCGAATGACACGCAAGGTAGGTTTTGTACATCGATCTGTACGTCGCTCAACGTTTCCCGAACTCCCTCTGTTCGTCTCCACATCCAACGCCATCCACCTTGTGGTATCAATGTCAATTTCGATCATATCTCGTCCGTCAATTACGCGGTAGCAGAAACGGTCTCAACCTCGACCTTGGGCAGCGGCGCCGACTTGCCGCCGAGATCTGTGGCGCGGGCCTTGGGGTTCTTGGTGTAGTAGTTCGAGATAGCGGATTTGATGGCGTCTTCGGCAAGCATGGAGCAGTGAACTTTAACGGTCATTAACCATCCGCATACATCTCGAGAACGAAGAGCTTACGCTTGACAGGTGGCAGGCACAGCTCCTTTGCGATCTCTGTGTTTTTGATCCTCGCGGCGTCCTCAAGAGTCATACCGCGGACCAGCTCGGTCAAGTAACTTGAACTGGCAATTGCGCTGCCGCAACCGAATGTCTTGAACTTGACGTCGCTGATGGTGTTGTTGTTTGGGTCAACACGGATCTGCAGCTTCATGACGTCGCCGCATGCGGGTGCGCCGACGAGACCAGTACCGACGTCAGTGTCGGTCTTCGACATGGACCCGACATTGCGGGGACGGCTGTAGTGATCGAGCAGTGCTGCGGATGTTAGCCGGTCGTCCTCGTCAATGTTGCGCCCGTGATGACTGAAAGGAGCGGCTCGGAATCGGCTCCGATGCTTGCCACGCTTCTACGATCATCGACGTTGCGCAAAGGCGCGACTTATCTTTCTCGTGGTATTGCCGCCTGCCTGCTGCTGGTACTGTGGATACTGCTGTACGGAGAGGCGAGGCGATGCTGGGTCTGGCGGCGGTTGCGAGCACACGGCCGGCCTGGGCGGGAACTGCTGCTGCGACTCTCCTGAACATGGCGAAAAGGTGTGTATGTGTTTTGTTGACTATCGTAGGTCTTGCAATTAATAAATTGCAGAAGATGGTTGGTGTGTGGAAACTCTGGTGTAGGTGGTGGTGTCGGTGTGATGGATAGTCGAGGGAAAAGACGTAAGTTTATCGCCCCCGAGCTCGGTCACAGAGCCAAGCTTTGGCCCATGTGGGGTGAATCCGCCGGACAAGAGCCACTCTTTGCGCGGCGACCGTCATCGCCGGATGCGTTTTCCTTATCAGATCGGCCACAAATGTAATCACTTGCATAATCTGATGCAGTGCAGCACCATGCACCGCGCACATACCAGCTCAACTTTGTGGTCGTAACTTCGTGACATTGTCGCCTTCAGACTGTTCTATGATGCCTATGATCATACTATGTAACATCTCTCTTTTGATTTGGCAGGTTCAAACGCGCCAATCGCAATCAACTCCGCTCCCGCTATGCTAGCTCACCACTGAACCTAGACCGCCCGTCTTACAAACGCCTGAAGAAATACACATACGCAAACTTCTTCATCTCATCGATATCGGCAGCCTTAGCTACCTTCTCGTCGTTGAAGAGCACCCACGCAGGATCTTGTTCGTCAGGCAGCTGTTTACGAACGAATGCAACGTAGTGTCCGGCGTGGATAGAGCTGCCCTTATGGCAGACAATGGACTGGAGCTGGAAGTTGGCCGGCAGCTTGTCGCTTCCTGGGACCGACTTCTCCTGATGTGCAGCAGGTGCCTATTCATGTTAGATCGTTGAAGATTTTGATGTGCTATTGACTCACTTCTGCGCTTGCATCATCGCCAAAGTCGCCGGCAGCCTCGGGGTGACTGAACAGCCATTCAACAGCGCGCTCCATATCTCCACCGGTTTCCTTCAGTGCCTGTCGAGCTTGTGGAGCGTTGAAGCCCATGCCACTCAATTGCTCAATCTTTTCTGGATCGACTGCACTCGCGGCACCACCAGAGCCGCCTCCACTACCAGCGTTGAAGTCAACCGGGTCGTCGATATCGGGGTCCTCCATGTGAGCGAAGAGCCATTCTGAGGCTGCCTCCGGATCTTCGTTGCCGGTGGCATGCAGCGCCTTCTCGCATCGCACACGAGGGAAACCCATTGCCTCAAGCATGGACAACGCAGCCTCGTTTGGCGTCCACTTGGAGGAGCTACCGGCACCGCCATCATCGGGCAGGACCTCTTCGTTGTCCTGCAGGCCGTGCGACTTGTATGCATCAAAAGGAATCTCCTCGTCACCAACAATAACCGGAACATCTTGCTTTGTTGGCACCCAGTTCACGATCTCAAAGCGACGTGCGTTGACAGCCAAAACTGAAGGAAACGTCTTGAACAGGCTCCTCTTCGTGAAGCCATCCTTGCTCCCGCACGAAGCGCAAGTGAGCTCAACTATCTCTTCAGCAGTGAAAACGTCTAGACACTCCTTCAATGTGACAGGCTCGAACTCTTCCTTCTCCTTTTCTTTGCCCAGGCTGTCTGTAGCGTCCATCTGCGCCTCTTTGGGCACCCTCCGAATTGGGACGGGGATAGAGATGTTTTCCTGCTCATCTGATCGGTAACGGACTCGCTTGCAGCTGATGCACTGAAGTCGCTGCTCCATGGCAAACCTGAAAGCATCGACAGGGTCCTTGGAAGGCGCAACATGCTGTGATCTGGAAATGAGCTTGAGCAGGTGGAGTAGCAGCTCGAAAGCATCCTGCTGTCGCATCGTTGAGAACTCCGCGTGCCCTCGACCGATCAAGTGCTTGAGCATGGCTGGGGCAAGACCGCGCTGGTGTGGAGCTTCGGGCGTGTGCTCGGTGACGACGACATCGCTGTCTGGCTTCGAGTACCGCCCCGAGATCAGACCATCGGCGACCTTGCGGAGCTGGGTTTCCAGATCTTCAGCAGGAAGCGCTGCGTTTGGTGGGCGTTGCTCCGGAAGGTAGTATCGGTCTCTGAACTCCGGTATCGCGAACAGCGCCTGCAGTGTGCTGTTGAGGTAGCAGCTATTGCCCAGGTTCTTGAGTCCTGTGAAGTCTGAGCCAAACAGAGGCTTCAGCTCCTTACCATCCTCTGTTGTCATTGAGAACTCCCATCGCAGATTCTGCTCAACCTGCATCTCGGTCAAGCTCTTCTCCGTCTTCACTCGGTCCTTGATGTTGATACCCCAGTGTGCCAGATGATTCGGTAGTTCTGGGTCAACTCGCTCTTCGTCGCAAGCATAACAGTAGATGTCTGCAGTGCCATCGGCAGTGAGGGAACCCAGCTTGACGGCGACGGGGTGTCCTGTCGACTTCGTGTGTCCAACACCGTGCGAGTTGCCACCAATGCCGCCAAACTGTTGTCGCCCGCAGCCGAGGTTGCCACAACTCAAACAGAGCCACAGATTCTCGCCGAGTTCGCACTCGGAACAGTGCCCTAGAGCACCAGACTCGATCTGTCGTGCCTCTTGCTGTTCTAAACACAGTGTGTGCTCGCAAGCCGTCATCTCCTGCTCCCACGCCTTGACTTCCTCCTGTCTGGCAAAGGTGTTGGCCTTGAGAACCGCGTCGACTAGCTGTGGGAGCTTTCCAGAGCTCTTGTCCACCTCATCAATGCCACACTCGTAGCACTTGACGGTTGTCTTAGTGTCGTAGCGGTCGGTTTCAGTCTCAGCGGCAATCGAGAGCTTTGTCATCTTTGCCGGCGGTTCCGAGTCACGAGTGACTTGCTTGCGAGTGCGCTTGATGTTCAGAACAAGCGGATGGGAGGTTCCTGATACATGGAGGATAGAGTGGCTGCGGTCGGCGGTACACCCACCGTTGAAGCAGTAGAGGCATACATCGAGGCCAGTAGGATCGTCCTAGATCGTCAGCTTTGAAGCGTTCAAGGTACGGGGCTAATTACTATTGAGTCGAAGCACTGTGTGCAATCTTCACGATAAACAGACTGGGTTGGACCAGGCGGTCGAAGCTCTGTAAACATGTAAACATAATTGCGGGGTGGGCGGCAAAGCGGGCTTCTTACCTGGCGCGTCTACGTGTACGCACGCCATGATGTTTACAGTGACCTTGAGGTTTGAAGCCTACAAGTGACGGAGAAAGGTGAAGGAAAGGCAATGCGGGAGAGTTAAGAGCGAGGACAAACGCGTGGCGCGCCTGCAGTTTGCTGCCGGTCCCTGGCGATCGGCAATGACATAGCTCCAGTGTGGGGCAAGGTTGCACCCCTCGCCCCCGAGCTTTTCCTCCAGCTGTCAGGCAGATGCTTTCCCAGTCCTTTGCTTTTTCAAGTAATATTCTTTTCTCAGGCTTCCAGAATGTCGATTTGTCAGTCGTCACTCTTGGCACAAGCACTTTACATCCATTTCACGACACTGTTCGTTGCAATGCATCCACTCTTTCGTTTATTACTAAGCTGATCTACACGATCAAATAAAGACTGGTGATCACGCTGGGTCCGATAAACAGTCCAAACCAGAAGATGCCGTTTCCTAGCGTGTGCTTTTCCTTCATCCACCTTGTCTTCATGAAGGCCGCAAGAGGCAGCTGCGTCAGCTGGAATGTGAACAGATATCCTCTGATCTTGTGGAAGATACAAAACATAAGAACTTCGTGTACGATGGCGCTGAGTAGAAATGTGAAGAACGTAGCCTGCATCTTGGACAGGTGGAAGAATGAGATGGATGAGTGGTACACGTGGCGCAGGAGGAAATTGTGAACTGGCCTGTTCCAATCGCGTGCATACTGATCAAAACTCACGCTGTTCCACCAGTCGCCGTAAAAGTCACGGTCGGCGAACCGCGTGATCTCGGCCAACACGTTAAGTAGACACTCCCAGATAACATACCAGGAAAGGAGCTGCTCGAGAAGCATGGGAAACAGCATATCGCTGACGACCCAAGGGAACTCTTTCCATCGCTCGTCGAGCGACATGCCTGCCTCCTTCTGTCTTGTGGTCTCGACAACGACGGGATAGATGTACGCTTGCGACACAACGACCATGACCCAGATGACTCCCAGTGTGGCGGCAGCCTTCTCGGCTACGTACCACCAGTTGATCCTTTCCTGACGAGGGTACTCGAGATCGTAAACCAGGGTAGGTAAGCAGGTCCACTCGATGAAGTTGTACAATGTCAAGTTATTAGGATACATGTTGGCGGTTGTCGAGCATTTGCCGCGAAGTTCTTCGTCTAAGATCGTGACTTCGGTCGTGAGAATACGATGGAAAGTCTGTATTTGCTCGCTGTCCAGTGCCTCGTTGGTCTCGATAGCTTGGCCAATAGACGCAATCTGCGACTCCTCTGTCGAGAAGTCGGTAGAGTACTTCGGACCGCGGCTTTTGCGATGCGTCAGCGTATTGTCTTCTGAACAATTGACACCAGTTGCTGATAGCGTCGCAGCACTTGGTAAAGTTGGCGAGAGGCCTTGTTGAGCGTTAAGGTCATCAAGCTGATGAAGCTTCTGTTCGAGCAGGTTACGCCTGCGATAAACGCGTGATACTAGAATCATCTTAGCAAGCGATGTTCAGAAATAGCCTTGAACTTACAATAACCGTTGTAAAAGGAATACGCGTGCTGCTTCATAAGTAACACAAATACGTGCAAGACAACAAACACTGTGTGCGTCCAGGGCCACTGTCGCCAGAACGTCCAGAAGATTACGAAACCCGTGAAGAACGACTGCCACACGGACTGTATGATCCAGCCTGACTCACTCCACGACAGGTAGCCTGCAGCGATGACCTTGTGTAAGAAGAACCCGAAGCTGGTGGCAGCACACATAGCTGTGTCTGTAGCCAAGAGCACGAACAGGTCGCGGTCTACCATCAAGTGTAATATCTCTGCGTTTCCAAACACTGATCCTTCTTCTTTGTAATTCCGGGCGGCAATCTGTGTAAGCAGCAAGGCCATGGCGATCCAGAACAAGGTGAAGAAGCCGTGGAAAGGCGACTGGGACGCGTTGGGGTTCTGACGATCAAAGGTCGTGAATTGGCGGGTGAAAACCAGATCTCGTATCCTGGCCTTCGATTTCCCGCTCAGCTTCTCCACCTCCTTTTGCATACCGGAGCGCATGATCTCCCGGAGTTCTTCTGCCGTCAGACTGTGTTGAGTCTTCTTTCCCGAATCATCGATTAAGACCCGTATGCTCTTCCTCCTCCTCTTCTCATTTCTGCTCTCATTCCCCTTGTCATCATATAACCCATCTTCGCTCCTGTCAGAAGGTATCGCTGTCGTATTCCCGCTTCGATTGCCGGCGGCATCCATTTTGGTAGATGCTCTCAATTGGGAGACGCCGTCGATATCTGACATGTCTGATGAACTCTCTTGTGTCCACGATCCTTCCCGAGGTGTCTTCGAGAGCCCGTCGAAGGCATGCACGACGGCCGAGGGTCGCCGTTCGCTGTCGTTTGTAGACATCATGGAATGTTTGGACAATGTCCAAAAACCGCTCAGATGGGTGAGATTTAATGTTCAGGCGACCGTCATGTGGGTTATGAAGGAGCTTTGACACGAACTCTGATGTGTGCGGAGCCGTGACGACAACATCGGGATCTAGGGGCGAGTAGGAATCGGCAGGGAAGTGCGAGGACCACAGGCCAGCTTTAAAATCGATATGGTGCACGCGACTTCTAGCATCTACTGAAGCTCGCGGGCAAAACGAGCAGGGCCTTGCGATGGTCATTCCGAAAATCCAGTAGTAAGCCAGGGTCGGCGATGACGCATGATCGTCGTACCTGCCTCCGCAATTCCATCTCGAGCTACAGGGGGAAGCAGCCGCACGCCACACCATGTGGCTGCAGCTGCACTTCAAATCACGTGTAGGAGGTCAGACTTCTAATAAAGTCCTGCACAACGACGTGACACGACCTTGGCTTCTTCCAACCCGGCCCGCCAATCTCGGTTAGGACGGTGGTGGCCTTGACTTCTGCTTCTTCTGAATAATGGCTGGCCTGACGGACACAGCCTCGCTGGGCTCTCTGGGCTCTCTGGATGCGGTATACACCTCGAAAACTTCATCATGAGACCTCTCACCGGTCACTGCAGATCGCGTATATGGTATTATCATTCATATAGAACACGAAATAACTACATCACTTCTTGAAGGAACTGGGCTTTGGTCGTCAGGCGGCCTACTCAGCCTTGACCTCTTGCCAATTGTGCCTTTGAAGTCTCGCGTGGAGCATATCAGCATCCTGGAAAGGCGCCCTCGCGGCTAACCAAGCCTTTCAGCCCCCTTGCGAGTCGGAAAGCCAAGATGGACGACACGAGGAGGCTGCAGCAGGCGGGCAGGCATAAAGGCACCGTTGGGCTGCTGTTACATGGACATGTTCTTTCCAGCCTTACAAGCTACACCACCAAAGGTTGTCCGCGCTCTTCAACAAGACCAACATGGCACGCGGTTATGTTTCTAGCTCTTCTAGGTCGAGATGCTTCGACAGTTACTGGCGCTACCGACCCGAGGCTATAGCCGATTATGCTCACGCTGTCGTCTTTCTTGCCGTCTTCCTAGGCATCCTCGTTACACTATGCGTTGTCCGTAAGAGAGCTGGAGCTGGAAAGCGTTTGATCGGTCTCGCCTACATTGGCGCTCTGTCTCTCGTGGCCATGTGAGTTTCAAGCTATCGGAGCAAGATACGCAACAGCTAACAGGCAACAGCCAATACGCCTTCCAATTCATCATGAGAACCCTCAGCGCTTGCGAGGTACTCAACGACAACAGATCCGCCTTCAACACCAGCATTGCAGGTCTGGTCTTGTCCTGGATCTCGACCATGCTGCTCTTATACGTCGTCTTCTACCTTTTGAACATGATGCTCCGCAAACAACTCGGCCAGAACCTGTCCGTCCTCAGAGTCGTCTTTGGGATCGACTTGTTCATCCTTGGTGTTCTGCTTTTCACCTATACCGTCATGCTCTGCCAGTACTACTACGAGTTGGGTCGGAACGACTACTTCAATCCTGGCGTCAATATTGCCGCAGCCATATACATCAGCCTGGCGTTCGACGCGCTCCATGTACTCAGCATCATCGGTTCCGGAGCCCTGTCCGTGCTCGCAGTGAAGTCTCTCAGGCAGAGGAGCATGGCTCAAAGTGTACGTCCCTCATCCTGGCTTCACCGGTTGGCAGAACTAACACGCGAGCAGTCTCTTCTGGCCTGGGTCGCTCTCTTGCATTTCTCGCTCCTCGTCAGCGCCGTGTGGTCCCTCACCGCGACTGCCATCCAAGTGGGCGGCGGCCTTTACTACGGAGAGATCGCCTACACGGTCATGTCCTGGATCTCCTCCACCTTCTATGCTCTGGCGTTCGTCATCATTATTGTCATTGCGAGGAACCCTGTCTGGGGGTCGACTGCAGACACTGTCCAGCAGCAGTACGCGTACCACCAGGAGGACCCTGTGTTTGACGGTGCGCAGCGCGCATGAGCACGAGGTCTGATACGATGACGACCCTGACGGCCGCTTCCCTAGTCACTTGGCCTTGCTTTCGTTGTGCGGCGGCTGGTCTGCTAGAATAGATATCCCCATGACAGTATAAATTACACCGCTCCTAATATATACAATCCTTCCCATCGCTCCTAATATATACAATCCTTCCCATCGATCTCCGGTCCAAACATCACTCGTCATCTGACTCCATATCATCAAACAGCGTGAAGCCACCGGCCGGCGGGGCAGCAGGCGCAGCGGACGCAGCCTGTGGCGGAGGACCCTGCTGAGCGCGTTGGTCCTGGACGTGCGGCTCTGCCTGCACGTCGGCAGGCTTCTCGGTAGGCGCCTCGGGATCATGCTCAAACGCCTTCCTCTCCGCCTCCTCGTGGGCCTCGATGTCAAACTCGTCCAGATTGCGCCCGTGCTCGCGGTAGTAGTACAGTTTCCACAGACTGCCGCGCCGGATCTTCTCCGCGTGGGGCCAGGGGAACCAGGGGTGTCCGCTGTCCTTGAGCTTCTGCAGCCATTCTGCTTCGGCGGCGGAGATTTCGGGGACGGCGGCTGCTTCTTCTTTCTTTTCTTCTTCTCCTCCTTCTTTGGGCGCCTCGCCCTCCTTGCGTGCTTCGGCGGCGCTGTGCGGTGCTTCGGCGGCGCTGTGCGGTGCTTCGACGGCGCTGTGCGGTGCTTCGACGGGTGCGACTGCAGTCGTGGGCGTGTTGAGGCCGTTGGTCGCTGGTGCGCTGGTCGGGGCGTCGAGCTCTTTGGCGGAGTCTTCTGCATCGGGGACGCGCTCGCGGAAGGTCGGCGGGACGGTGTAGCGGGATATGCTTTTCGCGTACTGCAGGAGCTCGTCGAAGGGGACGGGCCGCGAGGCGGCGGGGAAGACGGTCGCGGGCGTTTCGGAGAGCTCTCTGCGCAGGCTGGCTAGCGCTGCGACGGAGGACTTGAGCTGCTCCTCGAGAGCTTCGGCTTCGGCGCGCAGCGTCTGGAGGCGCGCGTGGTTTGCCTGGTGTCTGGCGACTGTCTGCGTTAGTCGCCGTGGACAGCGGTGGCCTGGCGTTCACTCTTACGCTGGTCGAGGCCATGGCTGAGCTCGTTGTCCGCGGCGACCAGGTCGACTGCGGCCTGGGGATTGGGGTTGTAGGACGCGATCGAGTCGACCAGCGTGCCCAGGGCTTGCTCGACCCGGTCGAACTGGGCCTGCAAGACGTCGTCCATGGCTGCGAGGCACGTCGTATAGACTCTAGACTCTAGAGCGAGCAGGCGCGACAAGGGTCTGGCGGCTAAGAATACGACGGCAACGGTCAGACTAATTACCGTAGCCCAGGAACAAATGCTGAAACGCAAAACACCGAGCCCTCAATGGCACGTGACGGCCTGGTCTTGCACAACCAGGGCGTCGCAGCACTGCAGCTCGCTGTTGCGCATGAATGCGCATCGAGCTCACAAGCTGCAAATCATCGGGCAGGCCGCTGACTGCCCTGTGGGCGCTGACTGCCCTGTGGGCGCTGACTGTCCTGTGGGCGCTGACTGTCCTGTGGGGTGCTTGGGGTGCTTGGGGTGCTGGTTCGGGACGGAGACCCCCGAGCTATTCCTGTCGGGACCAGGCCAGACTACCTTCCCGCGCGCATTCGTCATAACACCATGTGTCGCTCCGAGTTCGCCAGCAACCAGCCGGCTGCCCTCGATAGCATCCTCACACTCTCCCCGCCCCTGTGACCTCAAAATCGCATCCACCCCCAGACCCTACGTACCCGTTCCTGCGTGTCGCTGCTGCGCCTCGCTCCGTCTGCACCCCGCCAAACCACCAATCGACTGCGCCCGCGGTCCAGAGACGCCCCGCTGCGACGCATCCACACTTCTGCTGCCGCGCCTGACTTCTGCCTGCGGAACCTCGTCCTCTCACCGAAACGCACGTCCGCGCGCGCTCCATCTTCCGCTACACTCCCCAGACCCTCAGGCGAGAACATGGGTAAATCGTAAGTCCTGTCTTCCTTCTTGTTGCACAGCGCGGGGCGAGCGCGCACTGCCACTCCAGCTCTCGGCTACGCCTTCCCTTCACCTCCTCGACACGGCCCGCACCCAGCAAAGACGACTCGAGATGATTCGTCGAGTTTGTGCTTCCGCCGTCGACTGCATACCGAATGCGCCTCTCGCCGACTGCGTCAGTCCACGACATGTCGCCACCGCCGGTGCCATCAGGCGCGTCCAGCATACCTCTACTGGAACGGGCACATCCGCCGCTCAAGTTTGCACGTCGACATGCCGCCAACGTTCCGAACCGCGGCGATCCGGAGTACGGCCACTACAAGTCTGCGCAGCTTGTGGCACTCGCCAACGCCGTCAACGAGCTGTGGAGGGAGCTGTCCGCCCGGAGCGCTGTGCAATACGTGAGACTAGAGAGTGAAACGCTGATGCTTCGAATCTACAGCCAGAGCAAGCTCTCACAGCAGGAGCTGGCCGACCTCCAAAAGGCCACCCACTTCGACAAGAAGGAATTGCAGCAATGGTACAAGGGTACGCGCCGGTCCGTCGAGCTGCCGGGATGTCGCTGACGCCATGCAGGGTTCCTGAAGGACTGTCCGTCCGGCATGCTCACTAAGGAGGAGTTCCAGAAGATCTACAAGCAGTTTTTCCCGTTCGGGGACCCATCGTCGTTTGCAGATTACGTCTTCAACGTCTTTGACGCCGACAAGTCGGGCACAATCGACTTCAAAGAGTTCATCTGCGCGCTCAGCGTTACAAGTCGAGGAAAGATGGAGGACAAACTTGACTGGGCGTTCCAGCTGTACGACATTGACGGCGACGGCAAGATCAGCTACGAGGAGATGCTGGCGATCGTAGAGGCCATCTACAAGATGGTGCGTCCAACATGCTGCCGCTCCAGTACGTGCGCTGACAGATGCAGGTTGGCTCCATGGTCAAGCTCCCCGAGGACGAGGACACGCCCGAGAAGCGCGTGCGCAAGATCTTCCGGATGATGGACAAGGACGAGAACGGCAGCTTAGACATGGCCGAGTTTAAGGAAGGCTCCAAGCGCGACGAGACGATTGTATCGGCGCTGTCCCTCTACGACGGGCTGGTGTAGGCGGGCGCGTCGTTGTTGTTTCTTGTTCTTGGCTTCTTGGATACCACATTGCGTCGTGGAATTTCTGGCATGCGTCGTGGAATTTCTGGCATGCGCTCATTCAGCATGCCGCATGAGGTGGAGGTCTGTCTCGCTTAGGCGTTGGTTCATCATGACTGATGTAGATATGACTTGCTGCATCAGTATGGGCATCCGGGGTGCAATACACAAAGAGTCGTTTCAGTGCTGTTGTAGGAGTTTCTCGACCGATGTAAACCATTCGTGATTGTTTGGTTACACTGGACCCTGCCAATGCCGGGAATGCCGTGGCGGGTGGCCTGCACCGTACTTGGCGATCTGACGCGTAACGTTGGAACTTGTCACGTAGTTGGAGCTTGGACAGGTAGCTTGAGTAACATGATTGCCATTCCCACTTTCTACTTTCCACCATCCAGCGTTGCGCGTGATGCTGAATAGTGCCTGCGCAGTGTCATAGCGGCTGTATAATCCATAGAATTGAACGTCTCCGCCCCACGCATCCCCACGCACCTCGGTCCGTCTCCGCGGCCTGCCTAGAGGCTGAGCTGAGGGCAACGTATTGCAAGAGCACGCTGCGCAACACCCACACCAGGACCGACCCCGGCGGCACACATACGTCCGCAATGCGGCGACTCGACATATCAGTATCCGGCGCAGTCCTAGCATCATTGCTGGCGTTCGCGCCTCTGCCAGCGGCCGCCTTCTACTTCCCAGGAACCGCTCCCACGTCCTACAAGCAGGGAGACGCAGTGCCGCTGTTCGTCAACCACTTGACGCCTGCAGACTCGCAGAACGATCCGAAGCTACGATCCGTCTTCTCGTTCGACTACTACCACGAGCCCTTCCACTTCTGCCGCCCGAAAGATGGGCCCAAATACGTAAGGGAGAGCTTGGGGAGCATATTGTTCGGCGACCGCATACAAGACAGCCCGTTCGAGCTGAAGATGGGCGTGAACGAGACCTGCAAAGCCCTCTGTGGGCCGCAGGAGTATGACTCAAAGGACGCCGTGTTCGTGAACAACAAGATCAAGCAGGGATACGATCTGAATTGGCTCATAGACGGCCTGCCAGCGGCGCAACCACTCAAGGATCCAAACTCAGGCCTGCCCTTTTACAGTCCTGGATTCGCGCTTGGCTTGCTGGATGGAGAGAGCCCCATCTTCAACAACCACTACGACATCGTTATCGACTACCACAAGGCAGGGCCGGACAACTACCGTGTTGTCGGCGTCCTGGTCGCCCCGTACTCGATGAAGGATCCGAAGCAGTCCGAGTGCCAGAACGCGCAGTCACCCATCATACTCAACGAAGACAAGGGCGACAAGGTGGATTTCACGTACAGCGTGTACTGGCGACCCAGCCCTACGCCGTTCGCAACACGCTGGGACAAGTACCTCCACGTATACGACCCGAAGATCCACTGGTTCTCGCTGATCAACTCGGCCGTCATCGTTGTGTTCCTCGTTGGCATGGTCAGCACCGTCTTGGTACGCACGCTTAGGAAGGATATTGCCAGATACAACCGCTTGGATGCATTTGCGCTCGACGACTTTGGCGCAGACGGCAACGTTGAGGATGGCGTCGCAGAGGACTCTGGCTGGAAGCTGGTGCACGGCGATGTCTTCCGGCCGCCAAAGAACCCCCTGTTCCTGTCCGTCCTGCTCGGCAACGGCGCGCAGCTCTTCGCCATGACTGCCCTGACCATTGCCTTTGCCCTCCTCGGTTTCCTGTCCCCCAGCAACCGCGGCGCCCTCGGAACCGTCATCATCATCTTCTACACGCTCTTCGGCTTCATCGGCGGCTATGTCTCCTCACGAACCTACAAGTTCTTCCACGGCGAGAAGTGGAAGCTGTGCTTCTTCTACACGCCCTTCGCGCTCCCCGTCGTCGTCTTCGCCTGGTTCTTCTTCCTCAACCTGTTCCTCTGGGGCCGCGGCGCATCCGGCGCCGTCCCTTTTACGACCATGCTCGTCATCGTCGTCATCTGGTTCATCATCTCCATCCCGCTCAGCTTCGCGGGCTCCTGGCTCGGCTTCAAGCAGGCCGCCATCGACCCGCCGGTCCGCACAAACCAGATCCCGAGACAGATCCCCCCGTCGGGCGGATACCTGCGCCCGCTCCCGTCCATGGCGCTCGCCGGCGTGCTGCCGTTTGGCGCCATCTTCGTAGAGTTGTACTTCATCATGAACAGCATCTGGTTCAGTAAGGTGTACTACATGTTTGGATTTCTGTTCATCTGCTTCGGCCTGATGATCATCACCTCGGCCGCGGTCACGGTGCTGGTGATTTACTTCTTGCTGTGTGCGGAGAACTATCATTGGCAGTGGCGCAGCTTCTTCACCGCGGGCGCCAGTGCCTTCTACGTCTTTGCGAGCTGTTTGCTGTACTGGGCCAAGGACGTCAGCTTCTCGACGCTGACGAGCGGGGTTGTGTATCTGGGCTACTCGGCGCTGCTGAGTTTGCTGGTGTTTGTCTTGACTGGTAGGTCAGACCGGGTCCTTGAGCAACGACGACGCTAACTAACTCCGTCAACAGGCACAATTGGCTTCTTCGCGAGCTGGCTGTTCACCCTCCGCATCTATAGGTCCATCAAGGTCGACTAAGCTGTGCATTTTGTGATTAGTAGCGAGCGTGGGACGGACATGGCCAACACGAACAAACAGTCGACACATGTCGCCTCAACGGCACTCTTGGTCCCCGTGCAAGACTCGCCCGCCGCGGCCTGCGATAGTAGTCCGGCACGACGTCATCTTTGCACAGCCTTGGCCGCCGTCTGGATATCGCTGTTGGAGCCCTTGTCCTCACACTCGGCATCTTTAGTTTTGTAAGGGTAGACTCGCACGGCGTCCCGGCGTCGAACGATGCATTGCAGGTGTTTCCTCGTGTGTAAAACCCGCATTGAATAAAGCGTTGCTGAAACGAAGATTGAGGCTAGGGGTAGTGCGCTGAACAGCGCGGTTGAAGTGCGTGTCGAACTTGCTCGCCTCGATGCTCCCGTGCTTCTCCCATCGTGTATCCGGACTCGTCTGCTTACTTGTCTCTGCTGAATCAGACCCGCTGCGGTTGATTGGCGTTTGTCCGCCTTCCTCTGGCAGCCATCGTGAATGTGAATCACCGCCGTTCGAAGGCCTTGTCCATGCAGAAGAGGAAACACGCAGCTCTTGTTAATAGCAGTATGTACATTACTCACCAAGATCGAAAAGTGAACCACGAATCCCCTACCCCCGAGCCTGCGAAGCGCAAGCTCCCAAGCCGCGTGCAAATACACCGCTGACGAGCAAGGCATGAGTTCGTGGTTCTGCTTCTTCTTGCGACGCGCTTGCTCTGGTGCTTCTAGTAAGCCGTCATCGTCTGCAGCGTTCCGTTGGATGAAAACTCGACGTTATGCTTGTCTTGTGAAGTGCGCAGCGGGACCGCCAGGTCGTACGCAGCAAGAGGAAGACGGCCAGCAACCGTGACATGGGGCTGCGCAACGCTTCGACGAGATTGACTCGGTACTTTTGAGTTGCTTGCCAGCTTGCCGATGTTGGTGCTGGTTGCTGCAATGAGTGGAGAAAGTCTGTGTCAATCGAACGCGGTTGCATGTTGTAGGGTTGAAGTGCCTCGGAACAGCTGCTTCATTCGTACTGGAAGGTGCGCCAGAAAGCCTCGTGGCAAGGGCTCTTCAACGTGGCATGGGGCACGCCAGATCGTAGTGACTTGTACATTTTTACCTAATCCCCTATGCAGCCAGCGATCCATGTCAAAGCCACCCCAAGAGTCCAGTAAATGTCCCAAGACGCCCACTAAACGGGGCAGCAATGAGCTATGTATACTATGTCCAGCCCATCCGACCTTCCCAGCGGACAAGGTGATAATCAACAAACCTTCCAATATCTTCAAGACATTATCAACTAGTAAAACGACCTGGTCCACTTCCACGTCACAGAGGACGCAGATGTAAACACAAGTCTGGGTATAAACACCGAAAGCAAATAAAGAGATCTGTACTGCGCCGCTGCACATAGATACAGATAGAGAGCTTGTCAGGTGCAGTGCAGAGAGTAGAAAGTAAGCAAAAGCGTAAATGTCGAACAAAGCGAGTGATTCGACCATCAAAGGAAATCGCAAAAATGCTCCACATAATCTTCATGAAAGATCGCTAGCACAGGCTCTACAAGGCCATACCAGGAACCGGCTTCCTGCTAGGGACAGCACTGGCCATCGGTGCTGGGCCAGGGCCGGCATTGGGATTCATGGGGCTCGGACCAGGGGCGGGTCCACGACGAGCGCCGTTGACCTGGCCAGCGGAATTTGACCTTGGGCGACCCATCTGAGGCGGAGGGGCCATGGGTCCACCGCCGTAGGGACCTGGAGACATTGAGCGAGGAGGGCCGGCGTACGGGGCGTTGCTGTTTGAACGACCGCGTCCCTGAGGGGAGCCAGGATAGGGAGCGTTGCTATGCGCGCGGTTACGGGGAGGGCCCTGCATATGAGGAGGGGGCATCTGGCGAGGACCAGGGCTCATGGAGCGAGGGCCAGGGGACATAGGACCATTAGCGGGTGACAGGGTAGGTGGGTGAGGCGAGCTGCGGCCGTCAGCAGGAGACATCGGGCGAGGTTGCGGAATTCCACCCGGACCCATTGGCGAACGGATCGGGGGGCCGCGCATGTGTGCTGGAGGTGGTCCTTGGCGAGGTGGTCCAGTACGGGGCTTGACCGGGTGCTTAGACAGGCAGGTTCTGGGTACAACACCTTGTTGGGTACGGTCCATGCTGATACACAGAGCCTACGTTGTGTTAGTATGTGCACAGAAGGATCGCTCACGAGACTTACCCATCCATCATCATACTCGTGGAGCATGCGAGCCAGTGACCCGGCCTTGAGCTCAAGCTCATCAGCCATGGAAGGCTTGAAGTCAAGCTGTACACGGTGAACATTGTTAGGACCAGGAGGAGGACCGTTAGGACGGCCACCAGCAGCACCTGCGGCGCCAGCAATCATCGGCGTACCCATAGCGGGTGACGAAGGGACATCTTCTGTCCAAGCTGGGCTTGCTGGAACACCATCGGCGTTGTTCATGCTAGGGGGTGCAGGGAAGTCATGCTCTGGCATGGGGACATTCGACATTGCGGTAGCGACTGCCACTGCATCGACTCCAGTGGTAGGAGCGGGGGCTGACGCAACGCGAGCATCAAGGTCAGTGCTTGGGGCAGCCGAATGCTGAGGAGGAGAGTCGGGAATGCTTGCATGCGCGGAATCAACGGCAGCGCTGTTACCGAAGGGATTTGCTGGGGCTTGACTGCGGGCAGGTGTTTGAGGGTCATTGAATGGGTTGACAGCCGGATCAGCGCTGGCAGCTCCACGACGTTCCCAAGCACTGACTGAGCGGTCATCAGAAGGTGCAGCACGGTCATGAGAAGCGGCGGCGGCGGCAGCAGCAGGAGCGGCAGCCGCAGCCGCAGCGATGGTAAGCAGATTCCCTCCACTCTTGCGTTGCTCGTTGAACGTGGGGTCGAATTGGGTTACCGGTCGAAGGCTGAGGCGGGGCGCGGTAGACATGGTGCGGATGCTGGGGGCAGCGGCGGCTGCGCCCGTTGGGACCTGGGGAGGTAGCGGTGCAGGCGCATCGTGCATGCCAATCTTCTCGTTGTCCTTCTCTCCGGCCATGGCGTTCTTCTTGCGGCGATAGATAAACAAAATGCCCGCAAGTAAGGCAGCTACACCGACCAAGATACCAAGAGCAAGACCGGCCTTAGCACCGCCAGACATGCCGTCGCTCTCCGAGGCAGCGGAGGTAGGGGTGGCGGAGATAGAAGCAGTGGCAGAAGCAGTGGCAGACACCAGGGCACCAACCAGCGAGCCCGAATGAGAGGCAGTGGGGGACTTGGTCGCAACCAGCAGAGTAGATTGGTCCTTCGTTGCTTTTGCGGTCGACGTTTCCTCGACTTCCGACCCGGTGGTGTGTGTTGGTGTTGTAGACGCAGGCCTCCTCGATGTGGAAGTCGCTGTGGCTCTAGCGGATGTCGTGTGGTCATCATCATCGTCGTCGTCTGTTGCGCTTGACAGAGGTCTTGTTGCTACGGCGGGCGGGACAAGTGTCTTCGTGGGATCGGCCTGCACTGTGATCCAGTCGACTCTGCCAGTGTAGGTGTTGGACATCGTGACGAGGACAGTCTTTATCTCAACTGGATCATCGTCCTCTTCTTGGTTGCGCTGACGGCGAACGTGCACGTGTCCGTGTTGATGCGTCATTTTGCTCCCAAGACGCGTTGATTATCGATCCAAGTTGTGGGAGTGGTGTAATTACGGGCCGTGTTCGTTCGTGGTAGAATATAGTGGGCGCGTCGAGTGAGTGAGTCCGATTCACCTCCTCGTTTCGGTTTGAGTTTGTGATTACGTAGTGTTGTGTTCAAACGCGAAGGATTGTCAAATATTTACTACAGCTGTGGCTCAAGGGAGTGAAGGCTGTGTGCTGTAAGGAATGTACAGTTGGCTCTGGCCTCGGCGCGTCGGCGTGCTGGAATGTTGATAGTAGACTAAGTACTAGACATAAAGAGTGAGAGCTATTGGTAAAAGAGTGTAGTGCCGAAGTCGCGCACAACGGTTGAAAGAAGCACGACAGCCTGGCCGCGGGCAGGAAGGTCGGTCAGTGAAGGTGAGAGAACGGCAGAGGGCGCGAGAAGGAGCGACCCGGCCTCAAGCAGGGCAGGCGCATAGGGTCGAAGGGAAACACGGCAGAGCAGCCAATCGTCCTTCGAAACGTTCGCGTGCCTTTAGTGGACGCCGCCCTGAAGTCTGTGCTGTCGTTCATCATTCCACAATCGGAGCTAGCGGCGGCCTAGAGCCAGGTACGCTTTACGTTTGATTCGCTGCTTGTTTGCAATTTCCCGGGATGCTGATGAGCTCAAGCTTTTCTTCTCCTTCAGCTTCTGGGTGGTGCAGTTCGCTGTGCTGGAGCCCTTGTGCGCATTATCCCAGCGTGTTTGAGGCCGCGAAGGCGTCTGGAGGATTTTCACGATTCGGAAAGACGGAAGGGTGGGTCGCTTTACAAGATGAGAGCACGAGAGCAGCTGCTGAGGATCTCCAGCCTCCGCCGCATTCCTCGTGCGGCTGATCGATCACTCCAGCCACGGGTCATGGTCAGATTTAATGACGTGGATTCGGGACTTGTGGAGCCAGGAATTGTTTGCAGCTGTCAGATGGTGTGTCGTTGCCCAGGAAGCGGAAGCATGCGGCCTTCGTCCTAGGTTAAGTTGCCAGATTAAGCTGTGGGGTGGACGACTCGTAATTTCGGCGGTCTCCAGTGCTCATCAAACAGACAAAAGAGATCGAGGCAGTGCAGGCGTGAGAGAGGTCGTCTTGTAGCGCACGCGCACGACAGCCAGGAAAAAGACGGCTACCTGTACATTGTAGATAGCAGCTTACCTACAAAGTCGGTATGTAGATAATCATGAGTTTAGATGCGACCAAGGCACGTGTCGCTCTTGGTCTACCCGCGTGCACGACCCTGCGTTCCCCACAAGGGTCTGAAACAAAGGCCACAAACGATCAGGAAGGCCTACTGACAGGTACGGCAAAAATGATGCCCTCTGCCAGAATCGAACTAGCGATCTTATCATTGCACACCGAGGTAGTACTAGTGATACGCTTTACCACTAAGCCAAGAGGGCCCGATGCCAGTCGGGCACGGGGGATTCCAACGCTGTTGGATTGACTTGTGATCGAGCAGCGACTTAGTAGTATTATATATTCAATATTTGTGAGAAACAACATTATTTCGAGCGGGCAGCACGTAAAAAACATGAAATTGCGATCTTATTGAGTTTGTTGATGTCGGTAATTCGATTTAGAAAGCTCTGCTGTGTGGAGCTAAGCGAATCCTCGGCATGTTCCCGCAGTGTGTTCTTCTCACCTGCCGACGTTTCACCGTCTAGGCAGGCTCCAGCATGTGTTCATATACCTGCTTCACTTGACCACCCCACAGAGGCAGCTATCTTCAGCCAGTAGTCGGAGCCTCGCTTTTCAGCCATTAGAGAAGTTCATTCGTTAGCCCGGGACTGCCTGACTGGGGCCTGGCCTGATTGGGCAGGAGTGTTGATCCTAATACGCTCTCAGTGACTGCTGCGTACTACCTCATCCGTCTATATGTACGTGTTCGTAGAGACTCCGGATCCTGTTATTAAGGCAATTTCAAGCTCCAACATGTCATGTACCTGCGTGTCAGAAGATCACGATTCGTATCGAGTCGAAAATTGATGACGGTACCTCTATTGTTTATGTTGAGAACTTGTAAATGCAAAGGCCTGCTACAGATATGCTCTTGTTCTGTGATGATGAGACAATTCGCCGTATTCCTTTGCTATCGACATGAATTCCTTCTGACCACAGGTGACGAATTTTCCGTCACCGAGGCAGATCAATTACTCAACCTTGCCTCACCTTTCGCAGGGTCACGATATCGCACTGATGTCTGGGGCGGTTATTGATGACGCGGGTTGTGTATCCGCAGAGTTATCGTGGACGATGTTGGGAGCGGATTTGCACTTGGCTATAGAAGGTCTTTCTGTTGAAGTCAGATGTAGATGATCTCGCCAGCAGAACAGAACACATGCCCTATTTTGCATAGACCATCACGGTGAATAAGTTGGTACCTGATCGAAGAGCGTGCAAGATACAAGTCTGCTGATAATTGTGCCTTGTGGGATGATGAAATACATCACGCTGCGTTACCCATCGTCGTATATCGCCGGTTCCATTGAGTTGATAGCAACAACTTTAGAAGCTCGTAAGTGTTGAACCACTTTCCAGTGTTCTTGAAGCAAGCCGTATACCCATGTGCTTATCATAGCCAGATGGCCGAGCATCAGGATGGTGTGCGTCGATGAGCTGAGAGCCTCCAGACTGTGAGGAGCATAGAAGAGCCATCGAGTGTAACTAGAGGTATATGTTACGATATCCGTTGAGAGGACGTTGATCGCAATGTGTTGTTCTATGCGCCTATGAAAATGAATCGTGAAGTGTGGAGCCCCGGATTTTCAGGTTCAGCTAAAGGTTTTCAGGTACCCGTCCGGCGATGGCTGCATGTCTGTTAGCCGTTGAGTCTGGCGGTGCGTCTGTCGGCGCGCTTCGCGTAACCACATCCAGGGACTGCGGCGATCATCCGGAGTCTTGTTTTGGCTATCTTGCCTTCGTCAGCGCAGAGCGATTGTTGCTGGAGATTTCGAGCAATCGTCTCTGACCCACTTCGGACTTCTGGAAGATGGACTTGCAGAGCAGGTGAGTACGTCGGTCTGGAGGGGCGATTTGATTTGCCTCGGCACACGCACGCCGGGCCTCGCTCGGCTGCGACGTGGACCAAGCTCCGGAGACCTGGAGCTCACATGCCTAAACACCCGTCGCTTTCTTCCAAATCACACAACATTTTCAACTTGATCTTTTACGCAAGTACCCTCTCAGTTTCTTGTCTAAGCATCTCTGAGCTTCTTTGAGCTTCATCGCACGTATTTCGCACGTAATTCCTCACTCGTAGCGCCATGTCCACCACCACACAGAAGGTGGCCGAGAAGCTTCCCTCGAAGGAAGAGCTCAAGGAAGATGTCAAGAAGGCGACCAAGTCTTCGGTCCAGTCGCTTCGCGCGCTTGTTGCTGGAGGTGTAGGTGGTGTCTTTGCTGTGGTTGTGGGACACCCGTTCGACCTAGTGAAGGTGCGAATGCAGACTGCTGAGAAGGGTGTCTACACTGGTGCGATGGATGTTCTGAGGAAGGGAATCGCAAGAGAGGGTCTGGTAAGAGGACTGTATGCAGGTGTATCCGCACCTCTCGTAGGTGTAACACCCATGTGTAAGCATTCACACCCACCTTGTAGTGCCAAACTGCATGCTGATTGCGCGCAGTCGCTGTTTCCTTCTGGGGTTACGATCTCGGCAAGCAGCTCGTAACTTCCGTCTCGACGGTCGAGAACGGCCAGTTCAGCGTTGCTCAAATCTCCGCCGCCGGTTTCTTCTCTGCCATTCCCCAAACCATCATCACCGCACCCTTCGAGCGCGTGAAGGTGCTTCTGCAGATTCAGGGCCAAAAAACGTTGGCTCCGGGTGAGAAGCACAGATATAACGGTGGTGTGGATGTTGTCAGGCAGCTATACAAGGAGGGTGGAATTCGTTCGGTATACCGTGGCTCTGCCATGACGCTTGCACGTGACGGTCCAGGCTCAGCGTTCTATTTCGCAACTTACGAGACTGTCAAGAGGAACCTCACGCCCAGGGATCCAGTTTCCGGCCGGCCAGGAGAACTCAGCATGCCCGCCGTCATGGCCGCTGGCGGTGCTGCTGGTATCGCCATGTGGATTCCTGTCTTCCCTATTGATACAATCAAGTCCCGCTTGCAGAGCGCTGAGGGCCGGCCAACCATCAGTGGCACGATAAAGGGCATTTACGCGAACGGCGGTTACAAGGCCTTCTTCCCTGGTATTGGGCCGGCGATGGCCCGAGCTGTCCCAGCCAACGCAGCCACCTTCGCTGGTGTCGAGCTTGCCCAGAAAGCAATGAGGAAGATGTTTGACGACGATGACCAGTAAAAGTGTTCTAGCACTCATGATAAATTTCTTCTGTCACTTTCGAACTTCAGTACCCCTGGCGGTATCGCTGGCATTCGATTCTTTGTTGTCCAAGTACTGTATAGAGGAGGGCTGTTCTAGATCAGGATATACCATTGGTCACGATTCGACGATTTGCATGTACAAAGTAGCTCCAATTTGCAGTCATGCACCATTTTAGCCACTAATCTACCTTCTGACGTCTCAGACGAACCACTCATCAAGGGAGGATTACGGAATGCGGCTACTACAACACCACTTTCGGAAGTGCATTCCACATCAGCAACCCCAACTTGACCCTACCATAGCCCCGGGTCGAGAATCTCCGAAAACAGATCTGCAATCTTATATACGTTCCTTCTTTGTTATGGTTGATCTCCCGCGGACAGTTCTCCTCTCGCTCGTAGAACACCCGTGAGCTGTCACGTTGTGTCCTTCGTCCCCCGGACTATTCTTTTGGAGACCGGTTTCAAAAGGCGACATAATAGGACCAAGTTCTTATTGTACAAGAAGGTGGTGTGCCTTAAGCTCGCCTTCAACGCCACACGCCGGCCAGAAAGTGGACCGTACGAACATATTAACGATGGATTCCACACAGCCACCGGACGCTTTCGAGATGGACGACACGAAGCCTAAAATATCTTTTCTCAAGCAGCATCCCGTGTTACCGCTCCTTCCGCTGTCCTCTGGGCCACCAAACGCAACGCAGACATTGATTGTCAACTACCCAGCCGCAAGAATATCGTCCAGCCCGGCATCCTCGCCGAACATCGTCGAACCGACCATCGAAAGAAAGGGGTCTGTCCATCCGACACTGGGTAACTCGATGGAGCGAGGTGTGTCTCCTGGTGTCGACTTTTTCGACGATCAGTCTTCAGGGTCTGAGTGGGAAGATGCGGATGACGAGGATAGGACGCAGACGTTCTCAGAAGACGGAGGTGTCGGACTTAATCTGGGCAGCTTAGTACACTCGCCAGTCAGATCATACCGCGGATCTAGAGGCAGGAGCCGCGAGAGAGGTGCGTTGACCGCATTACCGCCGTTCGAACAGGAACTTCGACGCCACACTCTAGACAATTCGAGCCATACAGAACCAAAGAAAGCAAGACATGTGTCTCTTACTCGGATGGAGAAAGCCAACGTCAAAGTTGTTCACAACTATGGCTCAAATGCCAGCACCCCACGGGGCTCCATTACGAGCAATGCGAGCGGGCTTACCGCCACGCAATTTCCAGAGATAGGGAAACCGTATCCCATAGATGCGAGGAGCGGAGCAGCCGTGTCGCAGGACAATGTTCAAGGCCGCCATCGCCGCGATACCTCAGACAGCGTCATTGCAGACTCAATCATCAACGCCCATCTCACTACAATGCAAGCGCTGAAGGCCTTGTCGCCTTCTTGTTCAATTCCCGAGATATCTGGTCACTCATTCTACTCGGCGACCACCTCCGAGCTACCTAAAGCTAGATCATTCAGCGATGCTCGACACATCAAACTCTCACCAATCTCGGTCAAAGACCGCTACAACCTGCCAAGCCACTTCGTCAAGACTCCATACCCCTTCACTGCGAAGAAAGAATTCCCAAAACCCGCGACTAGGCCACGACATCACAATGCAGATGGGCGACTAGACAGCGGCTATGGTGGGGATAGCGGATACGGAGGCGAAGGGTCGAGGAATGAGTATTCAAATATTAAAGGGAAACACGTCCTGGGTCTGGTACCCAGCGGTGGTCAATACGATCTGCAGAGCCACCTAGAACGCAACGCTGAAGCGCGAGGAGTCTTCCAGACGCAAGATGAGCACGATGATCTGCAGAGCCGCGAAAGTGTGTTGTATCTGAGCCTGCAGAAGCACCAGAAGATGGTGAACAGGGAACGAGCAAGGATCGTCATACCCAGCGACCTTGCAACAACCTGCCCTGATCGTCGCCAGAACATCGACTTTGACGACAAATACTTTGCCGAGCGTCTGCAGTTGGCGCACAACGAAATCACTGGTTCATGGGTGAAGCGGTTCTTCAGTGCAAGGAGATTGCGATACATTCGCCTCTACCAGAGTAGCGCATGGAGTGAGTCGCCTCCTATCTCTGCTGAGCCTGAAGCAGGTGCGAGCAGACTACTAGCAACAGGTTCCGGCACAGACAGCGAAGCCGCTACCTTCACCGAAGACAAACTCATGCAACTGTACAAGCATCCAAAGTCAGGGAAGGCGAGGTACACATGGGTGCACTGGGCGCGACGGGTCGCAATATCCCACACCTCGTCACAGTCCCGACCGCACACATCAGATTCAAGTCATCCGACATCTTATCAAGAGAGCTCGGACGGGAAGGAGGGCAATGTCATACGCTATGCCCTTCACTCGCCGGCAGATACCATTACCACAGTCCAATTTGTCCATACACTTTCGACTCTACGGATTCTGGTTGCTCTGACATTGATCCTGGTCACCAGCGCGCTAGGCGCATTGCTATGGGTCTTCCTGGGAGTGGGAAGCGGATGGATGGGCGACTTCGGCATGCAAAGCGCAAACAGAGTGGGCAGTGGCATGGCTGTTGGCATGCTGGCGCTTTTGCTTGAGTTGTTGGGTTTTGCCGTGTGGGCGTGGCGGAGTTGATGGAATTAGAATACATATGGATCCTTGCCTTTGAGTACACACATCATACAGTATATCGTTGAGTAGTATAATGCATAATGCATAATGTTCGTACAGGTACTCACCGCTTGTCAGCCACTGGCTTCAGGAAGTTCCTGTCTAGGTTACACGAATGCTGACGTAAGAGCATCATGTGGTTCCACAAAGGTGCAAACAAGATGTTGTTCTTTCCTCCTCGGACGACCTACACCGAGTGCCACCTTCACCACCGACCACAACCTAGCTCGCCGCCTAGACTTCTAAGTGCTAAACATCATCAAAGTTGTTAACTTGTTATCAGCATGACTGAACGGACTTGAGTCGACGGCATTCGCCGGCAATCAGGACGCCCTCGAATTAATATATCAGGCCTCCCCTACGAAAGAAACGGTGGGGACCTCCAAGACTCTTGTCGGGGTGCAGAAGACTTGCACATGAACGGTGGCAGCCTCCTGTATCTCTAGGACACAGGGTTTGCAGCCGAGTCTTCAATAACACGAGTGCACGCCACCTAATGGACGATGTCATGCCTCACTCGACTCTCCCATCGCTCCGACATATGTACCGGTACCGTTATGCTACCTCGAGATAGCATAAGCGAACCGTGACCCCTTCGTCGCACGCCGATTGATAACGCTGCACGCGCATTTGCGGTCAGGTTCAGCCTGCTGACATCCAGCCCTCGAGAGAGTGCAGGGCGGCACTGAAGCATCGACACTTGCAGCATCACAGGATGCTTGGTTTACACCCAAACAAGGCTGTCGCATAGCCAGTAGGCGTAGAGAGACCCACCAGCAAGCCATGAGACATCTTATGTGGCGCTTGGCTCGGACTGACCAATTTTTCTACTCGAAGTCTTTTCCGAGTGTTGCTCTAAGATAATTGCTTCTGCGCAGACTCACCTGTCAATCGGTTTTCCTTTCAGACCCTGGATTTCTATAAGGGATCCCTTTGTCTCTCAGAGTTCATCAAATGACAGCCTCCACATCATGCATTTCGGCTCTCTTATCTCGACCTTCATCCAACTCGTACTTCACCTTGGCATTTAAGCATTGCCATGGTGACACCACCTGCGCGACGCGCGTGGTTCTGAAACCTGGGGTCGTCGGCGCGAACCGAACAAAAATGGTGTCTGAATGCAGGCGTTGATTGGTCGCGTTTTCGAAATGACCTCAACGCCACTATCATTCATTTGACACTGGCGTTGCCGATCCCGCAACCGGTTTACACCCCATCTCGTGTGTGACATCAGGTGCACCTTATCAAATTGCCATTCGTGAAGTTGGAGCTTGGGGACGTTGCGGCAGCCCATATAAAGTGTACGCCAGATGGCCGTCATGACTCTTGTTCACAGTCCTCGAGTCCATCTGTCTTACCGTCGTATTGTACCTACTAGCATTGCACTTGCATAGCGCCGTCATTTTCCAGCATCATGGAGTCCATAAAGAGGGTATTTGCCAAACTTAGGGGGAAGTCGACTAAGAAGACGACTAATGGAACGACCAATATGGCATCGACAGCGCAAGCACCTGCCCTCGTACGAAAACAGCAACAACAGGTCCTAGCAGCAACAACGCCTGGTACCCTGCAACTCGCTCTTCAGAACAGGACCAATTCGAATAATGTGTTTGCATACATCACCGGACTGTCCATCAACGATGGAAACAGACCCATCTTCATTAAGGCTGATGGCCGGACTGTCTATTCCCCTCCTTCACCAAGCCAGCCGCTTGCCAGCGTTGCGGCAGACGTAGCCATCCCTCTTGGAGCCCCGGGCAACACCGTCACGGCTACGATCCCCAAGATTGCTGGAGGGCGAATTTGGTTCGTAATCGACGCTCGCCTGACATTTTTCGTAAACCCAGGCCCCAACATTGTCAACCCCAGCGTAACCAATCCATCCGACCCCAACTACAACCTGAATTGGACCTTTGCCGAGTTTACCTACAATGACCAGCAACTCTTCGCCAACATCTCCTACGTCGACTTCATCAGCATACCCGTCGCACTGACCCTCACTACAACCAACAGCGGTACTCTGAGCGTGCCCGGCATGGGCATCGACGGCTTCCAGCGCGTGGTTAATGAAATGCGTGCTCAAACTGCCCGCGATGGCAAACCCTGGGACAAGCTGATCTACGCTCCCAACGGCAATCCTCTGCGCGTGCTCAACCCAACGAATCTGCTCGCGCAGAACGGCAATGCTTGGAGCAATTACTGGGACGGCTATGTCACAGCTGTCTGGAACAAGTACCGTAACGAAGACATGACCATCAATACACAAGCGGCCGCTGGCAACATCACAGGTCGTGTTGTAGGCAACGAGCTTCGACTTGGTGCTGCCGGATCCTTCTCCCCTCCCTCAAGCTCTGACATCTTTACGTGCTCCACGGGCCCCTTCCAAACCGGGCAGAACCTCGCGCGCGACGGCGTCATTCCAAGGCTGGCAGCGGCATTCAATCGCAGTCAACTGCTAAACACCCCTGGGAACCAATTCCCTAATGGCGGGAACCCGAGTACGTATTATCGAGACGTGACGACGAATCATTACAGTCGCGCAGTGCACGCTGTGCAGAAGGACGGGAGGGGCTATGCTTTCCCGTACGATGATGTTGTGCCGGATGGTGGGCGGGACGTTGCAGGAACTTTACATGCTGGTGATCCTCAGCTGTTCACTCTCGCCGTGGGAGGGAATTAGGGTAGGGGCGACAGTGGTGGGCGATGCTTTGGACATTGATGCCCGACTCGTATCTGCTGGATGTGCATCCGCTTGGCAATTACAATGATCAGACTCGCTGTAGCTCTCTTGTGACTGTCTCATCATTGCCCTCAAGGTCTATCACCACAACAATCCCAGTGAAGGCTGCAACAGCTTAAAGTGAAGCGTGGCAGGACTAGCGTCCCTCACCGGAGGATTGTGACGGATGGATCCACATCGATCGACTGGGCGTTCCCCTCGGGCGGGACTTGCCGCATCCATCGAGCTGCGACCTGCATGCTCTGCGATGGTCGCAAAACTTTCTCTTGACCGCACGCGCCTGAGTGAAGCTTGAACCCGTGGAGCCAAGGACCGACTCGGGATATTCCTGCTCTACCCAGGTTTTGCCGACGGTTCCGTCAGAACTTCTCGAGCTAACGGCCTCGCCTGCCGCGCCCTCGTTCGTTGCGGTAGATCTCCGGATCTCAGTTCGCGAGCGCGAGCATCCATCGTCATGTCGCAGAGCGCGTACCCACCGCCAGATCAGGACGCGCCGCATCCCTACTCGCCGCTCTACCCGCAGCATCCCAATGCGCAGCTGCTGGACGGGCAGCCGCCGCGCGGAGTGCCATATCCACCACCACCACCACCGGAGGCGTACCCAAAGCTCGAGAACATCAACGAGGTGCTCCAGGCGCAGGCCCTCCACGCGAACCATGCCCTGACCGACCAACGCCCACCGCCGCCCGGCCAGGCGCAGATAGCCGCGGTGCAGCAGCAGCAGCAGCAGAACACCCGGCCCAACCGTCTGCGTAAGGCCTGCGATTCGTGTAGCATACGAAAGGTCAAGTGCGACGAGTCTGGGCCGCCGTGTAGAGCTTGCGCCGCGCTGGAGATACCATGCACCTTCGACCGCCCCAGCCGCAGACGAGGACCTCCCAATCGCCACGCTGAAGCCATCAAAAAGCGCCGCCTGGATGACAGCGACCCAGCCTCAGCCTATGCGTCACCGCAGTCACCCACGAACGCCGCCCACGCCCTGGCCCAGCTGCAGTCGTCGAGTCCCACCCAGCTGTCCGCCGAGACGATATGTCCCCTCAACACCATGAACGCCTTGATCGACGACTTCTTCACGTACATACATCCGCTATGTCCCTTCCCGCACGAGCCGTCGTTCCGAGAAGCCTGGGCTCGCCGTGAAGACTACACCAATCCGTCTTTCCTCGCTTTGCTGGCGTCCATGATCGCCTGTCTGGTCTCTTCGTTCCCACGCAAACCTCGTCTTCATCTGAAGACACAAATCCGAAAAGAGTATCCGTCTCATCTCTCGCTGGTGGACAAGTGCCGCGAGGTGTGTGCTCAGGCGCGAGGACCGGGCTATCTTGACCGGCCCACCCTGAATGTATACGATGCCTGCACGAGCTATTTCCTAGGATTGACGGGCGCGTATGTCTTTCAATGGCGTCAACTGCGCCTGTACCTCGCCGAATCTCTCACCATCATCCGTTCGTTGGGTCTTCACAAGGCGCATGAACAAGGCTACACACATCTGGGAGCTGTACCGAGCGCATGGGGCTCGAATGGACCCAACTACGATGGCGCACGCGACTTCAAGCTGGACCACATCACTGAGCAGATCGGACGAAGATTGTTCTGGACCGTCTTCGCCGGCGTACGGTAAGTTTCGCGCGAGCACGAGTTTCGCGTGTGCTAACATCAAACAGAACGATACAACAGCTTGGTGCATCATTCGGCGAGCTTACCGTTGCGCCTGCGACGCCAACTGAGCCCCTACCTCCTCTTCCTGTCGAAGTTGACGACGTTCACATTTTTCCAGATGCGATTCATCCTCAGCAGCCTGGCGTTGTTCCTATCATTGCAGGCTTCAATGTCAACGTGCGCATCTTCCTGTCGTACTCTACTCTCTCCACAGCTGAGATGGCGTTTGGCGTGGATGAGATCTTCGACTGGGACCGACAACAGCGCATATTTGAGCAAAGCTTGCAACGCTGCAGGCAGATCCTTGACACTCTCCCGGATGTCCTTAAGGTGCAGTCGAAAGCTGCACGTGAAGACATCGCCCAACTCGCACAGCCGAAGCAGCCCTACTTCCCACCATTGCCAGACTTTGATGGCATACGTGACCCTGCGCTGAACAACTTTACGTCTGCCGAAGCTCAAGATCTACGTCGCTACGAGATCCAGAAGGCGAACGTATATGCTACTCACCTAGCGACACGCTCCTACCTTGTGGAGAAGTACTTCATGCTTCTGGAGAAGGCAAAGGCTAAAGCTCAGAACAACGTTCAGAGCTCACCCAACGCCCTTTCAACCGGGCTGGACAGGTTTGTGTCGAGTGGTGCCGTTGACACTGAAGCCCTCGAAAAGACAATGTCTGAAGAGCAAGAGCTGGTCGTCAAGGACCTACTTGTGGTTCTCGGCGCCATCGATATGGTGAACATGGAGCCCAACGGCGATTCATTCGTAAGTATACTGCTTCACTCGCGAGACTCTGATTTCCTGTATGAAGCCGATGACCTCAGCCTCTCATGTCCGACTCACTTTATCTTGGGCGCACAAAATCTCAGCCCGATCGCAAGCTTACGATTTGTTCCGACACAGACCCAGAAGATTCGCTCGATCGCCAGCACGCTACTCGATGTACCAAAGGAGAGGAAAGGCAGTGTCGCCCTGCAGCATCAAGACTATCTCTATAAGTTCCTCGATATCTTGAGCAAGTTGGAGCGGGTCAGCCCAGAAGCAAGCGACCCATCGGCCGATGTCGATGAAGAGACCGAGCTGAGACTGTGGGCCGATCTGAGAGACCATCAGTTAAAGTTCCAGGCGCAAGGAGGCGTGTACGGATTCGCATAAGGGGTCGTAGGACGATCGTTATTCTTATCCACTAACAACCTTTTGGTCCAACAGCACCCTCAACTTGAGATGAGCATGCGTTAAGACCGAGCACGATATTTACGAATGTACGGATTAGTCGAGAAAATCGTCATTGCCATATTGTTGACACGCGCATTGGGAGACGCTATTGCGATGCCTCCAATCGGATTCCTCCACCGTAGATATACACATCTCGTACAGACCTCATACAGGCCGCTATGCGTTTCCAACGATTGCGAGTTCTGCACAGAACTCCAACCCAATGCGACTAGAAAAGTCCTGCGCCAGACCACACGTTCAATCGTACATATCCTCAGCCGCCCTTGCACACTCACGGGACGACTACAACCCCCAAACTCCCCGCCTGCCCTACAATACTCCTCGCAATCCCTTCGAGGCTCAGCCCCGAAAGCCGCGTCTCACTGTGCTTGATCTGCGCAATCTCATAGACGTGCTTCAAGCTGATTGTGCCCACTGTGCCCAACACGGCATTCCCTACCGTCGGGCTGTTCGTACTCGTCTTCCCCTTCTGCCCGTCGTGGTTGTTCATCGGCCCCGGGACGTTTCCTGCGCCGCGGATCTTGCTCTTCGTCGGCGCCACGCCTGCCGCGGACAGAAGCAGTGTTGCGGTCGGCGGCGTGCGCAGGCTGAAGTGGAACGAGCGATCGGGGCGCACAGTGATGCGGGCAGGGATGGGCGTGCCGGGATTGTAGTGTGCCGTTCGCGCGTTGAATTCCTGTCCTCCGTGAGCTGCTGCGTCAAGTGTGTTGGGATGGGGAAGTGCCGACTTTGCAGAAATCCATGCTCTTCACTCCCTTACTACCCAAGGCCGGACCGACGGGCGGCGACGGCGAGGCCTGGCCGGCGCCGACTATGAGCTTGACGATTTGGTCCTTTTGTATCGCTTTCTTGGCCATGGTGGATGTGTGTGGTTGGCTATCTGGGCGTATCGAGAGCTTCGGAAGTCCGCAATCGATGAAGTACGGAGGCAAGTTTTTCCGGAATCGTGTCAAAGTTGTGCCCAATTGCAGGTCTGTTCTCCGGCTCACACAAGAGTGAGACAACGACTTGAAAATGTGCTTCCGCGCTCGATTCGACTCCGCAGTGTCGGATCGAGATGATGCTGGTGTTGGAGACGACCACGTGACAGCGCGACTAGCTAGAAATGTGTGACGCGACTGCCTTCCGCCACCCAGTCAACATCCCCACACGTCGTTTGCTCCACGTTGAGTCTGCACTTCGACCACGCCATGTATGTCATTCTTGTTGATATAATACAGCCCTGTACTAACAGCATGCGGGCAACATCCCAAGGCCCTCACCGCGGCTAAATCCACCCCCGCGAAGCCCGTCGGCCGGTTGTACGGTGGCACGCCGCAGTCAACAGAACGTCTGCACAAGCCCTTCAAGTGTCCCGGCGCTGCACAGTCGACAAGAGTATCGGAGAAGCCTGCCAGAAAGAGGCGGAAGGTTGACTACACTGGAGCCGATGGCGAGAACGGCGACGACAAGCCATACTCCAATGACGATCGACTAGCGCTCGCCACGCGCGATGTCAACCGGTTCCCGGTATTCAAGGCAAAGGATAAAGGCACAGCGTTCAAGGCAAGGTTCACGGTACCTTTGCTGAACAAGGATACAACGTCATACCATGCCAATCGCCCAGCGCCATTGCTGGGTATGCGGCAAGGTGCTGTGTTTGTGGCGCGACCGCTGCACGACCCGAGTGGAGAGTTTGCGATTGTCTTGTACGATCCTACAGTCGACGATAAGCCTGCACCGAAGGAAGACATAGTGCCAAAAATGAGCCAGGAAGAGAAGAAAGAGATGGACACGCCAGTCGTACACAAGAGTCTCGCTGAAATTCTCGGGTTGAAGAAGAAGGTCGACGAGGACCGACCACGTGTGCCAGTTGTCATCGACCCAAGACTGACTAAGGTCTTACGTCCGCACCAAGTCGAAGGTGTACGGTTCCTGTATCGAGCCACGACTGGCATGATCGACCCGAAAGCGAACGGATGCATCATGGCAGACGAAATGGGTCTCGGCAAAACGCTGCAATGTATCGCTCTCATGTGGACGCTAATCAAGCAGTCCCCTGACGCCGGCAAGTCGACGATCCAGAAGTGTGTCATCGCTTGTCCCTCCAGTCTTGTGAGGAATTGGGCGAACGAACTTGTCAAATGGCTCGGGCCGGATGCTATCCACCCTTTCGCGATCGACGGCAAGGCAACAAAAGAAGTGCTGATTCAGCAGATACGGCAGTGGTCCATTGCGTCTGGGCGCTCTGTTGTTCGACCTGTCCTCATCGTTTCCTACGAGACACTTCGCCTGTACGTCGAGGAGTTTGGTCAGACACAGATCGGTCTGTTGCTCTGCGATGAAGGACACCGATTGAAAAATGGAGAAAGCCAGACCTTCACAGCGCTGAATGGACTGAACGTGCAGCGACGTGTTATCCTTTCCGGCACACCCATTCAGAACGACCTGTCCGAGTACTTCGCTCTTTTGAACTTCGCAAACCCGAACTACCTGGGCACACGTGCAGACTTTCGCAAGCAGTTTGAGATCCCCATTCTGAGAGGCCGTGACGCGGATGGCACAGAGGAAGAGAGAAAGAAGGGTGATGAGCGTTTGAAAGAGCTTCTGACCCTTGTCAACAAGTTCATCATCCGACGTACCAACGACATTCTCTCGAAATATCTTCCCGTCAAGTACGAACACGTGGTGTTCTGCAACCTCGCGCCTTTCCAGAAGGATCTCTATAACCACTTCTTGCAGTCGCCTGAGATCAAGGCTCTGCTCAAGGGCAAGGGCTCGCAGCCTCTCAAGGCTATTGGTATGCTGAAGAAGCTGTGCAATCACCCTGACCTGCTCGACCTTCCTTCAGACATACCAGGCTGCGAAGACAAGCTGCCCGAAGACTTTGTGCACAAGGACGCTCGCGGAAGAGATCGAGAAGTCAAGGTCTGGTACTCCGGCAAGATGCTTGTGCTCGACCGCATGCTCGCGCGCATCCGCGCCGAGACCAACGACAAAATCGTCCTCATTTCCAACTACACCCAGACGCTCGATATCTTCGGCGCTCTCTGCCGGTCGCGCGGGTATGGCTGTCTGCGCCTCGACGGCACCATGAACGTCAGCAAGCGCCAGAAGCTCGTGGACAAGTTCAACGACCCCGAAGGCCCGGAGTTTGTGTTTCTGCTCTCTTCCAAGGCCGGAGGCTGCGGTCTCAACCTCATCGGTGCAAATCGCCTGGTCCTGTTCGACCCGGACTGGAATCCAGCCGCGGACCAGCAGGCGCTTGCGCGAGTGTGGCGCGACGGGCAGAAGAAGGACTGCTTCGTGTACCGGTTCATGACGACGGGGACGATCGAGGAGAAGATATTCCAGCGGCAGTCGCACAAGCAGTCGCTCTCGAGCTGCGTCGTTGACAGCGCTGAGGACGTCGAGCGCCACTTCAGCCTCGACAGCCTGCGCGAGCTGTTCATGTACAGAGACAACACCACCAGCGACACGCACGACACGTTCAAGTGCAAGCGCTGCCGCAAGGAGGACGGGCGCCAGCTCGCCAAGGCCCCGGCCATGTTGTACGGCGACACGAGCACGTGGAATCACTTTGTTAACGATGGCGAGAAAGGGCCGCTGGGCGGTATCCAGGATCTGCTGCTCCGGCAGGAGACGGCGCAGGGGTGTAATGAGGTAAGTGCTGTGTTCCAGTACATCAGTCATTGATTTGGGGGGTTAGTCAGGCAGCGTTGGTTATACAGCGTTGGTTATACAGCGGTGGAGACAGCGTTGGTTATACATCATTGGTTATACAGCGTTGGAGACAGCGTTGGTTATACAGCGGTGGAGACAGCGTTGGTTATACAGCGTTGGAGACAGCGTTGGAGACAGCGTTGGTTATACAGCGTTGGAGACAGCGTTGGTTATACAGCGTTGGAGACAGCGTTGGCTATACATCATTGGAGACAGCGTTGCCTATACATCTTTGGAGACAGCGTTGCCTATACATCTTTGGAGACAGCGTTGGCTATACATCTTTGGAGACAGCATTGGTTATACATCATTGGAGACAGCATTGGTTATACATCATTGGAGACAGCGTTGGTTATACATCATTGGAGACAGCATTGGTTAGAATGTAGTGGTGGTCGCTTTAACCTTTGCATCAGCCGCGTCAAATGCACCGCTTGAATCTGTCTCACTGGATTCAATTGCACTCAAAAGATGGGTATCGAACAAGATCGGCATCGCTCCTCGTGTTGCCGTCACAGTGCACTCCGGATACAGAGCCTTGGGGCCTCACTTCAACTCCGCATTTCCCTCGTGAATCTCGCCGTCAATCGCGGCCCCATCGCGCGCCGCGCTCTTCTCGCCAACGTCCTTCTCTGCAGGGCCCCTTACCGCGCCCTCCGGCACAGGGTCATCGTGTAGATCGAACAGCAGTGGGAACGGCTCCTGATCGCGGCGCAGGACATTCTTATTGAGATACCAGGGCAGTTTCTGGGCATAGTAGCGCGCGAACTGCTTGTTCCCGACGTCAAAGACCGTGTCCAGCTCCTCGAGCGTCAGGTTCTTCGTCTCCGGCAACAGGAAGTAGGCGTAGACCCAGCCGAAGAAGTTCCAGGCGGCGTACCACCCAAAGGCGCCCTGCTCACCAAAGGCCTCGACGAGCGCGGGCCACGTCAGCGACAGGATGAAGTTGAAGCCCCAGCAGGTCGCGGTCGCAAAGGACATGCCGATGTCGCGCAGGTGCAGCGGGAACGCCTCGGCGCTGTAGGTGAAGGGCACGGGGCCCTCGCCGGGCGAGTAGACGGCCATGAAGGTGTAGATTGCGGCGGCGATGCTGCCGAGGCGGGCAGGCGTGGGGCGCATGGCGTCAGCCTCTGGGTCGTAGTACTGCGGCAGGTAAAAGGACAGGCCGCACCAGAGCAGGCAGATGCCCATGAGCGGAAAGGTGGTGAGGAGCAGGTTGCGGCGGCCAAAGGTGTCGATGGTGTAGATGGCGGGGATGGCGAAGAGGAAGTTGGTTATCCCTGTGCCCATGGATGTGAGCAGGGCTCCCGAGCGGGTGAAGCCGGCTTGCTGGAAGATGTCCGACGAGTAGTATGCAATGACGTTGACCTAGAAATTTTGTTTAGACAGAGCAGAGGTTTCGGTGGGAGCGTGCTTACACCGCAGAATTGCTGCATGAACATGACGAAGAAGGAGGACTGCGCGGCGCGGCGGTTGCGGCGCACAAAGAAGAACTCTTTCCAGAGCGACTTGCCGGCGCGCTCGGCCTGTTCGACCTCGAGAAGCTTGTAGGCGTAGTACATGTCGCGAGTTGCCTGGATCTTGTGGTTGCGGAGGCGACACAGCGCGTCGAAGGCTTTGTCGAATTTGCCCTTTTCCATGTACCACTGCAAGACGTCAGCGCGATGAATCCTCACAGTGCATGCCGGCGTATACTCACGCGAGGTGATTCCGGACAGAGGTACACCTGGAGGCAGACAATGAGAGGAGGAATCGAAGTGCTGGCCAACATCCACCGCCATTGGGACCCCTCGCCGAGAACAGTGGTGTTTTGGAAAGCCACAGAGACGACGAAACCCAACATGATACCGAAGGCCGTCCACATTTGCCACATCATGGTGAGGGCGCCGCGGATCGTCTTGGGTGCAGACTCAGCGGCGTAGACAGGAGTCGTGGACGACTTGGCGCCGACTGCGAAACCGAGCGCAAAGCGAGCAATCAGCAGATTCACCCAGCTGGAGGGTGTTAGTGACTGACACGAAGCCAAAGTCTTGACTCGACTTACTTGTTGGCGGCGGCCATCCAGATACCCGTGATGAAGGAGATGATGCAAGAAATGAAAATGGTTCCACGACGACCAAAGTAGTAGTTCAGAGGCGCGTTGCTCCAGCATCCGATGAGCGCTGAGCAGAGATACGGCGCACCGTTGAGCAGACCTCTGAGCCAAACATCCGTAATGTCAAACTCAGCCAAGTAGAACAGCTGAGCGCCGTTGACGGCAGTCTGGTCCATGCCCTGAACAATGGCCGACCCAGCGCAGAGAACGACAAGAAAGTAGAGCATGAAGGGCTGCGACCATCGGTGTGCTTGCTCGTTCCGGAAGATGGCCTTTTCTTCCTCGCTCAACTGGCTGACGTATTCGTATCCGTCGTCGCGCTGGCCCATGCGCGCAATGAGCGCACCCTTGCGGAAGGCATCTTGGTGCTCGGCGAGTCCTCGCTCAAGACACCACTGGTCTACATCGGCAATGACTTGCTCTTCACTGAGGCCAGCCAAGGGGTTGCGCAGTTTGGCAGCGACGGAAGCTTGACGACCACCTTGCGGCTGATAGCCCAGGTTGGTGGCATCCGCATGCTCTGTGTGGTAGGCGGAATTCAAATTCGACTTGCTGCTGTTGCCAGACAGGGACACGTCCGGGTCGGTGGCCTCGATGTCGGGATTTCGTTTCGACATGCTTGCAGAAGAGCAGCGAACTGAGGAAGCTCACGATCGACCACGGCGCGACAGCTTATATACGTGGGTCCTGCGGCCCCAGCTTCCTCCATGCATGTTCAACCAAACCGTGGGCTGGTCTCTGTGGGGTTCAGTCACTCCAGAATCTCTTCTCCACACGTCCTGATGTAACCATACATGAGATCAGGTATCGGAGCGCCCACGCCAAGCAGCGGCTTTTCGAAAATGGGCCTGTGAAAGCACTCTCGGTCCATGTCATAGTGGATCCTTGTACATGTTGACTTTGCTGGGCGGAAGACAGCATGCACTTGGCGGCGGAATGCGAGGGCGAACATTAGCGCGCAGTCGCGAGCCGAAAGCAGTCGTCAGTGGCGGGCCTGATGAAGTCCAGCCTCAGTGGGCCAATGGCGTGGATTCAGGGTGCAGGAACGGCGCCTGTAAGACCGTTGAAGGAACGGTCAATGACGGTGGTGGTGTTGTCTTGGCTTTGAGGCTCTTGGACGGGCGCTGGTGCGGGCTTGTCCGCTGGGCGAATGAAGATCGCTGCCCCTGCGGGCATTCCGGCGTCACGTGTCGGCAGCGACTTCCGCTTGCCAAGTATACGGCACGCGACGTTGCCACGGATGGAGGTTCTGTGTGGGGGCTTTACGTTGCCACATGTGAGCGCCGCCTGCAGCGTTCTACAATTTGGGGAGAGGTGCGAGCGAGAGGTGCGAGCAAGAGGTGTGAGCGAGAGGTGCAAGCGAGAGGTGCAAGCGAGAGGTGCGAGCGAGAGGTGTGAGCGAGAGGTGCAAGCGAAAGGTGTGAGCGAGAGGTGCAAGCGAAAGGTGTGAGCGAAAGGTGTGAGCGAGAGGTGTGAGCGAGAGGTGCGAGCGGTCGTTCCCGCGGTGCAACACCACGCGACAAGCGCGGCTCCTGCAACCAGTGGAAAGTCACCAGGCGCGCTGCTAGATTGTAAGAGTTCAGTAAAGCAGTGCTGAGTATCTCGCAACGTGTCGGATGTAGGGTTTGCAGGCAGGGCCTGGTGCGAGACTCCAGCACATGGCTGCGCTTCGAGCCCACAGCTTGGTGCAAGCGCCGTGGAGCCAGCGCAGGCGAATGTCCACTTTTACCCCAGACGATCGAGAAGGATCCAAGACCACGCATGGTATCAAATAAAAGGGTAAACGGCTGTAGCAGGCCAGGGTCTTTGTTGTAGCAGACCAGGGTCTTTGTTATAGCAGACCAGGGCCTTTGTTGTAGCAGACCAGGGCCTTTGTTATTCGCTGGGTCCTGTGCGGTCCTGCATGCTCGTCGACGAGTCCTAGAAGCGCAAGTCAGCTGACGATCAATCACGAACTAGACTGCCTGGGTCAAGAGTGAGTAGTGTATACAGTAGACGTGATATCACCGTCCATCATGACCATGACGTATAAGTGGGGTATAGGACACTGTCTTTGTCGAAAGACTTGACGGCATTGGCCAAAGACTTGACGGCTTTGGCCAAAGACTTGACGGCATTGGCAAAAGCTTCATGGCATTGGCGAAAAAACTTCATGGTATTGTCGAAAGAACTGGATTGTATTCGACAGTCGACGACCTGAAGCCCGTTGGCGGCTATCTGATCCATGTGAATGCAGCCCTTGGCAGGCGCAGACGAATCCGTAAAAGAAGCAGTCTCAGGTGTCAAAGAAGCGAAAAGCAAAGTCTGGCAATGCATCTGTCGTTCGCAAACGTGTCATGACGTCCTAAACGCCGACCCTAATGACTGATTTCCAGAGTCCCTTGATCGAGACCTTGACGCTGTACCAGTCGCGGTCGTGGTGGCGGTCGCGAGAGGCGGGCGTCGACGTGTCCTTGGTCTTGGAGCGCTCCGCAGACGACCAAGTCGTCGCGGACGCGCGAGAAGCGCCACGGACAGATGAATGCTTCGAGTGTACGCTATCAGTCTTGAGGCCCGCAGGATTCTTGTTACTAAATCGCTCGCGCGACTTCACCGTTTCCTGGGGCCTCTCCTCATGCTAATCGATGCCGTGTTGCTGCTTGAGCTTTTCTAACTTCTCCTGGCGGTCGGCGAGATCGCTCGCGGCCTTGATCATCTTGTCTGGCTGGTGGTACAACACTGGGCATGTTAGCTCCAGGGACGTTGGGCGAGCGGGGGGTGGCCGCACCGACGAGGTAGCGGTTCTGGAAGTTGAAGCCGTTCAGCTTGTCGCAGGCCGACTTTGCGTCCATGACGTCTTCATAGACGACAAAGGCGGTTCCCTTTGTGTTGTTGGCGATGCCCTGGCGGATTTGGCTGGCGACAGGTCAGCATGGCGCGGGCGGTGGAGAGGGCCGACCAGGCGGAGAGAGGGCGACGTACCGCACCGGGCCGAACTTGCCAAAGAGGTCAAAAAGCTCCTCTGGAGTGACGTTGAAGCTGCGGCGCGTCAGCGGGAGGCCTGCGACAGCGCAGCGAGACCACTCACCTCAGATTCTTTACGAAGAGAGCTCTGTGCAGAAATGGCAGGTCAGCGGAGGTGGTGCGAAGAGGCCGCGTGCATGCGCCTGGCACGGCACGAGAGTCGCCGACGGAGCAGACACCGCAACAGCGACAGCGACAGCGACAGCAACGGCAACGGTAACAGCCACAGCAACAGCCACAGCGACGGGGACGCACTCACCGATTGACTTCGGGGGCCAGTTTTCCACCGCGACTCATAGTTTGGCGACTGTGGCGGAGCGTTCAGAGAGGGCGTGTGGGTGCACGGTCGAAGAGCGGCGTGGGGTGGATGAGGCAGCGAGACGGGGCGTGTGGATGAGGGCGACGCCAAGACCACGGCCACGTGACGAGCGACCGGGACGCCGCAGCAGACGCAGCCAGGGCAGGAAATCGGGGCGCCAGGGCAGGAAATCGGGGCGCCAGGGCAGGAAACCGGGGCGCCAGGGCAGGAAACCAGCCGGACCCAGTCGGACTGCAGGCGATGATGGGTGCAGTCCACGGGCGACTGTGTATTCACCGGCAGTGATGAATCTTGGAGAGCAAACAATCCGTGGTGCTGCGTGCATGGACGGGCATGCGCTCGCGCTGAGCGATCAGCGCACCAGTCGGAGACGTCTGCGGCAGCGAATGAGGTCGACGCCGGCAGAGGGAGGTGCTCCAAGATGCCCCCCAGAGCCGCAGAGTCGCAGGGCCACGACCGACCGCACTGCGCACCACTCGACGACGACTGCCGGCGAATGCACGCTGCCCTGCCCGTCTTCCTCTGCGCGCGCCGCCCACTGCGCCCTGCCTCTCTGCCCGCGCGCGCCCGATTCGGAGCATTAGCATTGCTGCGCTCGGCGGCCGCTGCTGGTCTGCTCCCCACACCTCCGCCAGCATTTCCCCTACTGCTCGACCTCGCTCCCGACTCGCACACCCTCCGACCACGCCGCGCCCACGCTCGCTCTCGCCGCGCCCGCCCTGCGCCCGCCCTGCGCCCGCGTCGCTGTGCTTCGCCGCAGGACATGCCCGCGCCCGCCCGCCGCGCCCTCCCGCACTGCAGCCGCGCCCCGACCGCAGTCTGTCTGAGACGCCCGTCCTGAGACGCCCGCCCTGAGACGCCCACAAACGACGCCCGCCCGACGACGCCGACAGACGACGCCGACAGACGACGCCGACAGACGCCGCCGCCGCGACGACGGCCACCGCCTACGATGCGCAGGATAACCAGCTTCAAGCCGCAGCACCGCATGCCGGGCGCGCGCGAGCCGACCCCGCCGCCGCCGCCCGCGGTCGAGCCGCTGTCGCCCGTGCTGCAGCCGACGGCGCCCACGCCCGCGAGCCAGCAGCCCCGCGGCCAGGGCGACGACACGGCGCCGCACCACACGCGCCGTGCCTCGTACGCCGCGCCCGCGCCCACCGCCCGCGCCCGCCCGCACGACGCACCGCACACGCTCGACGAGCGCCCGGCGAAGAGGGCCCGCTCCGAGTTCTACAGCGCCGCCTCGCCCACCTACGCCCGCCAGCACTCGCGCCCGGCCACGAGCCACAACCCGGGCTGGTCCCCCTACGTCGAGCACACGGCCGACGCGGGCATGCGCGTGCACCCGGCCAACGGCGGCGCAGCGCCCAAGCAGGCGCACAATCCAGACAAGCGGCTGTCGGACGCGCAGTTGCTGCTCGACTTCTTCCAGGTCTCTGCCCACACGGCCCAAACGCCGCCCTCGACAGCAAAGCGGTTGAGCGTCTCGCAGCCACACCACACGCACCATGCACACCGCATACACCCCGCAGGCCACACACAGTCTGCAGGCCACACACAGTCTGCAGGCCACACACAGTCTGCAGGCCACACACAGTCTGCAGACCACACACACCCCGCAGACCACACACAGTCTGCAGACCACACACAGTCCCCAAACCACACACAGTCCACAACCCACACACAGTCCACAACCCGCACACAGTCCACAACCCGCACACAGTCCACAAACCACACACAGCCCACAGACCACACACAGTCCACAAACCACACACAGTCCCCAACCCACACACACCCTGTCCCGGTGCCAGCGAGCCCGCACGCCGCCTCCCTGCCGCAGCCCGTCCACGACGCCCAGCCGCGCCGTCGTCCCTCTGACGTCGCGCACGTTCCAGAACCGCCCTCGCTTCCCGCCCATGTTGCATTGCCCGCACCGGCCATCCAGACACGCACACCCCCAGCGGACACTGCACAACCTCGACCAATGTCCGACACCGCCACTGCCACTGCCGAGCACGCGAAACCGAAAAAGCACCAGGGCTGGCCCAAGGGCAAACCTCGCGGCCCGCGCAACACCCCGACCAGCACCAAGAGGAAGAGGACCGCGCCCAGGTCCAAACCTGCATCCTCTGCTAGTGCCAAATCAACTGCTGACTCGCTCCACTCGCCCTCGGGCAATGCCATCCCCACGAGCGTGAGCGCGAACGCGTCTGCTTTTGCGTCTGCATCTGCGTCTGCATCTGCATCTGCGTCTGCATCTGCATCTGCGTCGGCGTCTGCGTCGGCGTCTGCCAACCTCACCCCGCCCTACGACCACGCGCCTGGCCCACGCCGCCATTCCTTCTCCAATTCTTTTTTAGTGTTGCCGACTACTGATGTGCCTTCTAACGCTGTGCGCGCTCAGTCTGTCCCGCTCCAGATCCTCCTAGGCACAGCACCACCGCCCCCCGAACCCCGGCGCCGCGCCAAAGCCCACCCGCACCCCGAGCCCGAGCTCGTCTGCGCCTCGTGCAAGTCTTCGGACTCGGAGGTCAAGGTCGGCGATGGCGAGCAGTGGATCGGCTGCGATGGCTGCAAAGAGTGGTACCACTACGCATGCGCTGGCTTCAGCAGCGAGCGCGAGGTACGCGATGTGAACAAGTTCTACTGCGAACCGTGTAGACCCAAGTTTGGTCAAACAACGAGTAGGTCTACCGACGCGTATTGGAGTACCGAGTCTGACCTGGCCCAGAGGTTCGCAAGTCTGTCAGAACCCACACCACCGTTGACTACGCCGGCCTGAACCAGGGCCTGTTGCGCACGTCCGACGACAACCCCGAGCACCACTACATTGCCGCCTTCAAGGACGGCACCATTGACTTCACCCCCGAGACGTTTGCGCGCATGCCGCCCGAGCTGCTCTCGGCCGATTTCTTGGAGAAGAGCAACGGCTTCCGCGAGCCCATTCTCGTTCCCCGCCACCTCAACCCTCGACCTTGGCACGCAGCGGACGTGCCGTGCGAGCCTGCCTCGTGCGTCGAGCAGTCCGTTGAGCAGTCCGTCGAGCAGTCCGTCGAGCCGAACGTTGAGCAGTCCGTCGAGCAGTCCGTCGAGCAGTCCGTCGAGCCGTCCGTCGAGCCGTCCGTCGAGCAGTCCGTCGAGCCAGACGCACGCTTCGAATACGAGACCAACGCCGACGACGGACAGGATGAATTGGGCATGGTCATACCGCAAGGGCTGACGGTCCGCCGCGTCGCCGAACTGTACGGCGCCAACGAGACGGTGCCCGTCATCGACGTCAAAGCGCAGGAGGGCGAGGCCAAGAAGTGGACCATGTCCAGGTGGGCAGACTACTACGAACAGCAAGGCGAGAAGCCCGTGCGTAACGTCATTAGCCTGGAAGTCTCGCGCAGCCGGCTCGGGAAGCTCATTAGGCGACCAAAGGTCGTGCGGGACATGGACTTGCAAGACTCGGTCTGGCGAGAAGACGACAAGTTTGCACCTCCGCCCGTGCAGTTCTACTGCCTCATGTCCGTGGCAGACTGCTTCACAGACTTTCACATCGACTTTGGCGGCTCTTCCGTCTTCTACCACATCGTCAGAGGGAAAAAGGTCTTCTTCTTCATACCGCCGACGAAGCAGAACATGAAAAAGTACGAAGACTGGTGCCTCTCGCCCAATCAAGGACACGATTGGCTCGGGAAGCAGGTCAAGGAATGCTACCGCGTCGACCTCTACCCAGGAGACACGATGCTGATCCCCTCTGGTTGGATCCACGCTGTCTGGACCCCTGAAGACAGCTTGGTCATTGGCGGCAACTTCCTCACTCGCATACACTATGGCATGCAGCTTCAGGTCCTCGAGGTCGAAAAGACCACCAAGGTCGCCCAGATGTTCCGTTACCCTTTTTTCCAGAAGATCATGTGGTTGACCGTCATCAAGTATCTAGAGGAAGATCCAGTCCCCCAGTCGGTGCAGGAGCTCCTGCAAAGCGGCGGGCAGTTCAGGCGCGAAACGCCCGTCTGGTGCGAGCCTGACAAGTTCGGCCACAACTCGCGCCTAGGTCCAGCCAACTACAATCGGCGCTACTATCCCAAGCACGAGCTCGAGGGTCTCACGGATGTGCTAAACTACATCCACCGAACCGTCATGATATCGCTGGACAAGATTGAAATGCCGCAAAAGACACGCAACGCAGTGACCAGGTCCATACCAAAGGGCCATGGCGAGCCCGTCGTGCTGGAACGCCACTTCGCCATGTGGATCGCGTGGAAGCGTGGCAACGAAGCCATTCCAGCCTGGGCTGTCTCGGACGCTCCTCTGCCTGCGCCAGTGGAAGTCGCAAAGAGAGCAAGTTTGCCTCCGGTCAGAAAGACGGAGCACGAAAGGAAGACGGAGCACGAAAGGAAGACGGCACACGAAAGGAAGACGGCACACGAAAGGAAGACGGAACACGAAAGAAAGACGGCACACGAAAGAAAGACGGAACACGAAAGAAGGATCGAACACGAAAGAAAGGTCGAACACGAAAGAAAGGTCGAACACGAAAGAAGGATCGAACACGAGAGAAAGGCCGAATATGAACCAAGACCTGAGCCGCCCACGCCTCTAGTCGATAGACTGCCGGACTCAGTCAGAACATACAATCTGTCGCCGCCATACGTTGTCGATGCTGGACAGGTAGTCGAGCCAGTCACGCCTTCCTCCGCTGCGCCCATGACCGGCTTTCTGCGTCCGAGCGCAAACAACCCTCACATCACGACCCCGAAGACGTCCCAGCTTGGGCCAAAGCGAGTTGCATGCGACGCCTGCCGCAAGAGGCGCATCAGGTGCAAACACAAGGACGAGCTTGTCGACTCGTCCAAGCCCGGCATGCACACGATCGACCTCTCTGGCTCTTACGGCATATCCGTCAAGCGTCGTCTCAGCGACCACTCCATCGTCGACGGTCTTGCTGCAGCCGTGGCCGGCCCGGTCAACGGTGGTCCCATCATGGCCGACGTAAACGGCGATCCTTATGCACTCAAGTCTGGTCGCGTCAAGGCGTGTGCTGACTGTCGCAAGAGCAAGGTATGTGCTTCAATGTGACTACAAGGAATACGACTGACGGATTCTAGCGCCGCTGCGTGCACGATGAGTACGGCAACGTCGATCCTATCAAGGCAAACGAGGTGCCCGTCCCGAGAGGCTCTGCTGCAAAACGCCGACGTGTCAGCGAAGAAGATGCAGCTTCCATGTCCAAGAGGATGAAGCAGGAGCCTTCTGCGGACGACGGAGGGTTCAGCAACGGACACCATCCGCGACACTCGCTGCCACACCAGTTCAACATTGGTGGCTCCCTTCTCCAGGACATTGCATACTCGGCCCAGCAAGCTCTCAACCAGCAGCCGGGAGAGGAGCTCATGCCCATTGACCCAGCGCTCCAAGGCTATGCTGCCGAGTATGCGCCTGCCAGCATGGCGCCCTCGTACCCACCAAACGGCGACATGGTTGTGTCTTCTATCGAGCAGCAGCACGGCAGTCACGGGCCGATGGACCATGTCCAGTACCCAGAGGCGAACGGTCAGCAGCAGGGACCCAGCATCGAGCCGCTGACGCCCGGGCCGCCAGCGTATCACGGTCCCGGGCCACGAGAGAAGGGCCATGGTGGAATGAACGGTTACATGCCCTATCCGCCAACGCAGCACGATGCAGTCCACCGGTACTCGTCGCCGGTATCGCCCCAGCACGTGCGCGCACCGTCACCCACATCACCAACCACACACAACCACAACATGTTCACCACGGGCTCCGACTTCATACCCCCAGTCACCCCCACCGCTCACCACCGCACGGCACCTCCGTCGACTCACAAGTCAGGCCGGCGCGGCAGCCGGACGCCAAAGTCAACGCCCGGAGGTCGCCGCCGCGACAGCAAAGACAGCATTAAGCTCGAGCAGGGCCTGACCATGGCCATGACGCTCGGCATGGGCATCAATCTCGACCTGATCGACCCGAACCTCGACCAAGCCAGCCGCGACCTCATCAAGCAACTGCAGGCCGAAGAGCACGGGCTGCGGCGCCGCAGCCGCGGCGAGACGACGGCGGCGTCGCCCTCGCACCCGCCTGCGCACGTCACGCCCTCCCGCGCGCAGGCCGGTGTCTAGCCCGCCCGTCGCACTTGGTTGAGTCTTGCCTTGGACGGACGTGTGTTTTCAGCATCCATTCTTTCCTCTCATCTCGGCGTTTGGTTTGGGGTCGCTTCGGCGCTTGGCGCGGAGGGCGCGTTGTCAGGTTGCTTATACCCATGCACTGGGACAGTGTATATGGCACCGACGTGCATACTTTCCTTTGCCCCGCAGCACCGGTTCTGGCGGCGTCATCTCGCATGTTTTTTGTTTGTCATTAGGGTATCTGGGAGGGTTCTCTGAAGCGTTTGTTCATGGATGTAGGGTATAGCGCATATCACAAGCTATGGAACGCAAACTTCCCCCCCCCCCCCCCCTGGGTATCAATACACCGTCCCCCCCTTCACAGCCACCGCTCCATACCCCCGAACGGCGGATACCTCAGCCCCCCCTCCTCCATCTTCTTCTTCGTTTCCTTCTTCTTCTTGCTCTTGTCTCCCCCGCCGCAGCGACTACTCCCCACGGTGCTGCTCACGCACTCCCAGTCCCACGGCACACTGCGCCCCAGCACCTCGTACCCGCCCACCCGCCGCAGGCCCCCGCGCACACGCACGTCCCGCAGCGCACGGCGCGTCCCCGCCCGCACGCCCGGCTCGACAATCTGCGTCCGGTACGTTGGCTCTGTCTTGCTTGCTGCGTCAGACGACGACGACGAGGATGAGGAGCTGATAGATGGCGGGGGCGCGCGGGCTCGACTCGTGTGTCGCGGCGCCGGCGCGCAGGGGGTCTGCAGTTTCTTCCCCGCGCCGTGCAGGGGCGCCAGCGGGTGCAGATGCAGCGGGTGGAGGTGCAGGTGCGGGTGGCGGTGGTGGTGCTGCAGGATGCCGTGCGGGAGCGGGGCGTGGGGGCGCATGTGGTCGGGCATGTGGGGGTGGTGATGGTGGTGGTGATGGTGACGAGGAGAGGCGGAGATGCTGCTGGGCAGGGCGATGCTGAGGGGGCTCAGCCGCGGGTTGGGGGTGTGTCGGACGCGTACGAGGTCTGCGGAGGAACGGTCCGAGGACGCGTGTTTCTCGTTCTTGGGACGCGTCGGCGTCAGCGTGATCCAGCACATGCTGCTGGATTGCGCGGTGGTAGCTTGAGCGACGAGGGAGAGCTGTGGGAGAGCACGGCGGATGGTGCTAGACGAGGAGCGGTTGCTTTGGAGACATTGCGCGCAGCGAGAGGGCGGCGCGATACTTAACGCTCAGCAGTCAGACGACGGTGAGGGCTCCAAACCCTGCAGAAGATGGCAGCCATGATGGCGTCCGGGTGGGCGTATATACGTCGTCTGCATCACTTGGGGACGTCACTTGCAGAGCGTGCGAGGCACACGGTCGTGTGTAGCGCTCCCGCAGCCGGGCGATATGAGACAGGGTGGCAGTTGTTTGTGCCTGCATGATGTTGACGGTGGCTGCAGCTCGGGAGGACGAAGGTGGTGTTCGAGGATTTGGGCGGGTGATGGGTACTGGTGAGGGTTGGGGACGGGCGCGTGGGGTGCGGCAGTGTCTTGGATGACCGCGCTCATTGGCCGTGTGACCAGCTCAAGAGTACCTTTTGCGAGATGCATCCTGGCCGCGCTGGACTGTAACTGACAAGATGGAAGACTTGGGAGATAGAGAATTGCATGAGATATCAAGAGACATTTGTAGGAGATATCGAGAGAGATTTGTGGGAGATATCGAAGGAGATGTGACGGACTCGTTGCAGGCCGTGTGCTGCAAGGTGAGGATAGACGGGAGAGTAGAATCGCTGAACATGCATACACACACCGAGAAGCGGTGAAGGCGTCATGGGATTGCTAGGAAAGGAGCTGACCAGAGCCCCGCAGCAAGAGGCAGCGAGGGGTCATGTTGGTTGCGGGCACAATACTTCCTCGATGTCGAAATGGTCCCAGCGCGCGGGGAGAGGTGAGCAGGCGGCGGCGATGAGGCGGCGCGCCAGGCTTGGCAGTTGCATCAACGAGCAACAAGCTGTCAGAGCTCCCGTACCGCGACTCCAACCTCACGTGCCGCGACACCAACCCCACGCCCACTCCCCGCTTCAATCGACCGAATCCGCTGCCATCGACCGCCGCAACCACGCTCCCATCCCCAGCACACCGCCACAGCAGCCATGGACTCGTTGGTGGCGCAGTACAGCCGCCCCATGGACGCGGATGAGGGCCAGACCGAGCAGCAGCAGCTGGAGCTCTACAGCGGCGCGCCAGAGGCATCTCTCAAGTTTGCCCTGCCCCCAGTCGCCCAAGTACGCCTCGATGCTCCCCCCCCGCCCACCCCGATGGTCGTCAGCATACTGACATGCGCTCCAGGCACAATCATGGCTCCGCGCAATGACAGACGACTACTCCAACCCCAACTGCCCCATCAAGATTGCCCACGGCACCACAACCCTCGCCTTCCGGTTCAAGGGCGGCATCATCGTCGCCACCGACTCGCGAGCGACGGCCGGCAACTGGATAGCAAGTCAGACAGTGAAGAAGGTCATCGAGATCAACAGCTGCTTGCTGGGAACCATGGCCGGTGGCGCTGCTGTAAGCAACCACCCTGCGCCGAGGCGTGCGAAGATGAAGCTGACGCCAGACAGGACTGCCAATACTGGCTCGCATACTTGGGCATGCAGTGCCGTCTCCACGAGCTCCGACACAAGCGCCGCATCTCAGTCGCCGCAGCCTCCAAGATCCTCTCCAACCTGGTCTACTCGTACAAGGGCATGGGCCTGAGCATGGTATGCATCTGCCCGAATACTCCGTGCCCAGAGCGCGTCTAACTGTCAGCCAGGGCACCATGTGCGCCGGTGTCACCCCGCAGGAAGGCCCCGCGCTCTACTACATCGACAGCGACGGCACCCGCCTCGCCGGCAACCTGTTCTGTGTTGGCTCCGGCCAGACCTTTGCCTACGGTGTGCTCGACGCAGAGTACAAGTACGATCTGGAGGACGCCGAGGCGCTGGAGCTCGGAAAGAGGAGCATTCTGGCCGCCACCCACCGTGACGCCTACTCGGGTGGCTTCATCAACCTGTACCACGTCAAGGAGGACGGATGGGTCAAGCACGGCTTCAATGACACCAACCCCATCTTCTGGGAGACAAAGCTGGAGAAGGGCGAGTTCTCCAACGTCACCAGTGAGCTGGTATAGCGGGTGTGGACGAGTAGAGCTGTAGAGATCTGCCAAGCCTCGTCAGGCTGCAGCAAGAAGACTAGAGCCCGTAGAACGGGCATCAGACGACATGAATGAATGAAAGCATGCACAACGATACCACTCAAGACGATGTATATTTGCGTGATTGATCCATCACTCTCAGCGTTCAGAACGAGTATTAGCGCGATTGATCCATCCCTCTAGGCGTCCAGAAACGTCTCGTTGTCCATTACCAACAAGTTCATTTTCCCATCATCAATCTACCAGCGAAACGAGAGATCGCTCCAGCTAATGCAGCCAGTTACACACTTGTGGGGGTATATGCGTTATACAAGTACAGATGCATCGCTGCGAATACGAATGCGACGTGATACTAGGAAATACAATACGTGGTAAGAGGAACGGTCTTGCTATGCTTCTATTACCGCGACGATGGGACCAACGGAACGCTTCCTGCCATCGTGTGCACGCACGTCTAGTGCGCGTCTTTCTCCTTCTTCTGAGCGCCAGTTCTCTCTTATGTTCGTTCTCAATCTCTTTCTCGTTCTTATTCTCATTCTCATTCTCAATCTTATTCTCATTCTCATTCTCACTCTTATTCTCATTCTCATTCTCATTCTTATTCTCATTATCTTTCTCAGCCTCTTTCTCAACTTCATGCTCAATCTCAATCGTGCGTACGTCACCGCCGCACGCTCGCCCCGTTCAGTGCAGGCGCAGGCGAGCCGTCCCGCCCAAACCAGTTACCGACACTGCTCGTGCGCCGGCTGCGCACCGTCGCCGTCCGCGCAAGGCTGTCGCGCATCTGGCTCATGATGCCCTTGAAGCTCAGCACCTCGGGCCGGTCCAGGTCGAACGGGTCAGATTGCCGGTCCAGACGGCTGGTGCTGGTCAGCGGTCCGCCAGTCAGCGGCCCCGGCGTCAAGGGGCCGAAGGTGTTGGTCGCCGGCCGGCTGGCGCCGGGGTTCCTGGGTAGCCCGGGGGTGAACATGGTGCTGGGTACTCCGCCTGTGAACATGGTGCTGGGCCGACTGGGGCCGGGCTCGCCGAAGAATGGGTAGCCGGACTCGCGCACGGGCGGGAAGGCCGAGTAGGTGCTGAGTGGGGGATTGTGGTGGGATGTGGCTGTTTGGGTTGGTAGGGGTGGGATAGGCGAGGGGTCGGCGAAGGGATCGCTGCTGTATACTGAGGAGCCTGGGTGCAAGCTCAGTGCGGATGCTGAGCTCTGCATGCGTCGGTGCGTCGGGGCCGTGGTGGCTGTAAGGGCTGTCATGTTGGAGTCTCGCAGCCAGTCTGGCGCGCCATCGATCTCGTCGATGAGCGATGCGAAAGGGTCGCGAACTACACGAGGCGTTGCTGCGGGCTGTGGCGGGCTAGGTCTGCGGATTCCATCGTCCATCGTGTCTGGGTTCGAAATGCGCAGGTTCCTGGGCTGATCAGGTGTAAGGTCTGCGAAAGGATTGGTTCCGATGTTGTTGTTGCGCGTTGACTCTTCTGTGATTCCCATGAACGCAGATTGAGAGGACACACTGCTTGTCTTTTTGCGCAGTACGTTGCGCTCGCTCTTTCTGCTCGACATGCGACGAACGAAGCCACCATTCGCTGCAGACTGTCCCTGCGGCTCACTGATGGAATGCCCTCGCCCACTGGAGGTTGTCGAGTATACGGAGCCAACGCTGGATGAAGGTTGATGTCGCTGGTACGGGTTGTTCAGAGGTCCTGTCTTCTCATTTCTCAGCCTTGCGAGGAAGCCTCCAAAACCTGCTGGGACCGCTCTCAGTTTCGACACAAAGCCCGACGACTCTCCGCTCTTCTCGTCCCAACTGCCCTGCCTCGACTTGCGTCGCCTCAGAAGGAAAAACACAAGGAGACCCAGCAGGGCCAGGCCTACAAAGCCACCCACAGCACCTCCAACGATGCCACCAACGTTGGGTCCGCTGTCGCTATGAGACGATGAATGTTCACTTCCAGTGTGACCATGTCCGCCGCCGTGTGTGCCTTGCTCCGGTGCGACGATACCAGCAGGCCCAACAGTAGGTCTTCCTGTTGCAGCAGAGCCCGTTTGCGATAGAATTGCTGCAGTGGAAGTGGCCTGCGAGAGCGCTTGCGAGGTTGCGGTAGATTCCAGGATGTCCGGGACTGCCACAACAGATGTCGGGTCCGTGATTTCAGTCGCAACAGATGTCGGGTTCGTGATTTCAGTCGCAACAGATGTCGGGTTCGTGATCTCAGTCGCAACAGATGTCGGGTTCGTGATTCCAGTCGCAACAGATGTCGGGTTCGTGATTTCAGTCGCAGCAGATGTCGGGTTCGTGATTTCAGTCGCAGCAGATGTCGGGTTCGTGATTTCAGTCGCAGCAGATGTCGGGTTCGTGATTTCAGCCGACTCAGTCACAGTCGGTTGGGCAACAGGCGGTGCCGACACTGGCGCAGTGGCGATAGGTGCTGGTGGCGACGATGACGGCGACTCGATTACGGCTGTTGTGACAATGTCAGAGCTTGTTGGTGCTATCCTCGCAGGAGCAAGGTTAGGCGCTGCAGCAATTTGCGAAGGGACAATGACTGGTCTGCTAGACGGTAAAGGAGCACTTGTAGGTTGAAATCCTGGCGCCGGTGCTGATGACTTAAGGTCTGCAGGTAAAGAAGTTGTCGCAAGCGATATGAGAACCTCGTTACTCGTACCTAATGGCGGAGACCCTGCTGCTTGTGTCGTAGGCAGAGGCACGACAGCTGACTGTTCCACTTGAGAGGACAATGCTGGCGGCGCAGGTTGTTGTTGAGATGCTGGAGGACTGGCTGCGGTTTGCTGTGTCTGCGGTGGTTGCTTTGCGATGGTTGAAGTGGTCGGTTTGGTGGGAGCTGCTGCTGTCGGCGTTGCTGCTTTTGTTGAAGTCGACGTAGCCGCTGTACGGGCCCGGGAGCGAGTACATCGTCTCCCGGACACAGTCGTAATCGACTCTTGCGGAGTGGCCATGCAGGCGGCACACTCATGAAAGAAACGCCTACAAGGGCTCAGAGAAACAGACGGAGATAAAGAAACAAAAGCGCCGCAGGCGCTTTGAGCATGTTAACAAGGGAAATGAGACTTCGACGCTGGCAATACTGGAGATTTGGAGTCACAGTGACATTGTCAGTAGACGTTCGAGCACACCTTGGAGCACTGTCGCTCGTTGGCACGAGGTGGTGCGCTGGGGTCTTTCTGAAACGCGGGCAGCTTCAGGTGCCGCTCTACAACAAACCTGAAGCGCGGCAGGCCTCGCCATCGCCTGTGCCAGCCTAATGATCGTCTCGGTCAGTTACCCAGGTACTAAACATTGACCACGGTTGATATCGTGAGAAAACACCACTCAGCGAATGATGTTATCCTGAGGTTGGTGATCATGGTAAGAGGGAGAGGTGCAGCCTCGCAGCTGATCTGAACGGCAAAGCTCACAAGTGACACCAATGCTTCAGCTTAGCAGCTCTGCCGAGGCCGCTGAGGCTTGTGGGCGTTTCAGTCTTTCGTATACTCTGACTCTTGTTATGGCGGTGTCACCGTGAGCCTTGAGATCCAGATTGCCGACCTGCTTTCTATCAAAACCGCTATATCGAGGGTCGTGAAGGTTTCGGCAGCCAAGACGAACACGCGCCATCGGCACAGTGACATCTGTCAATAATGGCGTTCAGTACCAATCTTTTGCGTCTTCGATGGGTTGATGCTGATCGTCCTCGATTGCGCGAGTCCTGCGACTGTTGTTGTGGAGACGATCGCTGCATGCGCACGCAGAAATGGCAACCGAGCACCTGCCTTCCGGGATTGGCAAGCACCGAAGAGACACATTCAATCATTGCACGAGTCTCACACATCAGCCTCACCCCTATCCCGCTGAACATTTGTGGCTTACGGCACCCTGCTCGAGGCTATGTTCAACTTCAGTGGTACGTACCGAGCGCGACTCCTTTGCGCGTACCTCAACCTACGTCATATCTTTACGAGAGAGATGTCCGATCCACTCCGTCCGTCCTCGGATCCTGTTACACATCTCGCCGTGTTCTGCTTCACAGTTATTCCTCCGGCGGCCGCGGTCATCGCATTGTAGTCACGTTTTGTTTCTTCCCCTCAATACCACACGTGTTTCGTTTGAGACGCAACCGCACAGGTAACAATGTTGCTGATATAAGACTGTTCAGGCCAACTTCTAGCGGGGCAACATGATACGCAACAAGCTCGGCCTCCTCCAGCGAAACCAATACCTGCGACCTTCCCGGTGCTTGATCCACCTAAGCCGTTGACAGGGACCCCGCCAGAAACCTGGTGCAGAGAAAATGTGACCGGGATCACCAAACATTTCCTGAGTCTGAAGAAGCCATCCGACGTCACAAAGGAAACTCTGGCACAGCTCAATGTCACGTTCCAACTTGACTGTGACTTCGAAACCATACTGTCGTCGCTGTCAAACGATGCGGTGAGGCACATACCGCCTGCCTCTTGGTTGGATGCCCCAGACCAGCAAGAACCCTCTAATCTGGGCTCTATCGTCACGCTTCTCAGTAATGGTAGAAGAGTTCCAGACCGCAAAGAGTTCTTTGTCCGCGCCCGAGAGTTGCTTTTCAAGAATGAGGATGCATTCTCGACGCTTACACGAAAGAGCACTGGGGGCCAAGTACCGCTGCGACTTGCGTACTTTCGCAAGTTCTGGGAAGGCCTAGATAATATGGCATACTATTGGGATGACTCACTGGACGAATACCATCCCCCCGAATCAGAAGCTGCAGACACAACTGCCGGGACAGATGGCTCTCCCAAACAAGTTGCAGGGGCCAGCGGTCAAGAAACACGCACAGAAATAAAGACAGACTGGATCGCAAAGATGGGGAGTGGGGTTGGCTCTCCAGATGAGAGTGAGCCTCGAAAGAAAGCAAAGACGGAGGCGGTGAGTGATCAAACAATGGCTCGTTCTGTGCAAACCAACGGCTTTGGTGGATCGAATGCTGCCCAGACAGTTTCGATCACCCCGAGCAGGGTACTCCCATCCAGAATTGCCCCTCCCAGGTTTCCAACCCCAAAAAACATGGAACCTCAAGTGAAGCCAGCTGATATGTCCGACGGTTCCTACCGAGGCTACCGTATTGGTAATGGCTCAGAGATGCCCGATCAGTATCGTGTTGACTGTGTCCGGGCTTTTGTCGAGCCCATTGCTTGGGCATTTGGTGTCACACTCGCACAGCATCGAAGGCCCCCTGTTCTGCTGTTTGAGCACGTGCGTTTCCCTGTGCGTATGAGCTCTGTGGCATGGCGAGGACCCCAGGATCGGATGAAGGCCCGGCAGGGCTGGATGGAAGGGCCTGTGTTAGGGATCCAGTGTCGACCAGATGTCAACTTTGGAGCCTCCAGCAACATTGACGCAGCATCCAACTTAGACGCAATCCGTGAGCTTGGTGGTCTGTTACTGTTGGCTCAAGAACGCTCGAGGGAAGGCAAGGTTGAAAAGCTTGCTGGTGAAGGCAAGTGGTGGACTACGAAGGAACGCTGGGGGGGCGGCCCTGGGGACGAAATTGATAACGTTACAACACCCAGTGTGATATCAGGCATCGGAGCTGCACCCAATGCTCAGGAAAAGTCTGTTCACAGGAACGTAGACGGCTCAAGAGTGCGGAGACGGCCGACACCTGCGCAGGTTTGGAAGGTTGTCAAACCTGGGAACCCTCTTTGGGATCCCAAAGTCGTATTTGAGGCAATCGGTAGAGACGAGAGCAAAGAATGGGACGATGTAGGGCACTTGCCCCTGTCAGGTCGCATGTAGAAGTTTTGCTGACATGTACACAGGTCTTCATGGTTTCGTCATTGAACCACCACATTAGCCTCTTGAAGCTGCACGTACATTCAGCGTACCTGGACTATATTACGCACGGAACACTTCCCGAAAGTCGGCCCTCAGACCCCGATTGGTGCTCGCCCAAGCTTGAAAGGACACGATGGTTCGATCTGTTCAACGTGGATGACCGTACTGAAGCTATGAGGGGCCTCTGGGGAGTCATGTCTTATCTACTACGAGCTAAGGATGGAAGCCAAGAAGACATTGTGATGGGGAGTTCATGATGCTCCGTGTCGTGGCCTACGACCCTATGATGCAGTGTAAGAACGTTCCAATGAGCACGCCCACCCAGTCAGATTCGTCAGATTCTATCTTTCTGGATTCTGGATGAGTTACAGACACTAGCCTGCCTTCGCTTCTCCGGAGATCCTCGGATGCGTTGAGAGGGAGCAAGATCGATGTTCGTAGCGACACACTCTACGAAGCTATCGTCGTAGTGCACTTACACCAACATCAATTTCCAGTCCTCGAATCTATCTGAAGCAAAGACTAACCTATATCTGTACAGGATGCTGTGCTGCACGTCAAGGGTATTGCGCACATCCACACGTTACTCTTTGTAGGCCTCGTATGAGGTGTCTCTCAGGCTTCTGGAAACGAGGTGAGACAAACGTAGGAGATCTTGTCAAACAAGCTCATCACAGCCGATCGTTGCAAAGGGATATACTAAAACATCTCAAACGAATCATTTCCGATATAGTGGCGCACGAGGCTGTCGAGCAGAAACGGTTGACGCAATGACGCCACAACGCGATTGGCAAGCGCCTTGCCTGCCAACCGTGTCACCTATAGCTGTGCTCCCTTTGGTCGACGTTCCACTCCCAGCATCCTCACGTGCAGATGCATCCATTGGTCAGGCTGCAACGGCGCTCGTGACGATGCGTCTGCATTGGCGCAATACGCCGTTTCGTATCACGCGCTGTGACAAGTCAAGAGCACGTACAGACAGGTGTGTAATGGTATATGTCAAGACGCTCATATGAGGGCTTAGAACTTTGGTAGAAGAAGACGACTTTAGCATCGCGGCTGAGCACAAGGTCTCCAGGCTCCAATTCTTTCTTACCCACAGGGGCTCCCTTATGCACGCCACTGCTGACTTCAACCCTTTGGCAGTCGTTTGCAGGGATTTCTATGTACAACAACAACGAACATATGCACCAACTGCGTATCGGTCGTGGTGAGACTTGTGATGGCTCAATCACGATCACGCACTTGTGACCGGAGCTAGAACAGGTGGACGCGCACAAGCCTCGCGTTTCGAGTCTCACCTCGGATGAAGGCCTCGGAAGAGCAATCGGACTGGATTCCAAGCAATCTGGGAAGCTTGATGGTCCCAGATCTCTAGATGTGCACGGGCAGTGCTGCAACTACCCTCTGAAAAAGACCCGCTGACCGGGTTCAGAGAAATGTTAGACGCTTCGAGGTACCTAAGTACCAGATAAGCATCGATATTGGGTCGGACCATGGTATTACTGCTGATCTCGCTTGGAAACTCGATGCTTGAGGGCATGTTTATACAGACGTGCATCTATCGAAGTTGCTGATGAAGCGGGATGTATCCCGGCCTTCACAGCACATATGCCGGACGCCGCGGCCTCAGCTAGTCGAAGGCGGGCAGTGTGTGTGGTCGCAGTTCCAGAGGCGCCTCTCCATGGCAGAGTAACAGTGGCTGGATAGACTACGACGAGTTGAAGCAGGCGGTCAGCAGCCATCTTGATGCTCTACGTCGAGCATGCTGGCAGCCTTGCCCTTGCAAGGGGATATAAAAGTCTTTGTTCTTACGACGGATACACAACACACCCACCCGTCACTTCATACACCGACCTTAAGTCTCCTCAGATCTCTTGCTAGAGTTTCTTCTCACCACATCATACTTCGCCACACACTAGGTGCTCCTGTGTACCACGAAGACTAGCAGTCCTACTAGAACATCGCCCCGGTCCACCATCAACCTTTTGAAGAACTACTTAGACCAGCACTTCACCACAACCTCCACTCACAATCACGACGCAATGCACACCCCTGTTGTCATCATCACTGCTCTCATGAGTCTCATCGACTTATCGACTGCTGTAAAAGCACTCAACCCAAACCTCAACGCCATGCTCAAGATGGCAGCAACGAACTACGACAGACATGCGCTCCTCGCCAAAGACAGCGACTGGTACTATGACTTCTTCAATCACAAGGACTACAACAACAAAACCGGCTCCGTCATCACTGCCGACGCCGCAACTTTTCCCGCCATGACCGGCATGGGTATCAGCTACGCTTTATTGACAATCGGACCCTGCAGTATGCTCCCCCCACACTTCCACCAGCGCGCACACAATGCCGTGATCGGTATCCATGGCAACACAACGAGCTGGATGATCAACGAGAACGGCGTGCGCACTGTCAAGGTCGACATTATTCCTTTCCGAATGACGCTCTTTCCGCAAGGTAGCTTGCACGTCATGCAGAACAACGGTTTGTCTCACCACTTGCGCTCAGCCATGCGACGGTGCACTAACACAATTCAGACTGCGAACCAGCGCTTCTCCTCAGCGCATTGAACAGCGACGATAGTGGCACACTCAATGCGCTCAACGGCCTGTGGCAAATCCCCGACGACATGAAGCGCGCTGCATTCGGGGATGAGGATCTCGATACGGCACAGCTGGGCAAGGAGATCCCTGATGTTGGGACTGGTGCAGTCAGGGGTAGTCCAGAGTGCCTGAAGAGGTGTGGGATCGAGCACGGAAAGTAGCCGTCGCACAGACGTAGGGGTGGTGGGCTTTCGATCTGTTCTAGCAGGCTTGCATGGGAGGTCTTGAGCGATGTTGAAGATTTTGTTACGAAGTGATGATTTATGAGTATATTCATATTAGCTGTCATGAATGCAATGTCTTTGTAGTCTATAAAGGGGTATCTTTCGTAAAGTACCTGGTCGTTGGCGCCTGCCAGACGATGGTGTATGCACACGTGAGATCTCTCGTAACAGACATCAAGAGGACATTTTCATCGTAGGCTGATCCCCGCGATGCTAATGAAATGGTGATATCCCACGGTTTCTTTGGCTCCGGTCTGGGTGCCGTATGATCAGGCGCCTGCTTCTGCTCCGCTCCCAACTAAGAATCGTCAACACCCAACCAGGGTCTAGGTGTCGTGAGCGTAGCTACTGCGCTTTTTTCGTAACACTCACATTCGAGAAGATGGTATCCTGGCCGTCACCAGTGAGTCTCCCGCTCATCATTCTGATCACTTCGTCCGTCCAGCGGAACGCCGAGGCGTCGACCTTTTGGCAGTCCAGTAGCGCGTTAAGACCTTTGAGAATCCATTCTTGGATGTCGGAGGCAACATACTCGTAAGCCATGACGAAGCTGAACGAGGTATGTAGGGCGCCAATCGGCTTCGTTGACCATGCTTCTTCCCACGTCTTGCAGATCTCAAGAGCTAGAGCTCGACTTTCTGACTCTAGTATGCTAATTATGGGGTCGGAAGGCGGGAGCAACTTTATCAGGTACTCGTTGACCATGATACAAAGGGCCCAGAAGCTGTTGTACCCCACGTTGTCGCGCCAGCTGTTGAAGTGATAAGAGGTTGCGATTGGACTGCCCTCTTCCACACTGGGCAGCTCAAGTACGGTGGTACCGTTCGTGAACTTGGCGTTCATATTGACGCCCAAGGCGCAGAACGAGTTTCTGAGGTTCTGAACCTTAAAAAGCACATTCGCACGCGTGGAGATGTACGCAAAGGACGCCTCACCATCATACGTTTCTTCGTTAGGCAGGTCTGATGGGAAGTCGGTATTGTCGAAACTCTCGACTGAATAGTCAAGTGAGGGGCAGGTGTCGGCTGGGCTGTGACTGAGGTCGAGACTTGAGTTCAGATCGAGGTTGGGATCGACGAAGGAATCGTTACGCATACTGTTTGCGATGGGGGTAAACGGCGCTCGCAAAGTGCTCATTTCTTTCAGATCTTTAAGGATATCTGGCAGTTGCACGAAGGCCCGTAGGAGATCCGTATGTAACCGTTCGTCGAAGCCGAGGCCATGGCCGTCGAAAGCAACATCCCGCCATTCTGGTGCGGCGAGAAAGCAGGGCTTCCGTTCGTAACAAGCAGACACTATCTGAGGAGTTTTAGATACAAAGCAGTGCATTGGAGACATGTTACTCACGATTCCGCCTCTGTTGAATCGTAATATGTCTTTTGCAAACGGATCATTGAATTGGCCGGGCCCTTGCAATTCCATTAGTCGCCCAGCCCCGCCGACATGAGCTAGGTATCGATTGCCTTTTCGAGGTCCCGCAAGTGCCTGAGTGCTCGTCAGTCCCAGAAGGTCAGCGATCAAGCGTGCGACCTACCTCCACAAGTCCAAGGAGAACAGAAGCGCACAGTGTGTTCGTAGACATCCCCTCACGGGAATCCTCTAAACAGCCTTGAAGCGTCTTGATCGCACGCAGATACAAGTTGATGCTGATGACGTCGTTGGATGTTTCCTTGTACATCAAAGATGTATGAGCGTTGATGAGGACAGCCACTGCTGCATCGAGAGCAGGGCTATGGCCTATCCGAGCGGGAACCTCCTGGATAAAGGGGCCAAATACAGACATCTGAAGGCCTACGCTACCCGCACTGATCGTTGCAACTAAAGCGCGGGATAACTCATAATGCTGAGATGGTGACGGTTGTCGGAGAAGAGGCGAGCGAGGTGGACTCAGACTCACTGTGCTTGTCGAAGGCGATCGCGACGCAGGCTTATGTGAGTGAAAAGCATTTTTGCCTGATATCCTGAACTTATGCACTGTTGATCCATCGAGGTTGACTTTCTCGTGTACCTGAGTGAGACATCTTTGGTTGCAGTCTGTTTTGCCATCAGCGTCCGGACATCGACCATTTGCTGCTCGAGATCGATGCATACCTGCTGCTGCTGCTACCACCGACTGATTCTTGCCAGTTTGCGCGGTATAAGCCCCGTTCATGAGACTTGGTCCGAGATCTTTGAAGGTGTGTCGTGCCGGAGGCCCCGGACAGCATCTGCCATTCTTTTGACAATTTAGACAGGCTGGCCACGTTTCGTCTTTGAGATGTCAGAAACGACCGAGGTTGATGGAGAACGTCGAGACGTACCGCACTTTATCTTTCTCTTTCGACAGATCAGGCAGCCGGTCGACTGTATGGTGGTTAGTCATGGTCGAGATGGAGGTGTCGAATTGATTTACCTTGGGTACTCCTACCATATTGCCAACCCGAACCGAAATAGGTATGCGAACAAAGAACCGACAGGAAGTAATGTTAGGGAACAGAAGTGCAGCCCTACATATGGACGTGTGATATGTGGTTCTAGTGCGCCGAGACGCTCTAGGGTCGTGGATCACAGGCACGGTTGCCAATCCCGTCGTGGCTGACGGACAGAATCCTGAGCCAGGCTTAACCTGAGTGTCGAAGTGTATTAGGCCGACCACCCGAAAGCCGACGTTGAAGTTTGGAGCGATTTGATCTCCAAGACTACTCAGAGTCACATGTTCGCGGGATGAAACCTAAACGGGAAGTGCTGAATACCCGCGTTAAGGCTCGAGCCTGGAACGATCAACACAGTGTCAGTGCGAGTAAATTGCAGAATATTGAGTATTCCTGGACGCAATCGATGCCTGCTGATGACAAGCGTTGTCACAGCTAAGGAAGGAAGGGGGCAGACGCGTATGTCTACACGTGATCGCTTACGCCTGCCCGCTCATTGCACTAGCCCCTGTTCCGTCACCGTCTGTCACCACCTTTCGAGATAACTGCAACGTTCTCGACCTTTTGTCTGCCCCTGTCGCATCACTGTATCGGCTCCTTCCCGTAGCACACTTGCCTTTCTGGTACCGTTGATCCACTCGCTGATCTTATCCGCCATTAAATCACGGCCACCAGTATGGCGCCATGTGAGCTCATTGGCCGGTTCGTTCCTCGAAACAATCAGTGCTGTCGAAGGTGGCCCACAACCGAGCGCCTTCTGGACGTCAACCACAGGAGCGACGGTTGTCGCGGCTCGAGATTCTCGGAGCACTTGTGGCCCTGCATGCATGTTCAAGACACTCATGGGCATTCACTTGAGGCTGGCTCGTCCCAAACACTCGGTATGCCACGAACAGTTTCTCATCTCTTCCCGCTTTCTGCGTCTCGTGCATTACTTGTCATAGCAGTCACAGCGGTCAACGGACATCGACATGCCTCGGCCCCAGCTTGCGTAGACCAAAGTCGCGACTAGTGTGCACCGGCATTGGTATTGTGAGCCGCAACGACGCACATGTTCACATCTGAGAGGATTCTGAAGGCAGATTTGTCACTTCGGCGGCAAGTGCGTGGACCAGTGGGAACACTGGTCTTAGTCCCTCTGCAACAAGAAGCACGTCAGAGGCACTTGATCATCAGTCGCGCTGAGACTCAACCTGTCCACTTTGACAGCATTCAGTCTAGATGTCTGGTTAAAAGCAGGGCACGACTCTAGTGGCGCGTACTAACGAAGAGAAGGGAGCTATAGAGAGCGACGGATCATTCTCTCCGTAGCCTTTGAGGTGTCACGAATGTTTGTTCCGTCATACTTTTGCATCGGAGCTATCTCCTTTCTATGATCACCACTGTCGCGTTACCGACAGTTTGCCACCGCATTCGTAGATGAGCCAGAGTCCACGCTCTCCGCGAAAGTCTTCCCATCCAACTGAATAGCAATACCAGGCTTGACCTTGTCGTCCAAGTATCGCTACGCTGGGTCCTGGAAACGCGGCACTCGAGAGCGTGCAAGCAGGGGTATGGGGACGCGAAGAGCTAAACTCGAGCTGACAGGGTATCCCGAAAGCATGGTCGTATACGACAGCAGCCACAGCCCTGCACCAGGGGTTTCTCCGATCGAGGGTTGTCGTGTCGTGGCTTTAGGGCACGAGCACCAGTCACGGAAGTCAGGAACCTGTAGAAGGAGAACATTCGGAAGAAGACCAAGGCATTGACAACTTAGTGTTACAGTCTCCATACTTGAGGGCTCCATGAGCTCGAGAAGACTGACACCAGAATGCATGGCCTCACGACCTACAATGTTGACTGCTGGATGCTAGTAAGAAAGAGTGAGTACCGATCACACAGCCTCCGTGCCTGGGGGTTGGGAGGTGGGGTATGCGAAATGCACGTGCAGCGGCATAAGGCAGACAGACACGGACCGGACACATGCATGGCCCCTGCAGAAGCTTGAGGATTCAAGCTTCATGACCTGTTCACTGCACGCACCGCGAGTTGCAGAACGGTTGGAATCCTTCGAACGCAATACACCGCCTCGCTTTACATCCCCCGCTCTGCCGAAGCGTGGTGATCTCCGCGCTCTATTCACCGGTGCTCTATCTGCATCGTACTTCATTCCTATCGGTTCGTGCCTGATAATCATGCATCGGGTACCGATACTAACAGGCGATGTATAGTCTTCCTGAGTGCCCGATCTGCTAGGCGTATCAAGTCTCCGGTACAGACCATATAGGTACTGCTTAAGATAGCTACAATCTGACATTGCCTCCATGAGACGCTGGGCCTATCACCTGTAGGAGAGCGTTCTAGCAAGGACCTGCTTCCGCACTGCTGGGGGCTCGCTTTGAAGACACCCGGTCTGTCAAGACAACTTTACCGCCACATGCGCTCACCATGCATGCCCACACTTTCATACTGTCAGGCGGCTGCACGGCTCTTGAACCACAGCAGACACATCACCCGGTCCTGCACTTTGACACAGTCGGTCAAGTCGGCCTCTTGACGTTGCCGAGTATCAGGCATCCTGTGCCAGAGCGCTGCTGGCTATTTCTTGGTAGTAAACAAGGGGTTGTTGATATCATCAAGGTCTGAACGCGATGAAAGTAGTCTAAGTACTCCGAGATCTACAACAACGCCATGCTTTTTGGTATAGCCCAACGCCGACATAATCAAGCCCATCGTAAGAACGCCATGCAAATGCTGTGCTCCCCGTCTCGTCTAGCTGAAATGGATGCCCTCTTGATTGAACGCGTACAGCAGCTTCAGGAAATCGCCCTCGTCGCATAACCTGGGCCGCTTGTCGGCAAGCTGCGTCTCGTCCTCCAGCACCTTGCGCACCTTCTCGCGCACCAGCTCGCTAACCCGCCCCTTCTTCTTGCGGTGCATGCCCTTTGCGTGCTTTGCGCGCGACTCGGCAGCGAGCTGCTTGAAGAAGTCTGGCAGCTCGTCGTCGGGATCGTCCGGGTCGGAGAAGCCCTTGAAGTCGTCGTCGTCGTCGATGTCCATGGTCTCTGGCTCAGCGGCGACCTCGTCGGGGTTCAGAGGCGTGTCGTCGATGTCGATGTCGTTCTGGGCGCAGAAGAGGCGGTAGTTCTGCGTCAGGAGCTCGAGGACGGCGCTTGTGCCCAGGAAGGCAGCGCGCAGAGTGCGGTTCTTCCGCACAAAGGCGATGCGCAGCAGGCCGTCCCACTCTTCGTATGCAATCTGCGGGCGCGGGTTCTTGGGCTCGATGCGCACGACGTTGGACTCGACCAGGGGCGGGGGGTTGAAGTTGTTGCGGCCGACTTTCATGATATGCGAGACCTTGCTCCACATCTGCACGTTGACCGAGAGGCGCGAGTACAGCTTCTCGCCGGGCTTGGCGAACAGGCGCATGGCGAACTCGCGCTGGAACATGAGCACGCAGCTCCGCGGCGGGTGGGGCAGCGAGAGCAGCTTGAAGACGAGCGGCGACGAGATCTGGTAGGGCGTGTTGGAGATGCAGACGTCGAAGCGCGGGAGCTCCGTCTTGATGACATCGCCCAGCATGACCTTGAGTCGCTTTCCCTCGGGCGTGCCCTGGACTCGTTTGGTCAACTCGGCAGCCATGCGCGGGTCCATTTCCACGGCGGTCACGGCCTTTGCGGCCTTCAGGATAAGGACCGTCAGGTTGCCTGTTCCGGGGCCGACTTCGAGGACGTGGTCCGACTGCTTCAGGTGCGCTTTCTGCACGATGGCGGCGGCGACGCCAGGGTTCTTCAGCAGATGCTGGCCGAGGTCCTTGTCCATCTTGAAGATCGAGTGCGCGGCGGCCTGTTTGGCAGACGGCTTCGCGTACGGCGTGCTGTCGCCAGCGCCCGCGGCGCGCTTCCGCTTGTCTTTGGGCATCGTGCAGGTGTTCGCGGCCGTGTGCTGCTGTTCGGATCCGGTGGCCGTCGTTCTGGTGGGATACTTTATATTTTAAAGTGGGGTCGCGGAGACCCACACGTGCTTTCGCGAGTGCTGGACGCGTGACGTTTAGCCAGGTCGCGATTGATCCTGCGGTCCAATTCGGATAATCCCAAGAGCGTCCCATCCGTATGAAGCCTTGCTCGGTACGAGGTCGTGTTTCGTTCAAGTATCCTGCTGCGCATCACTCTTTGCTTGCTTCCGCGCGCCTTCCCGCTCCCAGATTATCTCCGTCATCTCGAGTACGCGCCGAGCTTCATCCTCTCGTTTGTCGCGACTTTCACAATTCACTCGCCAGGCTATTTGAAGGTGTCCAATTACCCAAGCTTCTTACCAAGCCTTTCGTAACCACATCACCCTCGAAACCGCATCAATTGCAAGCTTCGTTGGCGCCGAGGCTGTCCTTCATCTCGCGGCGCTCTCACCTTCACCTGGCCGCCTCGGAAAGCTCTCAAGGACCACGTGCCCATATAAATCAACCGACCGCTCTCCCCCCTCACTACAGCCGAACGCCGCACCTCGCCACGACCGCCAACCTGCACACGTCCGCGACGCCAACCGCTGCACAATCCCACACAAGCACAATGGCGAAGAACGCCGCTGAGGACTCAAGTTCCTCGCTGTCACCGGCTCCTGAGAACCTTAAGACTCCACTTGAGGCTGAAGAGACTGCCAAGACCACAGCGAATGGCAGGAAACGGAAGGTCGAAGCCACTGTGAAGACCGCAGTCAAGGCTACAAAGCGCACTAAGAAAGGGTTAGCAGAGGATATCAAGGTGGAGGAAGAGGTGACTGTGGAAGCTGCTGAGACACCTCGCAAGAAGCGTGCAACCGCTAAGAATGTGAATTATGAAGGAGAGGACGACAAAGAGGAGGGAGCAAACGGCAAGACGGCAACTGTCGACAAGACCGTCAAGAAGGTCACTCGCACGAAGAAGAGCAAAGAGCCAGGGCCACCCCTCGAGGAGCGAACTATCGACACCAAGCTACGTATCGGTGCTCACGTCAGTGTCGCTGGAGGTTAGTTCCACATCCACCGTCCCCAGTTTCAGCATGTCTTCACCGAGAACACGACTAACGCGGCCCGGTCGATCGTAAATTAGGTGTGCACAATGCCATCACCAACGTCTTGCACATTGGGTATGTATCAACACCTATTCCTTGGTCACCTGCACTTTGGGCTCATAAAAACAGTGCCAACGCATTCGCCATGTTCATGAAGAATCAGCGCAAGTGGGACAACCCAGACATGGACCCCGAACACGCCAACTTGTTCATCAGTGGCTGCAAAGACCACAAGATCGAAGTCGGAGACTGCTGTCTCCCACACGGCTCCTACCTCGTCAACCTAGCCCATCCTGATGCCGAGCGTAAAAAGCAAGCCTACGACTGTTTCCAGAACGATCTGGTGCGCTGCAACAAACTCGGCATACGGCTATACAACTTCCACCCGGGCAACGCCAACGCCACAACACGCGAAGAGGGCATTAAGCTCATCGCCGAGAACCTGAACCGCGCACACGCCGACCCCGAGACAGGTGACGTGATCACGGTGCTCGAAACCATGGCCTCGCTCGGCAACACCATTGGCGGGACATTCGAAGACATTGCTGCCATCATCTCCCACGTCGAAAAGAAGGACCGCGTGGGCGTCTGCCTCGACACATGCCACGTCTTCGCAGCCGGCTACGACCTACGCACCCCTGAGTCCTATGCTGAAGTCATGACCAAGTTTGACGACATCATCGGACTGAAGTATCTCATGGCACTTCACGTCAACGACTCCAAAGCCCCGCTCGCCAGCTATCGCGACTTGCACGCGCGCATCGGCACAGGCTACTTGGGCCTCCGCGCATTCCACAACCTCGTCAACGACGAGCGCTTGCATGGTATGCCCATGGTGCTCGAAACGCCCAACGACAGCGTCGATGCCAACGGCAAGAAGTTCGAAGACAAGAGCGTTTGGGCGCGCGAGATCAAGATGTTGGAGAGGCTTGTCGGGATGGATGTTGACAGCGACGAGTTTAAGAAGCTCGAGAAGACGTTACACGAGGAGGGTGAGGGGGAGAGGGAGCGAATTGGCGGACAGGTGGAGAAGAAGAAGGTCAAGGATGCGAAGCCAAAGACACCAGGGAAGAAGAAGGGAAAGGAGGATGAGGATGGTGAAGAAGCCGAGGTGAAGCCAAAGAGGGCTGCGCCGAAGAGGAAGGCTGCCATCAAGAAGAAGGTCGAAAGCGAGGAGGAAGACGATGATGAAGAGTGAACACGGCTTGCACGTTGGTTCGCCCGACTGAGCGAGAAGCATTAGAGTCAAACATCTTTATCGACAGCCTCGCCGTGGTAGCGACTGCGAATGAATCCTGGGACTCCACATCCCACTTTAATGGTGCGCAAGCCTGTGGCTTTCTGGCTAGATATCTACGGACGCACACATGTATCAAGATCAATCGGTATCGCACTGGGCACCGCCACCATGCTCTTGACTATCCCTCTCGAGTCATGCAGCGTAATCTACGTTCATCCTCTAGCAGACCTGTCAATCCTCATACACACTTCAACCCACGTCCTATACTGAGAACATGGTGAATCTTAGAGTCGGCAAGCGGCCTGGTATATTGGCAGATTCATAGAGAACCCCTCGGCCTTATCTTCGCCCATAATACGCTCGAATCCGCACCAACGCTCCACAGACGTGCACGAAACTCCTGGAGGCTCAGCCTGCGACCTCGCGATCTTGTTTGAGAACCATCACTATTGTCAAGTCCAAATTATCCTTGCCGGTGTTTGGTGAGAATCTGACGGGGTAGAGTTGTTGAACAAGAAACGTCGGAAAAGAATTGCATTGGATATCTTGAACTTTTGACCAAACGCCACTGATGCTGTATATCCCCAACGCCGTGTGATGCCACATCTCTCCAACGGCTCTACAAAGCCTCGAGCTCGAAGTCGTCCAGCTTGTCGCGGTACTTCATGATGTTGCGCTTGATCTTGGACGAATCGACCCAAGTGACAAAGTCCTCCATATTCCTGCCCAACATTAGCCCACAGAACCTCACCTCCTCCATAGCAACTCACCTTGTCACCAGGTACGCAGGATCTGTGATAACCGTCGTGCCCACCCTCACGTGGCCCTGCTCGATCATCTTGATCGCGCTCGTCAAGTGCTCGCTCATCCGCAGCCTCGTCATAATCACCGGCAGCCGCCTCCTCGCAAAAGCGCTGACGGTGACTTTGTGCTCGATGTCGCTCAGCTTGCCGCGGCCGCCTCCGCCTGTGCCCAAAATGCCCATGTCGAACAGCTTCTCCAGCAGCAAGTCCTCCTGCTTCCGGCGGAATGGGTCGGTGGGGTCGAGGTTCGAGAGCTTATGTGCGAGTTGGCGCAGCGAGCCGCACAGCTGGTTGTACTTGCGGTAGTCGTCGCGGCCCTGTATGGCGTAGCGGCGCATGACGAGGGTTTCGCGGTGGTCGTTGTCCGACTTGTACGTGTTGAAGTCGACCTTTCGCAGGAGCTTCTGCTCATGGTGCTTGAGTTTGCGTGTCATGTCGGCGGCGTAGGTGGATTGGTGGTATCTGATCTGGTGAGGTGTGGGCTGCGACTGCCGCGGACATCAAAAAGTTGAAGCTGGAAGGCGCGCTAGTCTTATCGATTGGCAAGCGCGACCGGCCGTCATTGCCCCTCGCGGGTCTGAGTCTTGAAACTTTTGAGTCAAGCAGATATCAGTTATCACAGTGCTTCTGTCGCTGTTTTGCTTCTTCGACACAAAGAACTCAACATGCCGACCGTCTACCTCCTCGACTACGTCGCCGGCAACATCCGCTCGCTCGTCAATGCCATTGAGAAGGTTGGCTACACGGTCGAGTGGGTCAGGTCGCCCGCCGACGTGCCCGCCGCAGATGTACGACACCTTTTCCAGCTGTCTAAGCCGCCAATTGACACGCGCTGATGCAGATGTCACCATAGAAACTCATCATTCCTGGTGTCGGCCACTTCGGCCACTGCCTGAGCCAGCTAGGAAAGGCCGGCTATGTCGAGCCCATCCGCGAGCACATCAAGGCCGGAAAGCCGTTCATGGGGATATGCGTGGGGCTGCAGGCCCTGTTTGAGGGATCAGAGGAAGACCCGCAAGTCAAGGGCCTCGGCATCATCCCGTCGAAACTGCGCAAGTTCAACGACGCCGACAAGAGCGTGCCGCACATTGGTTGGAACAGCGCCAACACATCACGCACCGGCGAAGTTACAAACGAGTCGCTCTTTGGGCTGCGGCCGACGTCCAAGTACTACTACGTCCACTCGTACGCCGCGCCATACGAGGAGGGCAAGCTGGAGAAGGATGGCTGGCAGGTTGCGACTGCGCGCTATGGCGACGAAGAGTTCATTGGTGCAGTGGCCAAGGACAACATCATGGCGACACAGTTCCACCCTGAGAAGAGTGGTGCGGCCGGTCTGCGCGTGCTCAAGGCCTTCTTGGAAGGAAAGAAGTCACAAACGCTGCCGGAAATCCCAGCGGCAGAGCAGACGAAGGAGGGCTTGACACGGCGAGTCATCGCATGTCTCGACGTACGCACAAACGACCAGGGCGATCTGGTAGTCACAAAGGGTGACCAGTACGATGTACGGGAGAAGGATGCCAATGCAGGCGTGCGCAACCTGGGTAAGCCTGTCGAGATGGCGAAGAGGTACTACGAGCAGGGCGCCGACGAAGTTACCTTCCTCAACATCACCTCCTTCCGCAACTGCCCTGTCGCCGATACGCCCATGCTCGAAATATTGCGCAAGACCAGCGAGACCGTCTTCGTCCCCCTGACAATAGGCGGCGGCATTCGCGACACAGTCGACACAGACGGGACCAAGATTTCTGCCCTCGACATCGCAACAATGTATTTCAAGTCCGGCGCCGACAAGGTCAGCATTGGCTCCGACGCCGTCACAGCTGCCGAGGACTACTACGCTCGCGGTTCCAAGCTATCGGGCACCACACCCATCGAGACCATCTCCTCCGCATACGGCAACCAGGCTGTCGTTGTCAGTGTCGACCCCAAGCGCATATACGTCTCATCACCCGACGCCACACAGCACCACGCTATCAAGACAGCAACACCAGGCCCCAACGGCGAGGAGTACTGCTGGTATCAGTGCACCATCAAGGGCGGACGCGAGGCCCGCGACTTTGATGTCAGGCAATTGGTCCAGGCGGTCGAGGCCATGGGTGCTGGCGAGATTCTACTAAACTGCATCGACAAGGATGGCAGCAACAGCGGTTTCGACCTCGAGCTGATCAACGATGTCAAGGCCGCGATCAAGATCCCGGTCATTGCGAGCAGTGGAGCAGGAAACCCGGGACACTTTGATGAGGTGTTTGCGAAGACGAGGACCGATGCTGCGCTGGGTGCTGGAATGGTGAGTCAACCCCGTGCCCCTTGTACGCGAACTTGATGCTGATATTCACAGTTCCATCGTGGCGAGTACACGGTCAAGGATGTAAAGGACCACTTGCAACAGAAGGGCCAGATCGTGCGGCCTTTCGAAGCAGACATATAGAATAGACTGTATACACATAGACAAAATGGTAAGGTACCAGGAGCTACCATTACAGACCCAGGGCCGCCATCGCTAGGCATTTCATTGGTTATCTTGACGTGTTTCCTGCACTCGTGTTGCCTACGCAGCGGCCACCTCAAACCCCTGCCACCTCTCCAATTTCTCCCGACACTCCTCATACGCCGCAATACCGAGGATGTAGGTCTGATTCTCCACCCTCTTACCAGGGATGTTGCTTGTGTTCCACCAGCTGTTCGTGTACGGGAACAGCCTGCCCTCAACCATCGTGTTCATCTTACTCTTCCATTCGCTTTCCGCTTGCTGCGTGGGCTCAATGGACGCCTTGCCCTCCTTGTGCAGGGAGGTGATGGCCTGGATGACGAGATCGCATTGGCGTTCTGGACGGTGTCAGTGACCGCTTCCCATCCACCGTGTTCGCCAAAGACGTCGTAACAATACGGGAGACTCACCGATAATGGTTGGCCCGTTGGAAAGCGCAGTCAGCGCCTGGGGCGAGTACACGATGAACGCATTCGGAAACCCGTTCATCATGATGCCCAAGTACGTCCTGACCCCGTCTCTGCTCAAATCGACAACCTCGACGTTCGCTCGGTTCAAGACATCGTAGTAACCGTGCTCGAGCAGCGTCTTCTTGGTGCCGAAGATATACGGCGCCCGCTCCGGCGCCCTGAGCATCTGTTTCGCGGGATGCGTCAGCCGCGGCCCGACCTTGCATCTCCAGAAGTCGTACACGATGCGTTTCGTCTTGGGACCGGTGGTGACGTTGTTGAAGTTGAGCATGGTGAAGTGGAACGCGCCGGACGCCCAGATACGCTCGAAGAAGGCCTCGCGCTCCGCGGCGCTGGCGTCTTGCACGCGCTGTTCGCGCCGCTGCGTGGGAAACCCCGCGAGGGTCGCCCGTCCGGAAGCGAAGAGCGCCGGGTAGAATGATTTCCAGGCTGTTTGCTCATCGACGATCCAGCGCCGCTGGCCCATGGGCAGGCAGTACGAAGGGCGGCGCACGAGGTGCGAGGCTTGTCTGCCGACTTCCTGGCCGATTTGGACGGCGGTTGCGCCCGCGCCAGTTATGGCTACTTTCTTGCCGGTGAGGTCTGAGGACGAGGGCCAGGAAGCGGAGTGGTAGATGCCTCCCTTGAATGTCGCTTGCGCTTCCCAGGATGGAGGGTGTGGTTTGTGAAGGAGGCCTGTTGTCACAACGATGAACTGTGCTTTGGCTTTGGCTCCGGACTCTGTGGTGATGGTCCACTGCGAGGCGTCCTTGTTCCAGGTACAGCTGTTGGCTTTTGAGTTGAAAGACACATCTTTTCGCAGATCGAGGGTTTTATCGATGTGAACAAAGTACTCTCGCAGTTCTATATGGTCGGAGAGGCATCTCGAGAAGCTTAGGTCTGGTATACCTCCGGAATATTGAGCTGCTAGAAAGGCGTTTCGGAGTCGACACGTGCACCAGGGTATCTTGAGAGGGTCAGCTCTGCCGTCTACGTAGTCACGATTGACTCACCTGTTCCAGTACCATACGCCACCGAAGTCAGGAGCTATTGTAGTGAGTGAAATGGTTGTGAATCAGGCATAGGTTCAACCAATGAACCGGATTCGAATATGAGGGCTTTCAGGCCCTCTTTGCGTAGGCGATACAGAGCACTAATGCCAGAGAACCTAGTTCCAATCACTATAACATCGTAATCTTCCATTGCTTCATTTACCGAAGTCCCAATCGTATGGGAGGATACAGGACCATGTCGCCGTGACGTGGATAAGCAGACTGCATCAAGACACGGATGTCAGCGGAGAGTCGCAACCAGAACCCAGAGACGTAATATGTACCTCTGGCGGAAACGGACCTTCGAGTAACTTGAGGCGATTCATAGCTGAGCGGACCCGAGCGCCACATCTAGAACTCCGAGCGCAGCAAGGCTGAACTTACGGTAGTTATGAATGACAGACTGCCCTGTCATGCATACTCTATCTTACGGCCAATGTTGTATGGCATACGTCAGGATGGGCTATTGATCTGCTCGTAAGAACTTGAGAGTAGACTCATTTTGTAGCATACGCCGTTGAGCACTAGCTCTTCACAAAATCAGATATTGTTCGAACATGACCTCGTCGGCTGGCGGATGAGGAGCTGACCGAGATTGAGTAAATTTTTGGCTTCCTCCCGTGAGACATAAAATAGCATCTGGGTACTCGGGTGAGGCTGAACCCCGGGAAAGATTGCGGGGTTTGGAGAAAAGAAGTGGCTTGATGTCTGCGACCAACACGGCTAATACCGCAGGTACACCGATAACAGCTCAATCGAAAGTTTTGGGTGCGGACAGTGATTGACGAATACGAATCTTTACGAGCTATAGATTCAAAGCGTTACGGGTGTTACTCGCGCATCCTCGCAATGTGTTCGAAACCCGTGAGCTAGAGTGTTTGTTTCGATTCTGTCCTGACCTTAGAAATGCCTATTCGCTAATATGGACGCCAGTACAACGCCTGGTACTATGCCTTTCTGTACCCCTGCCGAAAATGCAATGTATGTGTTAAGGAACCCTGCACGCCACCACCGACGAGCATGTAGGCTCTCGGTATCTTGGTGCGGCGGAGGCATACCAGAGACGGAATGACATCCGCACGTGTGCAAGTGTTGGGCGAGCTCATGTGAGAGACACAATGAATTCCCAGTTGCCTGCGAAAGGTCAGTATAATGTTCCGAAAGGCTCAACGATGTCGACTATCGCTTGTACATAACCGACTCGATTACACGTACCTTGCTTGAGGTTCTCCGCCGTGTCGTTCAACAAAATGATCCGCCTCTTCGTGCAGTAGCTGGTCTTGTCCATCATCTCTACCTTGAGTCCTTGCAGCTGGTCGATGGGCTTCTCGAACATCTCACTGAGGTTCTCGACGGCCATCTCAAGATCCTTCTGGTTATCTTCGAAAATCTCTGTAAGGTTGTTCCTAGCCAAGTAGTACGCGAAGGCGTACGTCCATTTCAAGACTTGACGACATTGCTGAAGCGCCTGCGACGCTTGATCGAGAAACTGGACCTCAATCCAGGACATGCCCGTCGTGTTCTGCAACTGCTGCATCTTCTTCTCGGTCTTGAGATATATGTCCCTGTCGAGCTTCGCAGACTGTTCATGGTTTGCGTAACGGTTATAGTAATGGAGGTATCGCTCCAGCGACTGCCTGCTCTTGGCTTGGGCGTCTCTGGCATCCGCGCCGCTCTTCTCCTCAAAACGATTGCAGTTGTACCAGCTGGTGCCGTGCTCCGACCAGACGCCCATACACATCCAGCAAAACTCGTGTCGACACTTCCTGCATGTCATGTGGTTGCAACCTCCGTTCTTCTCGATTGTCGAAACGCATCTCGGGCATTCCTTCGTGTTGGCTGATATCCAGTTCGCTGTCTCGCTGTCGTCCTCGCACTTCTTTAGCCATTTCTTCACCAACGAACACGGTGCCGGCTGATGATCGGCTAAAGTGCATCCGAAGCAGAACATGTGTTTGCACTCGCAGTGAACAGTCGGCACAATCTTATTGAGATCCTTGCTCTTGACACCACATTGTACAGCGTATTTGCAGTCCGGAGCGGGGCACCATTTCAGGTTATCTTTGTCGTCGACGTACGTTCGTGTGAGGAGTGTGTGGTATCTGATCGTGTTAGGGCTGAGCTGGTTTGATCGGCATGTATGACATACCTGTCCTGAAGGTCTGCCGCGACTAGAAGGTCCAGGGATTTTGAGTCAACGATCCGCGTACAGCCCTCACCTGGGCATCTTATCCGAGCGGCCTCGCCCTCGTCCTGGATCTTGGTCGCAAGATACTGCCTGTAGCACCCTGCGCAAAAGCGATGTCCGCACTTCATCGCGAAGGTGTCAATGTCTGGGCTGTCGTCGCAGCAGATGTCACAGCAGAAGCCACTGATCTTCTGCAGTTTCGGTGGGTTGGTTTGCGCATCCTGCCCGAGGCCTGCGCTCTCCAGGGTATCTTCCCGCTGCTCCATCATCCGGTCGACTAGTCGTTCCTTGTTCCAGCGCATGTATCGAAGGAGGATTGCTGCAACTTCCGGAGACAGAGCTAGTATGCTCGAGACCTCGTCGATCTTCACTTGCTGTTGTTTTTGAATCCGCTCGGGATCGAAGACCTCAAAGTCGACCTCGTGAGCCTGTTTTGTAGGCTTGATGTCCTTGTCCTGCGTCTCAAAACCAACGTCATCCTGGTCCATGTCGAAGTCAGAGTCTACGATCGTGAGTCAGCACAGAACTCCGGCTTGCGATATAACGGGCACCTACCATCTTCTATCTCCAGGTCGCTATCCCGGTCCTCAAAGTCCTCCCCGCTCATGGAGCTGTTGAAGTCGTCCTCGGAGTCCATAGTTCCGGAGGCGTTTGTCACAGGCGTGGCCGGCAGGTTGTCGATGGTAGGTGGCTCGGGGGACTTGTGCGCCTTTTTGCGAGGCTCGTCGGAAGGGCTGAGTGTGATGTCTGCCTCAGAGGCCTTCCGCTTGTGGACGGTGGGCGGCGTCGTGGTGTAGTTTGAGCCTGTTCCGCCTGATGACGGAACCAGGCTACCGGACTATGGTGGGCGACGATAAGCGCTCGTAGGTAAGGCACACGAGGTGGCGCAGTGGAGTAGTCAAGCGACTCAAAAAGACAGACAATCCCCAAGTATTGGTCAGCGGTTGGCACAGTCACAAGGTTAAGTGCATGGTTCGAGAGTTGCGCAGTTGGGTGGGTGGATCAATGCGGGCACCCTGGCGCGTCGGGCACAGACACCGAACTCGGAAGCGGCGAAGGCGGTGGTGAATTTGTTCGCCGCAGTTGCCTCTGGAGCGCTCTGGCGGCCTGCACTTTTCACAGGCTTCACTCGGTACTGAGACTTAGGTGCTCGTGCCTTCACGATGTCCACGGAGCTTTGAAAACCACAGAGAGCAAGCTGGACGTCTCCAGGGGTACGTTTGCGGTGCCGCGCCGCTGGTCACACTTGCTGTCGCACGTCACGATACCACATGCACGTATTGCTTTGAACATGAGTCTTGTCCCGACCTCTACTCTGAATCCTCGTCCTCTTCCTCTTCACTCTCCTCTTCACTCTCACTGCCACTTTCCTGCTGCAAGAAGTCGATCAAGGCCTTTGTCTTTTCTCTGACCTTCTTCATGTCCTCATCTTCGCTGCTCTTCTCATCCTCCCACCACTGGAAGAAACCTTCATCCTGAACGTGGTCATTCATGGAGAGCTTTGTTGCTGCCTGCAGGAGAATGGAATCGCCGCTCTCCCTGTGGCTTAAATCGGCCTGTAGCAACAGTAAGAAGTCAACCTGATCAGCCTTGTCTGATTGAGCCTTGTCGAAGATGCAGCGATCGATAAGTTCCTTATAAGTATCAAAGACCTGAGCGACAGCATTTTTGACAGCATCACCAGACTTGATGAGCTGGTAGATACGCTTGACGAACGCGCTTACGACGGCGCGTCGGACTTGGTGATCTGAGGCATTTGTGCTCATGCGTAGTGCTGTGAGTTCGAGCTGAATATTGGCAGACTCGTGACCTTCGACAAGTGAATCGTAGATGCTGGTAGAAGCGTCGTGATCGAAATTCGCGGCATGTTGGCTGTCTTGCGAGCCAACCGAGAGGAAGCTGCTGGCTCCAGATCGGTCGTGCCGTATCTCATAGTCGTCTGCCTCTGAATCCGAGTTGAGTGTCGATATCGATTCCTGAGACAGGTTCACAAGGTTGTACACTGAGATTGTCAGTAATGGAAACATGGCTCTGCGACGCTGTGACGTACATGGGCCAGAGGAGATGAGACTATCCACGATCTCGTCCTCATCCTCCTCGTCTGAGTCGTGGAACTCGAAGCCATCCCCACCCTTACCAACCACATCGTGGTCTGGGTCGCCTCTGACGAGCTCTTCTTTACCGTCTCTTCCCCGCTTGGCGCGGGTAATCCTGTGTTCTCCGCGGATGGTCTTGCCTTCGCCGATAGTTACACCGTATGAGATGAGCGCACCCTCTTCGATCGTGCATTTCCGCCCAATGGAAGCCTCGTTCGCAATGACCGACTTTTTGATAACGCTTCCGTCCCCAACGCTTGCATAGTCCCAGAGATATGCGCCGTCGATTTTCACATTCCGACCAATCTGGCAATGCCGCCCTATAATGCTGTTGGTAATGATGCTGCCGTCTCCGATGCTGGTTCCCCGCCCTATGGCAGTTTTCGAGTTGATGATACAGTCGCGTGCCAAGATTACGCCTTCCTCTTTGTATATGTTGCCCTTCCCAAGCCTGTATGACTGTCCTTGTACGAGGTTGCTGTCAGGGCACAGCGGATATGCCCAGCGTGACACAATATCTTTGCTGACCGAATCGTACGCGTGGAGGTTGCGAACTCGAGCAGCGTAATGATCGGACACTATATGCGTGTGGAAGGTCTTGCCGTTCAACTCGTAGTCCTTGAGTACACTGTGTAGGAAGCCTTTCCTCGGTGCTTGGAAATCGAAGTTATCGCTCCAAAGTGCAAGTACGTCCGGTGTGCAGATATCGATGCCGCAGTCGATGAGGTCCTGGCGAATCTCGAGTTCTTGGTGGTCAGACAATAGGTCAGGGTCAATTGAGAGGTAGTGTGTCTGGTCGCGGTTTGGCATCTGCTCGAAATGCAGACATCTGTCCTTCTCCGGATCGATAACGAAAACCGGGCTTGTCCCTCGCGCCTTTGTCCTGTGTGTTGTGCCTGCCTCGCGCAACACCATAGTCATAATGGCATTCTTGTCCTTTGTTCTCCTCGCCCTGTGCGCAGCCAGAGCACCCTCTAACGGTAGGTTGCTGACGACGTCTCCGTAAACCAGAAGGAAGTCGCCTACCAATAAGCTTCTGCTGTCCAGATCGCGCATCGCGTCGCCTATCGAGTGGGATGTCGACTGAATGAGCTCGAGCTTGGAAAACGGCGAAGATTGCGCAGCCCATTTCGACCGGTTGATATATGACTCGACTTGCTGCCTGTGAGCGCCGCAGTATACGAATATCTCCTCAACACCGGCATTGGCAAGGAATTCGAAGGTGTACTCGATGAGTGGTGTGTTGGCGAGGGGTAGTAGACACTGTCTGGCTGTCAGCATAGCAGACTGTGACTGCGAACGGACGTCTCACCCTTGGGCGCTCAAGTGTGAAAGGGTTGAAGCGTGTCTCGAAAGGATCCGCAAGAATCTGGGAGGTTAGCACGGCTCTGGTGCGCGCGTGAAGTCGTGCGTACCACTGCCTGGAGAGGGTCCTCACGCTCCTCCTCACCACCCTTGCCCTTGTCCTGGCCTTTCTTTCCTTTCGGCGGCATCTTCGTCGATGTAGGGTAAACTGTGTACAGTCGTGAACAGCCGAGGCGTCGTAGTTTGGACAAAAAGTTGGTGGAGTCAACGAATGCCCCACGCTGTTATCGATACCGAAAACCCTGGAAGCTCCAAGTGCTCGAAACTAAACACCCAGCCCCGCGGATCTGTCGCTGACTCATAATAATCGCACAAGGGTCGCATCAAACGCCAGGAGCAAGATCTGGACTCATGTGCTTAGCGTTCTGTGGGGCTCGATGTTGCGTTGCGCCTTCCCGCAGTTCGAGACGCGTCTGTGCCATTTCCCACGAGGGTGGGCGTGGAAGGTCTAGGCCGCTGCCTCTCAATGCTTATTGCAACGACAGATCTTGACTGCGCGTAGTTGCTCTACTGTCCTTGAACATCTTTGCTGACATGCTGTACGACCTCTGGGAACGAGGTATTGACAAGGTTGCTGCTGTTGTTGCTGATTCTTCGGCTTTGCAGAGATGTGAAACTACTCGTCGGTATCCTAATACTCGAAATCGACGAAGACGAAATGAAACACATGTGTTGACACAAAGGTAGATCTGCGATTGAATAGTATGCTTTGAGATTTGGTCGTTCGATGATATCTTTCTTCTAGTCCTGAGCTTCAGACTGATCCAAGTCCACGTCCTATGGAGCCTGGAACATGCTATAATTACACCTGGACCGCCAACCTGACGATGCCCAGTCCCTTAACTCCTCCCCGAACCATGAATCAATTACAACTCCTATATTGCGAGGTTCCTTCCAAACCTCTGAGCGGTTGGCATGTATTCCAACATTCCAACACAGAGCGTTCGGGATCGGATGTGACTCTCTTCTCCATCCTTTCATATCGCACATTCTGGATCGACTACCAGCCCGCCAGAGAACGCTTCGCATGCGGAGCAGTAATGCCTCCAGAAGTACGGAGTTATCAGTTACAAGTGCTCTTCAAGGCCGTCTGTCCAACACAATCAGCGCGGTCTCGGTTGCATGGGGTTGATCTGTGCTGGTATTTGCGGTGGGAACATATGTTGTCGCTTTGCTGGATTGTTCATGTCGTCTCCTCCTGAGATATCAGAAATTTGTCTCCGATGACCACCTGGAGGAAGCTGCTGCTGTTGTTGTTGCTGCTGTCTCGCCTGCATCGATATTTGGGGCGAGGTATTGTAACTCATGCCTGGTTGCATGGGGTTGACACCGTAGGAACCAGGGTGGTGTGGCTGCTGAACCTGCAGGCCCTGAGCATATTCATCGGGCATGTTGCTGCCAACGGGTGAGACGCCGGGAAGCTGGTTCGGTGAGTTCCAGTTGCTGACGGTCGCGGGTGACTTGGCCGGGGAATCTTCTTCCTTCAACATAAGTTGTCTAGGTACCGAAACGGGTTGAGGGGCGGGCATCGCGTCGCCGTGCGGTGATGGCTTCTTGAGATGGACGAGGTGCTTCTCCAGCATATGGAGTAAGCCCTCTTTCGTGAATGGCTTTGGCAGCACATCGTTCATGCCGTGCTGGAAGTACATCGAGATATCGTCACTCCTTATGTTAGATGTCATGGCAATTATCGGCGTCGTGTCGAATTGTCGAATCAGATGGCAGGCCGAGACACCGTCGAGATTTGGCATGATGATGTCCATAAGCACAAGATCGTACTTAGATCCAGCGTTCATCTTGTTGACAGCTTCCAGTCCATCAAGCTAGATATCGGGTTAATTGCGTGATCTGAAAAAAGTTGACTTTCTGACTTACTGCACTGTCAATGGCACAGTGAAAAGCGTACAAGAACTTGCTTCCAATGCGGCGACACGTTGGGTCGTCTTCGACAAGCAAAATCTGTGGCGGGCGTATCCAACCGGGGTCTGCGAATTGCCCCTTCTTTCTAACTTCCACAGGCTTTTCACTAGCTTCCGGCGCCTTCGGTGGCATCGCGTACGGTATATTGTTAATGTGCTCGCTAAACATTGGGTCGATGCCATTATTCTGACCGACGGGATAGACAAGGTTGTCGAGGTTGTCGAGCCGCATTGAACCTGTCGACGTGGCCGAAGGTGGTCCGCGACTGGTGGGTCTAGGGCCGGCACGTAGTACGTCTGGAGGTGGTGTGGTTAAGGTACCGTTCATCCTCAAAGTGATCTCGTTCATGTGCTCCAGGTTCCTCGGATTCAACATAACATCGGCATTTGTCTCGCTCAGCAGTTTGGAGGCGTGCTGCAAGGGCGACGCCGGGTGATCATCGTCGTTGGCTTGCGCAGGAGGTTCAGCATTGCCATTTTGGCCTGCTGCACCGTTGAACAACAACTTGCTGTTTCTGCGCTGCTGAGAATCAACGCCGTGCAAGAATGTCATCACATTTTGCATGACATGCTCGTGGTTCACGACTGTCTTCTGAAGGCCAATGACCTCCTGCAACAGCATCGAGTGATGGATGCTGAGCTCGTTGTAACGTTGCTCCAGGGTATGCAGCTGCGCTTGTGTCGCCATCAACTGCCCGCTGACCATGTCCATCTGCTGCGAAGGCATGCCGATCTCATCGGCGTTCGTCTGGTTGGGTTTGCGAGGCGCAGGAGCCTTCCTGCGAATGTTGTCGAGCGCGTCCTTGTTGTTCATCTTGAAGTCGGGGTGTTTGAACTCCCATGCCTGGGGAGCGTTAGCTCAGGAAACTGTCAGATCTGTCCAGGGTGCACTAACGCCAGGTCCGTACTGCGATTGACCATTCTCCTCGTTGTTATGTCGCACTTTGTGGAAGTCATATTTGTTCAACTGGCGCACAAAACTTGCGAAATTACTGTGCTTGAAATGCTTGGGAAGGATGTGCTTAGTGAACTTTTCGTTCTGCACGCCTTGATTAGCATCCTTCTCCAGGTCGTGGAGTCAGGACAACGTACTTCCAGCACCACGAAGCTGTCACCATCGTTTCCCCATCTCACAACGCTTTCGTCGCTAGGGTTCTCCAGCATCCTTGCGCGCGTGTTAGTGTCCGTTGGTCGTACTCATGTGGTGTAAACGTACTTGTACAGCTTGCGAACCTGATAGGGCAATTAGCTTGTGGTACAACGAAGCTTTGAGAAGGCAGACGTACAAAATCGCTGGAGTTGCTCGAGCCGGAGCCTCCAGCATTGTTCGAGTCCATAATGGCTGGCGTCGTACGCAAATTGTCCCTTTCTGAGGATATAGGGAGCTAGTCTAGAGTTGGTCCCTCGATAATTATTCTCTTCCTCTTGAAAAGCGCAAAAGCCTCTGCGCGTCGAGGCTTGGGGTGATCAAATCCCCAATGCCTCGTGTGGGCGGTTCGTAGAGACACCCGGGGCGACAGCAGTGATGTGGGCGGCGCGAGGCTCACGTAGGGTAGAGAAATATCTCTACGGCCGGGGGGTGTGAGATGGGCGTTCTGATGTCGTAATGCCGCAGCATGGGCGTGCCTGCAGTTAGGCAGTGGGAAACGAAAGGTCGATGGGGGATCTGGGCCCTTGAGTGTGAAAGACTTGACGGCAGGGCTCGTGGCATCTCAGAGCGGGCTCTTTGACACTAGGAAAGGCCCTAGAGGTGCTAAGCAGGAATGCGCGCGCCCCAGGGCCGCTAGCACGCCGAGAGCAGTATTGACCAGGATGCGTTCGCGAGGAGCGAGGGCTTCGGGAAGAACGCCAGCATGGAATTTTGCGAGGAAGGGAACAGAACAGGACAGAGCCACGAGGCAAGAAAGGATTTATATTATAATACCTGTTATGACCATGCTACATGGTAGTTCATGAGAGCGCACATGCATGCCTACAGGGCGACCCGAGGCTCGCAGAGCAAAGTATAGTGGTGCGCGAGCCCGAACTTGGCGGATGCTATGACGATTTAGCCAGCGCCGGCGCTGGGTGACGATCTCCATCAAAAAGCAATGTAGCTAAAAGGCAGCCTGCATCGGCTCGTAGCCTGCAACGCACTCGAACGCGCTCTCGTAAGCCGCGTGCTCCGCAGCGTCGCCGTTGCTCCAGCAGCATACTCTCAAGCCGCTGTATGTTGGATAGTTGGATACGTTGGAAAGGCAAGATTCAAGAACAGATTGCGTTGGGTCGCCCTTGCCTGTAGAAGCTCTGACCAGCGGGGTCCACCTGCTAAAAGTGTGTGGCTGGCTCAGCTCCGAGGGTTTTTGGCCATTTCTGGCAAGTTTGGAGCTGCCACTCACGACATCGACATTGTACAGGTACCTAATCCTCGTTACCAAGTAGCCTCATCTCAGACATCATGTTTGCCGCTCGTCAATTGTCCTTAGTGCGCCCTGTCGCTGGCCGCCGCCTCTTCCATGCCACTGCCCCTACGCTTGTTAAAGTAGGAGACAAGCTGCCCAATGTCGAGCTTATGGAAAACTCGCCTGGCAACAAGGTCAACATCGCCGAAGAGCTGAAGAGCGGTAAAGGTCTCATCATTGGTAAGCCACGCAGATCATACCCAAGGTCGTAGCCTCATCACTCGTACTAATCTAATATCGTGTACAGGAGTTCCGGCTGCGTATTCACCCGCCTGCTCTGAGAACCACATCCCTGGGTACATCAACTCCGCCAAACTCAAGGATGCTGGAAAGGTCTTTGTTGTCTCTGTCAACGACAGTTTCGTGTAAGTGTGCTCGAGCAACTGCTTAGTTCGTGCAATTGGGCTCACCACTCCCTCGACTGCTGAGACTGTCTCGGGTGAACCTGCCACCCGTTGTCCTGAACTCGATGCAAACGTGACCGGCACATCCAGCATGAGACTTGATCGTGGCCACTGTCGCGTAACCATACTAGCACACGTCTTATCGGCTGTGTCACCGCCGTCTGCTGCGCTAGGGAATTGGACGCTCACTGACTTCACGTAGCATGAAAGCATGGGGCAAGACATTGGACCCAACAGGCTCCAGCGGTGTAAGTCACTTTGATCACCTCTCATTGCTACATTGAGCCGACCACCTTAGATCCGGTTTCTGGCAGACCCTAGCCTAGCCCTCACCAAGGGTCTTGATCTCTCCTTCGACGGCTCTTCCATCTTCGGCGGCAACCGCTCCAAGCGTTACGCTCTTATTATCGAGAACGGCACTGTTAAGGAAGCGCATGTCGAGCCAGACAACACCGGATTGAACGGTACATTTGACCCTCCCTCCGTAGAGTCCCACTAATCAAGACACAGTCTCCGCTGCAGATAAGGTTTTGTGATCCGTCCCTAGTATTGCCTACACATAACAGGTCTTTTGTCGAAGTGATCTAGATATATCGACAAGGTATCTCTCACAATGAGTCTGCGAGAATGATGCGGTTTGACGGAAATATGTTAGACCTTCCATCGGGAACAGTTTTGAACCAGTCGATGATGGCCCGAGATTCCCAGCATCTTGCCTCTACGGCCGTTCCTGGCTGCTTTCCGTCGGGAATAATAATGAAGAGTTGTCACTCTGGTACTCATGAGGACTGCACGCCTTCTCTAGCACTTCAATGTATTGTTAGCCTCCTAATCAGACTGGTCCATGCTATCTTTATATAGTTCAGCTTGGAATGGTTACACTATCAGGCTAGAAGCTCATGTGCCTTTGATTTAACACACGGAAATCCATATAGGTAAACTTCTTACCTCATACTTGCAAGGGCATTGCGTGTTTTGGACCTGTTCGCCGGGCGTTCGGACTTGAAAGGCACTTCGTTACCTTGGCGGTCTTACTGAAACTTGAAGAGCTCATCGAGACGTCTGCGGTGCGTGATTTATTCTCTGGTTAACTGAGGGGAAGAAGACATGTTCCCCGCAAAGCGAATCTTAATGGCCCCAGATAAATCCGATGTCATCTCAGCAGCGTGTTGAACACGGTGGAAATTTCTAGATGGTTCATTCCTTCTTCGGTACCACACGGGTAAACGTCTTTCGTCTTTGGCAGCACGGACAATGAGTCCGGGCGCCCATCAAGTACAGAATTGCAACGACGGAGTAGCTTCAATATGGCAGTACCTATGCATACACCACAAATGAGAGTAATTTGCATTGTTCCACAGCAGACGCAACAGCCCATCTTTCCAGGCGTCCAACTTACTTGCTGGCAAATGCGCAGCTTCCCAGATCCCGCTTCTCGGCCGGGATATGCGGGGAGATATCGAAGTCGAAGATATCCATCGGCAGTCCCATAGTCGTACACGAGTTGGGAATGTCTACAATACCTGCGACGTGGCCTTGAACTGGGGCACAAGAGAGCAAGAGGTAGATCTGGTAGTCATTGTAGCCTACAAGCAGCGTTAGCGTTTGTTTTCCATCTCGACAGACATCGGATGGTAGAACATCACTTACCATACCGCCTCAGATACTCGATCACTCGCAAGCTCGTCTGACGGTAAGCCACGGTAGTGTCGAGGTAATGCTGCTTGCCATGCTCGTCTACCGAAAATCCCTCGAAGTAGATGTACCTCCCAGGTCCGAATTGCGGCTCCACAGGTCCTGGGATGTAGATCGGGCTCTTCATGTCCAGCTGCTTGATACCACCCTTCATAACGGAGAACTTGATAGTAATGACACCCGCCATCTCAATCGCGCCACAGAACGAAATTTCTCCATCTCCTTGCGAAAAATGAAGGTCTCCGACGCTGAACTTTGCACCCTTGACATGCACCGGGAGAAATACCTTCGAGCCCCTGGAAAGGTTCTTGATATCGCAGTTTCCGCCATGCTCAGGACGGCCAGGGATCGTTCTCGCGCCCTCCTTGCCGACCTTCTCTTTCAACGATGCATCTGCGGACCCAGCATGCACATTCTTAGGCTGTGGAGGCTCGGCGACGACACGCGAGTGCGTGTGCGCGCAGGCTTCGATCAACTCGCCCTCGCGCTTGTTCCAAGTCGCCAGAATTTCGGCTGAGGGCGCGCAGCCTAGGATGCCAGGGTGAATCAGCCCGGCGAAACGGACGCCTGGGATGTGGCGCGAGGAGCAGAAGATGCCTTCGAAGTCCCAGATGGCTTTTGCTCTGGGCGAGGTTAGTGTACATAGTGAAGAGCTGTGAAAAGACCAACGGTTCAGGGTAGATCTCATCCAAGAATCCTCCACCATTGTCCTTGGAAAAGACACCGGTGAACCCCCAGGGCTGCTCATCCAATGGTTGGACATCTTGAATCTCAAGCACCAAGACATCACCCGGCTCTGCCGTCTCTATATCGAAAGGGCCAGTGAGGTAGTGGATCTTGGTGAGGTCGACGTCGCGCATGTCATCAGCGCTGTCATTGTTGCCAATCTGTCCGCCGGTCCAGTCTACGCATTCGATCTTGACGACTTCGTTGTTCTTGATTGTACTGATAGAGGGTACTGTGTTGTGTAAGGGGAAGGGATGTCGAGAGGAAGAGACAATTTACTATCTGGGTGCCAGCGATTCTACAAAGCTATCAGTCGTTGAAATTAACGCAAACGATTGTGGAGCACTGCTCACGTGGAGAACCTCTTGGTCGGCTGCTGGCCTGTTCAAGTCGACCTTTGCGGCATATCTAAGAGCTTCTCTGCCCATTGTAAATCTTCAAGGAGCTCGATCGATAGTTTTTGAATATGAGAGAAGTCTCAGCTTGTGCAGAAGAAGAGTTAAAGCACTCGAAACAACAATTGCAACGGGGAGAGGGGTATCACGATTATAACAGCATCAGACGCGGGGTACTTATTTCCTGAAAGATCAATTGTTAATTGCTATCCAAGTCCACTCCTGCTTCCGTCCGAGGAGACCAGCAGCCGAGCTTGGGCGGTCCAGTTCCTCTAGGTACAAGGAGCTTGATAAGCCTGGGTGATAGCTGATAGGGAGATTTTTACGTATCGTCGGATAGAGCTGCTGTCTGCAGCTACCAAACTGAGAGAAGAGCTATGCCCCGCAGTGGAGTCGGCGGGGTCAATCCACACGCCGTTTCAATTTCTGTCGTCATCATCATGCCGCGGCCCCAAGACTTCGATACCTAGTCGCACGCTTGTCGCTTGGTGCAAACGCCAGTCACCGCGTTCCCGTGATTGGGTAGAGATTGGTAATCTGTTTAGCGCACAGATTGAATCTGACAGCTTTGCTCTCTGGTGAAGACAGCTGTTTAGCTGAACGTCTTCCTAGGCGTCTGGCGAACATCGGACTTGAAGCCAGGCGTGTGCATGCTGATGTTATAAGCATCCATGTGCTGCCACGGCAGCTCCAGGAATTCATGCTTGTTTTTCCAGTGTAGTGAGTCCTCTTTGAACTTCTCTGCCTCGTTCGGTGGTAGAGGTGGCTCGGTGATTTTGGTGATCAGATATGCCGTAGAAGCTTCAGCCAACCCATAGATCAAGACACCAACAAGGGGAATCTTGACGAAGATGTAGAAGCCGAGTCCGAAGCCGAAGAGAACACCAGCGCGATCCTTAAACCAGAGCTTCTTCTGGTCCTTGTTGTAGCGAACGCGTGAGAAGTACGGCTCGAGCTGCCACTTGCGATTAGCGCTGTTAGACAGTGACTAGATTATGTACATACCAATTCACGCATGAGCGTGCGGGAAGAGAAGTAGGCTTGCAGGAAAGAAACCAGGTATCGACGTGGCAAGAAGATAGAGGTTGCGAAGATAGCAACCGCAGGCTGAGGCCCTACAGCCTTGTTGAAAGTGTAAAAACTAGCGGCGGGCAGCACAAACTTGCCAACGTATGGCACGTATGACAGTGCCAATACAGCCAGCGAGATACCAGCCTTCCGGCCTTGTTTGATAGCCATCAAGACGACGGTGCTCTTGATTGACCTTTTCTTCTCATTTTGGTCCCTCGGCGCGTGGGTCGGGTATTGTTCGAGGTTCTGAGCGTACATCGCGCGGAGGTTGTGAGGGTCTTCGGACTTATGCTTCTGCACATAGGTGTGGTCAACCCACTGAAGAGAGTCCATGAACCTCGCGGGTTGTCAGTGTTGGAACATAACATGAAGATCAGGAGCATTGCTTACATTCGATCCAAGGTGGGTGTGATGTAGCGCATCATGGTCATTAGAAAAAACGGCACCTGAAGCACGGTGTGCTCAAGGAAGTGAAGACCATCTACTATGCTCTCGTCCCAGGTAACATTTTTCATGTCCAGGAACAATGAGACGATCCATAGCAGCACTCTGACGCCAACGATCTTCAGGGACGACGTTAGCAACGCTTCTAGAAGATGAGATGAAACCACAATAGACCGAGACGCTGTTGTCGACACATTTATTTCGATTCGGTAAAAGAGCGTGAAAGTGTATCGTAGGCCTTTTGGTGGGCGAACTCTTGGCTATATCGTGTCCATCTGGGTCCTCACAACGAATGGCGGGGGTGCAGAGGGGCACACATACTGGAATGGATACCAGGATACGAATGGCAACTCCAGCAGCTACAGCGAGAGCGGCTTGTCGGTAGTGGTCTGATGTGAAAAGACCCGGGTTCTGGAGGGCGCGGTTTACTGTCGGGCCATGTCAATAGCTGGCAAAGCATCAGCCTGCGAGCGCTCGTACCTCCAACCAGCGTCAATTGAGCACCACGCAAAATTGCATTTGGGTCGAAGTTCGACATGTTGCCGATGAAAGGTCTCGGCGAGCTGAATTGCTGAAGTGGACAGCAAACTCGTTCTGCAGACGCACAGCATGCGAACCGGTGGAGCAGGGCCCAGATGACGTACCCGCGCCTTCCGTGGGCGCCTCTCGTTCAGGGTCCGCCCGCGTGCTAGGGCTACAGGGCTGCATTTCGACCGTTGACATAGAAACGTTCAACGCGTTGTTTGCGAGCATTTGCAATTGCAAGGAGTCAACGCAACGGTGATCGTCTGTGTGGACCCCGTAATTTCTGTGATTGACGTCTGAAGCGCTGTGGGTCGCGTGAAACTGCTGCTTGCGCCAAGTGTACGAAGAGCAAGGCACGCCATTTCTCAGCCTCCACCAACAATTCGACGGCCAACAAAGCACAATAAAACGACGACACAACACGTACGGCGACCGCAACGCCGCTTGTGCCCTGCAAACGACACATAGCACGACACTCCTGAGTTCGAAATGCATGCATGAGCAGTTACCATGTCATCCCCGCTGGCTCCCTCGAGAACTCCAGAACATGCGCCGCCCCCGCTGCACCATGGACGCCGCTCCTTCACAGTCCCTGCTCGACTACGAAGCTGCCCAGTCCCAGCTCCAGCTTCAACCAACAGCGCAGACGGCATAGAAACGCTGGTCGTTTGCCCGCATTCGAGGATCGTCTCCTTCACAGCTGCGGGCGCCTCGGCTGCTGCTGGTGAAGCCCACGTTGCTTGGAGGACCCCTACTGAGCGCACGCTTGCTGTTGGTATGTTGCACAGGTCATGTCGAGCGTCACATCAAATAATACGAGCTCGCAGGTGTCTTGCGCATATACCGCGTGACGGCTTCTAATGTGTCCTTCCTTAACTCCGGCAACCTCCTGCACACCATCTTCCCTCGATCACAATGCTGGTGTGTCGATGACCAGTCAGTCTTTATACTACGAATAAGACAAGATTCGTACTATCGAATGGAACTGCCTTTCGAAACAGACGAAGACAAGGCCAAAATCGAACAGTTCAAGGCGGTCCTGGGACAGGTGTTGCAGTACGAAAAGACGCAGTGTCCATTCACACGAAGTTTCGACGTCGATTTACCTGCACGCCCGAAGACGCCACCACGCAAACGACTCACACGGAAGCCCACACAGAAAGCAAAGAAGTGGACCTTCGACAAGACATGGATGCCTGAGGACGGCCCAAGACCTTCTACACCTGTGCTTGAAGGTTCCGACTCAGCTAATACATCTTCATATGAGGACGACGATCGGTCCAGCATCCACACTGATACCAGCGACGTACCTGTTCCCGAAACACCCGAGACCGTCTTTGAGAATACACCACCGCCCAAAGTAGTACGACGGTTGTCAGTAGCGGAACGCGCGCAGCTTTTTCAAAGCCCTCGATCAGTCACGGCGCCGATAATCGCAGCGAGAGATCGATCTGCTTCCACAGCTTCGTCCATGGGCTGCATACCGGAACTGTCGAAAGAGGAGGAGAAGGAGAAGGATGTTGTGAAAAGCGCTGCTAGACCGGCAGGGTTAGCACGCAAGACGTCCACGGATGCAGCCAGCCTCCTGTCCAGTGCAGACTCCTTCTACTCGTTGAACACGGCTCATCGAAGCCCCTCTCCACCTTTCTGGGATGCAGAGGCTGAGATCCTCAGCCCCTGGACCGATAGCCTACCAAAGCAGAATGATACACGGGGCCGGACCAGACATCGTCGCGACATTTCTGAACTCACCGTTCGAGCCACGTCCGCAGATCATATCGACAAACCCCCTGCTGTGACACCTGTTGTACCCCTTATACCGATTACAACACCATCGATCGACATACGTCCTTCATCCGCCCCTCACACCCCACCACTTGTGAGTGATTCCGACGAAGACAGTCTTGGAGTACCATCATTGGGTGTGCCTACTCCACCAGACATGATACGTATGAGGAAACTCACAGGCGCATCACCACGACGAGCATTTTCTCCGATGCCACAACCGCAGAATCTATGCTTTCCCACCAGGCAGAAACCAGATCAGAAGTTCACAACGGCTCTGGTTCGCAAGACTTGCGAAATTGTTCTTGGGCCACCACAGCATCTTGTATCACTCATGCTTCGCATAGCAGCGAGCATTTCTAACGGCTTCGGCTTTGCTACTTATCGCGTTCGGCGTACTGAAACTATACCAGGATCTTGGGAGTCCAGTGGCGATGAGGACGAATGGGAGGACGACTTCGGCATCCCCCTCAGCAACTTAGGGGAGCCGGCGACGCGCAGGACAGGGTATCCTGGTGAGCTGGATTAATTCCTACACATGACTACTTGCATACTCTACGGACGATACCAGGCGTTTTGCATTTTTCCTGTCAGCATTTACATGGTCGGGGTATGACATGATGACGGTCTATATGCACTTGCATGATTTGGACCGTTACGGAAAGCTACATGATTGTAATATCACGACATACGTGAAGAGGATTTCTGGCTCAGTATTAAGTAACATTGATTGCAAAGTTCTAATGAAGATATGTAAACACTATGTAATCGATACCAACCATACTAGTGATGATATTCGAGCCCGGAGGATAGTCGATCTCCAAGGCCGCTAGCAACTTAATACCCTTTGCTTTTGCGTAGCCACCGCGGATTCTCACGGATCAACGAATTGTCCAATGAGACTATAGCGAGTGTGGCGAACACCGTGAACTAGCCTCATCGTTATTCGCGATCCAATGATGTTTGCTGGTCTGTACTTCGCAGGTGCCAGACATCGTGTATGTACTTTCGGGAATGGGCTTCGGCTCCAACCTGTTGGGCGGTCTGCACCTGTGATCTGCACACCACCATGAATGCTCACTCATCTTCAGCCCATAAGCATTCCAACGCCAAATAGTAATCAGGCGTCGCCGAAACCCGACATTTGCTTCATGCGAACGAATCTCGACGTTTTCGTTCTCTGGCTCGACAGACCTTGATTGGCATTGCATGACGCAGGGCTCCTCACCCCAGGATGATGCCAGCCACCGCACCAGCCAGCTTTTCACTGACCACCAACCTGGTTATGACGCCCAATGAGACCCACAACTCCACTCGGGCCTTTCAGCTGCTGCATGGTGAGCAAACCGGTCTACTGACATGTTTGCGAGTTGGAAGTTGCAGTCGTCGGTGGCAGGCGACCCGCCTCTTTGTTTAATAGTCCACTTCGAGCGCCCATGCGCACAGGTTTGTCAGAGCTATCTTTGATATTGTTTGACACGCTATACACCCAACACGAGTATATGATCGGCTGCTAGTGCTGAATTAGAAAGAGCATAGGAACACCGGGCCAATATGGAAATGTACTTGGGCATCAGAACCGTGTGCCGTACACCTACAAACTATTATTACGACAAACCACTACCACCGGTACCTTATGGAGATGGCTTCGCTATCGAGACGGAACTGATCCCCAAGCCACTATTCAGCAGACCGACAGTACTACCTCCAACGCGCGCAGCCTACGCAGTCGTGGAACCTCAATCGCCGATCCACATACCCTCCGTCCCTTCCTCAAGCATGTCGCGGACGCCTTCTCTTCAATCGTCGCTTCACAGTATATCTTCGTCGATCTCGTCCATACCGACACCCTTGAGCTCGGCCCCGACGTCACCATGCTCTCAGCGGCGTTCGCTCGAGTTGACATGCAAGTCTCCTTTGACCGTATGGTACACCCCCGTCACCAGTCCAGAGCCTCAGCCGCCGCGGCGGCCTCTTAGGAGAAGAGTGAGCCCGACCCACGATACTCTCAGAAACCTGAGAGCAAAGGAGTCGGATGCTTGCTTGCAGAGGGTCTGCGAGGAACAAGTTTCCGCTTACTTGAGTGGAACGCTGTTCCCGCGAGAGAATATGAATAACGGGCTGGAAGTGCTCGAAGAAACTTAGGGATATGTCGGTGATGAGTGCGTACCGGCCTGCCCCTTAAGGCCACGACTTACTGACACTGAACAGCTTATGATTTACGGCCTACCAAACTACGTACCACATAGTCGGACGCAGGTGTAGTGTCCGACACGACGGCGTTCATGCTCAATTTCTTCAGCGATACCACATACTTAGGGTAGAGTGTCAGCCAGTCTGCGAGAGCTTTCTTTTTTCTTTACCGCTTCACATACTCGCTACGTTTCAGTCTCTTATGCAAATTCATAACTTCTTTCGAATTACTCGGCTCGCATGCCTCATAGACGGCAGCAACTAGACCGAGTATGTATATTTAATTGTCGTTTCAACACCACCTACAGTAGCGAGCACTGTCATGGAACGCTAGACAGCTTAATCGAGTTTGTAATCCTTGGCAGACTCCAACACACTGATCATGCTCGGAATCGCGAAGGACTTTGGCCCCGATTTGTCGGTAATATCTTACAATATCAACACCATCAGACCCCACGGGGGCCATTGACCTACTTGGAGGGATCTAGGGTCCACCAGTGACTTTCGTTAGGGTGCGAGGGCCATATTTTTACAATCTACAGGGTCGTTGTAGTACTGTTTCGGGCTACCGTGCTGCTCGTGCTTCTACTACTTACGATTCGTTTGCTCCACCTTCGAAAGCTTCTGCCCCATTCTTTCAACCACCTACGGTCGAAAGATGAGATATACGTACGGAGGAATTGTGGACAGCAAGGTTCTGATGTTTCAAAACAGAGAGTCGAAGCAGTTTGTTGCGACCAAAAAGCGGGGTCGCGTTCGGAGGCGTCGAATCTTAGTGACTCAGTTGCCGTTACGAGACGCAGATGTTGAGTGTGAGTATGGTGATCAAACTCGAGCTGATGCGTTCTCAAAATTTGTGCTGCTCTCACTGAACAGCAATTCGACCGACATCCTTCGTTTTCCCATGAGTTTGCATTGCGTTCCTGATGTTCGCAAGAACGAGCCCTCGCGGATCGAGCAGCAAGGACCACAGCAACCGCCAGCATCGTGTCACGGCGTAGCTTTGTGCTATTAAATTCCAGCGTTAGTGTCAGTTATTTTGAGTTGCAACCACAACCCCAGGCCTGGCGCGGATCATTACGCCGTCCTCTAGCATGGTGCCTAAAAGGGGAGTCTTCCGGTTGGCTTGTTGAACCAGCACTGAGTGCAGATACGAGATGAAAATGTTATTGAATCTATCTACGAGTAGAGCAGGAAACAAAGATATGCAAAAAGACTTGTTGTGCCTAAGACAACAAGCAAGACAACCTGTTTGAACATAAGATGGAAGCTGCTAGAGGAAACCAACGTTGCTGTCCCTAGCAGCCACATCCGCTAGTATGCAGTAACCACGATGGGCAGAGGGCCCTTTTGCGTCAAGGCTCGTAGCACCCGCGTAATGAGCTGGAAGTCATTTATTTCACACGGCTATGAGATCGTCACGCTTGCCTGGGAAGTCCTTCAGCTCTGTGGGCCCACACAGGGAAGGTGCTCGAGGAACACGCGGATGCCCTCGATGCAGCTGGCCGTGAACTGTCTCATAAGGCACAGGCTAGCGGCTGGTAGAGCCAGTGAGCGACGGTCCGTAGGATCGGATCTGGAAGCATGTCAAAGGTGGATCCTTTGAACCCGGACAGTGACAGGGGTTATTCGAGAGGCCCGAGCTGATGTGCGTGGAAACGACCGCGACGAGACATGCTGCCGGCTATTTCCGCGGTGATATGCCGGTGAGGCTGCTCTCTGCTCTCTCGCGGCTGTCTCCACGATGCTGCAAGCTGGACTGCGAGAACTGACGGTGATGTTGCCATCAAAGACGGTGAGCTGCGGCCTGCACAGCCGAGAGAGGTGGGTAGCGCTGCGCAAAAACGTGCAGTGCCGACCTCACCGCACGTTATCTCCATCACCGCACGTTAATCACCGCACGTTAACAAGACCAATCTAAACGCAGCTGTGCGACCCTATGATTCGCAGTGTGTCCGATGGATTTCCAATCTAGCCAATATCCTTCCTCCTTTGCTGGGTTCTCCACCTCTGGCGCCCACCTTGGCCAAACTACGACACATTCCCCGCAGAATCAGTTCTTCAACTCGGATCCACAAGCTCGGTTCGCGCAATCAAACAACGCGTTTCCTTATGGCGGACTCCCCAATGGCGGCCAAGGCGCCTCGTTCCCTAACAGCATGCAGAGTGGCGCCATGATGCAGCCCGGAGCTGCCATGTCGCAAAGCCAGCTTCACCAAGCACGAGGTATGTCAGCACGCAATGCCCAATACGCGATGACGTTCTGTCACCGCTCCTGTCACCGCGACGGGCGGTACGCGCCTGCCGTTTGTGACCCTGTGTCGCGGTCGCGCCTGCCCTGACGTGCCCTGCCCTGACCGCGTCTGCGTATCGTCGTATGCATATGTGCCGTACGAGCATGCTGACGTTTGTGGAGCAGCGCAACTGCAGCAACAGCAGCAGCAGCAGCACAACCCGTATTCAAGTGCGCCCTACTCACAGACGCTGCCGTCACCCGCCCATCAGCAGTTCGCACAGAACCGCCAGACCGCCTCGCCGGCCCTGAGTAACCAAGGCCAGCCGTATGCCACGCCTCAGCCGCAGCAGTCGCCCACCACTCTGCCATCGTCCAACGGCCAGCAGCAGCCCATGAGCCTTCACCTCCCCTCGCAGGTCAAGAGCGAGCCTGCGCAGGCGCAGGCTCCGGTCAAGGCTGTGCCGCCGTCGCCCGTGTCGCCCGCCACGCCAGCGAAAGCCCACGAGCGCGTCGCCGTGCTTCTCGAGATCAACAGCATCCTCATCAATGAGGCCACCTCCCTCCAGAGCCAGGGCAAGGGAGGTCAGATAGCGGCGCCCGAGGAAGGCAAATCGCAGCCGTCCAAGGAGTACATTGAGTGAGTTGCATCGCCATCGTGCTTTGTACACATAGGCTGACTTTCCCCAGCTACATTAGGCGCCTACAAGCCAATCTCACCTATCTCGCACAAAATGCCGAGAAGGTACCGAAACCCGGACAGCCCATCCAGCCCGGGCCCGCGATCATGTCTGCGCCTGTGACACACGAAGAGCTTGGCAAGCTTTACGTCAAGCTACAGGGACTGTTCCCAGGATGGAAGGGCGGTCAGGCGGCAGCGAGGCAGTCGCCTGGCGGACCACAACGAATGAGCTCGAACACATCACAACCGCCCAGCAGCGCTGGCCTGCAGCAGAGTTGGGGCCAGAATCCCATGCAGATGCAACAGCAGCCGCAACAGCAGCCAAAGATGGAGCCTCCGCAATAAACGCGTTTCCAGGCGCTTGACTGCGTCAATGTATTACTACCATTCTTGCCATGTCTCATGGCACATAGAGCCGTTGAGCTTAACTGTTTGGATTAGCCCTGACACTTACTCGCCATTTCATTCTCACTGGAGGCGCATCGAAAACCACCTCAAAAGGGAGCGGACGGGACTTTCCCAGCTGGTGTCAAGTTCAGTGTCGGGAGTACGGTGTTTAGCATACAAGCGTGCTACAGCAGCAGAGCATAGCGCGCTCGATACCTCTGTAAATTCAATCCAAATGTAGTATTCATCTTCCGAAACTCATGTCATCATGTACGTCACTGCCCTACCCACACTTCGTCGCTCGTGCTAAAACATCGTCGTCCAAGAACTCTTCGAGTGCGAGAGCCTCAGTATCTCGTCCGCGACACCTCCCTCCTGACCTCCCTCTCATCCACATACCCCGAACTCCGTCTCGGCTCGCGGAACTCCAAATCGCTCCTCCTCATGTCACTCCTGCGCACATCGCTCACCCTCCTACTCCTGCTGACGCTCCGCCTGCTAGCCCTGGGCTCCTCGTAGTGCTCAATGACCCTTGGTTGACTTCTCCTAACATGCAGCACATTAGCCTTCTGCACTCGTGATCCCCTGATTTCAACTCATGGAGTCCCCAGAAACGACCAATGCACATAATACAGATTTTTAGACTTACCGGTGATGATGATGCTCCACATGCCGACCCTCATCGCTGCGGCGCCATTCGCGTGGGAGACGCATAACGCCGGCGGGGGGGTGGGAGGTGTGGTTTCCGCGTCTCGGAGGCGGGTCCAAGACGCCTGGGCCGCGGGTCTCGTAAGTTCGCATGATGCACATTTTGAATTTCGTCCTTGGGAGCTGGCGCTGGGTTCAAATTGACTTTGTAGAGTTGGCGATGCGATCTGATATCACGGCTGAGCAGATGACCTTAGGTGGGTCTAGGAGAGTTGGTTTTCAGTACTTGTCCTCACTTGAACGATCTCGTATGGACTGGAGATAGCCTGGGTGAGTGGTGAGAATGTTCGGAACGGCCGGCGGATTTACAACACCTTGTGCCTGGTGTTGATGTGCGACGTCCAACCTCTCCGGGCAAGTTGCGGGATGACGTACGCCGAGGCCTATGGGTGGAATCCAGAGTCAGTCGAACGATAATTGCAAGAAATGAATTCTGGTGAAATCGGCCGAATAGCTTCTGGTCTCGAGGACTACCAGTCATATCACAAATAGAGAAGCTCGCCAATGTTGGTGTAGCCAAGGAAAAGCGAGAGTAGATCTTTCACCTAATAATTGCCCCTCAGGTGGAGGAGTATGCCGAATGCTCTACATATGTTACAAGGCATCTTTTACGATGCTGGTGTCCTAGACCCTTCAAAGACCGCTTTCCCGCTCCTGATCGTGGCGTACTTGACCGCGCCTACATCGCTCTCTTGAACCCCGGGTACTGTTGTACCGGTACCAATCTGCTTGATCTCCTCCTTGATCTTGCGATCTACTACATCCTGAATGGCGCCCGGCTGGCTCTCAGCAATCTCGTTGACATCCTTGAGTGTGAGGACGTCGCTGATACGCGAGGCACGAGACTGAAGGAGCATCGTTGCTGGGCCCTCGAAGCGGAGGAATAACTAGGCAAGATTAGGACAATACAGATATCATCAATGACAAAGACATACCCTGTCGCCCCAGATGGTCCGCCGTGACCACGTCTTGATGGTATGCCATGTGGTTGAGACTGCGCGCCACGTTGCTGTCTGGCTCATGACCCTGAAGAACTTGGCGTTCTGTACGAAAGACCCAAAGCCAAGATCAGGGACCTGGAGGCGGAAGTTGGAAGACTTGAAGCGAAAGGGCATCGGCGGTGTTGCTGATGCTGTGTATGCTACGACGTTGCTGCCATGTGTAAGCTTGTAAATGGTTGAGCCACGGAAAATGGGACTTACGCTGGGTGCGCAACGTAGCTCTCGCCAGCCTTCAATTGCACCTGGTAGACCTGCCCGCTCCCCGCAAGCGCAAGCAGCCCGCGTCCTGTGATGTATGTGTTTCCCCAATGCGCCAGGCCGAGCTTCATGTTGTACTGAGGCTTCAGGCCCAGGGTGTGGCCTGTCCATGCCAACAGCGCCTGTCTCTGGCTGATGACCCAGTCTTGTCTGCCATCGAGGTTGACTGTAACGATGCTAGATATGGGCGACTTGGTGGAAACCAGGGCTGTGACTGGGGTGGTCGAGGAGATCTTCTGGTACATGAAGGGGATGCCGACAGGTGCGCGCCTGAACGGCTCGAGGAAGGAGAGGGTCGATAGTGTATTCTCTGACCTGCCGTTCAGACCGATCAGAGTGCCGCGACGGGTGAAGAGGGTTTGCGATGCGGAAAGAGAAACGGAGAGAAGGGACATGGGTGTCCCAATGACCTCGAAGTGTGCATCTATTGAGGTCAGCAATTATGTGTGCCCAAGGCTTCTGCTATGTACCAGGCGAGACCACTGGCGCGGTCGCAGCATCAATGTTCACGCGCTGGTCGAGCGCAGGCTCGGTGGACGAGCTCGTTGCGGACATGTGGATGCATCGTCTTCGCGCAGTCGCAGTCGCAGCACCAGCGCGGTGTGCGACACTTCTCCAGGGCGAGGCAGCCTGGCGGAGCATGGCTGTGCCTGTCAATTGGCGGTCGTGCTGGACGTGTGAAGCAGCACTACAGCGGCGCGGAGCGCAATTGCGGCTGCTGCGCGCGTAGGGCTGAAGGCGAGGCGCATCACCGAATCAAACCGAGCAAACATAGATGCGGGCGAGCTAGACGCTGCGGTGCTCAATTGCGTGCGCGCGCCGAGGTCTTCCACCATCACAGAGCTCTCCTTGCTGGCCATTGAGCTTGCTAGGGCTCTCTTCTTCATATCTGGTGCGGCGCGACCTGAACATGTGAGGTTCGCCATGCTCATACCACCACTTGCCCGCGCTGCCAGTCGGCCGGGCCTTCCACCCTCGAGCTTGGGCTTGCTCTTGCGCCCACATCCTCTCTCCCACTCCGCTCGCGTCTTCACCTCCTCGCCCCTGCACAGGAAAGATGTACACGGTCAACGGCCTGTACCAGGCTCGCAGCAAGTGCTGCAGGCTACCAAGGTCGCCAAACCTGCGACCGACCCCGCCAAAGCGAAGGCGAAGGTGGAGAAGTCGATGGATCCACTACTGGGGGAAAGGAACTTGAGCAACAAGGAACAGCGCAAGGCAGACTGGACCATCATAAAGGAGATGACCAAATATCTATGGCCCAAGGACAATTATGGCACGAGATTCAGAGTTGGACTTAGTGTAGCTCTGCTACTGAGCGCAAAGCTGCTCAATGTGCAAGTGCCCTTCTACTTCAAGAGCATTGTGGACTCGATGAACATAGACTTTGCTGCTGTCGGAGGGACTGCGACTACTGTGGCGGGCTCCATGATCATGGCATGTAAGCTACACCAAGCTATAGCAGACCACCCTGCGACAATGGAGACTAAAGCGAGTAGATGGCTTGACCAGAATCGGCGCAACCGTCTCCCAAGAACTCCGTAATGCCGTGTTTGCGAGTGTCGCACAGAAAGCCATTCGCAAGGTAGCTTGCAGCGTATACGAGCACTTGCTCCGGCTCGATTTGAACTTCCACTTGACAAGGCAAACTGGAGGGTTGACACGAGCTATCGATCGTGGTACCAAGGGTATCAGCTTCTTGTTGTCGTCTATGGTCTTCCACATATTCCCTACAGCACTAGAGATCTCGTTGGTCTGCGGAATTTTGGTAAGTATATGAACTCGATCGACAAGCGTCTACTGACACCTACAGACCTACCAGTATGGCTGGCAGTTCGCGCTAATCACGAGCACCACGATGGCGGCCTACGCGGCATTCACTATCCTGACTACTTCGTGGCGCACAAAGTTCAGGAAGCAGGCCAATGCTGCAGACAACAAGGCTGCCACTGTCGCTGTCGACTCTCTGATCAACTACGAAGCCGTGAAGTACTTCAACAACGAGAAGTACGAAGTCGGCCGCTACAACGCCGCCCTCACAGCGTACGAGAAAGCCTCAATCAAAGTCGCTACCTCTCTTGCCTTCCTCAACACCGGCCAGAACATCATCTTCTCGTCTGCTTTGACCGCTATGATGTACCTTGCTTGCAACGGCGTTGCGCAAGGCACCATGACCGTCGGTGACCTAGTAATGGTGAACCAGCTGGTCTTCCAGCTCTCCGTCCCTCTGAACTTCCTCGGCTCCATGTACCGCGAGCTACGCCAGTCGCTGTTGGACATGGACACTTTGTTCAGCCTGCAAAAGACCAATGTCGCTGTACAAGACAAGCCCGGCGCCAAACCCTTGCTCCTGACCAAGGGCGAAATCAAATTCGAAAACGTTTCCTTCGGATACCGCCCCGACCGCCCCATCCTCAAGAACCTGAACGTCACAATCCCAGCAGGCAAGAAGATCGCCGTCGTTGGTCCCTCCGGCTGCGGGAAATCCACCATCCTGCGCCTGCTCTTCAGATACTACGACGCGCAGGAAGGTCGCATTCTGATCGATGGTCAGGACATCCGTGACGTATCGCTCGAGAGCTTGCGCAAAGCGATTGGCGTCGTCCCGCAGGATACGCCTTTGTTCAACAATACCATCGGGCATAATATCAAGTACGGCAATATGGAGGCGAGCGACGAGCAGATCATCCAAGCTGCAAAGCGTGCGCACGTGCATGACACGATCAGTTCGTTCCCTGATGGGTACGACACCATGGTCGGCGAGCGCGGAATGATGATCAGTGGAGGCGAGAAGCAACGTCTCGCCGTCTCGCGACTCATTCTGAAAGACCCTCCACTTTTGTTTTTCGACGAGGCGGTACGATTTCCTTTTCTCTCGCTCAAAAAGCAAGGCAGCTAACAGAACCAGACATCCGCACTCGACACACACACCGAGCAAGCCCTCCTCGCGCACATCAACTCGCTCGTGCGTGAGAAGAAGCGTACCTCTGTCTTCATCGCGCACCGACTGCGCACCATCTACGACTCCGATATCATCATCGTACTCAAGGCAGGCGGCGTTGCGGAGCAGGGCACGCACCAGGAGCTCATCGACAGAGATGGGCTGTACAGCGAGCTTTGGAGTGCGCAGGAGACTATGTTCACGGAGAAAGATGACGAGGGGAAGGAGAAGATGGACAATGAGAAGGGGGCAAAATAGATATCGGAAGATGCTGTTGTAAATGGATATAGAGAGCCACATGCTCACAATGAGATTGCAACATGTGTTGTGCATCCTGTCCCCATCCACGTGATAGAGACTGTGAAGAGGTATAGAGGGTATTATTATTACGGTCGGCGGTATTCTTAAAGTTTTCAAAAGCGTCTATCTAAGCAAAAACCGGGTATCTGGTGAAGGGATGGACCGGGTATATAACAAACAAAATGGTCCAGGAAACAAAAACATCGCTGCGATACATGCGGGATATTCAACACAATGAGACAGTAAGGTACACCACTGATACAGTGGTGGTGATGATAGTGCGATGGTGAGATCGGCAATGGCGGTGGGCATGTACGCTGGCTTGAGCCATTATGGCTCAGTCTCAGATAGTGTGGCGGTGGAAGTTGTGGGTGTGGAGAGCAGCCGTGCGTTGGCCCACAGAAATCTGCGCGTCGCGAACGCGCGCTCAATAACCCAAATCGACAGCTCGTAAATACGCTGTAGAATGGTTCGAAAGTCGTAGGTCGCAGTCGCACAGCAGTTGCAGCCTATTCGCGACGCCTGCCACTTGGTCCGACTGGTGTGATGCGTCACCTCTCGTGGCACTCGTGTCTGTCGTCACCAGCAGTCATCGTCTACCACGGCATCCACTTCACCTTCTTGGGCAGCGGCAGCATGTCCTTTCTTGGGATGAACCTCATCCAACCCTCTCTCTTGACCTCCTCCTTCTTCTCCGGCGCCTGGCCCATGTAGATAGCGTGACTTCTTCTGGCGTTCTCCATCGCGAGCTCGTAGTGCTCGGGTGTGTCGTAGTCGATAGCGTGATCAGGGTTGTTCTCAGGTGTATGGTCACCGTGATACCGTGCTGATGTGGTCTGATACCCAAAGTCGCGCACAAGGAAGCCGCTAGAGAGAGATGTTGGTGGCATGAGCATGGAGAAGGTTGAGACGCTGCTGGTTTCTGAGTTCGACATGTTTGCGAAAGGAAAATCCGTGGGTATCGTTGTGTCTTTGAAAGTAGAGGGTGTGGAGTCGGCGACAGACAGAGGATCGAAAGGTGGTCGGTGGTGAGTATTTTCGGATGGGGACTGGAGGTTTGATATGGGATGCAGGCTTCCAGGCTGGGATGAGTTTTGTGTCTGGACGCCGCACGATGACGCCCTTGCTGCAGCTTTGGCTGGGCAATTTGGCCAGAATGTGGCGTTGCCGACCACGGATGGCCAGTTAGCTCAGGGGGACTTCCAAAATTGCCAACACAAATCGTGGCTTTCCCACGTCTCGCCGCTTGCAGCTAGCCGATCGTCATTTGGGCCTCAAATGGCTTTGTCTAGATCTTTGCACACATGCACATTTACATGCCAATCTACTTCAATCCGTCGTTCTGACGACAGCGCGCAATGCTTCTACCGTCTGTGATGCGTCGCCAGTGTCCTGTCCAAGTTGAACGCTGCAGAGATCAAGGCCAAATGGCTGAAAGCTTGTGGAGTATTGCCCAGCTGCTCACCAGAACGCGCAATTTCGTCTGAGAAAATATGTAGGTGGTTACCAAAGCTCAGCATGTTCTCGAAGATGTTTACGCCCCTAGTCTGTTAGCTGTAGTCGTTACAAGGGCAGATGATGCTTACTGTCTTAGGTACTTATCATCATAAGCGCCCGCCTACTTTGTATCAGTACTCATACGTCAAAGTCTTCACCGTCAAATTGCCGCCTTCGTGCCTCAAAAGATACCCAAAGCTTTTACCGACCTCCAACTGTCACACCTTGGTCATTTTCAAGCTGCTCACATCCAGAATCTGCGAGATGTCAATGGCCCATATTCCCACTCTGTTGCAAAAGAGCTCTGCTACGGTCTCCGTCGACACATCGTCATGAACTTTCACCTACCCAACCACAGTACCATACTTTGAGTCACCCGGCTTGATCACTGATAACCTAACTTTCAGCAAGTTGACACTGTTTCTGGGGTTCCAGGATTTGGGATATGACTCTTGCAGCTCTGTGCGGCAGAGCTTGCTGTTCGGCGTGGTAACGCACCGCGATCGGGAAGGCACTTTCATGACCAGTGCGCCAGAAGGGGAAGTGTAGAAGTAATCAGGCGATTTCCAGCCATCGCATCCGGAAAGTTTGGTGGAATGGACCTGATTGATTTTACCAGAACTGCCAGTAGGTAGCTGCAGGTTGAATGATGCAAGTTCGAGGTTGCCTACAAGCGCTCTAGGGGGATTGCTATTGCGTAGATGGGTAGCGAATTGCCCCGAAAAAGGTGCGGCGAATATTTTCTCAATGAACTGTAGTGAAACTGTAGCGATCAATCTTCGCTGCGCCATGATAGATAATGAGGATCAAAGCGGTGATAGCGGTATTCATGTGTGGTTCGAGCTGGGCTATTGTGAGTTTTTATGCCAAAGTCAATACGAGATGCGAACGGAAATTGGCACCACCAAGTTTCCGAAGGTCAAAGTCAAAGCACTACAAGTGGTCAGCATATCGGACTTTGACATCCAAACGAGTGAGCAAGCCCGGAGGTCGTTCTTATGGTCCAGAGTCAGCATCAGTGAGTCCGAAGGTTCACGATTTCCCCGCGAGACCTCTTCATCTGAGTACATATTCTGGCGATCCAGTGTCGATGCATAGGGAAATACTCAATATGCCCTCTATGCTAGTACCGACTCAAATAGCTCCCCAGCGCTCTGCGTAGCGATCGCTCCGTGGGTCGGTGCTCCTCTCATACTCGCTTCGGTCAGCCACATGCTGCGCGGTCTCCTCTCCAAACACTTCGCTCATCCAGGCAAAGGTTAGATCGATACCAGCAGAGATGCCGGAACTAGTCCAAAACTCTCCATCTACCACCCATCTCGCCTTGGTCACCCAGTCGACATTTGGATGTTTTTCTTTGACCTATATCCTCTGGTTAATGTTACACGTTACCAATTACCGTAGGTTCTGTACCTGCTTGAACGCTCTTTTGTTCGTTGTAGCTTTCTTTCCGTTCAGCACTCCAGTCCTTGCTAGGATTTCGCTTCCGGTGCAGACTGTCAGGATCCACTTGATGTCACCTCTCAGACCCTTCTGCGGTGATGAGCTTAATCCCAATGAAGTTAAGTATTCCACTACAGGCTTCATGTTCTCATCGTTCCTGTTACCAAGACCACCAGGGATGATCAAGACCTCCAGGTCCTTAGGCGCATCGTCGAACGTGTGCGTCGGAATGATCGATTGGTTGAAGTACGAGCCCTGCTGGTACTGTGCGAGATGCTGGGTTCCCACGGGATCTCGAGTTGCGGCTAAGATAGAGAGTTTGAGAGTATGCGAGCTTGAGAGCACGTTGAGGGCATCCAGAGGGCCGCAGACATCGAGGAGCTGAAAGCCCGGGAAAAGGACAACGCCGAAGTTCTTGGGTAGCTTGGCAGTTGACATGATAATCGATTCTCGCCGTCAGGACGAGTAGAAGCGCAGAGAAGAGTCAACTTCATGTACGACGTTCAAAGTAGTGAGTATTGAGATTGTTGCTGTCTTAGAGTTGTAGCAGTCTCGGGCACGATATGTATGACTGGTCACGGGGTGCATTAATTCCTAGTATAGATAAAGGTAGGCTAAGACGTCATTAGTCAGCGTTGGCGGGGGTGATGCATATTCCGGGAAAAGTAAGCTGAATCACTTTTGGCCTGCAGATATGGAAACTTCTGGTAAGATTCTGCAGGCATGCTGTTGGACGACGTTTTCGGATGAATTGACCCAAACATACCTTACACTACACCGTTCATGTGAATCCCTCGCTCGTCTTGTTGTTGGACTGTGAGGAAAGCCGTTCTTGCCTTCTCAATCCGTTCCTTTGTCAGGATGTAGCTGCTGGGAATATCACCACTTTGCACTAATTGCGTTTGGAGGGTGCCCAATTCCAGGCCAGCTTCTTCTCCAAGCAGCATGTGTACAACTGCCTTGCCGCAGAGCGTCGTGTTCGGCATACCGTGACCAGTATACCCACCTGAAAGCCACAGTCCCTCGCGATCCGGCACTTTGCCTACCCAAGGACGATCGTCACGGCCTGGAATATGTCAGTAGGAGTCCTCGAGGACTAAGAAGAAGATCTTACTGTAACCCATGATGCCTGTCCACTGACCAACAGCCTCAAGCTCCTGCAAACCTTCCGTCTCCCCGTCAAGCTCAAGAAGTTTCAGAAGCGCACCCCGGAGGTACTCTACCGAGTCCTCATCGATGACACTGTCGTCTGAAACACCAACAGTGGGCAGGTGGCCCGCTCCATGGCCGCCGCCAAACATCAGATGTCCGCGAGGGTTTGGGACACCTTCGAATGGACGCTGCACAAGATAGTCGTAATTATTCGCCGGCTGTCCAAGAGCCCCAACCATGCCATGCGAGTCTGGGAGGATTGTGCTGCCCTTAGGGGGAAGGAGAGCTGTCATCTCACCGCGTACGGGAACGATGAGATCGGCAAAATGAGGAAGGAGGGCCGATGTGTAGCCATTAGTGGCTAGGATGACTTGCTTTGCGCTGATGGTGCCACGGTCGGTATGTAGAGTGTGTTTGCCGTGCGCGGATGTGATGTCGCTGACGGGAGTATTGGTCTGCAGATTGAGCTGTCCAGCCTTGACGAGTTGTTCCAGAGTAAATGTTACTAGCTTGTAAGGCCACAAGCTTGCTGCACCTTGGCTAAGTGTTACCCCGACAGCATCAGGGGAGACTCGGTGCTTCTTTAACTCATCTTTGTCACGAACAATTGTTACCAACTTCCTCAACTCTGGAGCAACCGTCTCGAGGTGCGCCAGCTCTTTCTCAGCTTCCCGCATCACATCTTCTGCCCAGAACGAGCGACACCCAGTTACGTCTCGCCATTCGCAAGGAACGTTGTTTTTCTTAACGTACGATCGGACCGCGTGAACGTTTCTCATTTCGAAAGCGGCCACCTCGGCGCTACGATCGAAGAGTAGCGGCTGGCAATGTCCACCGTTCTGATCGCAAAACGTTAGCACTGTACCCTTGATTGTAACTTGGGTAAGGTACCCGCTATGAGAGCAATGATGGAACCATCCGCGATCTTCAGTCACAATTGAGATGGCTCGACTTACCCTACCTGTGGCTCCCCAGCATGCTTCCCTGGCTTCGAGAAGCACAATACTCTTATCCTTGGCTCTTTCATCTTCGGCCAGATACCTAGCAGCCGATGTGCCTGTTATGCCACTTCCTACGATAACAATGTCCGCCTCAGCAGGTAGCTTCTCGGTTGTACGGTGTCCGATCAGGAACTCATTAGGCTCGGTGTGCCAGAAAGAGCTGCTCGAGGTAGGCGTCGGAAGCGTCGCGCGTTCGTGCTTCATGATGTGATTGCTGGCGATAGCTAGGAGGATGAATGTGAGGTGGAGGGGAAGATTGCAAGGAAAGCCTGTGCTGGATCAATGGCGACTTATATGTTCTCCACCTTATCTGGCGACAGCTGTAGGACAACTATAGGCTCAATAATGACTCAGAAAACGCCGCCTCTACCTTTGGGCTATACTCGCCGCATTGGTACAAATCGGGTTGTCCAGGTTCGGAATAAAACCGTGACAATGCCGAGCCGTCCCTTGTTCATGTCGAGATGCGCATCCACAATGTCGCAATACCGAAGACCCATCTCAAACATTATAAAATCTCGGGAGTGTTGCAGGTGCACAGTGTACAGAAGGTCATGAGGGTACTCTGCGAGCGGTGAGGCAGGTAATGGTAACCTCGGTCATCCAAGCTTCTGACCCAACCCTCGCACGGATGATTATGTAAAAGAGGACAGTGCAAGATCTAACTCACATGGCACGACTTAGGCTCAAGCATGATGTTCTGAGAGGCTGCGCCCAACACGAATGACTTGTGTCCATGCATTTGACGTGTGTGCGGGAAAACGTAACTGAAAGCTGTTGACATGTGTCGACCACATGGAGACGGGATCAGGCAATCGCAACACCGAGAACTTCGATTTACACTAACGGTCTAGTTTACAAGTGCGCAGTGTCTGATGCAACCGCGAACCCACATTCCGAACATTACCATCATTCTTGACGGTCATGGATGGCACACCTTTTCAGAAGTGCAAACGGCCCGCCGAACCATCCTTGGTCGAACGAGTACCAGACTCATCGCCTCGATCTTCTGTCTTCCATTACGACTTGCGAAATGCCTCCCTAGCAGTATCCCGGAAAGAGAAGCCATTGAAAAGCCAGTCGTTGGAGTGTCGTCCACGCCATGGATCGCTTCCACCGGTAGACGTCCTGCCGTTTTCCTGAAGACTTGGTCGCGACACCTTCGCCGGAGGCTGGTTGGGTGTAGGTTGCGAGATGTGACGAGCTTGCTGAGATCGACCCGTTGGCAGTTGTTCGGGCGGCAGGATCATTGGTGACTTGGATCGTTTTCGCGACGCGTCTGCTCGCGATCGGCTCCGTGAACGCTCGCTGAGGCGCTCGGTGATGGCACCGAAGAAAGCACGCGAAGTTGGCAAGTTTGGTGCTGATGTGGGAGACATTTGTCCAGATGAATCAACTGACTTCTGGGAGTCGACTGTTGAAGTGCGGACAGGTGGTGATGGCTGAAAGCTCCTTTGGTCGTGTGATGTCATTCTGGTTGAGGGTACGCTGTACCACGGCCGGTGTATGTTGCTATGGATGAGGTATTGTCTGGAGATGTAGTGTAGGATGTCAGTGTGCCGCCCAAGTATACTGATTCAAGGAATCGGGCAGGAGGACAGATATGCGGCTTAAAGGAATCTATCTCACGAACAATATATACAGCACACACACCCTACCGGTTCTTTATCCGTGTCCTGCAAACTCGCGAACCGCATTGTTAGTGCGGATTGTTGCTCAAATGAGTGTGTCGGTGACAGATCCCCTCAGATGTGTTCACAGACCAATCAAATCTCTGGACGCACCAACTGAACGCATGATTTGGTGGCTCTTCTGTCGTCCACACCAAAATCTCACCGTCTCTGACATGCAGGTCGACGTTCTGGAGTGGGGCCGTGAACTGCGATCGAGCGACAACGCAGAGAGCCGAGAGTTCATTCCTGAATTGGGTTCGTTTGCGATGAAGGGCAAGCCAATAGAATGGCAGAAGGCAGGCAGCTGCCTCAAAACCAAGGCTTTTGTGTCACTCACTGCGATATGAGTGCATGTCACCTAGTCTTCCTGTCCTGGCGAGGGTGATCTTATTTCCCTTAAGACTTTCTTGCAGCTTGTCCTGCTGCATAGTCCTTGGGAATCGCGGTGTCGCTGTTGTGGTCAATGTGGACGTAGATCATGCGCACCATTTGCCAAGTTGGTGTTCTCATGGCCAGAACGCAAAGGACAGCGCCGCTCGCAGTAACTCATGAATTTAAACAGCGTGCAGCTGGGGAGGAATGTCGTCCGCGCTGCATTGGTGCTGTCGTGCGAGCAAAAGAAGCGGCCTTCACTGCAAAAGTGGACGATACGAAGGAACCAGGAAAACTGGACGACAAAAAGAACGTCTGTTGCATTCTCCGGGACTCGAACCCGGGCCAATTGCTTGGAAGGCAATTATGATACCCTTTCACCAAGAATGCTTGCGTTGTACTGATGGAGGAGTTAACGCTTGCTTAAATAAATATAGTTTATCATAAAATTGCAATTGCCTCGTGCTTCTAGTAGCAGCAGATATAGGCCATGACGCCTTGACGGTCAGCATTCAGGGTTATCGTCCAGTGACGGAGGTCTGGCCGACCAGTGTTGAAGATCTCCCGTGTCCCTCAAATTAAACTCAACGCTAGCAGCCGACTCCCGACAGCTCCACTATTGGTCAGCTAGCGATCATTTCTTCAGCATTCGAATATGAAGCCTATACTTTTTAGATATTGCTCACATTAAAAATCATGAGCACATCGATTTGTTCCTTTTTATTTGTTCAGATTTCCGGAGCGACCTTAGGTATCATGCTACTTTCTGTAGCTCTTTCATACATCAGTTCCTCTGCATCATCTCTCTCATCAGCACCTGCCTGCCCTGAAATCGCACCACCATTCGCGCCAATCCCTGCAGTGTGAATCTGTTCCGCCTCGATCCAGTAGACTATCATCCCATTTAAAGCATGCGGGTGCATCTCGAATTCTCTCAGTCTCACACCATGCCGTTTTTCCAGCCACTTTTTCCCCAACTTATTGCACTCCTCCAGTTTCTCTCGCTTCTCCTCGTTCCGCGCGAACGCGCCATAATCATCTAAAATTTCGTTGCCGACATATAGCACTGGATTCTTGTCTTTCAAGAACAAAGGCAGCAGTATATACCAGTCGACAAATGGGCTGAAGGCGAAGGAACGGGTTGTAAAATGTGTAGCGATGTTATCGGCGCAGACGTTGACAGAGAGGAGGGAGAGGAATTCGTGATCGAGGGATGTGAAGGCAGGTTCTTGGGCGTGGAGTTGTATCTCTGTGCTCGACTTTCGCACTGTGGCTAATCAGCAATCTGGAACCATACGTGTGGGACATTAGCACAACTCACAGTGACAGACAACACCCATGAAGAGAACCAGCTGCCAAATAGCTCGATGCCGATGCTCCCAATCACGACTGAAACTGCCGATCCCAATGCAGACGGCCTCAGTCACAGCCCACTCATTTTTTCGTAACACATCTTCTAAGTGTTGCGCGCAAGCCGTAGTCTTCCATTTCTCAGTGCGATTCTGGAAATCTTGGAGCAGTTTCTCAGCTGTAAGACCATGCACTATCTCCGCGGGCATTGAGCCTGCTTGCACATTACCTCTACCACCTTTGCCCTTCTTCTTGCCATTGCCGACAGTGAGGTTCGAGAACCCATGCGTAATAACTGTCCAGCCATCGTCGGTACTGACTTGTCGGCGCTTTACACGTCCGCGGCCACCCATGTTCGAGGAGTTGGTATCTGGCCGTCAAGAAGATCAGTCATCATTGGCGATTCATATCTTCAAGCTACCATTGCAATCGTAAATTCGCGTCGTATCTGTGGTCGGCGTTGAGATGGACGCGAAACTTTTAGGCGCAGAAATTTGGCGGGGCGATCTGGTGTGGGGCAGATCTCGAATTTCACTGTGTGGCTTCCATCTTGCATTAGGGTATTACAACAGAATCCCGTGTCAGATGGCACGGGCAAGTGCCCACTTTCCCTGTCCGCGGGCTTTGATTACCAAAGTTTTGCATATTGAGCCTTTCCCGTTCCTAGGTATCGACGGGTTTCACGGTGGTTCTAGGGACAACAATTTGCAGCTTCGCCATTGGGGTTTCTTAGCTATTCTGCCAACGGCAAATGCGAGCCAGTGGCATCGGCGCTTGTTTGTGCGTACTCCACGTCAGTTGTGGAAAGCTGTACAATTCCAAGAATGCACTATTATTTTCACGAGAATTATGGGTATCATGGTCATGCTAAGTCACTGCTCCAAGCATACTATAAGAAAGAGTCAGTTGAGCATGTGCAGGTTGCAAATGCGTTTAAAACATCTGCCTATTCCTCATCTCGACGGGCAGGAACACCATCGTCAAAGCCGAGAGCCAGATACCACCAGCACCAAGCCAGAGGATACCGGAGCTCTGATTCTGAAGCAGCTGGGCACCCGCGTAAGGTGCGACGATACCAGCGATTCGACCCAAGCAAGACAACATACCACTGACACTGCCGCGGTATTCAGTGTCAAAGAGCTCAGGAGCGGAGGCGTAAAGCACAGCATTGAAGTACTATTGATGATATTAGTATATCATTTGAAAGTTCACTGGATGAAACTTACAGTCTGCATGATGTACTCGAGTGCGTTCAGACCAACGTAACCAGCAGTGTTCTTAACCTGCGTGTACATGGCCATGGAAAGACCCTGGCAAACAGCAGAGAAAACCAACGACCATTTCCTGCCCAGCAGGGGCAACTGAACAGAGAACAGAGCAAGCGCGGCACCGATGATACCAGGCGAGTAGATGATCAAGTACTGTTGGTATGTATCGACAACAGATCCGCGGCCATCGTTTACGTTGTTTCGCAGCAAGATGAGAGGCAAAAAGGTACCCGCCAAGTTGAAAGACCAGTAGTCTCCCATGTAGGCAACACCCAGAAGGATGAAGATGAAGCAGGAAAGCTTATTAGTGAAAATGCCCTTCAAGCGTGTCACTTCTCTGCCAGCGTTCTTGAAGACTTGCTTATTTTTCTCCCTTCGAGACAGGTTGGTGGCCTTTCCCTCAGGAGCAACACCGTCAATGGCATCGATGGCGGCGAAGTGCTTAAGAGTCAGCGTGGGTGCCGGCGCCTTGTTGAATTTGGCGATCTTGTGCAGGACCTCGATAGCTTCAGCCTCTCTGCCTCTGCTGAGCAAGAACTTGGGCGACTCGTGGAAGGCGAAGACAAAGTATCGGAGAAAGAAGATGATGAGTGTTACGACACCAAGAATGACGATGTTGTAGCGCCATCCCATGTTGCTGCCCGATGAGCAGCATGGTTCTCTAGACGTAACAGCCTTGCAGGATTCCAAAGTGGGCTCGCAACGCCATTTGGCAGTAGTGCCGAGAGCGACGGCGGATGCAAAAACGACACCGATCGGCTGCCACATAGAGAGGAGAGCGACAAAGTAGCGGCGCTTCTGCGGCAGGAACTCGAGAGCGATGGTGGCATCGATGGGGATGTTACCACCCAGACCGAGGGATGCCAGAAAGTAGATCCCGCAAATGGCACCGTAGTTGTACTTGGGAGCAGCCTAAGCTCTTGTTAGATAATGTATCGAGTGAAAGATCTGAGCTAGTGCTTACCAGAAGCAATCCAAAAATCGAGGTGATCAAGCAGGTCAGATTGAACGCCCACTTCCTACCAATGATATCGACCGCGAGGCCAAAACCAAGCGCACCAATCGCAAGACCAGCATTGGCACAGGTGAAGATAAGTCCAGTTTCGTTGTCTGGTACATTCATCTCCTGGTAGATAGCCGAAGAGACAAGACCAACACCCTGCGCCCAAGCCAGATCTAAGAAGTAACCGAAACCGCAGAGGAACCAGATACATAGCTGATATCTGCCCAACCCGAATTTGTCGATCTCAACGTTGATGAGTGCAGCTTTCTTCTCGAAGGTGTTCATGGGCTTCGTTGCCGTGCCACGAAGGATTGCACCGATGGACAGGTCCTCAGACGACGCTGCCTCCACGTCGTTGTAAATTGGAACTTGAACACCGTCATCTGGGTTTCCAACAGAGCCCTTCTTCTCATCCGCGCGGACAAATTCGTCGGAATTGTGGGAAACCATTATAGTTGGGCCTCGACGCAGGGGAGGATTCGCAACAATGGAGTTGAGATCGAGTCGCGTGTTTCTAGTTGTGCAGGACCGCACGGCTGGGTGTTATACTCGCGTCCACTACGAGCAGGGCAACGGTTTGCTAGCCCTGCCAGCCATCCGTGGAGCTCACGTGTTCGGATGTACGCGACGGTAGCTGCGTTCTGTGGCGGATATTGATTAGGCTGTCGGTACTAAATCCTGTAGCTCACGTCCAAGACGGCAGGAGCGATGGTGATTGGTCGACGTCACAATCGTGACGACAGAGAGTATTCCATGTCGCACACAATCGTCTGGCTTTGTCTGTTCGAAAGCAGTCGGCCTGACCGTGCCGTGGCGTTAAAAGAGTTTGCGCGACTGAAGAGAGATCACGGCACTAGTTAGCCTGATTACAACGGTCGTTCCCGGACAAGAGGCAAAGCACAACAGGAATGCAGTAGTCATGACGAGAACGGCTACGGCGCGGCAGACGCGATTGTTACTGCATGGCGTTCCAGCTTCGCCGCCATCGTCTTCAGCCTAGCGTGTAAGTACTAAAGTGGTCAAACGTTATTCATCTTTCAGCTGAGGCTGGTCTTGTTCAAGCTGTTGCAGTCGATACTGTGGCGACTGCATCCTAGTACATAGTTGTACGGCATTGTCAAACTCCAGACGTCCCTATCCAAATACTCAGATAACGCATGATGATGCCTGCTTCCCCAATGTCGACAGAGTGTCACCACCTTAGGCCTCATAATTGCGGGAACCCTTGTCGCCGCGTGGAAGTTCTTCCCAACTGCACACACACGACGCGCCACACCGTCAGAAAAAGGCGATTTTTTTGCATAGGATTCAAACCAGGCCTGACTGACATGCAGCGTGTGTTGAACCAAGTGATAGAACTCGTAAGACAACACATTTCTATCTGAGGTGGTTGTGCTTGTCGGTGTAAGCCTTTGCCGACACCTCACTTCTTCCGCCCTCCTCTTGCGGTCTTGGATGATGCTGTCCTCGCCTGACTGGCTGCAGTTGGCGCATCGAATGATCTCGCGGCTCGTTTCTTCGTAGGATTTGCGACAGCCTCGCTTTCGTTCTCCTCACCCGCTTTGCGCTTAAGGGAAGTATTGATGTGCGAGCGACCTTTTATGACCGTTTGACCAGCCTGGATGGTCCTGTTCATGGCGGCCGTGGTAGCTTTCTCTTCTGAGGGAGTCGGTGGTCGTTTGACGTTGGTGGTGGTCGTCGATTCAGATGCGCTTACGGGAGGCTGGGTGCCTTGGTTACGCTGCTGCGCTACCCAGCTAAATAGGTTCGCTTCGGCCTCGAGATCTTCATCGTCATCTTCTTCTTCGCCCTGGTTGAGCATAGCATCCGCCATCTCACCTGCGATATCGTCCCCAGCATCCTTGCCAGTAGCCATTCTTGTGGCAAAGGCTAGCAATTGCTGTGGGTCCATGCCGCTCAGCGGACCTCCAGCTTCGGCCAGGCGGCTTTGCAGTGCAGCCATCAATACTCCCGGATCGATATCCATTTCGTCTCTGTGTGCCCCTTCATCGTCTGCGTCCAACTCGGAGGGCGGTGACGTGGGCTCTACTGTATCAATGACCTCCGCAACGTGCTTCTGTTCTCTCACGGCTTGCACCAATGGTGACTGGGGTGGAGAGCCCTTGACCCACCTGGGAGTATCTTTGAGCTTCTGCCTCCAATCTTGGAGCACTGTGTATGCCTGCGTATTTTCCTCGAGAAGCTTAGGCTGCAGCCCACGATTGGCCTGCGAGCGCCAGACAATAGGCGACATTCCCAGCGCTACTGCCTCCGTCTCTCCTAAGACTCGTTGCCTTTTTTTGCTCAGGCTGGGCTTTACGTGCCGTTTCCTCTTCTCTCCTATCTTCGGTCCTTTGCTGTCCTGGACTTTGAATAAAGCGTCGTCGTAGCCATCTGACGCATACTCGAGGTCGTTGAAATAATCGAACCTGTCCCAGTCCTCGGCAGCGTCTTCGTCCGCATATGTGGTAGGCGGCGGCGACGCTACAGCGTGCTCTGCTAAATCGTCCGCCGCGATAAACTCTTCCTCCACGTAGTACCATTCCTCTCCATAGTCGGAGTAGTCGTCACCGTAGTCGCTCATAGTGGGCCTTGCGCAGCGGACTGCATGCGGAGATGTTTGCGTCGCACAAACGGGCGAGATGCGTATGCAAGCGGCGGCAGTCGATACAGCGCAGAATTGGTGTCGGGCGGTATTCGAGTGCCCGCAATGGTGGGTAGGAAGGGTAGGTAGTCGAGTTGACGTTGTTGTGGTGGGTGCAAGCACGAACGCGTATGAAAACACCGTCACAACAGGGTCCAACCGGTCCAGTAACAGCTATGGAGCTCACTAGCACAATCATCTCGCGTCGTCGTCATGTGCTCGGGCTATTCAGCACAAGCAGCTACCATTTCCCTAAATCACAGATGGACCGCAATGCTCATCTTCACTCTCCCTTTCTCCGGTTTCCTGCCTAATCGAGCGCATCTTGACTTCCATGGTTGCGCTAAGCTGCGGTAATGGGCGGGTTAAGCGTGCAGCCGCGGCTTTCCCCAGCTTTCTACTCCAAGCACGCGGCCTTGTCCCGCACATGCGCAGCAATGTTCTTTTGTAGCTTCTAATCCAAGTCAATTTGCTCCTCACAGCGCCTCACAATTCGCATCGTGACCATGCGTGCTCTTCGAAAGTCTACTCATTTCTCGCGCCAGCTCGTGGCTGCCAATGGCACGCGCTTCAACTCGACAGCAACTCCGGCTGCCAAAGCCCTGACTTCCGTGTTGATTGCCAATCGAGGAGAAATTGCACTGTAAGAACGTTCAGAAACTTCGGCGGACCCAGCTGACACCTTCCAGTCGTGTTGGTCGCACAGCTACAGAGTATGGCGTACGAACGACTACCCTCTATACCGACCCAGATGCTCGTTCACAGCATGCGCTTAGTTCTCCCTTTGCTGTCAATCTCGGCGACCCCTCTGCATATCTTGACGGAGATAGGATAATACAGATTGCGAAAGAACGCGGTTGTCAGGGCATACATCCTGGTTATGGATTCGTAAGATACAAACAAGACTCAACGCTGCTGGACGGATTGCTAATGTCAGACAGTTGAGCGAAAACCCTCACTTTGCAAAGAAATGTGCAGAAGCTGGCATAACCTTCATTGGACCACCAGCTTCCGCAATCGAAGCCATGGGCAGCAAGAGGTGTGTAATTTCAACTACAGCAGTTGACAGCAGCTAACAAGTCTTGCTCAGTGAGTCAAAGAACATCATGACAAATGCTGGTGTCCCCTGCGTTCCCGGCTACCACGGTGCCGAGCAAGACCCCGAATACCTGAAGAACGAGGCAGCAAAGATCGGCTATCCTGTTCTGCTCAAGGCTGTTAAAGGTGGAGGTGGCAAGGGAATGCGAATTGTCAACACCGAGCAGGAGTTCTTTGACCAGCTCTCGTCCGCCAAAGGCGAAGCACGAAATTCATTCGGCGACGAAGTCATGCTCGTCGAGAAATACATTATCACACCGCGACACATCGAGGTTCAGGTCTTCGCAGATCGTCACGGCAACTGTGTAGCACTGGGCGAGCGCGATTGCAGTATTCAGCGCCGTCACCAGAAAATCTTGGAAGAATCTCCTGCGCCTCATCTACCAGAGGATATTCGTCAAGACCTATGGGAGAAAGCTAGGCAAGCTGCTCTTGCAGTTGGTTACGAAGGCGCCGGTACCGTCGAGTTTATCTTCGACAACGACACCGGCGAGTTCTTCTTCATGGAGATGAACACCCGTCTGCAGGTCGAGCATCCTGTCACTGAGATGGTCACAGGCACAGACCTGGTGCACTGGCAACTCATTGTAGCAGAAGGCGGCCGTCTGCCACTCACGCAGCAAGAGATTGAGGAGAGGATTAAAGAGCGCGGCCATGCCATCGAGGCACGCATCTATGCCGAGAACCCAGACATGAACTTCATTCCAGACTCCGGCTTACTTCTCCATCTGCGGACACCAACACCGACACCTACCGTGCGAATCGACTCCGGTTTCGTCGCTGGCGATGAGGTATCCTCACACTACGACCCCATGATCTCGAAACTCATCGTCCAGGGGCCCACGAGAGAGGCTGCGATCCAGAAGCTGCGAACGGCTCTCGAGCAGTACGAGGTTGCTGGTCCCATTACCAACATCGAGTTCATCAAGAAGATGTGTGTCAGCCCTGACTTCGTCGCCGGCTCGGTGGAGACCGGTTACATCCAGAAACACCATACAGAACTCTTCACACCGGTCCTTCCTGCGCCAGAAGTCTTTGCGCAAGCTGCCCTTGGTCTTGCTCTCCAGGAAGTCTCTTCGAGTAGATCCGATCCTTTCGCTGGCCCACCTATCTCCACTGCTGGTTTCGGTCTTGGCTTCCAGCAGCGCAGGTTCGACTTGGTAGAGACACCTGCTGATGGCAAAGGCGACGTTACAAGCACACCTGTCACCATACATCAGACCGCACCATCCAAGTTCGACGTCACAGTGGGCTCAGAAACGTACACTAATGTTACAAGCACATTCGGTTTGTCTAACAACACACTCACAACCTACTATCCACACACACGTCTCTCCACAACATTCATCCGCGACGAAGACCGCCTGACTTTGTTCCAGCAAGGTAAGCAGTATCGCCTTCGGCTTGCGATGCCCAGGTGGGCAGAGAAGGCACTCGGCATCAAGGACGTGACAAACAGTGTGCTTGCACCTATGCCTTGCAAGGTTCTTCGCGTGGAAATTGGAGAGGGCCAGCGGGTGAAGAAAGATCAACCGCTCGTGGTGATTGAGAGCATGAAGATGGAGACTGTCATTAGAAGCCCAATGGATGGCGTCGTCAAGAAGATCGTGCATGGCAAAGGAGTAAGTAGATTCGATGTCTCTAAAACATCTGAAGAGGGATGAACTGACATGTGGTACAGGATATGTGCAAGGCCGGTACAGCACTCGTGGAGTTTGAGGAAGCTGAAGGAACTTTGTGAAGGTATACTACAATTGTTGCGGTGCAAGTCGGTCCTATAGGCCTTGATCGTCACCTCTGTTGACTACCTTGGACTAGCACGTCTCAGGACATGTATATATGGTCGCCTCCTAGCTAGCAAGCAACTCAGTGCAGTTTTCCATCGATACATACGGCGGCTACGTCTGCCGTGACAGTTATGAGCCCGGACGCTGAAGCTGCGCAGCAACAGGCCAGGTGGACTCTAGGAGAGGTGGGTGACCATAGCCGAGGCTTGACCCACAGGCTGCGCCACTTGGGTGAGCAGCTGCTCCGTGGTTGAGCACTTGGTCGTGACCTACCTGCCTGCTGCAAGCACTTAGCTAGGCCTGTTGTCTGCCCTGCATAGTTCACCTCCAAGTATGCGGTCCTACTAGGACGTGAGGAGGTGTGTTGCAGACAGAATAGGCCTACTTACCATGCCTAATTGGGGGTACTAATGTACGTACATTTTGCCTCCTTTTTGGCTGCGACAACAATTAAGAAAGGACAAATACTATGTAACAGACACACTAAGCAGAGCAGGGCACTAAAACTCCGCACTTTTTACTCAGTCTTGCGCACTGTTTGGAGCACTGCAGGCGTGTCTCAGGCTTACAAAGCCGACTCCTCCTGGCATCTGTAGCAATTGCGCACCCCAGCATACACGCCACTTAGTGCAAGAAATACTACGCCCATTCCAATCTGGCTGTGTCAGAACAGCTCACCTATAGAGCTAGCGGAGCTTACCGGTGTGATCAATAGGCGAGCTGGCTCACCACTCCTGCTCATCCCTCACCCTCACCGTGGCTCCTACCTGTCAGTAGCAACGTCACACGGAGTTTTGTACTTGCCGCCATCCGCTTTTCTTGCTCACCTCCTATTCTGCTCTTCTTTGATGCACTGACATACCAACACTCGGCCTATGTAATGACTTAGCTTGAGATGCTTCATTAAACCGGATGTTTAGTATAGTGGTAGAACGCTCGCACATCAAAGTAGTCGCTGTTCATCGGCAGACCTCCAGCAAGGAAGCTTCGCCATTCCAAACGACCGTCAGGTCGGGCAAGCTGACCGGTCCGCGAAAGGCCTGTATTCGAATCACAGAGGGTCAAGTCTTTTTTATTATCTCCGCTTGTACTGGCTAAGTTGACATGTGCCTAGCCTGAACAGAAAGGTAAGAACGAGGGGCCAGCATCCATGTCGCTCTCTTTATTTACATGTTCAGTACTATCGCGCAAAGAATGGACAGAACTTGTATCAACGCAAGTCAGGCTATTTTATCAAATAGCACACAACTCAGATGCTTGGTATAGCGGTAAAGCGCTTGCACATCGAAAATAGTCGCTTGCTCTCGGCTGACTTCTCGAGACTTAGAGACCTATGAGATCTGTTCCGGCAGATTCGAGACGTTGACCGTTACGCAAGAGACCTGTGTTTTATTTACATAGTATCCGCTCCTTTTGTGCCCTTGCCTGCTTCCTACACCTTTGACATTGGCACGTGTCTATCCTGGGCAAGTGGGTAAGTACGACCAAGGGTGCTTCAGCTTAGCTTCCTACGCATCCTTACCATTCATCACTTCTCTGTTAGGCTTTTTTTTTTTCGCTCGCTTTCCCATCGCTCCTTGTCATGCTCGTAAATGTCAGTGTTGACGCATGGCATGGCTCGTTCTTTATTTCACAGGACGACCATCAAGTGCTGAACGCGGAGACCTACCTGACATTTAGCACCACGATGGCACGAAAAAGTACTTGAAGAAGATCAGCTTCTTTTTCGACCACTGGAAGTTTTTGGAAATGTCGCAGCCGAAAAGGAGGCAAAATGTACATACATTAGCACCCCCGAATTGGCTGGTAAATAGGCATGATATCTGCTGCGACAGGAAAGCATGGACACGATGTACCAGCGCGGAGCGACGGGCTTTAAGATGCACGGACTTGATGTGCACAACATAGAAGAAGAGGATTGGCAAGCGCACTGGAAAGAGCGGGACTTGACCTTCTATTGCTCTCTGCCACGCTCGTACCTGTCGTCAATGTCGGGGCGAAAAGCTCTCGTAGGAGGGTTTTCGCGAGTGGGAGCAAGTTGAATGCTGCTCCACCACCGATGTGGTTGGTACATAGACCGACTAGCCACTCGCGCGCCGCGGCCCTTGCTCAGGTATCGAGGGCAAGAGATGATCATTTGGGAGACTAGTCCGGCTAGAAACTCGTGGGTGACGTCCTCGTCAGCGGATATGAGCACGTACAGCTCGGCAAGCCTGAAGTCATCAGAGTCTCCCATCGAGACTTACCTGGAATCCGTACGGTCAGGACCCCGATCTCGTTGGTGTAGAAGAGGTGAACGTAGACATATACATTGAGGTGGTGTTGTCTTCTATGAGACGCACGGGAGCTTTTGGCTCGGCCCAGTTGGCAATGCTGCCTTGAAGAACAACGAACAGACGGCGATGAGCACCCGGTGGATGAATACATTGTGCAATATACGCCGGCTCTGCCATGCTTTGTGCAATGTGCGCTGGTCCTTCAATGCGGACTCGTTGGCTCTGGGCGCTGGATGGAAATGCATAAGATCATTCGTAACAACACAAGTGGGCGCGTTAGAAGCTCTGGTGGGAGGTATCCCTTCGTGGACAACCTGCACAAACGTGCGCGTTCGAAGCTTTGGTACAGAGATGTTGCGGGCGACGTTTCGAGATCGCCACCTCTTGCCTTTCGCAGGTCTTCTTCCAAGGCAGTCTTTGCCTTTCTTGTGCCGGGTCGTAACAACCTTGCATTGTGGCCGTGCCTTGACACACTCCCTCATACAGTGCAGTCCTATGGGCTTCGCTCACACAGCCAGACTCAACCACGCACTGATAGTGGAGTATGTTCAGTGGGTCAACAAAGATTCGAAGCTGCATAGTCATCGACGAATGACCGTCATAGGATCACCCACTTCGATCTTTGACTGAAACACCAACCACCCACTACTGAATGCAAGAATAGCCCGCCGCCCCCTTTGCCTAGAACGCTGCGGTAGTTCATGGCCTTCCCTCCAGCATGCAAAGAAGCCTGTTTCCCGGGTGCCTTGGAGTGGTCAACGACCTGCAGCGGGCAACACACGTGTGTCCCAAATCGGCGAGCTTAGTGCCCACAAATGGACGCGTCAACTCCCTGAACTCATTGCTTATCCACCAATTTGGCCGAATCTCTGATCAGAGCAACACCCGGAAGGATTCCGTCTGGCCAAGGTACAGAACGCAAGCAGTGAGGAGAAACCGGGCCACAGACTTCAAAGAGACCACAAAAATGATGTGTGGTAACCGGGAATGTGCGGGGTTCACAGATAAGGTGAGTTGGCCGCGATGCTGGGCAGGATGTCCCGGCTGTCTCATGGTGTGCAGGGGTAGATGAGCTGACGAAATTGCTTTTGACTTTATGATAACGTGAGGTTTGTCTGGTCACCTTCCTCTTGTTGGTCTTGTCCGTGTGCGCGTCAAAGGAGGAAGCAGCATTGGCGAGGGCAAATGTCACTGCCAATGAAATGTCAACAGCGCAGACCCATGGATCATGCTGGTAGACGATGGGTCTCCTAGCGAGCTCGAGAGAAGCGATTGCTGCCCTGCATTGACGTGGAACAATGATCAAAACGTTCTAATGGCGTTCATGAGACGTTGGGCATGCATTGCTGCCTCGATGATAGCATATCATTAGGCTCGCCGTACCTTGCGCGACAGAACGTTCCAGGATAGTGAGCTCGGGCATCAGGATCGACCTACCCGCCGATTGTCCAAGACGTCAAAAGATGTAGATCGAGAGATCGCAAGCGATGCTGCCCGTAGGCGGCTGGACCTCGAAACTTTGCCGGTGTCTATGCGTTCCAAAATTGATCACGCTCTTTCTTAGTCGCACCGAAACCAAGTCACCATGTGGGTCTTCTGGAAGATCTCTTTGCGTTTCTATGTGACCACGAAAGACCTTGTGTGAAGACAGAGACTACAGGTTTGACTGACCAGACGCACCGAGCAGAGGGGCTGCATCTGAATCAAACCACGTCTGTCACACGACCCCATCCTTGAAAGCGGCTCTAGGAAACCCGGTCTTGCAGACGAAGATGAGGCGGATGCTTGTCTGAGCTTACGTTCGACGCTTGGCGTGTTATTCGACGCGCTTTTCAGCCCTGTGGAACTGCGACACCAAAACATTCTCGAACATCCGTCAGCGTTTCAAGGAACGTTCGGCATATGATCTACCGGTATCGGCTTTCTGGACGCGTGTCGCGGTCCATTGCAACACCGCCTTTTGCCTTTTGTCGAGTCGCGAAGACGTGAGCGGTGTGTTCGAACTTCAGGTGCCGTGCAGACTTTGACCGGAACACTAGTCGCATTTACACGCACTTGCACCCTCATCGCGGGTTCGGTACCAGGTTAATGCGATTTCGAGGAATACTGCACGCTATTATTGCAGCGGTAGCACGAGTGGACAAAGGGCGCGTGGAGTGGGGGTCTGGGTTCCTTTGGGTGTTGAGTCCAGCACTCTGGGCGTGGAACATGCCGTGAAAGGGGAACACACATCGCGTTTCGCGAGAAGACAGCCGCAGCGGAGACGTAGTCATAAGTTTCGTAAACAGTGCTTCGCTGGTGCGGGTATTGGACGTCTCGAGCAGTACTGAGCGTACCTTTCTAGATGCAGTGCAAGTTCAGTGCGCACAACCCGACCGCGCAAGCTCTGTGCGCAGAACAGATCCTGATTCAAGTGGACCTGAGAAAGTGCCTGCCCCATCTTGGAATTACGGCCATCATTTCGCTACATATGGGATGAGAAATGAAGGCATGGGCGAGCACTTGCCATGGCGTCCTTCTAGCGCCCTTCTAGAAGGCGGCTAAGTTGGCGAAACGTGCACAGAGGCTGATGCGGTCATAGATCACGAGCCCAAGTCGACGATGGCAAGTTTTCAGGCGACGGAAGCAAGCCGCAGTAAAATAGTGTGTATGCGTTAGATGTAGCTGCTGAAGTGGCGTTGGCCTAAGAATGCGGTCTGATTTGCTTTATTCGCTTCTAATCGACCAGCACGGCACAATTAGGCTAATCGTGGTCAGTGGACTCGGCAACTTCGGATACAACAGCTCGAGCTGAAAGCAGTTATTCCCTCCATAGGATGCGGAAGTGTTAGATAGGTTGGCTCGAGCAGAGTCGCATGCCCAGAGGCCATGCAAAACTCAGAAGAATGGCGCGGAGCCCGAGCCTGTTGGGCTGAGCGAGGACGTTATTGTTGCTGGTTGGGCGAAGAAAAGCAAGCAGTGCCCAATAAGCCACATCAACACCACAGCATCACTGTTGAATACCACCAAAGGGGGGTGATCGCCTTTTATTTGGGTGATTGATGCCGAGGGGAGAATTTGAAGCTTAGAAGTGTGCGGATCCAACAGGCACAGTGAGCATCGTCTAAACAAGTACCTTTATGATGTGGCAAATCCCTCAGCGTCTACGAATGTTGGGTTGCTACATTGTGCCATTGTCGGGATGTGCAACCTGCAATCAATTCCACTGCCGCGAGCGCATCGTGACTTGAGAGTTCCAAATCACTCGTGCCTTAAGATGACAGCCACGTGATGCTCGTTGTAATTGATATCAATGAGCTTTCTTTACTACGGTGTCAGTGTGAGTCTTACGACTTCCATCAGTCATTGTGTCACTGCCAAAAGTGACCCTAATGGCTCATTGGTCCAGCAGAAGATCCGGGCTACATGAAATGTTTGCTTTTCCGGTGGTGCACGAATACGAGTGCCGAACCAGAGCAACGATGATTAACACTGGAGAACGCTGATCCGAACCGGACAACTGCGTGTACAAAGATCAGCGTAAGGGTGAAGTCATGCCGACAAGAGTGAGGCACGGAACAGGGCCTGGAACCTAAAGCTTGGGGAGGGTGGCCCGGCAGCTTCGTCCCCAGGCTGCATAGGATCGGTGCTGACATCATGTGGTTTTAACCATCAGAGATGCGCTACGAGAATCAGCCTAGATATGTTCCCCAAATGTCCGCTCGAATCAGGATTGACGGGTTGAGTCTTGTTGTTGTTGTTGGGGGGGGGGGGGCCTTCAGAAGCCGGCTTATCCTTGTCGCACTGGCAGCAGGGATGGCACGACCCTTGTATCAGAATAGAAGCCGGTAAAGAGCAGGTCTTGTGTCGAACCAATCAAGGAACATCTATCACCTGTCAGGACCGGCGCTTATGCAAAAACGTTGAAAAGAAGCCTTGGGTTGCGCAGTGGATGAGAGTAAATGAGGAGCACATCTGTCGAATTCGACTCCGGATCGTGAGACAGGTGGCGCTGTCACAGTTCGCAAGTGCGATCGAAGTGCATATCCATTTCGGATCATCAGCCCCGTCAGAAACTGCAGCTGGTCCACCTGCCACCCAGTCCAAGCCCTGCAGAACAAGGGCATGTGATGCCACAGAAGTTAGGACAGCAGAGATAACCACCCTCGAGGTTTGCGGGAAGCAAGGTCGAGGGGGCCTGAAGGCGATCTTCAAGCCGAAGCCGCAGCCTGCTGCGCACAGTATACTGACTCGCTGGTGGTGAAGCGTTTGTGAGAATACAGGTGAAGCTCCCGGAACGCGTGAAGGCACAAGCCAGCTTCAGTGTGAACTCGGGCAGTCGACTTCGTCGTGCTTTACTCATTGTTTGTGACAGAAGTAAAAAGACAAGATCTTTGCTCTTATGCCCCAACGCTGGCTGGTCGTAAAAACGGCCGTGCCGATTGATCTCAGGTCTTTGTGCGCGACTCCTGGAAAGGAAGATGCTTCTGCAACACAGCCAATCAGTGTCAGAAAAGAATGGAGAGAAATGTCTGCCCGTTCAAAGTTGTCGCGTTCGCGTCTAGTCCAAACGAAGCCAACTGCGCTGATTTTGATCCTCTTGAACGACTGCGAGTCGATACAGATCGGGACATGCGGTGAAAACTCGTATTCGCGGTGTAATCTCTGCAAGCATGGCTGCGGGACGACTCGGGATGCATGGGTACCGGCAGCACACCCTTGCCCTGTGTGCGATCGCCCACCGTTGCTACAAAAGTTTCATCCCTGTAATGCGCTAGAGGGAAATGGTCTCAGCTACGAGATGCAAAAGTTGGCAATGCGACAGATCTCTTCACTCATTCCATAATCGAGCCAGCAGAGCATGTGCAGATGACTGTTGCAAGTTCGATGTTCCAAGTCTGGACTGCTTGTGAAGCAATTGGCCATTGACGGCAAGAGTAAAGTTGATGCTGACGAGCATATGACCTTTGTGCGCGTAGATGGCACCCATTGCTAGATGTTCTGCGGCAGAGACAGCTCAATCAGGCGTCGCAGCTGACCACTGTCGTTATGCACGTCGCCGCCTGTCTGTTTTTGAGCAACCGTTTGACTGCACGGCGCGAAATACTGGTTGTAGATGTGCTCTGAACATCAGCTCGATGGAGAGTAGCAGCACCTGGATATGCAGCTTCCCATTGCAGTGCAATTTGATCGAGAGCGTGGCCAGAGCAAAGAGCGCCTCGAGACCGTAGAGTTATGGAGCACGGAGCGAAGATTCCGCATGGCACACAGGCTAGAGGACGTAGTTTTCGCATTTGCTGGTAATCTGTGATGGTAGAATTGGCGTAGCTGTAAGTGCACATACGTACAATGCGCAAAGTATTGTTTGGGCTCGAAGCCGTGTGAACAGTCGGCGTTAAAATAGGGTTCTGTCTCCCTGGTCGACCAGCACTGCCATCAGGGTTTCTCCGCACCCCGCTGCGAACGACTCGCTCGGAACATTACAGTTTGGACAGGTCAAGGTCCCATGTCACGATCTCAGACAGGGTGCGTTGTGCTCTCAACCATGGCACCGCTTCATGTACCTGTCGCAAATCCTTCTCGAAGCACGTCAACCACAGTTCTGTGCAGTTCCATCGACGGATTGGCCGCGTGTCTTTTGTCAGAGTTTGCGGACCATGTTCCCTGAGGATGCAATCAGAATCCGGTCTGAGACGGAGCCCATAGCAATTTCCAATCAACGCCGAAGCAGGTGATGCAGTCGCACCGATGCAGTCTTTCAGGTCAACGTCCGGCGCTGTTGCAGCATTGAATGACCGTCACGATTGCCCAGGCGGTCTCTCGCCCGGTGTGCCTGCATTGCCCGTCAAGTCATGTTCCAGCATGAAGTGGCAATCTTATTCGAATTGGCAGCCCCGAGCAGCGACACACATGGACCCACTGCAGTCAGTCTCGGTGTAAGCAGGGCCGCGCAACCTGGGCCCCGTCGCATTGATGAAGGCCCGTGATGGAGCCCCTGGAGGATCGTGGTGACGCTCTGGGATGTTTCGGCGATGTGGCCCCGCGATCTCGAAGGTGCCAGGGCCGATCAGGTGGTGATTGTCGAGCATTGGGAGCTTGCTGGGCAGCCTGGCCTCATCCCGTCTCCCGAGAGTCGTGTCCGCGACTCGCGACCAGTGCATCGCGTGGGCGATCCGGCTCTCAGCTATATGAGGCAACAAGCGGGCGTGCCTCGGCCAATAGTCATGTTGGGCAACGTTGAGAGACGAGCTGCTAGTGAGCCGTTTTGGGCGCCTGCTCACCGGCGCAGGCAGCCAATGAGGCGCGTGACGGTGGGCCGCTGGCTCGGCGGTGCAACTGCCAAACGGTGCGCTAGAGACTCGAGCAGACATTGCGCACGGCAGAACTCTGGCAGACGCGCCACATGTAGAGTGACGCGTCGAATCAGCGGCGGCGGTGCGCAGGCTGGGGCGTGTGCGCGCAAAAGATAGTAACGTGCTGCAGGGGCGAAATTGGAGACGCATAAGCAGCAGGTCGAGTCGACAAAACGGTCGTTGTGTCTATAGCAGCGCTGCGGTATAGGGCAGAGGTCGCCGAGGCGAGGGCCTGCCGCGAACCGCGAATCTTGGAATGGAGGCTGCTGCTTGTCTACCTGCTTGCCCTAGCGCGACAGCGGCAGATGCTGTCGTCGAGTAGCGAGCGAATGGCGGTGCTATTATTGCTGGTCGAACGAGCTGGTCAGTTGCTCCTTCCAGCGCTGGCTGCAAGTTGCAACTGCCGCCGGTCCTCGCTTTGTATGCGACTGTCTGGTTATCTAGCAATCGCCAGGACCGTGGTAGAGCGCTGCGAGCGCCCCACTGCTCCACCCCGTCTGACTCTGCTTGCTGCTGCTCGCTGCTGCTGGCTGCTGCTCACCGCACCTGGCTGCTTCAGCCGCAGTCTCGCGCTACACGGGCGACAGGTCGTAGAGGCCGACTGTCGCGGCCACGGCCACGGCCACTCGTCGCTTGCACAGCGTCGTCGTGTGTTCACCAGCGATCCCTGACCCCGGCGCACGCATCCGCGGGCTGGCGCGCTCAAAACAGCACTACGGCCGGGCGTGCATTAGCGGTTTGAGGACGTTTATTTCACGGCCAGCTCGGCGCACTGGCACAACTGGCATTGCTAAGCTTGCTGCCCGGGCCTCTGCTGCTGCGCGTGAAATTGCAGGCCAGCGCTACTGCACTTCCCTCCCAACCCTCGTCGGCCGGCGCTCAGACCAGCGCTCCCGGCATCCTTCGACCTCCACCGCGCTCTGAGCATCAACATGTCGCTGTCGCATGCCCCAGATAGGGCCCGGAAGTATAAGGAAGAGCCGGCGCCTGTAGCGTCGCAGAAGATGGTGAGTTGACTCTGCTTCCCTGCCCTCTCCTTCACGCACACACTCGCTTCGTCGCACCCCTACGATCGGCCCTTCTGCACTGGCTCCCTCGACCGTTGGAGTTTGAGCACTCGCGCGCGCCCACAGCCGTGATCCGTCGCTGTCACCGCTCCTGTTGGCTTCATCCTCGTTCCTTTTGCAGCCTGCAGCAGCCTCTGCACGTCGCATCCACACGCGTGCACTCCACCCAGCCAGCGCCGCCAGCACAACCCAGCCCGCGCGCCCTCAGCCTACATGGTATGCCCTCCCCGCCAAGCGGCCCTGGTACACGCTCCTAGGCTGGTAGCATGTAGCAGGGCTGCGACCCAAGTTCCCAGACCACCACCCCCTGTCAGGCCCTGTCGCACCTCTGCTGGACGCCTGGTTGCGCTGCTTTCTCTCCGCCGCGTCTTGTCACTCAGAACGATGCAGCGGAACCCCTGCGACGCTGCTTGACCTCCGCTCCCACCGCTCGTCTGCCCTCTGAGTTGTCAACGTCGCGGCTTTGGCTGGTAGTCGTCTGGTGCTAGTCTGCCCTTCCTGTCCTATAACTAAACCCTACCGTCCTGTCTCTTTCCAGACCCTGCTCCTCGCGTAAGAACATCGCCGCCTTGCACATCGGCGCGCATCACTGCTTGCCTGCCCCGCATCCTGGCCTCTTGAGCTTGAGCTTCAGCTTCTTGTACCTTGCACCCCTCGTTTTTTTGTTCTGCACCGCAGCCTACCGAGTCTACTTTTCCGATTATTTGCGCAAGCACCGTTGCTGACCGTACTCGCTAAACAGCATCACCCCCACTCGACCCAGGGCCTGCCGCCGCCTAACCACCACCCTCACCACCCGCAGCACCCGCAACACCCGCAACACCCCCGGCCTGCCCAAGTGCAGCAACAGCACCACCAGCCACACCCCAGCTCTCCTCACCAGCCTGCACCGCAACACAGCCCAGCTCAAGGTCACTACCCCTCACCTCACCCTTCTCAGTCTCAAGGACCACCCCACCAATCGCCCTACGTGCAGCAGATCCAAGGACCGCCACCGCCGCAGCAGCAGCAGCAAGAGGTCCCTTACTACCAGGCGCATCCTAGTCCTTACAGTACAAACAGTGCGCCGAGTAACTATTCATCATCTGGTACGTGATGTAATCCCTAATCGAGGTTCAAGACGCGTCCAAAGTCACGCGTGGACGCGTCTACCTGTTGGGAAACAAATAACATGAAGTCATCTAACATTGAACAGAAACGCCTGAGCTCATGGCCGCCGCGACCATGAACCGGACGGGGTTCCCTCCAATTTCATACCACACCCCTCAGTCCAACTCTCCTGCTTCTGTACAGTCCCCACAGCACGACCAGCATGGAAGGCCAATCTATGGCCAGCCACCCAGTCAGATGCCCCAATCAATGTACTACACACCGTACGGCTCTGCGCCGGTGCAGCAGCAGTCGCCTTACAACCAGCACCCATCTTCGACTCCACAGCAGCCCATGGCATCTAACCCTCTTCTGATGTCACACCAGCAAGGCCAGCACATGCAGCACCCTCACCAACCTCATCCTCGCACCCCAGGTATGACTGGAAGCCCGAAACCGCAAATGTCACAAACGCCTCTTCAGCGCCCACCGTCAGGTCTTGGCCCACCACAGCAGCAGCCTCAGGCACCTCCGGTTGGCACACCGAACATGCATCAAGCTGCCCCGGGCGGTCCTGGCGTTAATCCCAACGCTGCGCCTGGTCCTATTCCTGCAACTACCCCACTTGTTGTTCGACAAGACCAAAATGGTGTCCAATGGATCGCTTTCGAGTACTCTCGCGACCGCGTCAAGATGGAGTACACAATTCGATGTGACGTAGAGTCAATCAACGTCGATGAGCTTCCTCCAGACTTCAAGACCGAGAACTGTGTTTACCCTCGCGCATGCTGTCCCAAAGACTCGTACAAGGGCAACCGTCTGCACTACGAGACTGAGTGCAACACTGTCGGATGGGCGCTGGCACAGCTGAACCCCTGCCTGAGGGGCAAGCGTGGTCTCATTCAGCGCGCAGTCGACAGCTGGCGCAACAGCAACCAGGACCCCCGACTCAGGAGTCGTCGCGTCAGGCGCATGGCCAAGATGACAACACGAAAGGCCCAGGCCAACACACACGGTGCCCACATGGCTGGTCCAGGTGGCCCAGGAGCACCTGGTGTTCCCAACTCAGCATCTTTAGCAGCACCTTCCCGCCAGTCTATGATGGGTGGTCCACAGATGCACCACCACCACGATCATCCAGGAGGACCACAAGGAGGATCGGAAGATGTTAGCGGTATGTTTCACCAGATGAGTTGATGTGTTAAGCACAATTGTTGGATGTTAAATGATACCTCTGTCCTTTCTGCACTGCATGTATATTACACACTCCTTGATGTAATACCCCTTCGGAGTAGCTGCCCTATGCTTGTACGCAATGCTTGTATACATCCCCGCATCCGCCGCACACATGTTTGGTTTAGCGCAGAGGACGGGGAGATCGCGGCTCATTTGACGTGCAAGCTAATTTCTCTTTCGTTGCAGGCAATGACTACTCCGAGGCACACACACATCACCACCAAGCCCCGAACGGAACGCAGTCCCCGAGCGACGTACGGCAAACGCAAAATTTCTACCCCACATTCCCTTCGAGCGAATCAGTGGCAGGCTCCAGCGGCCTACCACCTACTCACGAAGATATGAAGTACCCACCGCCGCACGCAGCTGGTGTACCAGTTTCAAAGCAGCAGGAGCAAGACGAAGAAGAAAGGAAGCTAGCAATGTTTGGCGACCTACCTGAGTCAAAGCGCCGCAAGTTTATCCTAGTCGACGATGCGCAACGGGGTACCAGAGTGCGCGTGCGAGTCACTCTCGACACTGTCAAGATGGAGGAGATGCCAGACTCGTACCGCAAGTCGAACTCTGTGTTTCCCCGCAGCTACTTCGCCATGCAGATGACGTCGCCACCGGCCAGTCCGCGAGGTAGCAAGGTATTCGCGGATGAGCCCGACATTGAGAGCGATCCCAGCTTCCCGTTGTCTGGCGCTACAACAGTAGTCGTCCCCACTCTTGACGGCGAGACCCGTGTGCCGAAGCCGCGTCTTACAAGGACGAAGCGCTCGAAGGAGATTACGCTAAACGATCTTGGCTACCGCATGAGCTGGAGCCAGAGCCGTGTCTTCGCGGGCAGAACATTGTTCCTACAGAAGTCTCGTAAGCAGTCGTCACAGTACACTATACGTGATCATAACTAACCTCGTAAACAGTTGATGCCTACCGTAACAAGATGCGGAGCAGCATGATGGGTCAAGGTCAAGATGTGACCCAAGTGGCGCCACACTTCGAAACTCGGGTCGGAAAGCGAAGGTGGAACGACAGAATCGAGCGAAACAAGAAATCGAGGCGTGATGGCTCACCTTAAGAGCTTTCCAGTTCAATGGCCAGGATTCAAGCCCTAGTCGCGGACGACCGTTCCGGCACTCGCTTTTCCGGCGGTTTACAGGGACCCCCTACACGAACGACCGGGGGAGTTTACCGCTTTCGACACACGGCACACTCCTTTCTCGATGGACCCTTGTCCCTTATGGACGCCCACACGTGTCTCAGGACGTATTCTGATGTCTCAGGCCATCCTACTTTTCCTTTGCAACTCTCGCGTCTTCGGGTACATCCACGCACCCAGGTCCCTGGCATAAGATACCCTACCTATTCGCAAGTAACGATCTCTTGCAATCCCCACAAAATGTGTCTTTTCTGTTTCACCATCTCTGTTGGACTGTGTCTACGGCTCCCTGCGATTTCGGCATCCTCATGAAGCAATGGCCAGCATTGTAACATTCATGAAGGCGGACGTTTGTGCATTCAAAGCGAGTCATTTGAAAAATCGGTGTTTTCACGATCGTGCCTCGGATATCATAATTTCGTGTGTCACTATTTGGTAGGTCGATGTTATTTGATCGGCGCAAAATATTTACTAGCAATTAGAGAACATAACTTATTCATTCAAGCATTGATTTTGCACGGGTTTCAAAGAGCAATTCCTGCGACACTTTGTGACTGTTTACTGTTGCAATGATGACCTGATTGCTCTCTACCTATCGCACACACTTTATCAACATGTGTATCAAGTCCCGGGGCAGTTTCCCTGATCAAGCAACCTCACATCACGCAATCTCTCAAATCCCAATTCTAGACTCGGCTCTCCTTCACTGTGAATCCTTCGACGGTCTACGCAACCAATGACCGGTAACGAAGCGGCACGGCGCGATACGTTGGACATCTATCAACCAATGCTTTCTTCTGATCTCCTGACCGCCTTTACAGAGACACGCTATTGCCGGTTTTCTCCCCGTCGTTTGAACGCGTGGAGAAGGGATCCTGGGATTTAGCGCGGGGGCTGACAAGTGACAAGCTGGGAGATGCTGGTTCTAAGACTCAGGAACAAAGGCAGTAACAGAAGGTCGCACCCGCCTGCTGTAAGGGCTGGAATGTGGGAGTTTCGTGGACACGTTGTGTGTGTTGTACACGCTTTGCACGAGAGTTGCACGAGCTGATCCGTGTCAGATATGTTGGGACACGATGGTTGCACAAATCGAGGAACTGCACACGTGCGATGGGAGCTGAGTTGCGCGTTCCATGATAGGCATTTGAGGGGCAAAACGTGTTGCAAGGATGCTGACATCCGAAACTAGAAGTTATCAATTGTAAATGACGCATGCAACCATGATCCATCAAAGAGTTTTACTAACTCGTTGCAGAAGCTCATGGCGGAACTTGCCTTTTCGCCTTCTCATAAGTATTCCCGCGCATCGTATCCATGACTATGTTCTCGCGTTCATTGCTTCCTGTCGCCTGCACTCTTCCCGAAATAGTCGCAATCACACCGCGCAGCTCATTGGCTGAGCAAATGCCAACCAATAGCGCTCGCCTCTCCGTCAACAGAGGTTCAAGAATCAAAACAGCCGTTCAGCGGTCGCAACAAGCGTTTGCCCCACCGTCGCGAAAGCGCCACCATGCGTCTTGCAAACTCTAAAGAGCAAGCTTGACGTGGGAATTGCTCGGGCTGACCAGCAGGGATTCTGGCGGACGTTACCGAGCCGCAAACTCTGTCAACATGTCGTCACCGCACCGCTTCCTCTCGCTGCCAACTGATTGCCAGCCCGGCTTCGTTTCTTCGAGCTATCGCGATGTTTCAGCTAAACATCATGACGTGTGGTTGGCTGTGACCACCGAGGTCCTCCACCGATCGCATCGATGGTGCCGGCGTCAATCGGACAATTTGCGCTCCTGAGGCATGCATCTGCGCTACCGATCAGATAACAAGGCTACGAGCAAGCGCGTTCCTGATCTCTTCGTCTGCCCAGCGCGTACCCTGCCGCGCCTCGTGCTCACCTTGAACCTCGTGCCGTGGCCTCGAGCCGGTGAAAATGCTGACGGGAAAGCACAAGCAAGGTGTGGCTTGCCAGATCTCTTCAGGCAGTTCATCCTTCGCGTGGTTCATTGTGGGGCAACGGAAATACGAGGCTGGTTCTGGACAATATGAAATGATCTTGGAACGTATCGAGTTTATGATGAGAGATGTTAACATGCACCCCCCTAATTAATATTATGACTTCTGATCTGCACTATGAGTGTGGTCTAGATTGTGGTACGATAAAAGGCCATGAGGAAGCTGCGGTGACCTTGCAAGATGAAACTTAAAAGTTGGAAGTTGTCTATACTGGCCGGGTCCTAGCGGCCGTTAATGATGAGGTCGTATTCGCGGAACGGTAACACTTGGTCTCCGGACCGAAGAGTATATCTTTCGGCGACTGCGATAGAGTACTGCCGCGATTGATAGTGTCGGCCATTTTGCACGAAGTAGTAGCCGGCTCTAAGAAGTGGCTCGATATTGATCATATGGTATGATGTGTGCGCCGATCTCATTGCAGTAACGGAGACGTCCTGCTCTTACAGAGGATTTTTTCAGGACCTATCTAATATAGCGCAGGGCGCTTTCGATGTCTGGAATGTTCGCCTTCATTGGTTTCCAAGATATGCACTATCTTAGGCATAGCTATATGGAGAAAGTTCTAAACATTGGATGATCCGAAGTATGGCATCGGACCTGTTATAGCCTTTAAAGCACTATACACAAGATTTACACGTCCTGTCCAAAGACACTGAATCAAAGATCAATGCACTACACCTCATGCTGGCCAACACAAGGATGAAGACAGCTTCCATAATTATCATGCTGCCATACGGTCAGATTAGAGTCTGCTTGACCCGCGACTGAAATCTGTGCTTCAGATCTGATGGGGGACTGTTGAGATGCGCTGTGAAGTGTGCAAGCTCAAGAAGACATCTTATGGAGATGTTAGCCTACATACCTGCGTCACTCTTCACGTACCAACCCATGACGCGGAAAGAAAGGCTCTGTGACGTCGAAGTATGCGACCCTTCCCGCTAACAGGACCAAGCTTCTGGCGTACTTCTTCTGGTCTGCATCGTAACAGTCTACGACACAGCCTATATTCTGTCTGTCTATGCGCTGCGATACTATATCCTTGGGATTTGTTGGCAAAAGACCCTGGATCGAAAGCCAACGACTGGATCGACATGTATGCACCGTCTTTGACCAGTTGCCCCATATCGCGGCATTGTTGTGCGGCGTCCCCATCTTTCAGGTCTGATATCGCCTCGGTACAGTCCGCTGATGTGCGCCTGAAGTCGACCCGGAATATGGATATGTTCGAAAGAGGTGTAGGACAATCTCAAGTGTCGCGAGCCATGAAATTGGGATATCTAAAAGTCTCGAGTCTGCCTCGGTCTATCGTATCGCCTCAACGTCGTGGAATCTCAATGGACACGACTATGACCCAAACCAGCCGTGTTCCTCCTCTTCGTAGATCTTCACCTTCTCGGCGTACTCTAGGATATTCGAGTGTATCGTCTCGTTGATCAGCTCGCCTCTCCCGCCTGCAACCTGCAAGATGAGATCGTTCAGGGAAGAGCGACCCAGGATATCTACGTGATCGGCTAGCACATCGTTAGTGTATCGCTCTTCTCTGCGGCGCTTAAGAAGGAGACTTACCAGTGTTAGGCCCACCCCTGGCACTAAACCTGTCCGGCTCATGCTTCATCTCGTACGTCGTGATCTGGACGCCCGCTGGGTTATATCTCTTTAACTTCCACCCCTTGGCGCACATGTACCCACTACTCAGTAGGTTCACCGTGCCATCACCCTCGCCCAAGACCACACCATGGTCTACCGCTCCATTGCCGCCGCCGTCCGTCGGCTCACCGTTCGAAGCAGCGGTGTACCCAGTGTCCAGCGTAACGTTGAGCCCGGAAAGCGGGTCGTCGTCCGCGCGGTAGTAGTAAGCACGTTCCGTCTCCTTGCCGATGCCGTAGAAGCAGTAAATCTTCAAATTTGGCGCAAGCGGGAGGCGGGTCTCAAGCGGGTTAATCCACTTGGCGGGTATTCTCTGGTTGTCTTCGACAACTTTGGCAGTGTGTGCGACGCCGTGAGAGTAGCTGCTCTGGATCATTTTCTTGAACCAGGGCTCGCTGTGCTTGAAGAGGAAGGGGAGGGAGTCTTCGACAGTGAGATTTGACTCGGTGCGAGTGATGGTACTGTTTGTGTTACGGAAGCGGATGAAGTTTCCGTAGGAGACGTTTTGGCCGGGCGCGTCGTCGGGTGCGCCTGTGTGGTCGCCCCAGACGGCGTTGCCGCCCAGAGGAAGCATGGAGGAAAGACCGGGCATGGCGCGGAAGATTTCTGCGCGCTCGTAGCGGGACAGGAAACGCTCGAGACCGTAGACGGCGAAGGCGTTCAGCTGCGCTGTATCTTTCATCTCGCCGCTAAGGACGGCGGGCATGTCTTTCAGAGCGCCAAGCATGCAGCCTGAGATGTTGATCCAGCTGTCGACATTCTTCTCAACCCAGTCGCTGCCGCCATTGCCGTAGCCCTCAGCTTCTACCCAGTGGAAGAAGTAGTACAGGACCTGCGAGCCCATGCTGTGGGATAACAGAACTGCCTTCTTGCCCGAGACATGGTTTGCGACTTCGATGTGCGACTTCAGACGTGTGAAGTACTGGTCGCGGATCTCGTAATTCATGTATGTCATGCGCCAGTCGTAGGCGGCGGTGAAGGCGTTGCTGGGATCGTAGCCAATGGTGGCGAGGTTCTCGAGGATCTTGTTCCATATCCAGTAGCCCGTGATGAAGAAGTCGGCGGCGTCGAAGCCCTGCGCAGCACGGAGCTTGACGCCAGGTGGGTCGAGTCCGGTGTCTTTGTCGAGCATGATGTGTCTTTTCCACCCGGGCTTATCCAGGACCAGCGCTCGCATCATGGTCCACGAGCCCCATAGCCGTTTGCGGAAGTACTGCCTGGCGCCTTCTTCTGTGCTCCATGACTCGAGGCCCGTGGAGATGACGCCGGGTATCATGATGACGGGGTGCTGGGCGCGAATACCCTGCTTGCGCGCGTGCATGCCGATAGCAAAGGAGTCGTAGTTGACGGCATCACGTTCTTGTTTCTACGCCTTGGTCAATCAGCGCTCGTCCAGGGTGCATACACGGCGTCGGTACCTGCAGCTGCTGTGCGCTCTTCACGAAGTTGGCGGGCAGTGCGTCCATCAGGCTCTCCAGGCTCATGCCCTCGATGCTCTTCAAGTCGATCAGGTCGTTGCTGCCCGCGAAGAAGGCCGCGATGACCAGCCCGAACACGCCGCCCAGCCCAAAGACCCAGAAGTTCTTCCTCTTGCCATGCTTGACCTTGCCCTTTTGCTGGAGCGTGTGCAGCTGCTCGGCGGTGATGACACGCAGATTCGAGGGACGCTGGGAGGGCGCGGGATTGGGCGACGGTTCGCGTGAGGGCTCTGATGACGTATCGCCGCCGCCGAAGCGACGTCTGAGGAAGGCCATGGCAGCAGGGGTGAGGAGACTGCGAGCTCTGAGGCAGCGCGTCTTCCTTTGCGGGAGAGGGCTGTGCAAGATCAGAGCTCTAGTCTAGCACATGCTGCCCAAAGCGAACCCTCCAACTTCCGAGCGCGCCCGCGTGCATGTGATGAAATCACAGCAAAGCTCATCGCCCTTCAGCCAATGGCCGCCCATGGAGCCCGCGACGCTGCAGACCCGCACCTGCCATTCCGACTCGGAACCCTCCGACGTCCCACTTCCTGATCGTGCGTGCCTTGCCTCGTGTGTCATGGCCGAGAGCAACAGTGCCGCTCCCAACGAGGCCATCGAGCTGTCGTACGTCCAGTATGAGACGGGCAAAGAGGAAGAGTACCTGCCATCCATACGGCAGCTGATCGGCAAGGACCTTTCCGAGCCCTACAGCATCTATGTGTACCGCTACTTCTTATACCAGTGGGGTGACCTGTGCTTCATGGTAAGTATTGCGCCGTTATGCTGGAGGCTATCCGCTGACACTTCCACAGGCTCTCGACAACGAGTCCAACCTCATCGGCGTCATCATCTCCAAACTCGAGCCCCACCGCTCCGGCACCTATCGTGGGTACATTGCCATGCTTGCCGTCCAGGAGTCCCACCGCGGGATGGGCATTGCCTCGAAGCTAGTCACTATGGCAATCAATGCAATGACCACCCGCCAAGCCGACGAGGTGGTCCTGGAGACGGAGATCACAAACACTGCCAGCCTGAAGCTGTACGAACGCCTGGGCTTCTTGCGATCGAAGAAGCTACATCGCTACTACTTGAATGGAAATGCCGCTTATAGGCTGATACTATACCTCAACGAGGGCACTGCGCTGAAAAGACCAGAGGGTGGACACGGTCACGATACTGGCATGAACATGGGCATGTCAGACATGCAGCGAATCGACAACGCTGCTATGACCTCCTAATGATACCGGCTGTGCTCTCAGCTCAAAAGCTATACCACATTACGAGAGCGATAATGATGACTGGAAAGAGGATGTCGTTTCATAACTCTGATTGTTCCGTCACACGTTGCCAGGACGTCTCCCATAGGCCCAGCTCTTCCCGTTTGACCATATGCACACCTGTCGACTATACTTGCCCAATGCACGCCGATACCGAACATAACACATATAACCCTTTCAGCATCTCTGCCTTATGTTACTGCTCCAGTGCGCACATCAGCACCTCTTCTGTATCTCCTGTATCCAGAATGCCTTCTCGGACCATCTGAGGCCGCGTCGAAGATCAGCGCGAAGCGGCAAGAAGATGATCACTCGACTACCACAAATCTCTTGCAGGAGAGCGCATGGCCTACGGTCATGGGTGCACAGCCTACAAGCACTCCGTTCTTGTGACACACCAGAAGGTCGATGCCCATCAATCAGAAACCTGAATATTGGTTATCGTATGCTGTTACATCAGGATTTTCAAACTTACCTGAGGATACAAGTATCGTGGCTGGGAGCCATCGTCTCGTATACGCTGTACTTCGCGACTGGAATAAGCCGGGAAAGCTCTCCAGTGAGAGATGTCAGCAGGTCCCCAGGGATCTGGAAGTTCCTCTTTAGGTCATAAAGCTGGTAAGCATCCCAGGCTGCAGAAGCATCGGAAGACCCTACCCAAAATGCAACCGCGTGTCTGAGATAGTCTTTCCAAATGGTCATCTGGCTGGGGTGGGGATCAGCTGGAACTGCCGCTACTGCCTGCAAAGCCGTGTACGCCCCACTGGCATCTCCCAACGAACAGAACGCTGGAGGATGTGCGACGGCTGTCGAGAAGCGCACAGGTCTCTGTCTTGCGTCTGTGTGATGCTCGGCATCCTGAGTCGGCGGCGTGGATGAGTATCTAGGTGCTCCAGCTGCGGAAGCGAATCCCACATCTCCATAGCAGACATCTGCACGCATCCAGTCTGGCATCCTTGGTGGAAGTGGTGCTGTGTTCACCTGAGGTCTGGAGCCCACAGTGTTAGTCTTCGCGCTCCCACTCTCAGCTTGACTCGCGTCAAGTCGAGCTTTAAGGGACGAGGTCTGCCCTTCTTTATCCGTGGTTTTGGATTGACACAGGAGAGAGTCTGTAGCGTGTACACTGACCGCCTGGTTCCGGACTTTGACGCCTGCGGTACCAGCTCGTTTGCCTGAAGGATTCTTAGGACCCGCAATCCGATCTGCGGAGCTACCAACGGTGGTAGGCAGAGAGGCATGTAAAAGAGTTGAGGCGCGACCGACATCGATTCGTGGGCGCTTTGCGGGCATGGTGGACGCTGAAGTCTCGGGACCCTTCCGCTTTAAGCTCGACTCGGATGGTTGGTCTTGAGAAGCACCTAAGGGAGTGTTGTTCGAGCCTGTCCTGTTGTTCGGCTTGGCCACCGGCGGTGGTGCTTCGTACAAGTCACGGTCTGGATCGACCTCGAGTGGCGTGGCGGAGATCATGCGAGCTCGAGCTGGGTTCATAGCAGCGTTGCTAGCTGAACGCCATTGGAGCTTAGAGGTATTCTGCACGTCAGCGAAGGTCTTCGCGAGCTTCTCGTACTTTGCGGCTTTCTCTCGCAGGCCATTTGGACCATTGACCTCAGCGGCAAGCCTGTCCTGCTTTTGCTTACTTTGGAGAAGATCTCGTACCTCAGCAGCCAAGCCGACAAGACCTCTAGAGCCTCTGAGTTCGTCGATCGTGTCTCGAATCGTACGAAGATCCGACACAAATTGCTCGAGCTCTTGAAGCCCTCCCGCCTTGTCGATGATGTTTCTCATTATGTTTATCTGCGAGATGAGAGCCTGTAGGCCGCCACTTTCTCTGACCAATGGCCTGAGTACGTCTGCCTCAAGGGCCTTCGCCCTCAGGCCGTCACGACCTGCTTCGGCCTGCAGCTGGTCAATACACACGGTCGGCTGATCAATAACAGAGAAACCTCTGATGACTTCGCTGTATGCAGAGGCCAGATCTTGTAGCTCGCTGTGCTGTCGCTCGAGACGCTTGTAGCGGTCTTCAAGGGCGGAGTACTCGAGGTTGGCCAGCTGCAGCTCACCTGCGATCGCGTCAGCCAGAAAGCATAGAACATAGTCTGACCCTACCTTGCAGTGAGCCGACTTTGAATTGTTGCTTTCCAATCTCTCCATCCTCTGGTATATCAGAGGTACCGTCAATGAGTGGCGCAGGTGAAGAAGACCGCTCGATCTTCACTGGAGACCGTTGTGAAGCCACGCCCAGCTTGCTGGCCAACGCCTCCAGCGAAACGGGAGCAGTGATTTCGATCGTCATCAGAGTCGTTCAGACTTTTGATTAGAATGGATCTGAGCGTGCTTCGGCTTGCTATTGACGTGGTTGTGGTGGGGACGTCCAGCAAGGAAGCTGTGTTTACATCGTGACAAACGAAAACACAAAGATGGCAGCCACGACGCGTGCCCATCTGCAGAGCGCGTCCCTCAACAAACGAACAGAACGTCTGGTATAGCCTCAGACCTCTGATTAGAGCCGCAGTGCACTTCATCATCATTCTTTCTCTGCAAGTGTAGCAGCCTCACCGGCACTCATCACTGCAAATTTAGCGCCCACTGAGAAACAAGACAGAAAGTCTATGCAAACCTGCATACGTCATCAAAACGAGCCACCAATGTTTAATACAAGGCCAGTACATCTACCCAGCCTCTCACTCCTCCGCTGCGAATCTGATGCATTTCAGACGATAGCTCATTTCGGGGATTGCATTGCCACAAGGATGCGTGCGTATCAGAACTTCAGAAGTAGTCGCAGTGTAAACAGCCTTCTACCTCCAGTTTCATCTTTTTAGTGAGGTGCAAAGGTGATTTCGGAGCAGCGAATGGCTCCCGTTCATTTTGTATTGAGCGCTACACACCAGTGTGCGCGATGATTGTCTTTGCCTAACGTTACCAGTACCAGGTTACAATATTTCTGCCCGAAGCTTTCCACTGCGCCACCAATCATCATGCCAGATCGTCGAGACATATCAGCCGGACAAGTTTGTCCGAATAAGACAAGGAGTTTACGATTAGATCATCGTTCGCGATGAGCTTACGCTTATGGCCGTCAGGATGCAGCAGACTCCCCATCTGGCATCTGCTCGTCTTTCTCGTGGCAGCTATGCACGCCAAGACACACTCAAGGGTCATCTCTTTAGGATGGGATCGCCATTGCTGACTTTGTGTCTCCCAAAATGGGGTCATACTACTCTATTCGATCGGGGTGTATCATCCGGGGGCCAGAACTGGGCGCCTTAAGACCCATCGCTTGTACCTACGCGCAGTCCTACAACTTTCAGTCCCGAAGTCAATTTTGTTGTTTCCTCAACGTACAACACACGACCTTGCTGCTCTTGAAAGTTCTAGGGCACAGTTTATTCTCTTTTCGCCAACCTGCGTTCCCCGCGCTGTTACTGTGCTCCGCGAGGTGGGAAGGACAAAATCAGGCTGTTGAATCTCACTCTGCCACGACATGCGGCTACCGCAACGCTTCAAGCGCGTACCGCATCAGGAACCAGCAGAGGATCAGGACATTATACTACCAGCATACCCTTCGCAGCCCAAACTGGACGTCAAGGGAGATGTGGAACTCTACCGCAATGACGGATTTGAGTCTGTGCGAGTCGACACAGAATACATAGCCGGAGCCCACGCAACCGAAGGATACCAACTTCCCCACGGTAAGAGCTGGGTGGAAGTTCTAGAAGACCGTGAACTGCATTACTTCGGGACACGCCTCATCTCAGTCTTCTATAACAATGTTGTATCAGGATGGCGAGCTGGATTGCTGCGTGCATTTCTAGCTAGTCTGTTGGCCTTGATTGCTAATGTATGCGTCTTTGCCTGGTTGGTCCGTCGGAACAACCCAGAAGATGGCACTGGGACAATACATACAGCAGCTTGTGGCGCAATCAGCACCTTGGAAACAGGCATCAAGGTTGCCTTAAACGTCATATCAACATTGATCCTAGGCGCTTCTACATACGCGATGCAGGGCACGACAGCACCAACAAGAGATGAGGTTCAATCAGCCCACAAGAAAGGCAAGTGGCTCGAGATAGGGACACAGAGCTGGAGGAATCTGTCATACGTAAGCAAAAGGCATGCGACTATATGGAGTGTGCTAGCTTTTACCAGTTTACCTCTCCATCTTGTGTGAGTGAATAAGGCAAACTTCCTGAAATAATACTGAAAGCGATCAAGGTTCAACGCCGTCTTCTTCACTACTACGGAGACTTATCAATATGCGGTCGCCGTTGTTGATCGGAGCTTTCAAAACAATACTGCGTTCCAAGCCACACCAAACAACTCCTCGCCAGACCTTCGCTTCGGGAAGGAGCAATTCCAGTGGCAGGGTGAATGCAATGGAGAAAATTGCTCTTGGGACGTCAAAAACGACACCTTTGTCACCCGCCTTCTCAATGACGTGCGCGGTCAAACCTTTTCTCCACTTAGTCCCTCAGAATGCATCAGGTATTATACTGAGGGCTTCACATCAAGCTACAGTGATATTGTCGTGGTTTCCAACGCTTCGCAGCCCGATAGCCCAGTCCTATGGACACGATATCCGCAACGAATCCTGACTCAGGATAAGAAGACTACAAATCACGACTCCTACCACTGGGTGTGCCACGATATTATCAAGAACTCAAGCCAAGAAGTTTGTTCCAGGAAGAAAGCTCTCGATTCTCTGAAGACGAAGCCGTGGACAGTATACGGTCATCCTGTTCACCACTGTCTTGTCCGCACTGCACCAGATAGGTGTCGCTTACAGTACAACGTGTGGATCATGGGTGCAGTCGTTGTATTCAGCACCATCAAAGTCTTAGCCATCGCAGCCTTGGTCTTCACTCACCCAGACGGAACGTTTCTCAGAACCATAGGTGACGCGATTGCTTCCTTCCTGGAAAATCCGGATCCGACCACAGAAAATATGTGTCTCGTCTCGTCCACTCAGGTTCGGAAGCATGGGTTTGCAACATCCGCCTCACCGCAAGCCCTCGCCAAACCGCGTCGGCGATGGTGGCCACGGACAGACAATATCGTCGAAGGTCCGACGACGACATATCCCCCGCAGAAATTCACCAACGCTCGTCCCCGATGGTGGATAGGTGCCAATACTGCAGAGTTCTTTTCGATGGTAGGTGTCTCAGCAGCATATGTGGTAACACTCAGCGGTGTACTTGGCTGGGCCATCTTCGAAACGAAAGGAGATGCGTACGACACGGACCTTGGACGGCCTAGCATACAACAACTTGCCAATCTCAAGCCTGATGATACAGGCTCCTCAGTAATTGTACCGACTCTTCTCACCGCCAATATTCCACAGCTAGGCTTCTCACTACTCTATGTGTTCTACACAAATATCTGGGCGAAGCTACTTGTCGCACATGAGTTCGATCGATTGACTACCTGTAGGAAGGGATTAAGAGTCAGTGAGCGACCACGAGGTGAACAAAGAATTAGTCACTTCTTTACGCTGCCAACAAGATATGCTCTCCCAATTATGTTTTGCAGTGCAGCCCTGCATTGGCTTTGCTCGCGTAGCCTCTTTATGGCAAGATTCGATGGAGTCAACGTCGATGACGTTGTAGATTCTGGCGACCAAATTGTTAGGTTGGCGTACAGTATCCCTGGTATGACAGCGCTCGTTGCAGTTACCTTCGCTATGGCAATTAGCACGGTCTGTATAGCTGGATTTCGACGTCTTCGTACAGGGCTGGGAGAAATTGCAATGAGTGCAGTGATTAGTGCGGCATGCCATGTGAAGCGACGGGAGGATAAACCTTGGGAAAGGAAGGTGCAGTGGGGAGATGTAGGCAACGAGGAAGTTGTAGATGGCGAGATCGTACGCCATTGTGCGTTTACATCTCTGGATTCCAGGCCACCTACTGAGGGGTTTCTGTACCTCTAAGCACGGAAATCGCCGTAAAATTCGACGGCTAGCCGAACGTATGTAGACTGTTGGTCAGCACTAGAGGTGCTATGGCTGACCTAAAATGACGTTCGATACCTCATCGGTATCTTCACAAAGGACACGCTCTGACCTCGTCCTTTTGCTCTAGGTCCAACCCATTCGCTGTCTGCTTTTCATGCATGTCGTCAAGGTACTTGAGCACCACATCTGCGTACTGCGCCTTTCCCTTGTATCTACTCACGTCCTCGCCCCAGCTGCGCATCGCACTTGCCAGTCTGCCAGGCACATATGGCTCCTTGCAAATCTCCGTGATGGGGTGGAAGTAGGTTCGAATCGTGAACACAATGCCACCAGACCGTGGAAGCCTGGTTTTGTCAGCAAACTGTGGATATCTTAGCTGACGACTCAACGTACCTTCTCAGACTTTGGCGTTCACTTCTAAACCACACATTGCCTACCCCTTCAATCTTCTCCGCGCTTGCCCAGTTGATGCCATCTTCGTCTTCGCTCCCTAGACTCTCACTCCATGCCAAGTTATCGTCGACCTGAATGAAGTAATTGTTTCTCAGTACAGGCTTCTCAGGCTGCAGTCTCTTGAACATGTTCAGCATGCCCTTCTCGAGCTTCTCTTTGTACTGAGGAACGTCGCCGGAAGTATGGATTTCCGAGAGCGGCATACCAAACTTGTCCTCGAGACGCCAGAAGCCCGCAAGTAGGATCGCGCCTGCGAGGAGGTAGTATTGACCGTCTGGCCGCTGTGGTCGGTCAGTGCCATCGTCCTCGAGCGCTAGTTGGGGTTACGGACCTCGATCATGACGGCCAAGTCGTCCTGCACTAGACGTGCGCAGACTTGCAAAGGATCCTCCTTGTCGACTCCAAGCCTTTCCTTGATGTCAATAACCTCTCCAGTGGCCAGATTCTTCAAACCTTCCCTACCATCCCCAAGATGCTGGAACAGCGATGGATATCTTTCAGGCAGATAGGCACACATATCTTCCAAAAGCTCGATTGCTGCATTCCACGCCTCCGGTGCCGTCTTACAGCACTTCTCTCCACGGTCTGCAATTCGAGAAGCTTTGATTGAGTGGAACTTGAGGTACTCGTTGTCTAGTTCTATCCAATCATCCCACTGCATTCTGCGCAACCCCATGGTGATGTTGTACTTGGGTCCGTAGTGGAAGGGACGTTAAGGTAGCGGTTTTGTGGAGGCCACAGACCACGAGGGATAGGGAGTGGCGCTTGGGCGACGGAAGGTGGAGGCTGTCCATACTAAGAGCGGTTGACAGGTCAGTGATGAAAGTATAACGGTAAGAGAGATCAGTGGAACACAAGCAAACAGAGGTGATGACATACCTCCAGGCTCTCGGTCTGCTGCTTTGAACGGCGAGCGTTTCTCCAGATTAGAGGTGCTTGGGAGCGTAGTAGATCGGCGCGTCTTGTTGCGAAGTCGAAACATGAAATTGAATGCCAGCCATACACTTGTTATAACGTAGAGCACTTGCCTTGGTCCAACCTCTTGGTGCGATGCTATTTGAAGCTTTGCGACTCCTGTGTGGCACTGGTGATAAATAGCATCGATAGCCGACCCAGTACATTGCTGAATCCGAGCTAGCAAACCAGACATTCTGCAAGACCCGGTGTCAACAAAATTGGTGATCAGGAGCTGGAGGAACCCTCTCAAGAGGTCCATTCAATCGTAGTATGACATAGACGATGGCAAGTAAATGTCTTTGATTGAATCACAAAGGAGGGTATGATATGAGGATGCGAACAACTTGTTTCCATTATCTTGTACTGTTTCGTACACTGCGATAGCGTTCATGATTGAGTGTATGGATTGTGGGGCTCACCACAGTGTCATCAATGCCTGTTTATCGGGAGGGACCGCACTACCCCATCTGGTTAGCGTAGTGGTTATGTGGGTCCGTATCATAGAGCTGCAATCGCTGCGGTATGCCAAGCAACCTACTTGTGCGGCTCGTGTAGCTCTTCTTCCTTACTAGAAGGCCATACGAATCACGAGTCCGCAAGGCCAGGGTCTGAGTGCTTCCTTCAGAGTCGCTGCCACGCTCTCAATTCATCCTATAACAATCGGTGTTGGCAACCTTTGCTCAGTCACGCATCTGAACCCTCGCTCAAGCATGTTGAGTAGCTTTGCCAGAGACCTTTCGTTGTAGAAGACAGTACTGCCCCCACTTACGGCGGAACTGCTCGGGAATGAATGAGAGATCTGGTACCCATAGTAAACGGCCCACAAGATGCGTCCGCGAGACGTCGAGGAATGATGCGCATTTCAGCGGCTCCCAGTGCTCGGTGTCTGTGATGTAATCCGGTTCAAGAGCGTTTGGCACTACCCCAGGGAGGCTCGAGTCGACGATGAACTCGCAATGCTCAATGCTGGTCTAGACAATATTAGGTTAGGAATGCTGAGTATGGCAAGAGCTTACGTATTTGCCCGGATCTTCGATGTTCTCATCGTTCATGCCAGAGGGTATGAGCCAAGTACCGGGGAACAAGCCAAACCCACCAGCGGTTGCCTCACTGAACTCGCCTGGCAGCAGTCCTGAGAATTCGCTCTTGATAAACTTGGGACGGACACGATCTGGTAGAAGATATGATGAAGGAAACCGGTACCACTCCTTGCCAAGACACACATTGTCTCCAGGCTTGCTTACTCCTGCTTGATGTAGCGGAGTGTACACCTTCAGGGGCGCCGAGTATGCCGTGAGGGTGCCGATAGTGCGAAGAACACCCACATCAAAGGCCAATAGCAGTGGGACACTGACGATGACGAGCTTCACCTGTGCTGGGACCCTGCTAACCAATCGACTCGGATCGGTCGAACCTAGATTTGCAAGTAGGATGTGTAGCGCAATAGCGGCGTTCAGTGCCAGTGCAGGGTACACTGGATACATGAAGCGCTCTTCTTTGTGAGGCTGAAGCGAGAAAATGCCGAGCCACAGGTAGAAAGGACTGACGAAGACCACGCTGCGTAGAAGTGTTTGCTTGGAAACCGACTTTTGCACCAGCAAATGCTGAATAAGAATTAACGGCAATGCCCCCAAAGCCAAGAAAAACCATAGGTTGAAGTTCAGGGTGAGGTTGCGGATGTAGAAGTGCCATGGCTCAACACCGTAGATGTCAGGACCCCTGCTTCCGCCACTGAAAACATTGTACTTGACAATGTTCCATGGTACGACGGTGACAGTCTTGTAGAAGAACGTCTCGAAAGCCGTTTGGAGTGCCTATGAAGCATGAGTGAAATCCTTAAGTGAGAGTTTATGTCCCCTACCAATACAACGATGGATCGCGTCAGACCATCAGCAAGCCTTGTAATGCATTCAATACCTTCGCCGGTGAGAGATACCAAGAAGATCTCCTCTGCAATGAATGGTAGTACGAGAGCGCCTACGAAAGGCCACCCAAGCAGTGTCCCAATGCCGAACCACATCAACCCCTGAGCCGTTCTGATACCACCACTCCAGTCCATAAAGGCTTGGAGACCCAGCATTGTCGCATACATTGCGAAGCTTGAAGGCAAGTAGGCTGGCGCAGCATGGTACATGCCAGGACTGAACACCATCGCGAAGATGAGGAACAGTGCCACACGCGGGTTGAAGGTCCTTGCAACCACCGAGTAGAGACGTGTCTGGCACATAGCACAAATCACTGCCAGGAAAGTACGCAGGAAGTAGAACTCTGCAGTCTTTGACCTTGCGAAACCGAACAACCGAAGAGGCATCATACCAAGTCGGATGACCAGAGCATGTATGCCAGTGTATGTCCAGCTGCGGATAGCATACTCAGGAGAGTACTCCCACGTCTGGAGTCCGTAGCCATGGTTTAGATAGTGTGTAGGCTCCCAGTAGTTGAAGACCTCGTCACAGTCTTGAATGGGTGCGTAGAAGGCCGCGATGATATTGGCTGCGGCAAATAAATAGAAGGCGATGATCGATTCGAGTTCGTATGGCGGCTTCGCGACTTTCATGGGTGGTCTTTGAGCGATAGACACCCCCTGTTTCGGTGGTGGAGGGGGCATTGTGTCGAGTCTAAGGGGACAAATGGTTAGTTACCAAATCCAGTGTTCCCAACGCTATCGTCTGATGCACAATGGAAAAGAGAAAATACCTGAACGATTGGGACAGCTCCAAATACGTGTGACAAAATTCAATGGCTGCACCTGAACATCGTTGAGCGTGAAAGAGCTGCGCTCGACCAGCTAGCCACAGATGCCGTCACTGCGCTGGGTGCGATCTGCTAACATCCGCAGGGCTGGGATTGGCGAGGCAAGAGCAAGGGGTGCGCCAAGGCACTAGCAACGGATCGCATCAGGTCAAAAATGGCAACGTTTCTACGCTCACCAGAACATACACCGCACGCATTAAGCAGACGGGTGCAAACCGCAGTTACTGCCACAGCAGCGAACAACGCGTGCTTTCAAACACTGAAGAGAATACAGCCATGTCTGATTCTCAGGAACCGCCGGCTAAGAGGGCGCGGCTGGAGGCGGACGCTCCATTCACTGGAGTAGCCTCCTTTGATGCGCCAGGCTCGCCTATTGACGACTTGGACGACGATTTCTACGATACTACACCTGTCAAGCCAGCCGCACAGTCTGCACCGCAAGATGGGCCCTCAGCGTCGCTCACCGCGACAGCGCCTGCTCCATCGAGCTTCTCGCTGCCAGGACTCGGCTCTCTGGGCGACACCACCGTCACACAGCCCACAGCTCAGATCGACGCTGACACTGTCATGAACAACGCGGTGCATGAGGAAGGCGAGCTCAAAGATGAGGAGGCCGACCATGACGCGAGCGCAGTTGATCAGCCTGTGGCCAATCAGCTGCAGGCTCTGGACGAGGCTCCACAGCACGGTAAGCCGTCGCGCCCTAAGCTGCATGTCGCGTCTCTGACTCCCGCGCAAGATGCATCTGCAACTACTACCACTACCTCGCCCATCATCGATGTCGAAGCAATTGTGACAGAGTCTGCCGCCGCCATCGACGCAGAAGTCAAGCAGGAGCCTGGTGCTGACGCTGCACCTGCTGAAGAGGCTCAGGAGCCCACGGCAGACGATAGCAAGGCAGAGTTCCTCCGTATTGGTGAAGCCAACAAGAACAATGAGGACGCTGAGTGGCAGCTCGATTCGGATGCTTCGGGTTCTTCCTCAGATTCGTCCAGCTCAGACGACAGCTCAGATGAGGCCGACGAGGGAGAGCTCTTGGACCCGGAGGAGATGGTCCGTCTATTGATGGCGGAATCTGCTGATGATACTGGCGCCGCCGCCAAAGCCAAGGTGAAGACTCTGAACGAGCTTGACGAACAATACGAGAAGCCAGACATCAAAGTCGAGAACGAGACACAGATGACAGAACTAGGCAAGGTCGAAGCCATCGTTGATAACCTCATTCTGGTGAAGGCCAGCATCTCTGGTGACTACCAGGTGCTCGAGTCTGGATCAGCACTTTGCCTCAAGGACTTTACCATCATTGGCAAGATCTCTGAGCAGATCGGTCGTGTTGAAGAGCCCAGATATTCTGTCGGCTTCAACGACCCCGCTGAGATCACAACTTTAGGCATCACGAAAGACACAGCCATTTACTATGTCGACGCCCACTCAACATTTGTCTTCACCGAGCCTTTGCGCAAGCAGAAGCACACCGATGCATCAAACCTCCACGACGAAGAAACGAACGAAGTCGAGTTCTCCGATGACGAAGCTGAGGCCGAGTACAAGCGACAGCAGAAGCAGGCGAAGAAGGCCAGGTATGAAGCAAAGCATGAGCCTGAGCCTGAGCCAGAACAAAAGCCCATACCGACTGGACCTCGAGGGTACGTCGACAAGCCTGTGTCGTACTTCTCACCAGCCACCGAATACCAGGGCGGTGGACTTAAGTATAGTGACGACGAGGACGAGGACCTGGGCATGTATAAGCCGCTGGCAAGACCGAGTCACTTCGAAGATGTCGTTGGACAGGGTGCACCTCTGGAAGATCGCAGTCACGTTCGCAGGGGTATGATGCGCGGTCGAGGCGGATGGGGCGACCGTGGGCGAGGCTTCCGTGGTCGAGGAAGCTTCGGCGGTCGCGGTGACTTTGGTGGAGGTCGTGGTGACTTCGGCGGCGGTCGAGGTGGTAGAGGAGACGCACGAGGCGGAAAGGCCGATAGGGGAGGCGGTGACCGTGGTGGACGAGGCGGTAACAAACAGGCTGACCGAGGACGACCTCAGAACCAACAGCAGGATAGCCGCCACATGAGTGTTCCTCAGTCCGACAACAGGTCTGCCACATCAGCTTCACCAGCCCGACAGCAAGAACGTCAGCAGTCATCACAGCCACAGCACTCTCCTCCCGCGAAGAGTAAGAACAAGAATCGAAAGCAGCGCCAGCGTGAGAAACGCGAGCGCGAGGCTCTTGAGAAGCAGAACAACCAGCAGAGCAACCAGCAGCACAACCAGCAGCACAACCAGCAGCACAGCCATCAGCACAACCAGCAGCACAGCCAGCAGTACAACCAGCAGCAGAGCCAGCAGCAGTCGCAGAAGCAGTCGCAGAAGCAACATCAACAGCACGCCTCGCCTCCACCCTCTGGTCCAGCTAATACTAACTCATATGCGAACAACAGCAGCACAGGTTGGTCAAGTCAGTACCCACAGCCCGCGGCATCGGCCGTTACATTCTCTCCAGCTCCACCACCCACAGCTGCGGCACCCTATGCACCTCCTGCACAGTACACTCCTCAAGTGCAGCAGGCACAACAGGCTTCCGCGCAGGCACAGCCAGACCAGCAGGCCAACTGGGCGGCATGGGCGCAGTGGTTCCAGGTTGTGGGTGCCATGAGTCAGCAGGGAGCGCAAGCTCAGCAACCCCCGGTGCCGCCTCAGCCGCAGCAGTATGCAGCTCAATTGCAGGCCCCAGCACCACCCCAGCCTCAAGCTCAGTACGGTTATCAGCAGCAACCACAACAGTGGCAGTACCCGCAGAATGCTGCCCCCGCGCCCAACCCGAACGTACAGCAGGGCAACGCTCAAGCTGGAGCCCAGTCTCTGCAGGACATTCTCCGTGCGCTTGGAGCTAACGGTGGCGGTCAAGCTCCGTAGGCTGGCCGACTATCACTGTAAGATCGACGTCAGTGGTTGGAAAGATGTGGATGTAAGATTATGCTGGATATGTAATTGGGAAACATTTACAGTCGAGCCATGTGCAGCTGGACCAGGAATTCATTGATGGCAAGATATGTGTAGTCTCGGTAAAAAGCTACCAATGCCTGAGAGAAAAGTATGGTCGGATGTTGACATGGGATATGGCAGTTCGAATCGGATACGCAAGCGCTTGATGGCAGCGCCTTCTCCGTCATATTTTCGCAGGAGTTGTAAAGCCTGAGCGGCCGTTTGCCGTGCTGGGGCAGCATGGATGCATGCTTCTCAAGTTCCCATTAGGGTGCTTAGTCACAATGTAGAGTGATATTGAAACAGCTTCAGAGCACACGCAGTAAGAAAGTGAAGGAACTGCGATAAGCAAGGATACCACGCAGCGTCTCTCTTTTCTTCGCCACATGCACGAGACCTGGAAGGGCCAATTATTGGCGTCATCTGCTCAGAAGGCGTAAATAGCGGGGAGGGGGTGCCGAACGCAGACGCCACTGAGTGGCGGTTCGTGCGGGCACTGCGGGGAGTGATGTGGTCTGTGACTGTGTCGCAGCTTGAAGCGCGGTGCTGATGGTCGCAAGTAGAGAGGCAGACGCCTCATCAGCGCTCGGCTGCTTCCGGTGAGTCTGAACGGGCAGAGTGACGCGCGTGTATGAGGATGCGGCCTTGGGCAAGACAGTGTGGGGGCTTTCTTGCGGATTGCTGTTCTGAGCCGAGTGGATGCTGGGCCGGGTGCAGAGGGCATCTGGCACTAGCAGGCTCGAGACAAGGTAAGCATCCGCACTACGTCTGGAGTGGAGTATCCATCTCGAACAACCACTCTACAGCGGTTTGTGATCGCGACGCCCTTGCCCTGCCCTGCCCGCCCACCCTGCCCGCCCTGCAAGTCGCTCCGTGTCTCGCGCTGCACCCTGCCCGCCACCAGAACAGGACCGCAAGCCGGCTGGTCTGCAATTCCGCCCTCGCCCCATGGTCCCGCCTCCATGAAGCTGCAGCCGTGCTAGGCCCACCTGCGCAAGCACCCTCGACCACGACCGATCCGAGCAACATACCGTCCTTATCTACCGCCACAGGCGCGTCGCGTCTGGCAGCGCCGCCGACCCCGCCGCGAGAATGACCAGGAACGAGACGACCATCCATCGCCAGGGCAGCACAGACAGCTCGTGGAGCGCGCGCACTGGCGACACCGTGCGGCCCCACGGCCGCCATGGCTCTCTGCGCGGGACGCCCGTTACGGTCAAGACTGGCAAGGACCCAAATGCTCCGTATGTATACTCTCGCTGCGCGACCTGCGCGATCCTTTGCCTCGAATTTGCGCGCGCGTGGTGCCATAGCGGGGCACTGGTTGGCCGTGTCTCTGGCTGGTGTTCGAGAAGCAGCGGGCGCAGCCATGGGCGAGTCGTGTCTCGGCGTCTGTCCTGCTGTCTCACGGCCAGACGCACATCGACTGGCCCACGAACCTCTGCTGACGCTGTGATTCAGTGTCGAAAAGGAGTCTGACGTCTCCCCCACCACCATCCCTCCCGCTCCTCCCCCCAAAGATCCCCGGCATCAACCTCGCAAGCCGCCGACCTGGGACGGTCCCGTCTCGAACGACTTCCGCGACTATCGAAAGGACCTTGCCGTACTGCAGACCTCGGGCGGAGGGGTACCCTCGATTTCGCGCAACCCGCCAACCGCCTCGAGCGCAAACATCAACCCACCGTGGGCGTCGTCAGGTCCTAATGGTGGTACCAACATGGCGAACAGTGTATGGAGCAGCTTCTTCAATGACTCAGACACCGACGATATCGCACAACTGTCACCTGGCTTCAACCCAGCCGGTGGCAACTCGAGAGAAGATGCTATGGGCTTTCCGAGAGACGACCGGAGGCCCTCGGTGGCCAGCGCTATGACTGTCAGCAGTACTGGTTCGAGATCGAGTTTCAGCAGAGGTTTCCACAAGAAGCTGGCAAACGTGTTTGGTGAAGACTTTCCCGGTGATGGTCGTCAAAACTCAGACTCTAGCTTGAACGGGAGGTCGCACATTACAGAAACACAGTCGCTGCATGCGCCGCGGAATCGTGGCAACTCGTTGAACAATACTTTTGGCAATGGCGGCTACAACTCGAGGCCAACTTCCCCGACCAGCTCGCGGCCACGCACACCGCAGCCGTCCTCAGAAGTCACGCCTTGGGAGTTTCAAGCACCGCAGGTAAGCTCTTAATTTCAGAAGGTGCACTATGCCTGCTGTTTGCCTTCTATATTGGGCTCACACGCGGCGTCACTGCAGCATTCTCTTGCTCGTGTCACTGACAACTTTAGGATGCGCCTTCCTCGACAGAGGACGGGCGCAGAAGATCCTCGGAGCAAGCATCAACCAAGTCAGGCCATCGCACGCACAAAATAACCTCTAGATTACCCGGCCATCGACATCACCGCAGCAAAGAGGAAAACAAGACAGCGCCCGACAGTCGAGGCGATATAAGCGCTCCGTACCCTTTACGACCTGCCACCAGCCGCGAGGACTCCTACAGCGCGCGTGGTCGAGTCCAGCCGCAGCAATCGGCCCTGAGCTCTGCATTCGCTTCGAAGACAAGTTTGCTACCGCGCGCAGCAAGCCCAACACCAAGCACATATTCAGAGATGACACAGCACTCCGTGGCACAGTCACAGTCACCTAGCACCAGTAAAGGCCCCGGTCGATTCTTTGCGCGCCTACGTGGGAAAGACAAAGCGGAGCATCACCTGGCAGTGGAAAGTCTCAAGACCATGCCTGCCGGGTCGTCGCAAATCTCCCTCCCTCCCTCCATGAACGGCCCACCTTCAGCACGCGCAGATCCCACCCAGCCCTCTTTCATATCGAGAAAGAAGTCCACGTTTGAACAATTGAAGGGGCCGAGTAATGTTTCGAAAGAGGGCAAGAAAGCACACAGCCGGCTACCGTTCAAGTCTTCAGACAAACGCCAAATGTCACTAGCAGAACCAAGGGGGAAGGATCCCAACGAAGCGAAGGCGGACACCACAGGGAACGAAGCCATGTGGTTCTTGGACACAAAACTGGATGACATGAGCGGGATCGTGAATCCACAACAACCGCCGATGACGCCTCCGACCGGCGATGTGCAGCATATGGCTCTGGCTGGAGACGACGAGCCTGGGCCGAAGGATGATACGTGGGATGCACCTGACTCTTGGGCTGTGAAAAGACTTGATGAATTGCGCGAACAGTCAATCGACGAGCCTGAGGTCGCCGCGAGGGAACAAAACGACACAAGGACCTACTGTTTGCGCATATTTAGGGCCGACTCCACATTCGCGACTTTGTCTGCTACGCTGAATACCACAGTCGTGGAGATCATCCAGATACTTGGCAAGAAGACTGTACTTCAAGACGAGCTGGACAACTACCACATTGTAATGCGAAAACACGACACCTCGAGGCAACTGGAATCGAGCGAGCGACCATTGCTGATACAAAAACGTCTCTTGGAGCAAGCTGGGTACGCGGAAGCTGACCGTCTAGAAGATGTTGGGCGAGAAGACAACAGCTACCTTTGCAGATTCACGTTCTTGCCAGCCAAGATGAGCGGTTTCTCCAGTCTGGAAAAGGACCCAGGTTTCAAGCAAATGCAAAAGTTCAGCCATATCGACCTCCAAGGCAAAAACCTGATTACGATCCCCATCACGCTCTACCAGAAGGCTACCGAGATCATTTCGCTGAACTTATCTCGCAATTTGTCCCTCGATGTACCGAAGGACTTCATTCAAGCCTGTACGAACCTTAGGGAGATCAAGTACACCAGCAACGACGCCAGACGATTGCCTCCCAGCCTGAGCATGGCAAGTCGACTCACCATGCTCGACATATCCAACAACTGTCTCCAAACCCTTGATCGAGCGGAACTGCAAAAGCTACAAAGTCTGCAAGGCCTTCGACTATCGAATAACGGACTGACATCTCTACCGGCTTACTTTGGCCAGTATCGTGCTCTACGCAGCCTCAACCTGAGTTCAAACTCTTTGACTGAGTTTCCCGACTTCCTCTGCGAAGTTCGCACCCTCGTTGACCTCGACATCAGTTTTAACTCAATATCGAGCCTGCCAAAGATTGGCCAACTGACTTGTCTCGAAAGGTTATGGGCAACTAACAACAAGCTGTCTGGTAGCTTCCCTCCCAACTTCAGCCAACTGATCAACTTACGAGAAGTGGACGTACGTTTCAATGCTCTCGACAGCATGGATGTTATGTCGCAACTACCGCGTCTCGAGTTCCTCATGATCGGACACAACTCGATATCCGCTTTTGAAGGGTATTTCCCCAAGATCCGCGTTTTGCATATGAATCACAATCCTGTGACACGTTTTGGTCTGAGTGGGCCGGTGCCCTCTTTGACCGTACTTAACCTCGCATCTGCCAAGCTGGCTCAGCTGCCTGAAGACCTGTTCCAGAAGCTCACAGGACTTACAAAGCTGATCTTGGACAAGAACCACTTCACATCGCTCTCGAACAACATTGGCAGACTGTACAGGCTGGAGCATCTTAGTGTTGCGCGCAATTCTCTGGACGATCTACCAGCCGAGATTGGGCGTCTTGTCGAGCTTCGCTATCTCGATGTACGCGAAAACAATCTTGGGCGACTACCTCCGGAGATCTGGTACGCTCGTCGGTTGGAAACACTCAACGTCTCCTCCAACGTGCTGGATGCTTTCCCAAAGCCAAGCGCGGCGCCTCCCGCAGAGGCGAATAGTGGAATACAGTTGGATGGTTCACACTCGATATCTAATCCAACTCTGGGATCAAGCCCAAGCTACGAAGAGCTTGGTAAGCTGGAAGACTTCCAAAATCGACGCCCTAGTCAGGCGTCAGGTGGTTTTCTCAATTCAGGCACTTCACCAGCATCTTCGAACCGGAAGGGATCAATGGCGTCCTTCAACACGACCAGCACAGCACGGAAACCATCAGCAACATCTCGAGCACCGACCGAAGGGACCCTTACACCAGTGTCGCGCAAAGACTCTAGCTTGTCTAGTCGACTGGTCACGACCTTTGCCGGTTCACTTCGACACCTCTTCTTGGCCGACAATAGGCTTGAAGATAACGTATTCGACGAACTCTGCCTCCTGCCTGAGTTGAGGATAGTCAATCTGTCATACAACTTGATCTACGATGTTCCCCCAAGGACGATCAGGAGATGGCAACATCTTGCCGAGCTCTACCTCTCGGGTAATGACCTGACATCATTGCCTTCAGAGGATCTGGAAGAGGTTGGCTCGCTCAAAGTGCTCCACATTAACAACAACAAATTCCAAGTACTTCCTGCTGAGCTTGGAAAGGTCGCGCAGCTCGCCGTTTTGGACGTTGCCAGCAATTCTTTGAAGTACAATGTCTCTAATTGGCCCTACGACTGGAACTGGAACTGGAATCATAAGCTGAGATATCTCAACTTGTCCGGCAACAAGCGACTCGAAATTAAGCCAAGCGGCTCGTACAGTGGAAGCGGTGTTGCCATGCGAGAAGGGCGCGATTTGACCGACTTCACTGCACTTGTCAGCCTACGAGTTCTTGGACTTATGGACGTAACCATGATGATTCCATCTGTGCCCGAGCAGACTGAAGACAGGAGAGTGCGAACAGCAGGGTCAGCTGTAGGTACCATGGCCTATGGTATGGCCGATAGCTTGGGTAGAACAGAGCACATATCGACCATGGACATGGTCGTACCTCGCTTCCGCAGTCATGATGACGAGCAAGTCTTAGGCCTGTTCGATGCCCAGCCACTTGCTGGTGGAGGATCCAAGATCGCCAAGTTCCTGTATGACAACTTCAAGAATCGCTTCGCCGATGAGCTGGACCGCTTGCGACCGAACGAGAACCCAGTCGATGCTTTGCGACGTACTTACCTGGGTCTCAATAAGGAATTAGCAACTGCTGCCTCCCAGTCCCTAGACCACAACGCATACACACCGCCAACGCAGCCTAGAGGTGCTGTGCCCGAGCTTGGGGATGATGATCTTACCTCTGGATGCGTCGCCACAGTCATGTATCTGAAGGAAATGGAGCTCTACATGTCCAACGTTGGCGATGCGCAAGCACTGTTGATCCGTTCAGAAGGTGGACACAAGATCCTTACACGCAAGCACGACCCTGCTGAGCCCAGCGAGCGCGCCAGGATTCGAGAAGCTGGAGGTTTCGTCTCACGGCAAGGCAAGCTGAACGACGTTCTTGAGGTGTCACGAGCTTTTGGCTACGTACAGATGTCTCCATCTGTCATAGCGTCGCCGCACATCATCAACCTCACACTCGGTGACACAGATGAGATGATCCTTGTAGCTTCTCGAGAACTGTGGGAGTACCTCACACCGGACTTTGCTGTTGATGTGGCACGATCTGAGCGCAACGATCTTATGCGAGCTGCGCAAAAGCTTCGAGATCTCGCGATCGCGTTTGGTGCTACAAACAAGATCCATGTCATGCTGCTTGGTGTCAGCGACCTCAAGAGCAAGCAGAGGGCCCGGTTTCGCACGCACAGTATGTCCATGGGACCTACCGGCTCGCCGGATGACTTCGCTATCAATCGCAGACCAGGGAAGAGGGCCAGGAACATGGTTGGTGATTCGAAACTTGCTCGCCTCGATCAAGAGGTAGATGCACCAACCGGCGAAGTCAGCTTGGTGTTCACAGATATCAAGAGCTCGACTTTGCTTTGGGAGACCTACCCCATCGCCATGAGATCCGCAATCAAGATGCACAACGAGCTGATGCGTCGACAATTGCGCATCATTGGTGGATACGAGGTCAAGACTGAGGGTGATGCCTTCATGGTTGCTTTTAGAACCGTTACGTCGGCCCTTCTATGGTGCTTCACGATCCAAAGCCAGCTCTTGGAAGTGCAATGGCCGCAAGAGATCCTGAACAGCGTCAACGGCCAAGAGGTCGTCGACGCCGAAGGGAATGTCATCTTTCGTGGTCTCTCAGTTCGTATGGGTATCCATTGGGGTCGGCCTGTGTGCGAGGTTGATCCAGTCACTAAACGTATGGATTACTTTGGACCCATGGTCAACAGGGCGTCACGTATTTCATCGGTGGCCGACGGTGGGCAAATAACAGTTTCCTCCGATTTTATCGCCGAAATTCAACGTCTACTCGAAACTCACATCGAAGGCGACCGCAGCAATTCTACGGGCTCCGAAGAGGCGTATGGCGACGATGTTCACAGTCAGCTTATTAGGCAGGAACTCCGGTCTCTCAGCAGTCAAGGTTTCGAAGTCAAGGATCTTGGTGAGCGCCGCCTCAAAGGCCTCGAGAATCCTGAGTACATCTACTTGATGTACCCGCACTCGCTCGCTAGCCGTCTCATAATACAACGCCAGCATGAGCAACAAGAAGCACCGCCTGTCCAGGAACCATCCATTGGCCAGAAGATGCGGGATAGTCAGCTCACAATCGACACAGAAGACGTATGGGATCTTTGGAACATTAGTCTGCGTCTTGAGATGTTGTGTAGTACTCTTGAGAATCCCGAGAGTTCAGAGCTTAAGGCGCCTGAGACAGCATTGCTTGAGCGCATGAAGAACAAGGGCGGCGAAATTACAGATCGATTCTTGATCAACTTCGTCGAGCACCAGATCTCAAGGATTGAGGTATGTCCTTTTATGACATCGGACACGAACCATCAGCTAACATGTTTCGCAGTCTTGTGCTACTACACTCGCCCTACGACATATGATGCGGCCTTTCGGCTCCGCACCTTTGGTGCAACAAGCCTGCAATATGGGTGATATATTTTCTGAGCTCGAGGCAAAGTTGAAGCGCCTCGAACAATTCGAGCAAGAAGCAATGGCGGACATGGCCCCTGCATAAACGCATACGGATCACCAGCTTTCATGGCCTCGGCGAGCTTGTCGACACATGACGACAACGACACGGACACACATACGGTCCATCTTTACCTAATTACGTCTTCCGTACTCATCGAAGCGAACCAGCTTGGGCTTTGTACCATCACATCATTACACTACTTCCGTACTGCCCAGGTGGCGGAATACTCATGCTCATGACGCATTGCCTAGGGGCAACTGATAGTATACTTTGGCTTGTTTTGGCGTTTGGAGGTCGCTCTTTTGAAGCGGCGGTTGGTCATTCTGCGCACACTGGTGGCTATCATCTATTATTAGGCTACAATAGGACCGGAGGCATTGTCTTACCACGATTCCCTCACGGCCGCTGCCCCTTCGCGTTTGTGTTCTTTCGGACCTAGCACATGCAGTTTGATGGACTATCATCTAGCGAATATATTTCGTCGTCAGCTTGTGTTCATTCTCCTATTTTGGCCATTCGTACCAGTGCTCTTCTGTTGACAGCTGCAAGCAGAGACTGAGCTCAAGCTCAGAGAAGCTACCCCTCATGAGGTCACCACTCTCGTAAGCTGCCCCCACAAAATACGCAATCGACAGCTGCACTTGCACTTTACTAACACATGCAGTCATTTTCAGTCCTCTCTAAAACCCCAGCAAGTAGTCGTCTCGCACTTTTGACCAACTCGTTTCTGCCGTATCCCAGGTCAACTCCGAACCAGATGGCAAGAATGCCGACATCCTCGTTTCCACCACAAGAGCTCCGCGAAATTGTCAAGGAAGTAGCAACTCTGCTGAAAGACCGCAAAGAGACAATCTCTGTAGCTGAGACAGTAAGCAATACCACCAGTCCTCGCAGATCTTTAAAAAGAACAGCCACTAACTGACCCAGGCAGCAGGTGGCCTCATCTCCTCGTCCCTCCTCACCTTCCCCGGCGCCAGCACCTTCTATCGCGGTGGCCTAACGCTCTACACGCTCGAAAGCCGCAAAGCTTTCGTCGGCTGGACCGACGCAGATACTCAGAACTACAAAGGGCCGACCCCCGAAATCGTCACCAAGCTGGCAGATAACACCCGTAAAGCGCTCGGCAGCACGTACACGGTCAGTGAATCTGGGACTGCGGGTCCCACTGGCGGTAACACGAGGAATCGCACTCCTGGATATGTTGCGCTGGCTGTGAGTAGTGAGAAGGGGACGGTTACTCGGGAGGTCGAGACGGGGAGTAAAGAGAGGGAGAGCAATATGGTCAGGTTTGCGGTTGAGGGGTTGATGCTTGTGAGGGATGCTATCAAGGGCGAGAGTGGGGATAAAAGTAAGAAGAATGGGGGTGCTGATGTGCAGGAGGAAGGTGTGCAGCTTGTACCTGGCGATAAGAAGACGGACGAGGCTGCTATTGGTGCTTTTGCGAGCTGAAAGATGAGGTTGTGAGCAAGGCAAGAGAGTTCTCACAATTAAGCTGATTGGCACTATGATTCAGCTTTGCTTAAAACACTATCTTAGGCATTCAGGATTACCGATCCAATTCACGTTCGACTGTTTCCCGCTCTTCGTCACTCACAAGCTCGCACGCTTGGCTCCCAACCCCTGCAATACAGCAACGACCGCCAACGTAGTCGCCGTCGGTTTATCACCGCTCTGGAAATAGCTTCCCGCAGCACTAGCCAGGATCGCTACAAGCAAACCCGCAACGCTCTTGTCGTAAACATCAAGCAGTCCTGTCTGCGCCCACTTGTAGTTCAAGATCGCTTCAAGACGTTAGTTGAGTCTCACAAGGCTCCGAAGAATCACTGTGAGTGGGGAGGGGAAGAGCAGAGCGTACCCATTATGAGAAAGAATCCACTGCCTTCGTACCAACCTGCTTTCACAGCGCCCCGCAAGGCAGTGGGCAGAGCGCTGATGGAAGCGTGCTTGAATTGCTCAAGACCTTTGGTCTGTTATTCCATCAGCTATGAATTCCACTGTTGCGAAACCGCGGTCTTTGGAGGCGTACCGTGTGTCCGAGCGAAAGGACACCGTGAGCTACAGTCGCAGCGAGAAGAAGTGGATGTTTTGCAGTAGCCATTTTGGGTGTTGGTGTGCAAGGGTAGCTCTGTTCGTAATTTCCAGCTCTTAATTCTCTCGTAGACTGGAGTTCGAGGCTCTGTTTGAAAGTCAATGGCGTGAGCAAAGTCGGGATGGAGCGCGCGAGTCGATGCTCTTCACCAAGCAAGAGACCGAGGCCGAGGCCGAGGCTCATGCCGCTTCGGGCAAGATCCCCACTTCCACGGGGCTTAGTGCGGATCCGCTCTCACATCAGCCTCGCAGTCCAGCAACCAGAGCTTCGATTCGTTCAAACGATATTGGCATTGTAGTCGTAGGACTGCCGTGGATGGCATATCCTTCGTTAATACACTTAACCACTAACCACTGGGGGCCTTATAACCGCAAAATGTTTCAACATTGTCAAAGCGCTAAAACATATATTCACAGAAGTCCGTCACCACATCGATCAACGAGTTCCCCAGACCCACCATCGAGCAATTGAGACTATCTTTTATCCTCTGCTATTTGTCGTCGTCGTGGTTGACGCGAGACTCCTGGACGCTGTCTGACCGCTTATCCTTCCCATCCTCCTGTACAGGCACAGTCGCTGGGAGGACTCCTGTCGCAATAACATCAAGGTCAGAGGTGCCACCCGCAGCCGTCGCTGGAGAGTCGTATGGGCCAGCGCGATCCTCGCTCTTCGCTAGCTCTTCAGCCTTCTTCTCAGTCCAAGCAACGGCTTCGTGCACGACTGCCTTGACGCCTTCGACAACGTCTTCGACCACTTGCGCAACCTGTTCGACAGCTTTAGCTGGGGTTTCTGTACCGTTGTTATGCTGGCCAAAATTGGTATTGAGTCGGTTCAAGGCTGATCGAACCGGCTCGGCTTCTGGTGAAAGGGACTTCGGCTGTCAGACCCCGTTACGTGAATATAAGGCAGCGCTCAAGCTTACGTCTTTCTTTTTTCCCTCCATGTTCGGTGTCTCGTTTTTAATTGTGTCTCCTTGATTAGCTGTCGCAGCCTCAAGTGCTCCAGGGCGTGTGCTTCGCGTTGCGAAAGCGTCGAGGGCCTCCGGCTTGATGACCATAGCACTCTCCTCAGACGGTGAGTCTAATGACTTCTGGCACAAAGTTGGGCTTGTAAGACGGTATTCGGACCTGTGAAGTTGTTCATTGATGAGGCGTAGGGCGAAGACATGTTGCTAATTGTTTGTGGCAGCTGCACCGCTGATCTGCCAGTTCCCTTGTCTGTTTGTTTGCTTCCTTGTAAGAAAGCGACGTCATGGCAACTTGATCCTAAGCAAGGGCGGCTCATTGCATGGATCTTTCTCTCATGTCCTCACAGCTTATCGGGCAGCTGTAACCATGGGGGTCGCTAGCACTACAGAAGAAAGCCTCCACACGGGCGTTTCGAGGCAGTCAATGTTTCACAAGAAGCAGGGACTGCATACAGATCGAGGGACAACGGCTTGATTGAAGCAAGAAGAATTACTTAGCAGACCAGCTGCGGTGAATGGAGAGGACACGATCATGCCTGAAATGCTTGAGCTTTTCCCCGACGGGAATCCTCGACCTGCCCTCGCCACTCGATGACCACATCTTTCTGGCTTGGTTCACCAGTTCTTGACTGCTCCTCGCGGCCCCAAAGCTCCTTGTGTGTGTACTGCCTCCCATTCGCCGGTGTCAAGCGTTGCACCGACCTTCTGCTGGGCGTACTCGATGCGTCCTCGCTATCGTCACCACTGCCTGTACGACTAGGGAGATTAAGAAAACGACTCCATGCCTGCTGGGAGCTCTCCAGTGTGCTACTTGCACGGATGGTACGTAGTACAGCCGAGCTGCTGATGAGTTGGCATTGCAGCATCGTAGTTTGTAGTGTGTTGATACTTTCCTGTAGCACACCGATGGCGTCTCTGACTGGTGAATTCATCTCACGGTGCCAAGCGCGACCAAGCGATGTAAGGCTGGTACTCAGGTTGGGTATGGCTGAGACGTAGTCAATGTACGGGGTCGAGAGATCCGTAGTGGCGTTGTCGAGACTAGGCGTACTTGTCGGGAGCGTAGATGGGAGGACCATGCTAGAGGTCAATGGCAGAGTGGGTGTTGGCGGCGACGGTACAGAGGTGTTGAGAGCTGGGTCAGTCGTAACGTTTGCAGGGTTCAACAAGGCGGTCTGGGCGAGCATCAGCAATAGTTACGAAGACCTGTGGGGGCATTTCAACCTTGTTTGTATCGACCTGGAACTTAAATTGCAAGATTGTACTTGTGATGTTGTTGATGAGGTCGGCGGTACCCATCTGACTGCTGCTGCCGAACAAGCCCCAGCCTCTATTGGGATTCTGGAGGTCGCCAATGGTGCTTGCCGCCAAGTTGATGATGATCCTCAGATCAGTAAGTTCTTGTACAGCCGGTGTGGCCATTACAGCGGGTGCGAGGATGATGCCGGTAACGAGCATGGCGACGTGGCTGTACGCAATAAACATGTTGATGCTGACTGACGATAGAGAGACGTATCGTCAAGCCAGATGGTGACGGATTTGAGGTGGAGATGGAACAAAGCGATGTTGGTCGCTAGGTATACTCTAGGTAAAGGTGTTTGTGGGTGGTGTTCAGAGGTGGTACACTCGAGATGGTCAGTTTTGAGCAACTACTAGCGCTTTCGCGGCTGAGGCAGTAACAACATAGGTAAGGAGCGATTGCCCGGACCCATGTGATGTAGTTACCTTGCTATCTGATGTCGCAGCTTCCATCTCCATAGGACAATGGCCATTCGAGTCTTTGAGACATCGGCCGATGTTTGCTTAGTGTAATACTGACTACAGATTAGCTGGATATTCCGGAAGACTATGCATAGGTTCGAGTGACCTTAACATCAGAAACCACCTCGGTCATTTCGTGCAGCAGCTTGGGCCTTTTCATACGCCCGCCACCACAATCCAACGTTGGTTGCTACCAGTAAATCCATCATCTTCAGACCTTCATCTTCAAGGATGATCTTGCCCAGCTTAGCTTGCTTGCCACCGAAGCCACCTCCTGCGAACTCTTGACCAAGAGTCAAGTCCATACGATCTAACGAGTCCCTTGCATCGTCTGTCCCACCATCACGGTTTACCGAGACAAAAGAGTTATTGCGACTATGCCGCCCCCGCTTAAAGAAAGATGATCGCTTTGATGTCTCTTCCCTGGGCGATGGTGCTGTGTTCGAACTTGGAAGGTTGAATCTCAACTCGCTCACAGTCGCTGCTGCAGGCGGTGCACCTTGCAAACCGGGAATGAGGTGTCGGCACTGGAGATAGATTATTTGATGTAATATACGAATGAAGTCCAATCTGCTCACCTTCAATGTGCCACCGCTTGCGCCAGTGACAAACTCGCAGCGTCCGTTCCACGGGCTCGTGAACACATACCCTCGGAAATTGGACTGTCGCTCCGAGACTTGGAGTGTCCCATATGTTTGATCGTCTCGGGTCAAGAACGAAGGTGAAGGGGATGATTGATCGACGGACAGTCTATCAACATAGTTGCCCCTGGAAGTAGGCCTGCTAGGGGTGCGATCATACGAGCCGCTTTTGCGGTGTCCGAATCCACCGCCCAAATGCGATCCTTCCATCCACAAGCGACGGCGAAAGACGTTTTCACTCTTTAACGATAGTTCGTGCGGGGCGTCTACGCTCGGACGCGGTGGCGCATTTGATGGTTGATAGGATCGTGCTGACATTTCGCTGGTCCGAGAGAACAATGGAGGCCTGGTACCTGCATCTGAATGAAGAAACTTGGAATACCCAGGGTTTGAGATCTCGATGTATAGTGGGGCGCCGGGCTTTCTCTCAGACAGCCCGTTGGACGATACGCCCGTGATGGTAGGGTCGTCAATGCGGGCGACATTCCACTGAGCACCAGATACCGGATCTCGTCGAATAAGAGTTAGCGAGATACCAGTGGGGTTTGAGCCAACACTCGGTCTTCGTGGCTGAATTGGCGGTATGTCATTCTCAGTCTGCGATCTGCTCGAGTCATAAGATCCACGAGGTTCGTATGCAGGAGTCAGCACTCCAGGCCCTTGAGCATATTGGCCGGCGCTGGCATTTTGTCTGCTCTCAAAGTTTGCGATCGGAGTCAGTGTTCCAGGTACTGGCTTTCGCGCTGGTGCAGCTGAGGGAGTATTTGGAACAGCCTTGCGCTGAATAAGTGGCGCAGATTCTCGGTTCACAGGACTGGATCGCTGTTCGGGGTAATTTGGATCTTGAAATTCCGGATAGTTGAGGCGACTGACGTCTTGAGGGTGCTCAACGTGAACAAAGTACAGAGAACTTGTGATATCTTCCGCGGTGACCACCTTCTCGCGGGGCTTCATGGGAGAAAGGAAAACGTCTACGAGAACATTAGACACTATCAGGCACATGCAGCTCAGGCTTCCTCACCTTTGCTGCCTGGCACACGAGCAATGTAGAGCACTAACGGCTCGTGCCTCATATGTGTTGGATTTCTAGGATATGCTGGTGGGTTCGATGCAAGCGCTGTGAGTGATGAGAGAGATTTTGCTTCAACAGCCGTGGACGACATTGGAGCGAAAGACTAGAGCAGCGGAGCAAGCGGAACGATGGAGATGTGACTGTTGCGGACTTGACACGCGCCGCGGAGGGCAGGCAATGTTAGCTTGCAGATCATGTATGAGGCAAAGCAGCTGAGGTTGTGCTTGCGTTTGCTTTGGGTGGCTGTGCATGCGCCCTCAGATTTCTCGTGCCCAGCGAATGTGCGTGCAGTACATGAGCAAGGTATGAGCGAATCCGAGTCAGTCGGCCAAGAACATGGTCACAATGTAGACGATGATGCCGGGAGCCCAAACCTGGGCATGCGATTGCGGCTAATAGGTCTCTTGGGCGAGGTTGGGGTCCCTCTGGGTGTGGGTCCTTCGTCCGTGCGAAGGCGGTGGGAAGGAACACTCTCGTAGCGGCGACAGAAAAATAAGGTGCATCCGCCAAGAGTTCGGATTTCATCGAATTCGCACTGCACACACGACTTCGCCGCTGCGACTTTCCACGCCGACGTCACGGTCTGCAGAACAAAACCACACTGACTGAATACTACGGCCACGTGGACTCTGCTTCTCGTGTCAATATGCCGGACGATCTTGAGGTATGCTGCAGAAAGGCGCCCCTGCACCATTCTTGCCGCTAACTGAGAGCTCTAGTCGAGATTGAAGAGCCACGCCCGGGCCTTTGAAGGGCTGATGTCGCTGATCCCAGCCAAAGAGTACTATGGCAAGGACGAGAGTATCACGAGTGTATGCATCGCCGCGCTAGCGCCACCAGCTTTTCGCTGACATGCTTCGTAGACACAATGGCAAAAGAAGAAGAAGCAGACCACAGAGGAGCGTCAGGCTGCAAAGCGAGCGAAGCTAGATCCTGCATCACACAAGTCCGCCCAGGATGTTCTCGACGAAAATGCACGCAAGCGAAAGCGCGAACTCGAGGGCGAGGCCGACGACGACGCGGTCTCTGAGGCGCCGTCTTCAGACCTCGACATGGACATCGTAAAAGAGACACCGCTCGAAGGGATAAAGAAGGCCAAGAAGCAGAAGACAAAGAAGGAGACCGAGGCCGTACCTGAAGAGATTGTGAAGGAAGGCCGCACATTAACGAAGGCTGAGATCAAGGCACAGCAGAAGAAGGAAAAGAAGAAGGAGAAGGCAACAGCAAAGAAGAACAAGGAGGAATCGCGAAAAGCGGCACAGGTCGAGTTTAAGGAAGGTCTCACTGCGCCTAAAGAGTCCAAGAAGTCCAAGCAAGTCGAGGTTGATGAAGACGAAGACAACGAGGAAGACGATGGCCTTGAAGATCCCGAGGATCGCATTGAGGCCCTCGACGTCAGTGGACTCGTCGATGTTGAAGAGGGTCAGTCCACCGCCCCCACCACTACTGCAAATTCCAATACCTCAGCAGCGTCCGATGCCTCATCATCAACCCCAGTCCCAGAAGAAGCACCTACCAAGAAGGACGTAAAGAAGGAGAAGAAGCCGCTGCAGATCGACGAGAAGAGCCAAGAAGAGTTCCGCGCACGACTAAATGCCAAGCTTGAGGCAATGCGCGCAGCGCGCAAGGCGGATGGACCTGATGGGCGACCTGCAAAGAACCGCGCTGAGCTCATCGAGGCTCGACGCAAGAAGGAAGCGGCACGCCAAACTGTAAAGAAGTCCGCTCGCCAGGACGCCAAGGAGGACGAGGCGCGCGCAAAGGCAGAGGAGCAGCTTGCACGGATAAGAGGTGGATCGGGGTCGCCATCCATCTTCCCCGCCAGGTCACCAGAGCACGAGCGCAGCTTCAACTTTGGCCGCGTCGCTTGGGAAGATGGCCAAGAGCTAGAAGGCGGGCTTTCCAAATTCCTCGAATCGCGCAAGAAGAAGGGCAAGTCCGACACCAAGACAGCGCTCGAAGCCGCGCAGAAGAAGCAAGCACGTATCAACGGCTTCGACGAGGCCAAGCGCAAGGACATCCAAGAGAAGGACCTCTGGCTCAACGCGAAGAAGCGTGCGCAGGGCGAGAAGGTCTTCGATGATGTCAACCTACTGAAGAAGAGCTTGAAGCGTCAGCAAAAGCAAAAGGATAAGAGCAAACAGGAGTGGAAGGAGCGCCTCACAAATGTCGCCGATGGCAAAGAGAAGAGGCAAAAGAAGCGCGAGGAGAACCTCAAGGCGCGGAGAGACAGCAAGGGCGTCAAGGGCAAGAAGAAGGGCGCGCCGAAGAAGGGTGGCAAGAAGCCTGCTAAGAGACCGGGCTTCGAGGGGACATTCAAGGGTAAATAAATGACAGATCTGGGCTAGGACGAGTTGTGTATGATGGGGGAAACCAAAAAGGGAACGTTTGGAAACATCGCATTTGCGCGTTAGCAATATCTGGGAGGCATTTTGGCGTTTGATATCCCATACAGTGGCTGGCATTGTCTGGGCGTCAGGGAGTATGTGTAGCGATTGAATACTGTGACGTCCTTCAAGACATACACATGACGAATTATTCCAGCCTGAACCTTGTGCTTATCGACAAGACAATCCCACGTTCATATCAACTGAGTGTTCGCTTTGTTGAACTGGAAATTGAGGTTTACTCTTGTACAATCACGGTACAATCACAAAGGAAACCAAATGCTGAGCTAGACATGACCACTCTCCTACTATATACAGATCCTGAGCACTATCCCCTCTTTTGCTGCTGCTCTTCGTTATCTGTAAGGCGCGTCCGCGCGGGCAGCGGCTGCGATCTCAGGCTCCCACTTATCGCCGTTGGCCAACAGCTTCTCCTTGTTGTACAGGAGCTCCTCTCGTGTCTCGGTGGCGTACTCGGCGTTGGGGCCTGCATCATCATTAGCAAAGTGTCCGGCTCGAAAGTCAAGATTGGGAAGATGGCGTACCCTCGACAATGGCATCGACGGGGCAAGACTCCTGGCAGAGACCGCAGTAGATGCACTTTGTCATGTCGATATCGTAGCGCGTGGTCCTCCTGCTGCCGTCCATACGCTCCTCAGCCTCGATTGTGATGGCCTGCGCTGGGCAGATAGCCTCGCAGAGCTTGCAGGCAATGCAACGTTCCTCGCCTGTCGGGTACCGTCTCAGGGCGTGCTCGCCACGGAAGCGGGGGGAAATGGGGCCCTTCTCGAAGGGGTAGAAGATGGTGTATCTAAGGGAGGGTCAGGACCAGCATCCCCGGCGCTCTCTGCAGACAGAGAGCATCAATTGAGCACTTACGGGGGCCTGAAAAACTGCTCCAGCGACACGTACATGCCGCGGAACATCTCCATGAGCAAGAAGTACTTTCCGGCCTTGTCCAGCGCCGACTCGCCCTCGTCCCACTTCTTCTGGGGCGGTAACCGGAATCCAGGCGGGGGAGGTCCAGCGGGCGTGGCGGCGCGCGGGAAGGTTGTGCTGAAGAAGGCGACGGTGGCGGGCGAGGCGAAGCGTGGAGCGAACTGCGACTGCCTGAGCAGTGTGGTGGCCGATGGGCCACGTGCCAGCATCGTCAATGGCTTGGTGCTGGCCATCGTGGGCGCGTGCGGGTTGTGTGGGCGGCGGTGGGAGAGGTCGAGCGGGCGGACAATTGTGAAATGTGAGGTCGCAAGCTTGAACGTCGATGTCGAAGTTGAAACGAGCCCGCTGTGATTGGCCGAATGCGGGGGCAACGGCGATGTAAAGAGAGGCAAATCTGGGGTATCAAAGAGGGGTGGAAAGGATCTGATGCACTTGTTGAGCCGGTCAGCAGCTTCGACCGGTCCTTCCTCCCGAGTTTGTCACGCTCTTGCCGTGTGTTGTTGTGTCGTTCTTGCCGTCATCAGAGCTGCTTAGTCACGTGCATCTCGGAAGCTTTCTTTGCAAGTCGTCTAGCATCATCACTACCACCTCCCACCCCGACCCATCGCCCCTCGACACGTTCGCGCCCACCCAACATGTTCCGCACAGCTCTCCTCAGGTCCTCTAGGTCCGCCGTCCGCGCCGCTCCCCGCTGCCAGGCCTCAATTGCCCGCCCGGCGCGCGCCTTCGTCCAGCCCAAGCAGATCACTCCCGCCGCATACTTCCAGGCCGTCCGAAGCTACGCCTCCAGCGCTGGTCTGTCGAACGATGAGGTCCAGGGCAGGATATTGGACCTCCTGAAGAACTTCGACAAGGTACGGCGATGCGGCGCTGCGATGGAATGCAGGGCAGCACAGCTAACGAACGCGCAGGTCCAGGACGCCTCGAAGGTAGCCACCAATTGAGATGCACGGCGCAGCAGGACGCAGACTTACATGTTGCAGCTCAACGGCGAGTCGCACTTCCACAACGACCTCGGTCTTGACTCTCTCGACACGGTAGAGGTCGTCATGGCGATTGAGGAGGTTAGTCGCATGGGACAGTAGCCGCGCAGGACAGCGCTGACAGCAGCACAGGAGTTCAGCATTGAGATCCCAGACAAGGAGGCCGACGCCATCCACAGCGGTAAGCATGGCTCTTGCGTGCTGCCTGGGCATATACTGATGATATCACAGTCAAGCAAGCAGTGGAGTACATTCTCCGCCAGCCCGATGGTGAGCCAAGCCGCGCTGCAGGCTGTGTGTGCGAATGCTGACAATGTTATAGCCCACTAAATGGCAATGGAGCGAATGGAGCGCGGGTGCTGCGATGAAGATGAGTGCAGTGGAATTGGTCCGTCGATATCGCCGGCATTGTTATATATTTCCCTGCGTGTAAAACAGCTCTGGGATGGCAGCAGGTACTTTTGACAGAACTAGGCCATCCACTTTCCAATGCGACTCCCCGCCACGTGCATTTGACTTGTATGATGTGCATGTGTTGTGCTGTGTTGTGCGGGAGACATGTCGGAGCCCGCGTGGCTCCGCTGTCGCGACTCGCAGGTGCTTGAGCAGCTGGCTGCACGCCGTGACACGAGGAACAACCATCTCCACTGTCCTATTACACGCCCACTCCAGACACCCCCTATCGCTGCGCCCCGGCCCTGCACCGCTCCCGCGCACCGCCCGCCCGCCTCGCAAACGCCGCAGGTCGCTGGACCGCAATCTTGAAAGTGACGCGCATGCGCCCGAGCGTCGCCAGCTGAGCCATCGACACAAGAGCGCCCGCCCACAATTTCCAGGAAACCCCCCACCCGCTTCCCAACCACACGCGATGGCTTCGACGTCCGGCGTGGTGCGCCGGCGAGGCGCTGGTGCGGCGACTGGCAGCACCGAGGACGAGGGCAGCCGCGTGGCTTCCCCTGCGCCCCGGAGCGACCGCGACCGCGCGCCCGAGACGTCCTACGAGAACTCGGAGAACGGCCACAAGATTGCGTTTGACCCGCGGGACATTAGCGAGAATGCCGAGCGCAGCAAGCAGCCGAAGCTGACGCTCATGGAGGAGATCATCCTCATGGGCCTGAAGGACAAGCAGGTGCGTGGCCACGGGCTGGGTCCCGGCACCAAGGGCGCAGGCTGATACGTGAGGCTAGGGCTACCTTTCCTTCTGGAACGACAACATCTCATATGCACTGCGCGGATGCATCGTCATAGAACTGGCCTTCCGGGGCCGCATAAGCATGCAGAAGGACTCGTCGCGGCGGCGCTTCCCGCTCGCGGACCGGGTCATTGAGGTCATCGACGACACGCTGACGGGGGAAGTGCTGCTGGACGAGGCCTTGAAGATGATGAAGTCGAGCGAGAAGATGAGCGTCAACTCGTGGATCGACCTCATGAGCGGTAGGTGCGGCGGGTGTTGCTGCAAGCGCTGCGACTGACGAGCACAGGCGAGACTTGGAACCTCATGAAGATTGGCTACCAGCTCAAGCAAGTCCGCGAACGCCTCTGCAAGGGCCTCGTCGACAAGGGCATCCTGCGCACCGAGAAGAAGAACTTCCTGCTGTTCGACATGGCCACACATCCGGTAGCAGAGGGCGCAGCAAAAGACGAGATCAGACGCCGGGTACGCAACCTTCTTACCAACCGCACCGTTGTCCTTCCTGGCAGCCAGTTCCTCCCCGAAGAGCTGGAGTTTAGGACCCTCCGCACTGTCACAATGGTCTGCGCCGCCTACGCCGCGAACGTGCTCGAGAACGCTCTCACCACCCTGGGACACGAGGCGAGGGAACGCGCTTTTGCTCAGGTCGACGAGCTGCTGGCAGAGTACTCGCAATGGCCGTTCGCCAGGAGAGCGGGCGGTGGCCAGGGCGTAGGTGCCAACCTGGGCCAGCTGATCAGCGACGAGATCAGCGCCGGCAAGGACAGGGAGCTGCAGATGGAGGTTCGTCCAGCTTGCTCAATCCGAGAAGTGACATTGCTGACTGATCCATAGGTGGTGGCCGCGTGTCTGAGTGTCTTCACAAGGCTTGACTCTCTCCTCTGATCCGCATCAGTCGTTGCAGTAATTAACTCGATCAAGGTGCTCGCTCTCAGCCTTCCGCCCAGAGACTTCCGTGGCTTATGCGGGAATCGGGGGCGCCAGATACATAGCAGAGACCATAGGGACCAGACTCGGACCCCGATCATGATGGTGTTTCTATATGGGTGCGGTCTCTTCGTTCATAGCGTTCTGTCCGCGGCAAAACGGTCTGGGGGACACAGGCATCAGGCTTTGGGCTGTACGGTAGCAGCTTCTTCTTATGAAAGCGTTTAATCCAGACTGGACACCGTTATGATAAGCCATTCGAACACAGAAAGGGCCGGAAGCAGCCGCTCTTTATGAAGGCGTTTAATCCAGATTGGACACCAATGTGCCGTCAAATCTCACTTGGACTCGCTGCTCCTGCACTCGACTCAGTCTCGCACACGTGTCTTGGCGCTCACGTGAGTGCATGTTGACGTGCAGATTAGCAGACACAACAGAATGGTGGAGGAAGCAATTCTTAGCACGATTCAGGTGGTCTGCGCTGGGATACACCAGGGCGCAGGTCGCTAGCTGCAGGCAGAGGGCCGTTGGCAGCCGCCTCAAGAAGCTATGTACCGAGGAGCGGTGTCGCCGATTCGGGCGTGCCAACACCGATTCAACTCGTGACCGCCCGATCGGCAAGACGTGCTCAGCCATACAGAGGCCCAGCCGCGTGACGACGCGCAGAGTGCATGCTCCGTAAGTGTGTAGGTGTGTAGGTGTGTGTTGCGCCCTTCCCCCCGTCGCGACGCTCTGCTGGCGCTGGTGTGGTGTTGCTATCGCAATCTATGCCGTCGGCGGCCCCTGTTGCGGCGACGGCATTCGCTCCCAACGCCCACTAACCTCCCGCAGCCGCATGCGCGCACCAGCCCAGCCCTCTGACCTCGACCTCCCATCCACGCCATGCCCTCTCCCTCCGGCGCCGACGCACCGACATCGCAGGACCTATCCCAATCGCAGAACGGCGCGTCCTCGTACCAGAACGGCGCGGTCCAGCCGCCCTCGGATGCGTCCTCAGCCGCCTCGAGCTTCGATGCGCCGGGCGACCACAACGCGATCCGTGACGGCAAGCACAAGGCCAAGGCTGTCCTCGCCGCCTCGGGCGTGAACATGGACTCCCCCGGCGCCGACGGCGTCAACGGCGCGTCGCGCAAGCGCTCCCACTCGGGCTCGCGAAAGCCCTCGACGGCCGTGGCCCACGACCTCACCGACGGCCAGAAGCTGGAGCAGACGGCGCTGCTCAACCGCTACATCGCCCGCGACTTGCTGGACAGCGTCAACAAGCACGAGCGCAGCAAGTACTCGGAGAAGGTCTACGGCGAGCTGAACGACCTGCGCGACTTCTACCGCGAAGAAGTCTTCCCCGTGCGCCGCCAGAACCCCGGCGCCATCTTCGGATCTGGCTACGCTGGCTACGGCAATGGAGTCACCGATGTCCCCTCGAACGCGCGCGACCCACGGTCGCAACTGCCGCATCTCCTGTATCCCGGCCAGGCCAAGCGCGCTGGACGCCGTGCTGCGCCGCAGCTGAAGGTGGACCGCGAGAAGTGCGGACAGCAAGCCGAGCAGGTCGAGGAGCTGGTCCCTGTGCGTCTGGAGATTGAACTGGATCGCCTGAAGCTGCGCGACACGTTTACATGGAACCTCCACGACCGCCTCACGGACCCTCTGCTTGTCGCACGCACGCTCGTCGAAGATTTCCAGGTCCCGCCAGAGCTGCAGCAGAACATCATCCACCAGGTCAACCGCGAGATCCACGAGCAGATCCAGGACTACTACCCCCATGCCTTCTTCGACGACGAGCCGCTCGATCCCTCGCAGCCGTACTCGGCATACAAGAACGACGAGATGCGCATCTTGATCAAGTTGAACATCACCATCGGACAGCACACTCTGGTGGACCAGTTCGAGTGGGAGATCAACGACGCCTTGAACTCGCCAGAGCAATTCGCAAGACAGATGGCCGCCGATCTCTCTCTGAGCGGAGAATTTGTGACAGCGATTGCCCACTCGATACGTGAGCAGTGCCAGATGTTCACAAAGAGTCTGTACATTACAGGTCATCCCTTTGACGGGCGACCGGTGGAAGATACAGACATCCAAGACAACTTCCTTGCGTCACCACTACCGTCGGTCTTTCGACCCATGCAGTCGACCAAGGACTACCAGCCATACCTATACGAACTCAGCCACGCCGAGTTGGAGCGAGCAGAGCTCTCCATACTGCGTGAACAGCGGCGTCAGAAGCGCTCTGTCAACCGGCGTGGAGGGCCTGCGTTGCCAGATCTCAAGGACCGACAGCGGACGGTTCGCACTCTTGTCGTTTCTTCTGTTCTTCCCGGCGCCGCCGAGACACTGGAAGAAAGCCATCTTTTCAAGGCTACACGGAAAGCGAGAGAAGGCCGGAGACGCAATGCTGATGATGATTCGGACGACTCTGACAGCGACGATTCTATCATGGACTCGCCCGCACCAGCGGTGCCTACCGGTGGAACCGCACGAACAAGAGGTATGCGTGGAGCTGCAGTGTCGGCGCAAGCAGCAATGAGGTCGGCCATTGGGCGATCAGCAACTCCAGAGGTTGCTCAGCTTCAACATGATGTCGTCCAGCAGCGCTCGACAAGAGCTCAGAGATACGAGGCACGTGAGGAAAGCGTACCTGAGTCGAGCACGATGATCGTCAAGCTCCGCATTTCTTCTTCGAAGCTCCGAGAGTTCCAGAGGAACCCCAGGGCGTTTGCGAAGCCTGCGTCCACGCCGATGATGGCACCCACTTCTCTTCCTGCACGAGGTACACCGACGAACTCCATGCCTCCGCCCCCTTCGCCAGCCATGGCACCGAGCTCAAAGCCCGCCGAAGCTTCCCCGCGACTACCTCCAACGCCTACACCGAAGCCACAGCCGAAGCAGTGGCAGCACAAGCCTGATGGTTCACTCGATGCGACATGGCCAGCGCCAGCCCAATCACAAACAGTAGGTGATTCTACAGAGTATACATGCATGTAAACTAACATTTCCAAGCCGCCTCCTCCAGCATGGGTGCAACAAGCCCTCCAAGACCTCCGCGACCGGAACCCCGACCACAAATTCGAGTCCATTATGCGCTATGTCATCATGAACGAAGCCCACGAGAACCGCGAGACCGGCAAGACCGAGCCCAAGGCTGTCAAGCTTGATGGTCTCTCCCTCAGCGATCCCCTCCCGGCGAACCACAAGGCCTACTATCTCCCAAGGATACGCTGCCAGGACTGTCCCGGAAAGCTCTACAATGCAGGTCCAGGGCAGACAGTGACGAACTTTGAGTTGCATCTGAAGAACAGGCAGCACATGAGCAATGTGTCCAACAGGATCGGGCGACCCGTTTCGTAGAACGGGCTGCTGCGAAAAGATGCCTGCCTACGCGCGGGAGTTTGACAGTGACAGCAAGAATTGGATTTCGACATTGGCAAGGATACGCCATGATCTTTTGTATAAACAGCGAATCATTGGGAGCATGTGGAGATGCGTGGAAAAATTGGCGTCTTTCTTGGGAGGAGCATTGCTTGTCTGGCACAGGTCACTTGGTCCACAGAATGCGCAGAGAGGCCTTCTTTGGAAGTTGCAAGTAGAGCTGCCACTGCGCAGCAAGTAAGTAGACACGAAATGTACTTGTTTATATCCTTAAGCGCTGTTTCTTTTTTAAAGACGGACTCTCCAAATCATTGTACAGTCCTGATCGAGACTAACAAGCACTAGCCAGCGGTCACAGCATCGCGACTGCCTCCATACACCCTCATCGAATCAGCACAGCACCTCGGTCCTCACTGATGTGCGGGGCACAACGTCGCCTCCGTCCATCACCAAGCCCGTTCCACATCGATCCTTCGAACAACATTCCTTCCTTCTTACCACACTCCTCGCCCTCGCCATGAAAGCTCACGCCGCCCTGCCTATCCGCATCCTGACCCACAACATCCGTTACGCCACCAAGTCACCCTTCAAAGGCGAGAAGCCCTGGTCCGACCGAAAACACCTCATCGTGAACGAACTCAAATACACAACCGCCCACAACCCAGAAGCGTTCATCTGTCTACAAGAAGTCCTACACGGGCAGCTCATCGACATCCTCTCCGGCCTCAACAGCACACCCTCCTCCGCAGCGCTCCCAGCCCAACCCAGAGACCCATCTATAGATGGCGAGAAGAGCAAATACGAGTGGACATACATAGGCGTGGGCCGCGATGACGGCCTCCAGGCCGGAGAATACAGTCCCATCATCTACCGGCCCGCGATCTGGAAACTTGATCGCTGGAAATCCGTCTGGCTCAGCCCCACGCCCGACCGACCCGGGAAAGGCTGGGACGCGGGGAGTGTGCGCATTGTGACTGTCGGCCACTTCACGCACCAGGGGAGCAAGAAGAGCGTTGTGGGGCTGTGTACGCATTTCGATGAGCAGGGGGAGGTCAGTCGGCGGGAGAGTGCGAGGATAATCCAGGGGATTGTTCGGGATGCTGGAAAGGAGCCGGTATGGCTCGCTGGCGATCTGAATAGTGAGATGGATGGTGAGGCGTATCGGAATCTCAATGGGGAGGAGAGTACACTGGGGGACGCGAGGGGCGAGGCAAAGTGGAGATATGGGAATGAGATTACTTGTACGGGGTTTCAGCAAGAGGAGATGACGGTCATTGACTACGTGTTCGTCAGCAAGCAGGGATGGAGCGTCGAAGGGTTTAGTGTGTTGCCGAATCGATTTGAGGATGGTGTGTATAGCAGTGATCATCGGGCGGTGGTGGTTGATGCTGTTCTGAATATTTGACGGGGAGTGAACGGGAAGCAGACTTCTGGAAAGGTTGGAACAGTTGACCAATCTTCCCATCTATACGTGTCTTATCTTGCACCCAGATGTCATCTTGCCCTGTTTCGGATTCTAGGGACTAAATGTCTTCCTACTCGCTAACATCATCTTCACACTGATTGTGTGTATCTATTGATGTTGCTGTTACTTGTTGGTCGTTTCCCTTCTTGTGGTCGCCGTTGATAGAAAACAACATAGATGGCGATTGTGAACGACGAGTCGAAGTCGAAGTTCTAGTCCTCTAGAAAGAAGCAGCCGCAGCTCAACTATTTGTCGATGCTGGCTTGACGGAGCCTGGCCGATCTCAGTCTGTGCAAGGTGTCTATTTCTATGTCGTCTCCTCTCCACATTGGGCATCATTGTTTGGTACACAACAAGAGGGTCTGACGTCCCTGAAGAATGCTTTCGGCAACCTGAACCCTATCACCCAGCATTCGCTCGGAGTCGCCCACAATGATCTCACCATATCGCCGTCAGACGTTCCCATGCCCGACTTGGTCTTGGGTCTCCATCTTTGTGCTCAAGATGCACTGTCAGGCACCGTCGTCATTGGTGTCTAAGCGAGCGGACCCCTCAGTGGGGCACTCAGAAACAACAGCTACCGCTCACCACACCTCTTTCTGGCATCCACCTCGATCCCCAGTTTACTCAGCAAATAATCATCATGGCTGAGGCACAGGCAGTCGGTAAGCTCAATAGATCCCCTTGGAATCGGCGCAAGCATCTCAAGACGCGCATTCCTGCACACAGAGCTTAACGTTTAGCTCTGCTGAAGAAGTACGCTGCTAACCAACCACGACAGACTACACGCTCGCGAACCCGGATACCTTGACCAAGTACAAGGTCGCCGCCGATATCTCCCAGAAGGTTCTCAAGGAAGTCTCCGGTGCGTAACGATACCTCGAACCCACGTGCCGACCCTGCGACGATCGTGTGACTCGAAAGACGCAGAAATTGACTTTTGCAGGATGGATCTCTGAGGGTGCCAGCATCGTCGAGCTCTGCGAGCGCGGTGACAAGCTCCTCGACGAGGAGGTCGGCAAGGTCTACAGGGGAAAGAAGATCGCCAAGGGAATCGGACACTGCACCACCATCTCTCCCAGCTCCTACGTCACACCCTACACTCCTCTCAAGTCCGATGCTGAGGAGTCTGAGACCAAGCTGAAGGCCGGCGAGGTTATTAAGATCCAGCTCGGTGCTCAGATCGATGGCTTCGCTGCTATTGTCTGCGACAACGTCGTTGTTGGCGGCGAGATCACTGGCGAGACCGCTGATCTTCTGCTGGGTACATACTACGCAAACGAGCTCCTCCTGCGGTTGATGGTTCCTCCTGGGCTTGTCGCTCATGGTGATGAGGAGGAACAGAAGAAGAACGCCGCTCGCAAGCCATACACACAGAGCCAGATGACCCAGATGCTCGAGAAGGTCGCTAAGGCCTACGGCCTCAACGTCGTCGAGAGCACCACCATCTGGCAATTCGAGCACAACGAGATCGAGTCCAAGAAGAAGATCATCCTCTCCCCCGGAGAGGGTGTCCGTGGTGACGGTCTTCCTGACGTTGGCGAGGTCTGGGGTGTCGAGATTGGTCTGTCGCTCGGAAGCGGCAAAGTCAAGAACAACGGCAACAGGACCACCCTCCACCGCCGTACAGCCAACACTTTCGGTCTCAAGCGCCCCACCTCAAGACAGCTTCTGTCTGAGGTCGTCAAGAGGTTCGGCACTTTCCCCTTCTCTCTTCGCCAGATCGAGGACGAGAAGGTTGCCAAGGTCGGTGTTGTTGAGTGCGTACGTGGTGGCGTTCTCCGACAGTACGAGGTCGTTGTCGACAAGGACAGCAAGCCCGTCGCCAGGCTGTTTTCCACCATCGCTGTTACCAAGAACGGTGTCCAGCGTCTGGCTCAGCCCCCTGCTCTTGATCTCGAGAAGGTTAAGTCTGACAAGAAGATCGAGGACGAGGAGATCCTCAAGATCCTTGAGCAGCCCATTGGAAAGACCTCCACCAAGAAGAACAAGAAGAAGAAGAAGAAGCCCGCCAAGAAGGCCGCTGCCGGCGAGGCTGCCGCTGAGGAGGAAGAGAGCGACGACGAGTAAGCGCAGCTTCTACGAGTGTTTGCATGTACCTTGCGTAGCGCGAATCGCGATTCCTGCATCTTAGGCTGTATGGTCAGGAGAAGTTTTTGGTCGATCTTGCCTGCCCAGGCTCTGTAAGGAGAAGTCTGGATCATGGTCAGGCAGTGGCTACAGTAGCCTGCAAAAGAATGAAAAGTCAACCAAAGTTCCTGCACGTTCTGGACCTGTAACGATTGTTCGTCCGAGCTGTTCTGATGACAGGCAAATCATCAATGGTCTGCAACTAACGCTCAGAATATTCCCCTGCATCGATCAGCAAGCACGCAGCCCACCTAGTTCCGGCGAGGCTCCGCTGCATCTCCACGATGTTTGGTACCCATGCTTTACCTTCGACGCGGTAGACCGGTGCTCCCCACACAGTGCCCCTGTACCACTGATGACACAGGACAGCAGGTACAAGTACACTTAACTCGTAGCGTGTAGATTCTACCGAGCTACTCATGTTATGAGGATTCAAAGCTCCTCGCGAAGTCTGGTCTTGAGTTGGTTTCCACGATGCATCTACGCAGCAGCACCGTTCTTCTGCAGTGCGCCCGTGTTTGCTGCACGTATGCGTGCGCGGAACTTCGAGTGGACGTGAAGCTTCTATTTTGTACCCTCTTGGCCCATGGAAATGTTTGCATTGCTGAGCTGCGGCGGATGACTACAGCCTCCTAAGATGCGTGGTGTTGCTCGTCACTGAACGACACTGATCGAATGACCTCACGACAGAGAGCCTCCAACTGCCAATCTTCAAAGAAAATATTCAGAGGTCACGAAATACTTGAAGATCCTCAGGAAGCCTGCCTGATCACCGGCGATGCACACATGGCATGGATGCGAGTGGATGTCAGGCACTAAGTCCGCGGCGAACTGTCGAGCTTCACTCGAGATCTGTTATTGTTCTACTTGTCATTGAAGAATTCCAAACGGAAACTACACAATAACAGAAAGCAGAGAAGGCTGGAAAGTGCGACCGGTGAAGGTGAAGATCAGGGCTGCGGAACAGGCGGGAGTACATATAGCAAGCTTCCCCTCCATGTCAACAGTCTCCCTGACCTCACAAAACGGACTTCTTGGGACTCCCATAATTTTCAGACAGAAGTGCTTCTCTCTTTTCCCGAATCCAGTCATTTCTTTATTACCGATCGGCGATCATTGTGGTGGTCAGGGTTGACATCTGAAGGGGCACGTCCTCCAAGATCGCTGACCTAAGTTCTCCCTCGAATTTGGGGATCTTTGACGGAACTCACTCACCTGCAAACCCAACCACCTTCGCACAAAACGCCGGGCACGGGCTTCGGCGCGCTATTTGCGCGTAAAAGCTCCGAATAGTCCGCGTAGACTGTAAGAAGTATACCCATAGTCGCGAATTGCGCGCTCACCCTTCAACAGTTCACACGGTCTCGCCATGCCGGCGCTGCGCAAAAGCCGTGGTCCTAGGTCCAGCACCACCCCGTTCGCCTCCCCCACCGGCACGCCCAGCGATTCGAGAGAGAGAAGCCAGCGATCAATTATGGAGTGGACGGAGCCCTCTGTCCAAAATCCCACGCCATCGTTCGAAGAGCACGGGTTTGCTCGTCACGGCGTCCTGGAGCAAATGGCTCCCCTGGGTCAGCCTCCCTCCGCGAAAGTAAAGCAGCGCACGCGCGCGATGGTCGGCGACGCGGCTGCGCGAAAGTCTCTGGCGGGCAAGGGTTGTTTCTTGGGGGACGAGGCTGGGTCAACGCCCGAGGTCACACCAGCTCCTGAGCTCGAGCCGGACGACTCGGAGAGGCAAGAGGAGGACGAGCTGCCCCTGGAGCTTCCACTGCAAGAGGAAGACGCTGACGACGACTACGTACCCTGCAAGACAAAGAAGAAGACACCAGTGTCGAAACCGACTGTCAGGGGTAAGCCATCGGCACAAGGGAAGACACCCGGTGAGGCGAAAACACCGGTCAAGGCGAGCACGCCTAGAGTCGCCTCAGCTCCAGCGAGTCCTGCGGTGCAGGCTGTAGAGCAACCGCGGGACACCGAGCTTTCGCAACGCGCGCAAATCTACCTACTGGCGGCGGCAGAGTCAGCTAAAGCCCATGACAACCCTAGACTCAGCGAGGCTTTCAAGCAACTGAAAGACTTGAGCAAGCGCGATCAGACTATGGCCGCCATTATCGATTCAATCTGCAAACAGAACCAGACCTCAACACAGTGGGCCACGTTCAGGACCAACATCAAAGCATTGAAGAAGACCAAGACGAAGAAGCCAAAGAAGCAGCGCAATGGTGATTTTGCCACTGCAAAGTCTGAGACTCCAATGGTTAGCCAACAACCATCCCCCAGGCCGAGCAGCGAGGTGGCCCCTGACGACTCAATCTCCTTTGTTCACGACAACGAAGCTGCGATAGAAGATGCGTATCCGGCCGCAGATGCAACGGCTGGAGCGCTGCCTTCGCCTCATCCTCTCAGCACAGCCCCAACCCTTCCAGCGATTGAACCTTCTATTGAAACCGTACCACGACAACCTTCAAAATCACCGCGCAAGAAGCATGCCTCTAACGGAAATCTGGCACCCGGGAGTGAGATGGATGTGGATGGTGGAGCTTCTTCAGCGGCACAAACCCCAGCAGGGAACACGCCAGAAGTAGATGACGGGAGTGATTCAGAGCTTTCAGAAGTCAACGAAGAGATTGTGCAAAAGGGCCCGCCGACTCCCGCACAGCCAGAGAAGAAGACCTCGACTCCAGCGCCTGCGGCTGTCAAGAAGGGCAAGGGCGCTGGTGTTGCCCGCGGACCGAAGAAGCACGCCAACAAAGGAAAGCTGTTCGGCAAGCATGCACACAAGAACCAGCCAGCGAACCCCGAGCAACAGGAAGATCTTGAGCAGATCTATCAAATGCGGAGAGAGATGGCAGACGCGCAGCCACTGCGCCAGTTCGATCTTCCATTCCCTCAGTCTGACGTTCGCTTCGATGACGAGATTTTGGAGACTGAGTCTCTGACCGAATCCATGATCGCGGTTGGACCACCGGTGGATTCTGACCAGCCGCGACGTGCTGGACGGATGCCACAGGGTGCAAAGCGTTTGCGCGAGGACATGTCACGGTTTTCCTCACCTCAGCTCGAGTCAGCAGCTGTCTCGAGACCCACAACACCTGCAGTTCAGCCAGCAGCCAAGCGGCTCAAGGTGAACCACGGCCCGACTGCCAGGACAAAGCGATCGTAAGTTTTTCTCCTCCTGTGTTCCCTTATCGACCCTGCTCGAGTTGGTTTCAGAACTGGGCACTGCCAGTGTCCGTTTCAGCATAGGGGTTTGCTTGGCGAGTGAGTAAACTTTACGTGTTTGCACGTGTTTGCCTCGTACCTTGGAAAACCATCATCAAATCATCAGAAAGCTAATATGTGACATGCACAGGCCCGTTAAGAATCGGGACGGTGGAACCATTGCTGGTGTGCCATATGGTGGTGGCGGTTCGAGACAGCTGGGGCCTGATGACAACGACCCAGTAAGTGCCACTCATTTTCCCGAAGCATCCAACCACACCATTCCTCCTTCACCAACACAACCATCATCAACATTTGACCCACTTTCATTCCTCAACTTCAAATGGGGGTCGATAAGAAGCTTGCGCTACCCAAATATCCTCCTTCGCCTCCGCTTTCGGTTTTGTCCTCTCCTCTAACAGAACATCAGAACTCGCCGGCTTCAGAGAGCGAGGACTATTGCTCAGCCTGCAAAGGACAAGGCGAGTTTTTGTGCTGCGAAGGCTGTACACGCGTGTATCATCTTCTCTGTTGCGATCCGCCTCGCGTGGAAGTACCGGATGGGTCGTTCTACTGCTATGAGTGCGCCGGGTCAAGCCCATGTGACGAGGCAGCTGCCGAACAATTCATAGATCTTGGGCCGCTATTCTCGGAGCTTGGAAAGACAAACCCGCGCGCGTTTACCCTGCCAAAGGAAATCCAAAATCACTTCGAAGACGTATCTGCACGCGGGGATGGGTCGTACTTCGAGGAGGTCAAGAAGTTTCCACTGTAAGTACGATGCATCCAGACGCCTGATGTGGCGCTAACATGATGCAGTGCGAAGAACAGCGGCTACGGTTACCAGAGGCCTGACTACACCAAGGTGCTTGATGGCGATAAGCCCATCTTGTGCGTGCAGTGTGGTGTGTCGAGTGGCGGCAAGCGCCAGATGCTCAAGTGCGACTTTTGTAACGCGTATTGGCACTTGGACTGTGTCGATCCACCCCTCGCTAACCCCCCACACATCAGCCTCGAAGCATCACAACGCGATGCTTGGAGGTGTCCACGCCACATCGAGCACGATCTTCGCAGTGGGTTGTTGTTGCAAAACGACCTCAGTGGGGCGTATGACGATGTCGAGATGGATGATGCCACCTTTACCCGAGTCCCACGTAAGATCCGGAAGCGCAAGAACCCCGAGATTGTCGAGCCGACTTTCTCTCGTGGCATGCGCAACAACGGCTTGATTGATATCATCAACGACCCTGATGATGATACCGATGGCGAGGGCAACTACACCGGCTTCGAGTTCAAAGACGTCAACTCGAAGGTTTACCGCGTGCCTGAGCGAGGACTGATCACCGATTTCCTGACCAAGGTCAAGAGGTATGTGCGACTTGCCCTTCTACTATTATGACTTGCTGATAAGATGGGTAGCCGTAAGGTCATGCGGGACCGCGAGGCGCAAAACAAGGCTGTCTTTCCTGCCCAGCGCAAAGCATCGATGCAGAATTTCGTGACTCACTCTTTCCAACAACAACAAGCAGCGCTCAACTTGGCGCTCCTCGCAAAGCAAGAGCAGGATGTTTGTTTAAATGAAGGCAAGATCGATGGCCTTCTGCTAGCCCTCACTGTGAGTACTCCCTGTGCCCCGCGTGCATCGTCTCAATCATCGGCGCTAATCATGTGAAACAGGCCGAAGCACCTCAGGAGGTCATCACAGCCATGACCAACTCTGCTCCTCCACCTGTCGCTGCTGATGAGCGCGCACAGCTGCTGAAGCTGCAAGAGCTCATCCAGCGTCGCCTTAACGCGTCCTGAACGTCACTCATCCGTCTCCGAAGCTAAGGTTTACCCTAGTCGTGGCGTTGTAAACCAGACCGGGTCTCGACCACCGACATAATTCCACGCATCTAAACACGAAAATTTCCCGACCTGCCGACCGAAGCCGGCGGTATCGATCGTTGGCACTTGGTCTGCTCGCGTCGAGTGTCCTTCTTGTCCGGCTGAGCGGCTCAACTCCCACCACCTTCCGCGATCATCTGAGACACAGGTCTTGGACCTCCCTCAACTGAAACCCCCCAAGAACTTCTCCATCCCTCACTAGATTATAATTTGTCTCGTGAAAGACCTGCGCAGGTTGCGCGACATGAATGTACCACCAACCACACCGCCGTACCAATCTGCATAGCGAGGAGTTTGGCCCGGCCCGCGCCGGCATATTGTGATTTTTGTTTTGAGCTCTCGGCGCAGAGCGGTTTGTTTGTACCTTCTGCTTCCATGTGCAGAGATTGAGGGATGGATGGCATGGGCATGATATTTTGTAGATTTAGCTAGGACATCACGTTGAGATAGAGGGAATTGAGCATCTGACGATCATCGAAGCACCGAGGTCGTTCTTTCGTGACTGCCCGTCGTTTTGATCACGCCTTCGCGAGTGCTCATAGCCAGGCTGTGAATGACGAAAGCGTGCGAGTGAGGCAAGAGGCAAGGTGGCCCTTGCGCAACGAGGCTGACGAAACACGACACTACTGCGCGCTGTCAAAACACGCTGGACACGCTGGACACGCTGGACACGCTGGACACGCTGGACACACACGGTGCAGCCCAGGCGATCTTATCAGGATCTACCAAGCATGTCGTTTCACCGGACTAAAGCATCACACACATCTGATAGCGTGAAGAACAGACTGATTGGACGTAAGTGATTCATTGTTGTACCTGGAGCAGTGATACGCCATACAGCGTCGTGCACAATCAAGCTCCGTGGCCGCTTGAGTCCCGTTAAGATCGCATTTGCACAAGGGCTGCTGAGGCTCCCTTTGAAGAAGGCGTGAAGGGACTGGAGAGGGCAGAAGCACACAGCTTCGCTCGTGGACTCGCCGCTCAAGGCTTGCAGCGACCGAAGTAGCGTGGGTACAAGCAGCAGTCCCTGACGGTGTGCTGGTTGCACAACCAAGCGAGGTAGCGCTCGAGACCCAGACCGTAACCACCGTGGGGCGAGGACCCGTACCTGAATGCACATTAGCTCGTGGGCTTCATAGAATGGAGGTTCGGAAGGTGGCAAAACTTACTTCCGCTGGTCAGTGTACCAGTAATATGTCGAGGGATCGATGCCCTCTCGCGCGAACGCAGCCATCAGCTCCTCGTTGTCGTCCATACGCATACTTCCACCAACAATTTCACCGACATTTGGCATCAAGCAGTCCACGGACTCGGTGACACGTGGATCGTTGGGGTCCTTCAGCATGTAGAACGCCTTGATGTGGGCAGGAAAATGTGTCAGGAAGATGGGGCGGTTGATCTCGTCCGTCATCCTGCGCTCGGCAGCCTCAGCAATGTCATCACCGAACTCGTGCGGCTTGCCCTCCTCGTTAGGAATGTTGTGTTCATTGAGCCATGTGATGGCATCTGAGTATTTCATGCGCATGAAGGGGCGAGAAGGCGTCTGGAAGTTGGGGTTGAGGTCCATGATGTGCTGCTTGATAGTAGGGTCCGACATAGTGACCTCAAGGACGCGGCACATGACCTCTTCCAAGTGATTGAGCAGGTCCTCGAAGTTGATGTAGTCCAGCTCGGCTTCGACGTGGGTGTACTCTGCGAGATGGCGGCGTGTGAGAGACTTCTCGGCGCGGAAAGACTTCTCGATACAGTAGACGTCTCCCATGGCAGGAAGACATGTTTCAAGGTAGAGTTGCGAGGACTGTGTCAAATAGGCCTTCTCGTTGTAGTAGTTGAACTCGAAGAGCGTTGAACCACCCTCGACCTGGGTCTGGACGAGCGCAGGAGGCGAAACCTTGCGCAGGCGCATCTCCTTGTAGACCTGGTTGAAAGCGAATTCGACGGCGTCGCGGACGATCAGCACCTTGGAGGCTGTCTCGCCACGGAGGGTGAGGTGGCGGAGGTCGAGCAGTTGCGCCTGGTTGTCGGTGTTCTGCGAGACACGGTTGGTGATGGCATCGTCACCACCCGCTGCCTTCCAGATCTGAGGGATCTTGTAGAAGTCGGCGTGAAGTTCGCGGTTGTTAGGAGCGTGAGCGCCCTCGGGCACTTGCCTCAGCTCACCGAAAATCTCCATGGATGTCTCACGAGTCAGGGTGAGGGCATCGTAGGTCTCGGCCAGCTTGCCGGTAAGGACCACCTGCATGTAGCCATATCCGTCTCTTAATGTGATGAACAGGACCTTGCTCTGCTTGCGCTCACGGTGCACACGACCGAACACCCTGACGCGTGTACCCTTGACATCCTTGCCGTCGCCCAGTGTGATCTTGCTGGAGTCTGTGTCGTCAAGCTTGATCTTGACCGGCGCAGGGAGGCTCTTGTCCTCCTCGAGCACAACCTTCTTAGCCTCCTCGAGCACCTTGTCGCGCGCCTCCTGCTCTTTCGCACGAAGTGCAAGCTGCTCACCTTCCTTCCCGGCCTTCTTCTTCAGGGTCTTTGCGCCGTTGACCGCCTTCTTGAGCGCTGACTTGGTCGCATCCTTGTATTCCAGAATCGATGAGGGCTCGGCACCCTCAGCAATCTCGCCGGTTACACTCTTTCTTGTCTTGAACTTGGCGGCCTCGCCCTTCTGGTAAATGGCATATGCGAGGGACTTGTAGGGCAGGCTTTCGTCACCTGTTCGCTCGGGGGCATCTTGACCGACGTCTTCGTCGATGTAGTAGGTAGCGTCCGCCATGGTGGGCAGCAATTGAGTATGTGGAGTGTGTCAGCAGCGACTGTGCTGTTGTCCTCGAAATTATATGGCAGGTGCGATCGGAGTCATTGAGCCCCGCGGCACTGCCCCTCATTGGCCGACCACGGATTCTTGTGCGACTCATGCAACGTCTGGGGCTTCTGATTAGATAACCACCAACATTGTCTCGAACATACTTTGGTCATTTCGGGCGTAAATGCGCCGGAGGAATAGTTTGCGAGTCCGTAAAGAACTCGAGTAAAAGGTAGCTTACTAAGTACCCTTCTTGTAGTCCCGTGCACGCTTGCTTCATGTGCGGAATTATGCGCGCTGACAAACATGGCCTCAATTGCGCCATGTGATGCTCTGTATGTGATAAGCATAGTATCTTCCGAAGACCCATTGCAGCACCTCGATTGTCACCTGCGAATTGACTCGGTATACCAGCATGTCAGAACCCACTCTCTACACATATCCTTCACCTCTTGAAGGCTACCAAAATCTCCAGCCGTTGCCAGAGTATGAATGCAGGAACGGTCCAAGCCGGCTAAGACACTGCTGACAATGCCCAGTGAGAAAGCTGCAGATGGCAAGTCATATGTAAACCCACCAGCAGAAAAGAAGAGTGTAGCGTACACCTCTTTCGTATCGCCCATCACCAATGGCGATCGTGGTGGTTTCGAGTACGCAGATCATGGCTATCCAATTGAAAGAGGTCCAAAACTGACGGCAGCTAGCATTCACATCTACTTCCTGCAGTCTGAGCCAGAGGAGCTGAAATTTGCGACCGAGCTCTGGGAACGCATACGGCGAGAATGTGCGTTCCACGTATTTCAACACGTAGACCAAATACTAACGTCTGCCATAGTTCCCGAACTCCGCATCTACAGGATCTGGGATCGACCTCTTGGACCCCATCCAATCGGCATGTTTGAAGTCAACTTGTTCACGCCGGAGCAGTTCGGAGCTTTCATTCCGTGGTTGGTGATTAACAGAGGTCCGCTGTCCGCTCTCATCCATCCCAACACAGATGAGGAGCGAAGGGACCATACACAGAGGGCGACTTGGATGGGGCAGCCGCTGCCATTAAATCTGAGGTCGTTCAACAGTAGAGAGAAGAAGTAGATGAGTTGATCCATGCATAGCCTGCAGTGTGTGCTGATGATGTGTCATTGTGGGTATATGGCTGAACCAAAGTGCATCTTTTATGACTCCATCACTCCAATTGCACTTGAGTCATTCCTCCTGTTCGGTGGTGCGACCAGTCCGAGCACGCGACCTCAACCCCCAGACGCTTTGTTGCTCCATCCCACGTACCGGCCCTGCACTGTATCGACGTTCATGCGCGCATTTCGGTTTCTCCTTCTACCGTGTAGATAGATATGGGATAATTTTTTCCGGCTTTGCCTCAGTGCGCCTATCCCGCAACCTTCTTCTTTTTCTTATCTTTCTTGCCCTTCTTCCTGTCCCTCTTCTTCAAGGATGACATGCCAGTCTTGCACGCCTCCGCATATCGTATGTAGAAAGTGTCGATATCATCAGGCTTTACGATTGTGCTGAGAACGATCTTTGCAACGTGTTTCCTGTCAGTTCCTGCCTTCTTGTCGCTCCTGTTGTTGGATGCACGGATCAAAACAGGTAGCGGGTTCTCAGGATGTGTGTCCCATAACGGATCGTCAGTGACCTTTGTGGGCGTAGCCGGCGTCGATGTCGAGTCAAATGTCAGGCGCTTCTGTGTAAGGTAGACGCTGCCATGGCCTTTTGTGCGGTTGTGCTCGAAGAGGTTGGCGAGTTGAGTGAAGAACTGGGAAGTGTCAGTGTGCGCTGAGATTCCTACTGACTGGCCGACTTACCTCATCATTGGTGAGGTGTTCTCGCCCCATTGTGTATGTGTGTGATGCTATACGCTCAGCGCCATGGGTGGAGGTGCGTACGAAGTAGTGGGCTGCGCCGCGGGGGAGACCACCGAGCACTAGCGCGTTCAAACCCCGGCTTTGGGCGACTTTTTTGTTGCGGCAACTCTCAGCCTTCGACACTATGCGCCAGCAATACGGAGGACCGAAACTGCCTGCAGATTTGCGAAATCAGTTTGGTAATCACTATGAATCACCCTGCGGATTCATCTAAGTGCTAACACCAGTAGATCCTGGAAATAAAAGCAAGAGCAGCGGCGGACGCAATGGACCAGTAAATCGCAAAGATCGGCGCAAAGCCGAACGAGATCAGAAGAAGACGCAACGAACGCAACGGAAAGGGGCACCTCCGCCTCCAGTTATACATGCGCAGATTGGATCACGGAAGGCGCCAGTGCAGCAGGAAGAAGAGGATTCTGAGGTCGACTGGGAAGAAAGCGACGACGAGCCAGCTCCTGTAAAGAAGGAAGCAGCGCCGAAGAGCATTCTGAAGAAGAAGGCTCCAACGGAGGAAAGCGACGACTCGCCCACACTTGCCTATGTATCTCGCGCCGTTCAGGATCGACTCGACGAAGAAGAGAGGGAGATCCGCGCACTGGAGAAGAAATTAGGCAAGAGAAAGAAGTCGGCAGGAGGTGGAGACGATGATGGGTTGGACGACCTCTTTGGTGATCTCGGGGATTTCAGCGACGACGATGCACTCGAGAATCCTGTATCGAAGAGGAAACGGGCAGAGGATGAGGACTGGCTTGCAAGCAAGAGGCGCAAAGCCCTAGGGAAGACTGCCCCATCAGCGCCAGAATCGGACGAGGATGAGGAGGACGAACTAGAGAACCCCTTCTCCGAAGACGATGATCTCGATACTGACGATCTAGACGGCGACGAGAATGGAGATCTTGAAGATGGAGGTCTGGATGACGATATGGACGATGAGGAGGGCAATATTGAGAACCCGTTCTCTGAAGACGAGATATCAGGAGACGAGGAAGACGCAGAACCAGCACCTCGAATACGAGAGAACCCATATGTTGCGCCAGTGGCGGCTAACGACGCTCCAACCACGAAATACATACCTCCGGCTCTGCGAGGGCCACCTTCGTCCGATGCCGAAGCACTCATGCGTCTAAAGCGTCAGGTCCAGGGTCTCATCAACAGACTGTCAGAGGCCAACATCCTCACAATCCTGAAAGATATCGAGAAGATCTACGCAACTAATCCTCGTGGTTATGTCAACACCACTTTGATCAATCTGCTCATCGACATGCTCTCTGACCCCTCGGCTCTCCTCGAACCCTTCATTATTTTGCATGCCGGTTTCATCTCAGCGGTTTACAAGGTCGTTGGACCCGATTTCGGTGCCCAGATTGTAGAGCGCATCGTCTCTGAGTTCGACAGGCATTATCAACCGAACAAGGACGGTGCCGGGAAGCACACTACGAACCTCATGTCATTAGTGTCCGAACTGTATACCTTCCAAGTCATTGGCAGCAACATTGTCTTTGACTACATTCGCTTTTTCCTCAACGAGCTCTCCGAGATCAACACGGAGCTCTTGCTGAGGATTGTGCGTGCAGCAGGTCCCCAATTGCGCCAAGATGATCCAACTGCACTCAAGGACATTGTCGTTTTGCTGCAGAAGTCGGTTGCCAGTGTTGGTCAGCAGAATCTGCCAGTCAGAACGAAATTCATGATCGAGACTATCAACAATCTGAAGAATAACAAGATGAAAACAGGTCTAGCTGGAGCCTCGATTACACGGGAACGCACAACACAGATGAAGAAGCAGCTGGGTACCTTAAACTCCAGGAATCTCAAAGCCACAGAGCCATTACGCGTTGGCTTGAAGGACATAAGAGATACAGACAAGGTGGGCAAATGGTGGCTGGTGGGCGCCAGCTGGAAAAACCAAAGCCAGAACGACTCGCGCACAGAAGAAGAAGAGAAAGAGCCGCGTGGCAAGCGGGTCGAGCTCGAGGAGGAAGATGAAGATGGCGAAGTGGATCTAGCTCAGCTGGCTCGAGAGCAGCGGATGAACACAGACGTGCGTCGAGCCATCTACGTCTCGATTATGTCTGCTACCGACTTCAAGGATGCGCAGATACGGCTGAACAAGCTGAATCTGAAGAAAGCACAAGAAGTCGAGATACCCAAGGTCATCATCCATTGCGCAGGAGCCGAAAAGACCTACAATCCGTATTACACGATCCTTGCGCGAAAGGTTTGCTCAGACCACAAGACACGGAAGAGCTTTCAGTTCGCCCTCTGGGACATCTTCAAGAGCCTTGGAGAGAACCAGGATGGCGGCGCAGACTCAGACGACGAGGCAGAAGACAGCAAGGCTGTGTCAATACGGAAGCTGGTCAACCAGGGCAAGCTTTACGGAACGCTGATCGCCAAGCGCGTTCTGTCCATTACCTGCCTCAAGAATCTCAATTTCCCATACTTGCAGCCAAAGACGAAAACCTTCGTCGAGGTCATGCTCGTCACAGCGATTCTCGAAACGCAGAAGGGTGCGAAGGAGGAAAGGAAAGACACATCTCTGTTGCAGACGTTTGTTGAGGTCGACCAGGCACCCGAGATGGTTGCAGGACTACAGTTCTTCCTCAAAAAGGTTGTGGGCAAGACCGACATTGTCGAAAGATCGGAGAAGGAGACGGTCAAGTGGGGATGCAAAGCTGTAATCGGCGTGCTGAACAGGATTCTGGCCACGAACACGTTAGAAGAAGATTAACTACCACTTTCAATGCTCATCACCAAGCACACATTGCGCCTTCCGTATGGTATTCGTGATGCTTCTGACGAGGCTGAGCTGACCAATTAACGTTGCCACTCAAGAGCGGAATGGCTACCCATGCGCTTGTTCGCGGCCGAACAAGCGCATGTTTGGACTTCCGGCCCGCAAAAGTAAAGGCTCGTCCAAGCTCAACAACAACCTCCAGTCCACCCACCCATCCATTGACGTCCGTCATCGCAGCTGTGCCACCGCAGCTCCTTTTGGTTTCTCGTTCCATCCGCCTACATCAAAATGTTCCGGTCTCTGGCTCCCCGCGCCGTGCAGAGGGTGACACGCCCCGTCTCGAACAGCACATTCTGCGCATCCAACATCTACTTCCAGAATAGATTACGACGCAGCTACGCAACGGAATCTGGTACGCCACACTCCGTGGAGATGAGAAGTGGGGATTAGGGGCATGCGCTGACTGCTGGACAGAGGAGAAGGACCTGGTCATCATCGGTGGCGGTGTTGCGGGATATGTCGCGGCTATCAAGGCTGGACAGGCCGGCCTGAAGGTGCGGCGGACATTCGCAAATAGGCACGTAAGCAGCAGCTAATAGAGTCACAGGTCGCCTGTATCGAGAAGCGCGGCTCCCTCGGCGGAACCTGCCTGAACGTCGGCTGCATTCCGTCCAAGTCACTCCTGAACAACTCGCACCTTTACCACCAGATCCTCCACGACACCAAGGGCCGCGGCATCGAGGTCAACGATGTCAAGCTCAACCTCCCCGCCATGATGAAGGCGAAGGACACCTCGGTCGCTGGTCTGACCAAGGGTATCGAGTTTCTCTTCAAGAAGAACAACGTAGAGTACATTAAGGGTACTGGCGCCTTCCAGGACGAGCACACTATCGCTGTCAACCTCGTTGAGGGCGGCGAAACCACCGTCCGCGCCAAGAACATTCTTATTGCCACTGGTTCTGAGGCCACACCCTTCCCCGGTCTGACCATTGATGAGCAGAGGGTCATCACTTCCACTGGCGCCATTGCGCTCCAGGAGGTTCCCAAGAAGATGGTCGTCATTGGTGGCGGTATCATCGGTCTCGAGATGGTAGGCAGATGTCCCACAATGCAGATCCTTCCGCTAACAATGCCATAGGCTTCCGTCTGGTCGCGTCTCGGCTCCGACGTCACCGTCGTTGAGTTCCTTGGTCAGATTGGTGGTCCCGGTATGGACCAGGAGATCGCCAAGAACGCTCAGAAGATCCTCAAGAAGCAGGGTCTGAACTTCAAGCTCAACACCAAGGTCATGGCCGGCGAGGTTTCCGAGCAGGGTATCCAGGTCAACGTTGAGGCCGCCAAGGGTGGCAAGGCCGAGAGCGTAAGTTGCGCCGTACAACCTTCAGAAATAATAATTACTGACTATTCATAGATTGACGCTGATGTCGTTCTCGTCGCTATCGGCCGCCGCCCCTACACTGCCGGTCTCGGTCTCGACAACATCGGTCTTGAGACTGATGACCGTGGCCGCCTGATCATCGACCAGGAGTACCGCACCAAGATCCAGCACATCCGCGCTATCGGTGATTGCACCTTCGGTCCTATGCTTGCCCACAAGGCCGAGGAGGAGGCTGTCGCCGCCATCGAGTACATCACCAAGGGCCACGGCCACGTCAACTACGGTGCCATCCCCTCGGTCATGTACACTCACCCCGAGGTTGCATGGGTTGGCCAGAACGAGCAGGAGCTCAAGGAGGCCGGCATCAAGTACAATGTCGGAAATTTCCCCTTCTCTGCCAATTCCCGTGCGAAGACTAACCTCGACACCGAGGGCATGGTCAAGTTCCTCGCAGACGCCCAGACCGACAGGATACTGGGCATCCACATCATCGGCGCCAACGCTGGTGAGATGATTGCTGAGGGCACTCTTGCTCTCGAGTACGGCGCTAGCTCAGAGGATGTTGCACGCACATGTCACGCTCACCCTACTCTTGCTGAGGCGTTCAAGGAGGCTGCCATGGCCACCTACGACAAGGCTGTTCACTACTAGATTCCCGGATTTCTTCGTGTGGGGTTCCCTTTCAGCATCAGCGGCATGAATTATCGAGCTCTCGAGCGGGGGAGTTGTGAATAGTATCTGTAATATATCTGATGCAATGCTTGTTCAAAATCCAGGGTCGTTGACAATCTGACATGTGCATGCTCGGTCCGCACGCGGTAGGGCTGAAGACCCCTGCTAGCCTTTGCGCGTGCGCGTCGCGCTCCCGCGATCTTCAATTCGGCCTCCACGGCGTCATCAAAAGACCATCATCTTTTGCAACTCACATCCTCACAATGAGCATTACAGAGCTTGAACAGCGCTGCAACGCCCTCCGGAACGATCTCAAAGCCTGGGAGAAACAATTTGCTGCGCAACATAATGGCAAGAAAGCTGGACGCGAGGATATCAAGGCGGACGTGGTGATTTGTATGCACGCGACATACCGGACCTATGCAGAAAGCTTGCTAACCACTAGCAGCACAAAAGTACAAGGAGTACAGCAAGTTACGAGCTCAGCCGGCTACAAAATCAGCCCCTCAGACACCATCAAAACGACCAGCGAGCCGCAAGCAGATTTCCAATGTTGAACGAACGCACGAAGCACCACCGACAGCGTCAGAGCTTACTCCTCTCAAGCGCAAAAGGAGAGAAGAGTCAGCCACACAGGAAGCAGATGCAGCATCTGAGTACTTGTCACCACAAGGACCTGCATTCATTGGACCTACCCCGCAACGAGACGGTATCGTGCTAGGTCTCTTCGACAACCTCAACGCAGAGACTCCAAGCAAGCGCCGTATAATATTCGGTGAAATCGAGCCCAATGTGTTTCAGACGCCGACAAAGAAGGACACAGAAGCAGCGAGTGAAGCATCTTCGGCGTCAAGAATAAGAGGGGAGCGGACGCCGCTCTCAATCACAAAGAGGAACTTGTTCAACCAGTTCGTCACACCAAAGAAGAGGAAGCTTGATGAGGAAGGTACACCAAATTCTACACTGAGAGGTCTAGCTACGCCGGCGTTTCTGAGGAGAGACAATGCGCTGGACAGAATTGAGGAGTCGGACGAGACAACACCGAGGCCTGCGCCATGGAAGAGGAGAGGCACAGTGAGAAGTCTCAGCGCTATGATCCAGAATATGCGGAAAGACGAGGACGACAGGCTAGACGAGGAGGCTGACATCATGCGCGAGTTGGAGATGGAAGAAGAGGGCATATGCGCACCCTCTAAATCTCGATTATCAGAGGTGCAGGTCAATGATAGCCAGATGGAGATGCCGCTCGGTGTTGATCGCGGAGAATCAGAGGACGAAGAATCAGAAGAGGAAGAGCTTGGCCGAGATGGCCAACCAAGGAAGGTGTGGAAGAAGAAAGGGTTGAAAAGACAGACAAGACGCACAAATAGTGAGTTTCTACATCCATGTCTCCGAGCATACGGTCTAACGGTAACAGTGCGACCCAATATCGTCAAGCCGAACCCCGTACCAGAATTCCAGCACAACAACGAAGAGGACACTCCGGCATCCGTGCCAGAGACGCAAGCCCAGGCAGATGCGGAACCTGCACTCTCTGACAACGAGGACGATTCCGACTACGCGAGCGATATTTCTCACTCAGCGAAGAAGCGTAAAGCGCCAGCGAAGCAAGCAGCTAAGCCCGCTGAGAAGAAGGAGGGTGTGGTGGAGAAAGTTAAGAGAAAAATCTCCGCTAATGCACACGCGAACTATCAAAGACTCAAGATCAGGGGTAAAGATAGGAATGGTAAGAAACCTGGGGGCAGATTTGGTAGAAGATGAAGTAAGCCTGGACGCCACAAGGTTGGGTCAGTCTCACGTTTTGGATAGATGAGTCAGCCTTATCGATCCCAATAGGCCCCTGTGGCTGCCGGCTTGCAATGCTGCTCGTTGCCTGAACTGTTCTTCGGGTGAGACAGTGTGACCATGCAGGTCATCCGCGCCAACAGTTGAAGAAGCAATGCAGGTTTTGTCTTGACTGTGTCCAAAAGCTGTTACATCTGTGTTTTTAGTGACCGAGGTCCTTTACACCACAGCAGGCATGGCATACATCCGAAATCGCGTGTTTGAAGGTTACAGTTTGTCGTATGCCCATGTGGAGGTGTTTGGCGGTACATCATCGGGTCATAGCGTCAGCGCTCTAGCTCCGCCGCCTCAGCTTCCACCGCCCGCTGTAACAAACACGGCGACATCTCCAAGCTCACGACACGCCACATCGCCCATTTACGCAGCCGTAATTCCTTCACCTCCACCCGTCAGACAACCACGAACACTTCCCGTCACCATGGCCGAGAAAGAACTGCACTCCGCGCTCCAGCATCTCCACCAGTCGCTTCAGTCGAAGAACTACCAGCATGCCACAACACTGCTCTCAAAGGCCAAGATGGCCCTCCTGCAGCTCAATGCCCTCATCCCACAAGAAAAGACACCGAAGAAGCAGCTCCAAGCCGCGCGCGAAACACTCGAGCTCGGCGCCATCATCTCCATCCGCCTCAAAGACACCGTCTCCTTCACACGCTACTTCCAGCAGCTGCAGCCCTTCTACTCCCTGCCTGTGTCCTCTCTACCAAAAGACGGCAGCCAGGCCAGCAAAGTCACAGGTCTGTACCTGTTGCTTCTGCTGAGTGAGGGCGACTACGCTGGGTTCCACACACTGCTCGAGACACTGGAGGTGGCGGCGGCGCAGGAGGGCAAGGGCCTTGAGGACGACCAGTTCGTTCAGTATCCGATAAGGCTTGAGCAAGCGCTTATGGAGGGAAGCTATGACAGGGTGTGGGGCGAGACGAAGGGCGAGAGGGTGCCAAGCGAGGAGTTTGGGATGTTCTCAGAGGTCAGTCGCGCCACCTTTTATCTCCCCAAGACTTCAGCAGGAAACAAATAGCAGGAATCACTGCTGACACACTTGAGCAGATCCTCATCGGCACAATCCGCAAGGAGATCGCCTCATGCAGCGAGCGCGCATACCCCTCGATTCCTGTCTCCGACGCCAAATCCCTGTTGTTCCTCGACTCAGAAGGTAGCGTCGTCGACTTTGCGCGCGAGTCTGGTTGGGTCGTCAAGGACGGCAGGATATATTTCCCTCAGCAGGAGGACGACTACCAGAGCAAGGACATCTTGGTCACTAGCGATCAGGTCATCGAGAATACCTTAGGGTACGCTAGGGAGTTGGAGATGATCGTGTAGATGAGCAAATGAAGGAGCAGGTCAAAGGGAAGAGAAAGGAAGCATGTGCGTGTCACTGTAAACTAGATCTCAGGTCTGTGGGCGCTATCTGCGGCCTGACATAGACGAATCACGATGGGAAGCATCAATGAACGGCATAATGAACACAACCCCTGCAGCTTCTTCTGGCCAGATGTTCTCAAGGTGACAAAGACTATCCACGAAGTCAAACACAGACATGTTTTGACTACTGAATCGGTGGCGCTCGTGCCGAAGTTCGTAACCTGTGGGAAGCAGCTCTGCGGCTGACCTTGGTCATTACGGTCGCAAGCAAGTACACGGCAATTCCTTGGCCGCGACCAAGAGTGTATACCTGCCGGGTTACAGGGCTGACTATGCTGACGCCAAGCATGAGGGTGGGTGTTGAAGTGGGAGCCGGGGCTGGCGATGACAGCCATATGGTTGAAGCCGAACCGGAAAGCCTTCGGCTAAGATCTGTTGCTGACATGAAGAGGAATCAGCCGCAATCTACGTGCGGGGGTGACACGTATAAGCACTCACTGGTGGCCTGGCCAAGGGCGCACAGTAAGACCTGCCGTACATGACGGGGAAGAACGCGCGCTCACATGCAGCAGACGTAAGTATGTATTCGTAGTAGCAATCACTAGATTGTAGACTTCAGACTAAACATTGCCGTCTACAAATTATCTGTTCGATTATAGGCCTGCTATATAGTGGTATTGGGTATCAAATTTAGGCCTTCTATTACCTGCGTCATCCTGTCGCCAATTCTATTCAGATCCCGGACTCTTCTTTTCTTGCATCTTCTCCTACGCATTCGGCGCTCACGCTGTCACTGTGGCCGTAACTGTAGCAGTGACGGTCTCCTTCTCCCTCTCTGTCACCGTGACAGTGAAGATCTGGCTCAGCTCAATCGGCGTTATGATCAATGGCCCTTCAGACGTGGAAGCAGTGGGCGTCACGGATGCTTCTGTAGGCGACGGCTCTACGTTCGTAATCGCGTATGAGGTCTTGGAAGTAATGGGCTCGCTTGAAGCTGATACCGAAGACGAGGTAATAGCACTCGATGAGTGGGTAGGTGTAGTTTTTGCACTGGACGCAGGTATAGAGGGGGAAGTCGAAGCGCTAGACGTGGCGTATGCAGACGAGGAAAGCGCGAAGGAAGGCGCAACAGAAGACCCAGCCGGTTGCGAGGAAGACGATGGAACTAAAGACGCCGCAGGTGTCTCTGATGGTAAGACGGTGGTGTACTGTGTGATAATGACCACAGGCGGTACTTGCAACGACGTGGATGGGAGAAGTTCGGCCGAGGGCGAAGGCACAACCAAGGAGAGGATGGAAGAAGACGCAGGTGCGGCAGCAGCAGCTGAGCTCGAACCGGCAGCAGAGGATATTGGCGCGCTAGGGTTCAATGTTGAAGATAGCGTGATGCTTGAGAAACCGGGAGCTTCAGAGGCGGCAGCAGTGGGGAACACGGTAGTGTACAGTGTCTTGGTAACAACAAGGCGGGATGAGGTGATCATGGTCGAATTTGCTGGGGCAGGAAGCACGGAGCTTGAAGCCAGGAGTGATGACCCTGCGGAGCTCACAAGCGCCGAAGGCGTTACCTGCGACACTGACGCAGCCGATGATGAGCTCAGGCCAGAGGAACTGAACAAGGCGTTGCTGAGAGTAGCAGAGCCCTGGTTCGCGCCCGGGTGGGTGAAGCCGGGCATTCCTGTGCCATTCTGCGCTGGCAGGCCTCCAGTCGCGGACGGAGTGGCACTGACAACAGCCGAGCTTGAACGAATAGAGCTCTCAAGAACAGAGCTGACGGCAATAGAGCTGGCCAAGGTGAAACTAGGGGTCAATGTGCTCGGCGCGAAGAAAGCTGCCGTTGTGGTATCCTCAGGCGAGTAGGTGAACATTGGAGGCGTCTGAGTGGCGCTCGACATCTCACTTTCGACCTCCGCTTTTGAACTAGAGAGGCCCTTCGCCGGGAAGGAGCTCAATGCCTGGCTTTTGGCAGGTGCCGACGACGAAGCAGCAGCATCTGGTGACACGGCGCTTGATTTGGATTCCGAGGTAGGGATTGGGTTGATGGTGGCAATGTATGATGTTGACAAGAACGTCTGCTGTGGTTGAGTAGCAATGGCTTGACCGTCCGGAAGAAGAAATGTAATGGCAGGTGCTGTCTGCGTGAAGACAGTCGGCTGAACGGGCTCGATAATGACAGCAGTCTCTGCGTTGGCAATTGGTGCACTCAGCGAGGGTATTGACGATCCGAGAGAATACAGGTCGACAGTCGAAGAAGCCGTTGAGGTCGTGTTTGTGTAGCTGGATAAGCTGCCTCAATTAGCGTAGTACAGCACAAATACGCAAGCAACTCACATTTGTCTCTTGTGGCCTTTGGGCAACGGCCCTCCAACAACAAGGGAAGAAGACGCTGCCAGCAGCAATAGAGAAGTCAAGCAAGCCATCGTGGATGGACTCGTGTATGACGAAGTGAAGGAAAGTGGAGAACGAAGGAGACGCGCGCGTTCAAGACTGGACAAGAGCAGAAACAGAGAAATCGAAAGTGATCGAGGGGATAGACGATTATGAAGAGGACGACCGAAGGAATGAGAACGCTACGCTGAAAGATGAAGAAGAGAATGGAGAAACCGTTCGACTCAATCACTCGACAACGCACAAGTCTAGAGCACCACTGTGCGAGACTCACCGCCAGCAGGGGTTTTGTCTGGTCTTGAGGTGTCCATACCCACCTTAATCTACGTCTGAGCCGGCAATAGCTTTCCATGTAGTACTGGCGCAATTGGCTTCATATTAGAGGCGGCACCGGGTCGTTTCCGAAAATAATTGACTCTGGTTGGAGGAGTGGTTGTCGTGCTTCGAGACAAAAGTCCTGGTGTTTCAGAATGGAGCTACGTGTGAGCCAATCAAGAGGCAGCAGCACAATGCATCCTTGCGATCTGGGCGGCTCGCCGAACAATGACAACCTCTCCATTCTATGCAAGCGACTAACCGGCCCACGGCATGACAGTGAGGCTCAGCGGGACGTTCGACCTGTCATCGTTTATAGACTACCAAGTCGGGCGCTGAAACCCAAGGTTTGCCAACGCTCCGCTACAGCGCAAAGACGCTGAAAGGCGCCAGGTAGAGAGCAGTTTCTCATCGAGGTGCACGTCATGGCACGCAAGACATAACTATGAATCTGCAATGATGAGACATCCTCATTGATGTTGGACTTCGACTGTTTGACTTTCGACGGGTCTATTCTGGCCCTCGAGACCTCTGGCCAAGCCGCAGGGCTTCTGGTCGAACCATACGTAACCTGACAGAAGGATACGGAAGCAGGATCGAAAGATCCGAATGCATCGTCAACTCCGTCGTTCAGATCGTGGCCTTGTGTCGATATCTGAGTTCAGATGGGGGCACGTGCCTTTCGTTGCTATGGGAACACCACGAGCGAGGCGGTCAAAGCAAAATATGGCGTACCAGGGTAGCCTTCATCCTCTTTAGATCGAATCGACGTCACGGTTAGGCTGCGTGCTTTGCTTGTTGCTGCGCGTTTGTACATTTGCATTTCTTACCTCTACTTCCGCGCGTGCACTCTAGTACCGCTCCGCGTAAACAACATGAGCGTACGCGTCGTTGCACGAATAAGGCCACTGCTCAAGCAAGAGCTAGACAAGGACACGATCGTTTCCGCAGAGACCCTCGAAGGAGAGTCCGCTCCTACAGTCGTACGATTACCGAGCCCGAAGAATGACGCAGAGTCTTTCAGCTTTCAATTCAGCTCCGTGTATGAGCAGGAGGCCACACAACAACAATTGTTCGATGCCGAGAGTACGTTATCATCACCATACATCGTCGGCATCACGCTAATGTATGGACAGTCTCACCAACGGTCAAGAATCTATTCAATGGCTTTGATCTGTCGATCTTTGCCCACGGCTGTACCGGTACTGGCAAGACGCATACAATGCGAGGAGGGAAGTCGCTGGCCGACCGTGGTGTGATTCCGCGACTTTTGAGCGCCATTTACAGGCGGTGCAAAAAGATTGAAAAGGATTCGGCCGGCGCTGCACAGGTCGAGGTCGCCCTAGAGTACTTCGAGATCTACTGCGATCGCGTCTACGACCTCTTCGAGCCACCAGAGAAGCGCACACCATCTGGCCTTCCCATTCGCGACAATCACGGCAAGACAGTCGTTGTCGGTTTGACTGAGAAGCCATGTACAACGCTCAAGGAGTTCGAGCAACTTTACGACCAGGCGAACATGAACCGCTCGACGTCTGCGACCAAGGTATGGTACTTTGCTTGGAAGGCTACCAGCGTATGCTGACTTTAGCCTAGCTCAATGCGCACTCTTCTCGATCGCACGCCGTACTTTGTGTCAAGATCACACAGACCACCGAGACCACAGTCCGCGTCAGCCGCGCATCTTGTATTGATCTAGCTGGATCCGAAGACAATCGCCGCACAGAGAATAACAAGGAGCGCCTAGTTGAGAGTTCTGCTATCAATAAGTCGTTGTTCGTACTCGCCCAGTGTGTCGAGGCCATGAACAAGAAGCAGAACAGGATACCGTATCGGGAGTCGAAAATGACACGAATTCTTGGGCTCGGTCAAAACAAGGGCTTGACGGTCATGATTCTCAACCTTGCGCCGACTCGCGCATATCATCTCGACACTATCAGCTCCTTGAATTTCGCCAGTCGCACGAAGAAGATCGAAGTCGCGGAGGTGGAGAATGATCCGGTGCTCAGGACTATGTCGAAGCCGCTCGCGGTGACGAGCAGCATCGGCGGGGCCACCATCAAGCGACAACCTCTGCGCGCTCTGACGGCAGCGGCCAATGTCAACGTGACGGAGACAGGAAAGGAGAAGAAGGGAGAAAAGCCCGTAAAGGCCTTTTCTGTATACTCTGATTCTCGTAAGCCTGTCTCACGTGTGGCTAACTCGACTTCCCAGAATCAAGGCATACGACGAACCGAAGCGCAAAAGCGGGCGGCGGAACCTAGCAGCGCCTTTGGCACTCGACCTACAAAGACATTCCGCGCAGCTGATAGCACTTCCCGAGCACGTACTGTCGAGGCTGGCATGACAAAGGAGGCGATCGAGACGCTAATCGCGCAGAGACTCGATGAGCGGCTTGCCGAGAAGGCGCTACAAGACGCTGCAGCTGCAGTACCAGCACTTTCTGATGAACTTCAAAGGCGATTGGATGACTTGGAACAAAGAATCGATGCGAAGGAAGACGATGGGAAGTCTCAGGGGCTACAGTTTCTACTCATGGCCAAGCAACATCACGCACGAGGCGAGGACGCGAACGCTTTACGTATGTACCGCTTGGCTGAGCCGTACTTCCCTGGCAACGAAAAACTCCAAGCGAAGATGAGGAATCTGGAGGATAGGATAAGAGCAAAGCGCGACGAGGGGCCCAAGCACATGTCGGCACCAGTTGCACCGGCACCTGTCTCGAGTCTAATGGCACCATTGAAGGCAGACAAGAAGGTCTCTAGACCGAAGATGATCTTCCGAGACGATGCTGAATCCGAGAGCGACAACTTCACACCACCGCCACAGTCCGACCATGATGAATCGTTCACATCTGAGAACAGCTTCGTCGCGAAGCCAAAGACGGCTCGCAAGCCCAAGAAGACACTCAAGAAGCTCCCCATCTTCCGCGACGATCTCGAGTCTACAACTTCTGGCGAACAGACACCAAGAACATCCCATCTCCTGAAGATCATTAACAGCCGCGACGTCAACCAGATCAAAGCGCTGAAGGGAGTGGGCTCGAAGAAGGCTGACGCTATCGTGAACTGTTTGATGGAAATGGACAACGCCGAGGTGCAGGACCTGGCGAGCCTGGCCATGCTGAAGGGTGTCAGCGGCAAGACAGTGGAGAACATGAGAATGGGCTTGAGTCTTGTTGGCGATTACGACTTCTGAGCTTCGCCACAATTTGCATTTCAGCGTGGAGTTTTGGAGCGCTTCTTGATTAAAGTTGCATAGCATGGCATGAGCGTAAAGCATTCGCATTGGGCGGGCGTTTGAGCGGAGAGCGTGTTGTTCCGCATGGATTAGCATAGCATAAGTAGCATGAGAATAGCATCTTACCTTCAAGACGTGCCCCCATCAACGTCACTTGTACATCGAGTTCAAGAGGATAGCATGTTCTTTGGGTTCGGATACGGCCGACAAGCTTGACTGACTCCAACAGTGCTTTTTCGTTGCTAGTCATACAAAGTTGATAGCACTATATCCTTGTTTGTTGCGGTCAGGGGTCCTTGGTATATTGCTATGGCTGTTGGGCCTCGTTCTGTCCTCCATGAAACCGCCTTCCTTACTCAGTCGACATTTCAGCTCCCCCGAACGTAGTGTTCCTGTCAAGTAAAGCAGGTTCTTACCACGATATGCCTAAGTTTGGACATGACCGCGCATAAACCGCCGGTACAAATGGAATCGCAATTCTTGCCTCCTCCCATAAGCGGCTCGCAAGTCAAGCCATTTTCCCGAATAGGTCATTGCTCACTGTGATGTGTGCGCACATCAACGCCAACACACTTCGCACTATCAACTTTTTGACCGACAGAAAAGAGGATGCAGACCAGATTGAATCAGGGAAACACTGGAGATCAGTCTTCGACGATGTTTCTCAATATTGTCTGAACAGGCAAGTTCGGTGAGCAGGCGCGGTGTCCGGAAGATGATGATGTGGGGCCTTGGATTTGACTTTCGGTCAACTCTGTACAGTCGCGTAGCGACACGCACGAAGAAAATTGAGATGTTCAGTGGATTAACAGGTGTTGGACTTACGTGATAGTCAAGTGCAGCATTTGACCAATTGACTGGCTGTCACTACTATGAAGGTCGCAGCTTGAAGGGGCAGAATTTTGAAAATCAGGATGTAGGTCAAAGCGAACCGAGAAACTCATTCTCAGCTACTGTACTTGATCCTGTTCCTCGTATGCTCATCAGAGTATCGAAACTACTGAGCCATGAGTGTCTTGCGGTTCTGCGCACCTGCCGTACACTAGCTTAGTCATTCGCCCATGCACGCTAGCTTAGTCATTCGCTCATTTACTCCCTCAGCTCTTCTCTACCAAACACAAACACAACACGCAAAGAATCACTTGTATGTACGCCCTCAACTGCTCCTGCCCAAACCCACGTCTCTTGATGAACGGAAGCGCTGGTCTGAACCACCAGCGTAACTCCCAATACACTTGAACCGAGAGCTCCTCCCCTGCCCATCGTGCTTTCTTGTGGTTAGCGCACGCCAGCCCGGAAGGTGCGATGGATATAGACAGGCGAGCTGCTTGATGCGCGAAACTAAGATAGCTCTGATTGAACTGCATCTCCTCTGCATGCTACTTCCTAGGTTGTAGATACTTGCTGACAAATGCACAGATTCATTAGTTAACGTGTTCTATCAGTAAGCTGCGCATATCAGTATCCTGCGCACCCCACCAAAACGCGCTCAACTCAGCGTGCAATTGCTCCACAACCACA